ATATACTTGGAGGACTTTTACCGTATGAATTTGTGTTGAAAAACTGAACACACCATGCATCTTTGGATTTCAACCCCCAATGTAATAAGGCAAAAAATATAGCGGATAGTGTGAGGGAAACCACATAAAAATGGAAAAACCAATACTTTGGGACATAAATCTGTAATAGGTTGTCAAGTAATCTGTTGTCTTTTTCAATTGGTTTATTGGTTGAACCATCTAACGTCTTTCCATATTTTAAAAGTCTATTCAATTTGGGATAAAACTTAGCCAGAAGGACACTAATTATGGCACCGGCATAAAATATCTGTAATATGATATCGACATGTTTTAAAATCATCACAGGAAGCTGTATGAAAATATAATTATTGATAACTTTAGCAGTTCTCTTAAATAATATTAATGAAAAAAAAAAAACACCAATGATTTTGCGGAGTTTCGCGCTTCCCGGCGCTAATATAGCGACTCCAAAAAAAGTGTGAATATGGTGCAATTTGCTCAAAATGAATGTTTAAAAGACTAGAAATGGTTTTAAAAGAATCTATAGTTCTCTTTTGGCATTACAATGCTCTAAAAAATGGCCAAAAACGGCAAAAAAAATTAAATGCCACCACCTGGAATCGAACCTGGGTCTGGTCGGCCACAACGACCTGTACTAACCACTATACTATGATGGCTTTCTTTATGAGTTTTTAATGACGTTGATCTCCCAAGCCATTCTTTTGCTTATATAAGAGATTACAAAGCTTTCGGGCGTATAGTTCAGCGGCCAGGGTTCCAATTATATGTGACACGGTTCCCGGTTCGAATTTGAAAACCTGTTCTAACGTTAAGTGAATCCGAAAGCGAGGGAGTTTTAGTGGGTATGCCTAAATGTATACAGGTGAATCCCACACTGTTCCAGTATTTAATTATACTGGTTCGTGCTTAAAGCATTTCTTCCTTGTAGTGCATAATGTTATTGTTGTATACAAAAATTAGCTTTATTAGCCTTTTTGATGCATCTAAGATTCAATTAGAATCACAAATTAGAGTGCAATTTTTTTTTTAGATAAGTGGATTTGTAAATGAGTATAAGTGAAATAAACGTTATTGTATACAAAAAAAAAAAATTATTGTATACAAAAAAAAACAAAATTATGTCTTCGATTATGCCGGCCGGAAGATTAATTATATAAAGACGTTGTAGTATCAAACATTCTATCTTATTATTTAAAATGAAAACCTTAAACCATGAATAAAAGACCTAGATAAGCTGCATTTATAAAAGAACTTATTTCTTTACACTGAGTCGATGATGATCATCTAGAGCAGCTACTGAATGATCAAGGTTTTTCAAAGCAGCAGCTAGTACTGAACATTATAATTTACATCATGATGATATTTGCATTTATTTTTGTTAATTATTTGCAGTTATTAATTTTTAGTTAATTATGCATATTAACTAATGGAGACTCTGTAAAGTACACGGTCTAGCTGTACGTCTATATTTTAATAATATTGTCGATTAATTCATGATCATGCAGAATAATATTAATATTTAGCTGATATAATTCCTAGCTGTACGTCGTATGATCTAGATATAATATAATGTGTTATATATAATTTTATATATTAAAATGCTAAAAATATTATAATATTTTGTACTGCAAATTATATTAAAATCACTGGGGTCGACTGATCAGTCTATATATGACTGATTTATAATAAAAGGCCGGATAAATCAGAATATAAAATTAAACAAGCTGTAAGAATGAACTAAAAAAGCTGGCCATATTATTTAATAATTGTTATATTAATTGGAGCAATTGTAAAATTTTTGGAAATCACCAAGATATTCCTATTAATACTTTTCTTGATGAAGTCCTAGCTTAATGGTTTGTTAATTAGTTGATTCTAAGGTGACTGAACCACTAGCTTAAAGGAGCTGAGCATGAATGCTTTATGAACTTGGAAATAGAAGTAAAAAATGGGATAGGAATTGAAGGAATTGTTGATCAATCAACATATGGGTTGGCTAACTAACTGATATCATCATAGTAGTGAATATAATTAATATGTTATATATTAATTTTGACGGTACTTATATAATTTTGTATAAATATTATAAGCTGTATTAATATAATTAATTGATATTTCTAATTAGGACGTAGCTGAACCAGTACTTGCTGTACATTAATTAATATATATAAGCTAGCTATATTTATCATAATTAAGGGGCAGAGCATTATACTCTTCCTGAGCATTTGATTATATAATGGCGCCGCTAATTTACATTAATATTGAACCTGTAAATAGATCAAGTAAAAATTAATGGTAATATAACTACGTACTAGAATTGAAATATTATTAATGTTGATCATTAATTTATATATTATTTATTCCACAGACGTAGTACTAGTAATTCGTTCACGCTTCATGAACCTTTCTATAGTCTAATTCCCATATAATTATAATATATAACATATTATCAAGTATGATCAAGAAAACTTCTCAACAAAACGGCAACACACCAACATTATATATGTGCTAACATTTCCTTTAGCCGAATGCCTAACCCTATAGCTTGGACAGTATTGGATCCACTAGCAAGACTGTTATCTCCAAATATTTCACCCTCAAAACAGCACCTTGGCAAACCATTTGAGTGGTTAACCACTTCACGAGCACCACTTGTGCACAATTGGACCAACATTAAGAAAGATCTATTTGGCCTTAGCTCAAAACAAACATCTCCCTTCAGTGGAATAGATTTGCTTCTCTTGATAATTTTGAATAAACGGAAATATTCAGCCTTAGCACCACCATTGTCAACTTGATCTTCCAGCTTCTCGGGAGCAGCAAAATCTACTGATCCCTGAGACGATGTAGACGACCTTGAGCATGCTTCTGGAGAATGCTTCTCTTGTTTCAAGCCAGCAGAGGTATCAGACCTTTTACCGCCCTTTGAGCCTCTTCTCTGGAAGCGGCCACCTCCATTGGTAGAACCGTTTTGATCACTGAACCGCTTTCTGGAAGGTCTTCCTTCACTTCCACCTGAATACTTTCTACCGCCCATTAGCTCTATTATCACAACAATGAGATTATGAACAAGCAACAGGTGGCAATGGTGACAAGAAGTGGAAGCTTTCTTGTTTGGTTTTATAAACTCCCAACCCTTTTGTACCCATAAATCCCAAAACAGTTTGATAACTAACACATGTAGTTCAGAACAAAGATGTATGCGATTTCAGTGATTTCAATGGGCTCTATGCTTCAATATTTTCCCTACTTGATAGTTTATCTTGTTCGTTCTCTTCTCGTCTAGCAAGAACTCTATCAGCTAAACCAAGCTCAACCGCCTCCTCTGCTAGTAAAAATTTATCTCTTTCCAAAAGCTCATGAATCTTGCTTAGAGTCGTTCCTGGTTTGATATGTTTTTGATAAATCCTATTCAACCTTTCTCTTGTCTTGATGATATGCTTTGCGTGGATTTCAATGTCTGAAGTTTGGCCTTGAAAGCCACCACTTGGTTGATGAACCATAATTGAAGTGTTTGGAAGAACAAATCTTTTCTTTTGAGAGCCAGCAGCTAATAGAAGGGATGCCATAGAGTATGCTTGTCCAATTGCCACAGTGGATATCTCACAACGAATGTATTGCATTGTATCATAAATTGCCAACCCTGCTGTGACACTTCCCCCTGGTGAATTGATGTAAATATTTATAGGAAGACTTGATTGTGATTCCAAATAAAGAAGCTGTGCTGTGACAGTAGTAGCCAAGTTATCATCGATAGGACCTGATAAATAAATGATTCTTTCTGATAAAAGCTTCGAGAACACATCATATGCGTTGGTTGAGCCCCTGTTAATGACGAACGGGACGCTTGCTATACCACGATTCGAGCATGATTGGCTCTTAATTATAGCCCAGGAAGACCTTTTAATAACTGAGCCGATCATATTTGATTATTAAATTTGGTTTCAATTAGTTAATTTGATCGATGATGGAAAGCGTTGATTCTTGAAACTCGAAAGTCGTCTTGTTTTTCTCCAGTTTTTGATTTTGGTGTCACCTAATTTTCTCGAAAATTTTGGGTATATTACGGAAGAGAAATATTTCTACAAGACCAATCATAAACTAATTAAGCGTTCAAAATTAAATAAATTAACTAAATGTAGAACAAAAATAAATTGAAACGTAACAAAGAACTAAAAAATAAAAATAACTTTCGTCAAAACATCAAAACTCTGGTATCATTAATAGAAAAAAAGACAAAATCATACTTGCACAAACCTTGAAAAACTCAGCATCATTCAAATCACACTTTTAGCTGTATCAACGATAACATCTAGAATACCTTCTTTTTTGATAGGGTTTCCTTGAGCATCATACTGTTGACCTTGCACAGAGCTTCTTGGTGTTGATTTAGTCTCTTCAGAGGTGTTGCCATATCCAGATCTTGTGGTATAGTGTCCATCACCAGAAGTATCAACAGCTTTTTGGGTTGGTGAAGAAACTTGATCGTTTGGGAAAGTACCTGGAACAGAATCATCATAATAATCTTCACCTTCATATCTACCAGCAGAAGAGCCGTAACCAGTACCTTTAGTGTTTGATGAGACACCTCCTCTTGAAGAGCTATCATATTTTCTAGATGAAGCACCTGCAGATCCAAGACCACCAGCAGCGGCAGCTTGAGCATAAGAGCCTTTACCTTTTGTTGTACCACCAGTTGAATCATTTAATTTTTCACCAGTACTCAAGCCATGGTTTCTTGATGAGATATCTGCAGCTCTTGAGCCATAATCAGAACTTCTTTCTTTACCAGTGACTCCAGATTCCAACTTTTCACCAGTACTTGGACCAGTTCTACCAGAACCAATGCCTGTTGAACCATAAGTGTTACTTTGATCCTTACCAGAAACACCAGACACATCACGAGCACCTGAACCTATACCAGCTGATGGAATTGATGTGTTACCACCAGTAGTTGGTTTGCCAGAAGTTGATCCAGTCAAACCTTCAGCGATTGGGTTTCTGTTTCTTGAAGGGTCAACAGCTGGATTGACTTCAGAAGTATCAGTATCATATTTACCATAACCGGTTGATTTAGAACCATATTTATCACTTGAAGAAACACCAGTGTTACCAGAGCTGGAATACTTGTCACCTTTCGCATCATAAATGTTTTCTTTTTGATTTGATGAACCATGATACTTTGAGTCATAACCAGAATCCTTCTTTGAAGAGCCAGCAGCACCAGCAGCAGAACCAAGACCTAATGCAGCAGCAGCAGATGCAGCAATATCATCCTTATCACCAGATCTTGTTGTAGATGAACCTTTACCAGTACTTGATGTGTAATCTTGACCATACTTGTTTTGATTACGAGCACCAGAAGTATCCTTAGAAGAAAGACCAGATTCTCTTTCAGCACCAGTAATACCATGTCCTCCATGTGACTTATGAAGTTTGGATTTATCAGCAGTAGCGCCCGAAGCACCAAATCCAGCAGCATAGGCAACATCATTCAAGTCTTCACCTTGACCACTAGTTGATTTTTTGGCTGAAGATGATTTATCAGTAGTCTTAGAATATGGTTTGGAGGAATCACGAGTAGAAGAAGTAGCACCAGAAGCACCATAACCAGCAGAATAACCAACATCGTTCAAATCTTCAGCTTGACGGGAAGTTGATTTAGAAGTAGGTTTGGAGGAAGAATCATAAGTAGCATCACGAGTAGCTGAGGAGGAACCATATTTGGAAGAATCTTTTTTGCCTTGACCATTAATAGCATCGTTCAATTTATCGCCATGCTTATCATAAACACCTTTGGCTTGGTTGAGTTCATCTTTATGATGGCCAGTTTTACCAGCACCATAAGTGGCAGCAGCAGCAGCACCAATTGCACCAGCACCCAAGGCAGCATTTTTATCAATTCCAGATGACTTCTTGTTTTGACCAGATGTGTTGTTATAATCATCACCATAACCAGTCTTTGAAGTTGGAGCAGTTGTTGTAGTATCACCTCTAGCACCTCTGGAAGAAGTATCATAAGCACCTCCACGGTTAGAATTAGAGCTAGTTTCTGGAACTTGAGTATCATAAACAGATGAGCTAGTAGAGTTTCTCTTTGCTAAGTTTGAATCATCATCAAAAGTTTTTGATTTTCTGTTTCCTCTACCCAAGAAAGCGCCAAAGAAACCACCTTTTGCAGCATCAGAAGTTGTTGTATCATCAGCAGCAGCACCTGTTCTACCTGAAGAAGGACCATAATCACCTGAAGTCGAAGTACCATAAACCTTATCACCAGTTGAAGCATCAGTTGTTCTCTCTTTACCAGTGTTGAATTCTTCACCAGTTTTGCGGGAATAGTAAGAAGTTGGTTCATATCCAGTAGTATCAGTAACATCATTATTGTCCTTGGAGTTTGCATAAAGATTGTTATAGGTATCTTCAGGACGAATAGCAGCACCTTCTTTACTGGTTCTGTAGTAATTACTTGTTGGAACACCAGCAACACCAGAACCTCCAGCAGCAGCGGCTGTTGCAGCGCTCGCAGCACCATCACTTGGAACACCAGTGTCATAACCTGGGGTTTCATTACCATAAGAATCTTTGTTGTAATGTGAAGCACCAACAGGCAAGGCAGTAGATTTGTTTTCATATTGATCTTTAGATTTATTAATCTTTTCAGCATTAGCACCAGCATGAGTTGCACCTTCACCAGTATCAGTACCATGAGCACTATAATAACCAGGACCATGAGTTGCAGCACCAGAAACAGGTTTAGTATCTTTGCGTGAACCTGAAGCTAAACCAGCACCTGTTGCAGCGCCAGCGGCTGTTGTACCATAACCAGAACCAGACTTGGAACCATAATTAGTTTGATCTTGATAGTCATTACCATATCCAGTAGAATCACCATATTGAGCAGAAGTCTTGTGAGTTGTTGAATCGGAAACACCTCTACCAGTTGTACCAAATCCACCAGAAGATTCACCAGCAGTAGCACCAGCAGTAGTATCACGGCCATAAGCGGAGTTTGAACCATAGTTATCAGTTTGATCAGTGTCCTTATGGTTGGCGGCAGCAGCAGCTCCACCTAGACCGAGCGCAGCAGCAGCAGCACCCCATAAACCCTTGTTAGAAGAAGAGGTGGTATCAGCATCACCATATGAGCCAGCTTGAGCAGAATTTGGTTGTGTTGACTTTAAGCCATAACCAGTTGCAGCACCAGTATCATAAGGTTTTGAAGCTTCGTTATAAGTACCAGCAGCACCAGAGTCAGGATGGTAGTATTCATTTTCACCAACGCCAGCACCATACATTTGATCAGGGTGTTTGTTAGAAGAACCATAAGTACCAGAAGTGTTGCCAGTCAAATCTCTAGTCTTACCTGAAGACCCATAAGCACCAGTTTGATAACCAGTATCAGCACCAGTTGAACCCTTGCCAGTACCATAACTTGAATATTCATTTTCATTAGCTTCTGGGATAGTGTCATTCTTCTTTGATTGACGATGTCCTAATGCAGCAGCACCTGCACCTGCGGCTCCAACACCAGCAGCTGTAGTACCTAAGCCAGATGAGCCTTTAGTGTGAGCTTGTTGTGGTTCTTGGGTAATATCAGTAGTGGCACCTGAAGCACCATAGCCAGCAGCGTAAGCAACATCATCCAAGGTTTCACCAGTTTGAGGATTACGAGTGACAGCATCTCCAGTAGAGGTAGCGCCTCTAGTGTTAGATCCAGCAGCAGCAGCCCCAGTACCAGCACCTGAAGCACCTAATCCAGCAGCGTAACCAACATCATCCAAGGTTTCACCAGTTTGAGGATTACGAGTGTTACCTCCAGCAGCTGCAGCCCCAGTACCAACACCAGCAGCACCTAATCCAGCGGCGTAACCAACATCTTCGAGGTTTTCATTTTGACGATTCTTTCTGCTGAAAAAGCCACCTCTGCCTTGTTCAGGATCATTTCTCTTCTCTTGGACATAATTGTTACCGTAAGTTTCATGTGAGCTTGAGTCATAGTTGTCAGAATATCTCTTCTTTTCTCTTCTTTTACCAAACATGCTACCAATGCAACCAACACCACTAAACAAAGAACTCAAGAACAACAAGAAAACTGAGGTCCAAATGAAAGCAAACATCTTTTTACCCAAACTTGTTTGTCTACCATCACTTCTGAAGGCATTACGGGCTTTAACATAAGCAGCTGTTAACAAACAGGCAGATAGGACAGTAAATAGCAAGGCGGCATTTGTAGCAAAATTTGAACCAATTCCCAAAATTGACAAACCTGGAATACAGAAACTGACAGCAACAGGTAACAAGGCAAGAATTGTAAACAATAAACCTAGCAACAAAAAGGCCCAACCAACTCTTGATAAGTAGTATGTGATACCTTTTCTTGAACTCAAACCTGAAGGGATACCTGAACTTTGACCGAAGTTTGCTCTTGGAGACATTGGATAACCAGCTTGTTTACTTGAACAATCATAGTTTCTGCCATTTCTGACACCACAACTGTCATAATTTGTCCATCTTGTAGTTGGATGAGCACCACTAATTCCACTTGTATCAGCTTGCAACCAATAGAATTGACCTAAAACTGAAGAGGTCGAAGCCCCACATAAAATATTGAAAAACAATAAAAGACCAGCACCTAACAGTGCTAACAATGATAAGATATATGGCCAACGCATTATTACTTTGATAAAATAGTGAATTGACTTTATTATCCAGGTTTCAAAAGAAAAGCATTCTTGAAGTAAAATTGAGTTCTCATGGTCAATATATATGTGAGTTCGTGAATCAATTTCAATTGCCAAAAATTAGCAATAAAGCATCAATTTCAGCTGTCATCACAAAAACCATATTTCCTAGAGTTACCTTATTGTTGTTGGAGTTTACCTTTTGTGTGTGGTGTGTGTTGTGAACTGAAATTTTCTTAACTTGCTCTCTTCGAAACACTTTTTTTTTTCGGTTGTGCTGGGTTTTTGTAATACGCACGATTCTTAAATTTTATAGGTACGCTCTTTGACAATTTTGAAGCTTTTGAGGATCACTTTAATGACGATATCAGGATTGAAATAATTGCTAATTTCACCTCCAAAGAACATTAAAGAATGCTACTCTATTGTATGGGCTACAGGGGTGCCTTCTGAAAGAGGGATTGATGTATGTACATAATTAGAGGAAGATCGGTATCGAAGCTTACAAGGCTCATGTAGCCTGTTACTCAGAGAGTTCACATGGAATCAAGAGAGATTAATATTTGGCTAATTTGCTGTCTGGATAGCTTGCCCCGTATTATACACGTTGTCTTCTTGTGTAGGATAATTCCACCTCAAATTGTACTAGCAAACCAGAACTGAACGCGTGCTCTTTAAAGTTAGTACAGTTGTCAATATATCTAATTCCCCTTGGATAACAGATGCTTTGAAGAAGACGTTTGCGATTGCATTTGAGTGAGTAGCAATCTCAAGTATTTGTGTCAAAAAAGTTCGACGCCATGTCTTGAATGATGCATCTTTGCATGATGGTTCGCGAACACGAACCTGTCAAATTGGGGTCTTTGAGATTGATTTGTTAGTAGGTGAAGTGTAGATTGAAAATATATTAGTGGCTCTAACCTAACCCATATACTAGGGTTTACTTTAAGTTTCTCAACAATTAGCTATTCAAACTCAATTAACTTGTGCAATCGAAAAGCTAGAGCACATTGCGATTGTTAATGTGAGTGGATGAACCAAAAGTACCATCTCCAGATTTTTCAAAAGCCGGTTAAATCACCGGAAAATTTTTAGAGACCTTCTATAGATTTTTGTAGTGTAATGCTTTCTTAAAATTCACCGTTACAACAGATACATGAAAGTCAGCGCATTTCAAAGATAATGCAGTAAGTAAAATACTCAAAGTCTTTGGTGACAACTGTGAGCACTACTTTTACAACTTCAATGTCGATTTGCCAACGAAGGAAGCGGATTGGTTAGAGATATTTTTTATCGAGACTTCAGATTTGAGTATAGTCTACTTATGATACCAAATAATAGTTCTGATGTTGATGATTAGAGGAAGAGCTTGGTGGAAGAGCCCTATAGCCTAAGGAGAAAATCCACCAGCATAGGAAGCTTCATGTTTCAACTGTATAGATTCTGTCTCCAATTTCCTGACACTAGTATCCAACTAGATTCAAAATCTTTATACATTATGCTCATCGCTTAGTGCATTAGTTCACGATGAAAGCACTGCTTTAGTGACCAATCGTAGAGACATTTGAGAAAAGTTACTTCAGGAAAACTTTCCCATGCCAGAAACACCTTAGAGTATATCTTTGAGGATAGTTGGAACTTAGTTCACACTATAATCACGATGCAGACAATATCTGATTGATACATGTGAATGTATGTTCTGTTATTGAAGCGAGAATACTTCCAATGCATAAAGATCAGCTCGAAAAAAATAACCATGTTATGATTAAAGTACTCATTACAGTTTTCAAGTTGTTGTTCAGACTCTTTACTATTGTGACATCGATTCTAATAAAATGCACAAACAATTAATTTCCTTTAGCTAATTAGTCTACTATTTGGGATCAGAGTCACGCACAGCATTTGACTAAACTGTAGTGATAAGGGCTGCTATGAAACTTTTCAAGCACTAAACTTATAGGTGTAATAAAATAAGGCCTCCCATCACTTTAATCAAAGGGTACTCACAGACTTTAATTCAGCCTCGGCGTAAAAATCTGGAAGAAGTTAAGATCCCCTGAATCCCAGTCTTGGTCAATTCTGCCGCAACAGAGAAAGGTCTGACAAAAATCATACTAGACCAGCAGGCCAAAAACCTTTAAGAGGAAGTACACCTTGGCTAGCGTTTTTGCTTTCAACTTCAGTGTAATAATCGGATTGTGATGATGGAGAAAACAATTAGGATAATGTCACAGGAAACAAGCGGACTTAGTGGACCTCTGAAGAATTGCAAATTGCAACTGAAAGCTAGAGCACGTAGTTTTGGAAAATTGGTCAAGACTCAAGTCCCACAAGCTGTGCAACGAGAAAATAGTTTAGACGTTCACATACTTTGAAACTAACAATACAATTCGTGCAATTAGAAGACACCGAGCGCACCAAATGTTGCTAGATCACCGGCTTTAACTGAAGATGACGATATTTTGATTCTCAAATATTTATGAAGTAACTAATTCCATGTAATTCCTCAGATTTGCTGCTAGACGCTAGACGTGAGCTGCTGACTCTGTCTTTCTATTTGTAGTGCGACACTTGTAACCACACACGTTTAAATATAATTGCAATTGGGAACTTTTGAGCGCAGGCTAATTGGGATATTTAGTATAGGATACCGACATGGCTATCTCGTCTCCAGGGCTAAAATAAATCGCTTGAATTACATATAATATGACAGCTTTAAAATAGCGCTGCTCAGCAACTTTCATTCCTGTTTCCGAGTTCTACGATTATATAGTCGAGCTCGTCAAAAGTTGATCGTTCTGTTGGAGAAGCTGTGTCCGACTTTAACGCGTAGAGCACTTCAAGTCTGTTGTCAAAGCGCCTGAAATAATAGGCGCGGGAGTTACAAGTTATAACACAGTGCTGTGTAGTGGTAGTGGAAAGTGATCATATACTATTATTGCTGTTCAGCCTGAACATCACTGGATGTCCCAATTGAAAAGATCTCTGATTTCTGAGTCCTGACCGTCAATAAACAGTGCACGTATACGTATACCTAGTGAGCACTGGGGACCATTTCCAACTGCAAGTTGAGATATACACAAGTGACAAAAGCAAATTTTGCCAAAAGACTAACTGCAGAAGAATAATGTTCTTAAAATAGAAGCCAATATCGAATTAATCTAGCGCCATTGAGTAAGGAGTACTCGTCTCTTTGCACCGAAAACAATTGATATTGATCTGTAATGTATTTGATATTTAGTTGGCAGCCAATCTGTTCGAACTACACTAGACTGAACTCTATTTATTTAGATTACTGAACAAAGAGAGATATCCCCGAAGCATTGAGGGAGGAAGTTGAAGCCCCGTTACGAGTATGTAAAGACTTAACTGGTTGTAGATTCAATTTGACGGTCATAAGCTGAAAGAACGGTTGGACAATCAGCTTTCATATGCACATTTCGTATTGTTAGGCGAAATTGCACAAGACAACAATCAAATCTACAACAATGAAAATCTGCGGAATTAATAAGATGTGTAAATCTTCAATGATCAACATAGCAAATCAGGAACTTATAGGCTCCGTGCACCAGGTAGTTCCGCTGTTTTTCTTCTACACATTCATGAATTTTGATTACATTAACAAATTGCTCGTCTTCATTGGCTCCTCTCAGAAGAACCAGAATCCATTGCGAATATGCCTGTAAGATTTCACCAGGTAGGGCACACGTTGCTGCCTCAATTGATAGCTATATTTAGTAGATTCATCTAACTTCACCAACATTTTTGTCAAAAAGGTCATTGTGCCTTGACAGGACTCATGGGTACACCTGAATCATTTGTAACAATTGTTCGTAATGACGTTGGCCTTCTCGTATACTTCAAACAGCTTCTACATAGCTCGGGAAATTAAAAATATAGATACAGACCACGTAAAACATTCACGCGTGGAACATATATATCTTTTGGTCCAGACTCCCGAAAGAAGCTTCGACGTTGTAAGTGTACCTACGTACACGGCCTCAATATGTATGGATTGAGTACGCAATGAAGAATTATACTCGAATAATGTTGTCTAGCTTCTAAACCAATTAACTCACACAGCTAGAGACGATTCAATTGGCGCTTATAGCATTAACAATATGGTACATTGGATCAGGTTAGACAGATGATTAGCCACATCAAGAAAATTATTAAATATATTAAACTGAAATTAAGCTGGCTCGACCAAGTTACAGCCAAGTCATAAAGATATTGAGATATTCAAATATTTGTTATAAATATCATGGATCGAACTGCATGTTGGCCCAATGATCACTAGATCAAATCTGTAAAAAGCTGGTGCTCGCTGTGATCACTGACAACTTTTCATCATGGATCATCATATTGCAAAGAGGGAGATAAAAGTGACGTTTAATATCTGAAAGTAGTCTATAACTCCATACCGCTCGATCAAACTAGTCAACTAGCTGTATGGAAGATAACTAATTGCAAATAATTTATTATATCCAATTAACTGATGTCGTCGACCACAGCTAGATAATTACTTTTCGACAATAGAACGACGTCAACACTCAAGACTCAAGAGCAAGAACTAGTGTACCTATCATGTCTGGCCCAAAGTTTAGGCGGATGAATATCGACTACATGGTTCTTTTTGATCGGAGAGATCAATTATTAGCAGCTTTAAGACACGGGCAGCTCGTCATGAGTGCGGATGGTAAAATTCAGCCTAGTATTTCGAAAGTCTACTCGTTCAAGCGCAATCGCTAATATTCTGAGCAGATATTTCTGTTCCATTTTCTTTTCCAGTGCTCGACTGTTTTGTCTTTGTTCGAGGTGTATAGTAGATTGTTTTTGAACTTTTGTAGTTCAACTTCCCTCCATCTTTTTCTCTTTCAAATGCCTATGCGCTTTAGTGCAAGGTTTCATGCATAATATGCAATTTGTAAGCTGCATTGCATGTTCGTTGAAACCATAAATTTCGACGTGTCACGAAAATTTTCAAGCACATACGTTCTTTGACAAGGTTGTAGGTACAACGTAAAATTGGAGCGAGATAGACCAGTGTTGTGTAGGCTCAAATCTGAGCAGCTTAATTAGGTGACGTAGGCACAAAGATGTCTTACTAATTACATTCCAAACTCCAGTAATTCCACAGAATGGCTGTCTCAACTCTCGAATCTCGATACCACCATTTCCCACTACTTGAAGGGAAGGCTTCGAGAAGGTCGCGTCGTCATCTGTTTTGAACCAAACACATTGTTGTCTTAAAGTGACGTGAATAGTATGTATAAATTACGTGGCATTCTACTCGTCTATCTAGTTATTATTGTACGCGAGAGGATACTGTGATGAAGAAATCGGAAGTTAGAATTACTAGCACTCCCCTGTCCTCCTAGAAGTGAAACCCTTTCACTCAATTGGGGTGGTCAAATTGTAATTGTGATCTATTGTTCTTTTTATTAAATTTCACAGCAGATCTTCAGATAAACACCGTAGGCTATGTTGACGTATCCTTATTCCTTTTAGGTCCTGACTGGCTACTCCTTTGAGTCAAAGGAATATTTTTTTGCTAAATCCCAGCGTTTTGCTAGCTAGTCTCGCTCCTTGTATTTCCAGCAAGTGGTGGCCTCAGCAACGAATTCCAGACTTTTTTTTTCTTTCCCTGATGCAACCCGAAGTTCTGTAAAATTGAGAATTATAAGGGCATAGAAATACATGTACGGAAGTAGAGTGGTAACGTTTTGAACTCGTCAAGGCAAGGAAACAGAAGAACACAGGTCTTTTCATAAGCTTCCTTCCCTTTGTTTTGCAACTGTTGTTGGTTGTGTAATTAGGTGGAAAGATGTTCAGACAAAACGCACTTCGAGACTACAGCAAAAACAGAAATGTACCAATTTGATTCAAAGTTAAATCTTGTGAGAAGATGAAAGACAAACCCAGATCTGAATCATTTTACATACAAAGGATGTGTGAGCTGTGTGTGGTACCGAAGACGAGCCAATGCACCTCTGGCAAGTCCAGGAAAAATATATATAACCCATCATACATCTTCTTTTTAACCTTCATGATCTGTATCTAGGAAACCAGAAACTTTGGAACAAGACACCCACAGTCACAAGCAAATTTCATTTGAGTGAAACACATCATTGAAGTTACCTTATTGTTAAGAACGGATCTTCAGCTTTTTTTGCCCATCTTGAACCCACTCAATTCTTCATCAACCTTATCATTCAAGATATAAAGCAAATTACATCCCCAAACGTTCTTGTCTCTTCAGATATAATTCAATTGACACCCAATCAAAAGGTTAACTTTATTAATCCCCATAGAGATTGACACTCATTGTTGCCTATTAATGTTAGAAGTACAAGACATCCCATTAACGGAACTATAATGCCAAAAGGTAGAAACACCACACAGGTTCAAGACACAACTTTGAACTATGACAGTGAAGCTTCAACAATAAGCAGGAATGAAGATCAAAAAACTCTTAAGGCTGAATCAAATAATGAATCATGTTCTGAAGCTGAACATACTGAGAAATTGCCAATGAATGAAGCACTTGCATTCACTTCAATGATTGATTCAAATATAAATGGAAGATTACAAGATCTATTTCATGATACAAGTTATCGTTTCACTACATCAACAAATCCTCAAAATGTTGGGTCTTATCATACTGCTGCAAATAGATCAAGTGTTGATAATGGATTTCAGAGTGATGGCTTATTTGGTGAATTGAAACCTCCACCTCATCAACAACAAGAGTTTAAACTTCATCCATATTCAAGAGAATCAATTTCAGCACCTTTCCCACAACTTAAACGTCACAGAACAGGCATTACAACATCACATTATAATCAGGATATTTTCACTTCAGATACAGAATCATCACCTGAATTACCTAAACCTTCAAGTTTTGAGTTAAATCATGATAGAAACTCAGCACAATCAACTCCATCCAATTTTAATTTCAATTTCCCTAGTTCAAACCAACCCGCCGTTTTCTTTTCACCTCAATTAAAACATGAATTTGATCCAAATTATTCAGTATCACCAAGTATTAGTGAGAATTGTTCAAATGAATCATCAACACAATCTAATTACTTCCAAAGTCAAAATAGTTATAAGGGAAATCAATCCAGCATCAGCTCCAATTCGAATTCAGCCACATCATCAAAACCATCATATTCTGCATCATCTAATTCATCAGCTCCCCTTTCGATCACTGAGGAAAGAAGTAACTCAAACGATTCTTTAAGAAGTACTTCAGATTCAGACTCAAGATCGGTATCGTCATCAAGAAAGAAGAACAAAAAAGTACAAAACTTGAGAGGCGGTACCTGTAAAATCTGTGAAAAGGTGATTAGAAGAGATATGTCAAGACATATGAGGATTCATGAAGAAGTTAGTCGTTTTAGATGTGTTTATCCAAGAGGGAATTGTGCACACAAGACTGGGTTTTTCAATCGTCAATATGATTTCAAAAAGCATTTATTACATTTCCATTTTGAATTTGATGATGGTGAAGTTAAAAAATTCTATAGTTTGAATGAGAAACTACCACATTGGGGGACTTGTACTTGTGGAGTGAGGTTTACAGGTGGTGATTGGTTAAATAATCATATTTTGACAAAGGATCCACAGAAATTGTGTTCGCATTTGAAAAGGTTGAAGGAATTGGAATCGTCGTCGATTGTTCCTTCAAGGAAGATTTAATGAATTAAGAAAATAGTCACTTTTAGTTTTGGTATTATTAATAAAAAGTGAAAAAAAAGTTGTTAGGTCTATTGTTTGTTACGTTGTTTTTTGCATTACATTTGGGGCTCATGTTATTCTCCAAATTCATGAGCATTGCTTTAAGATCAAAAAAGATCCTTTTGTTCATTACATTGTTTGTTCGTTATTTAGTTTTGATATATTTGTGCTATAAGTCATATCTCATCTTTTGTTCATGGTTCACCCGCCTAAGGTTCACCGTAGGTTTTGTGTTTTCACTACACAGTGGCTGACAAGCTTTAGCATACTCGACCAGTTTGTGAGTCGTAGTTTATAGCTTAATACGATGTAGCTTGTTTTTCTTTCTTTCTTGAATTCGGAATCCTGGTAAATCTGATTGTTCTATGTTTTTCGATCACTATGTTGCTGAACTACACTGAAAGGATCGATCATCAACTAATTGCTGCAAGTACAAGAAGGTGTTGGACAAATGTTAGGTTTGGATTGTTCTTTTTTCTGAATTAGCGTTAATTAATCAAGGATCTATTGGCCAGTTAAAACTTAAGACACAGACTCCTGAAAGCTTTCGAAGATCATCGGGAGTAAAAGGTCGAAGTTGAAAAGTGACTTGTAAGTTGTGGAGCAAAGCTATAGATTTCAGACGATTTTAGCTTTGTTCGTGATGGTGAATACGAGAAAATAACTTGGCTGTCTTTAAACTGTTTTGTCAGCGCCAATGTCCATGAGATATCTAGAGTAGATGGTTAAAACTAGCTTCGAATTACCATATCTGATGTAGCTCACAAGTACTTCATCATTATTTCCCAAAATGTACTATCTTTGGAGGGCTTGTGGATGTCAGAGTTGAATCTGTAGTCAACTTTCCTGGCCGTAGAGAAGCAATTGAACTAATTTGAATCTTGATGAATAGCCTTGTACAATTATTCACTAATAGCAAAGGGGAAAAGCGAGATTCAAGAGAAGGAATATGTGAGTGGCTTAAGTACGACAATCACTTAATGCATTGTGTACCTGGTTCACATTGGTGTTGATCTAGGTTGTTAGAGTTTCCACAGGCCCACACGGGAATTTAAGGAGAGGGCCTCTTGAGAACAACTTGGTCAATCTGGAAGGAGTTTAGAGCAGCTAAACAGCACAAAACTTAGCTTAAAGTTGGTCCCTCCCGCTCCTTTCCTTGCAGTAGATTGTTCATAACAAAGAGATAAAGTGTCGGTGTTGACCAAGTGCAGAAGGTAGAAGTTAAAGTTGCCCTCAGTCTTGGGAGGGACCTTGTTAAAGTTTTGGCGAGTGTCCACCTGCCTACCTGCCTAGCGAGTTGCCAGGAGCCCCGAAGGTGAGATCACCGCCGCTGTTTTGGCTGCCTAGAAGTTAAACAAGTTCTGTTACTGTCCTGTTACAAGTTTAAAGCTTTCTAGTTTAGGCTCAAGCTTCGAATGTAGTCCAACTTGGTACACGTCTAGATCGTTCAGATTAGTAAAGGTTCCAAACAATCCATCGTTGTAGGCTACAACTTTTCCAACTTGTATGATAAATAGCTGAAAAGATGCGATTGCCTAAGCTGGTGCCCCACCGTGGAGCGTTTGGACTTTTAAACTCTACGTAGTTGGTTTGACTTTGTAGATTGGGTTTACACATGTCGTATATTCTTAATGATCGACATGATGTACACCTGACTATTCAAGTCGAGCTTGTTGTACACATTTTAGTGTGTACACTGTAGAGTCGACTCGACCACTCCAGGTACTTTGGACTTTGGTAATTACGTATACAGGGTCGCGATGTAGCCATGATTAATCATTAATCATCCAGTAAGAGACCTCAATAATGCTCAAGGACAAGCTAGAGCAAGTCTCAGTACAACTACAAGAAGAATTTTAATTGAAAGACTAGAATGCGCAGAACATTTCTGTTGAAAACGTTAAGTGTCAAAAACACAATTGTGTTTGTGCACATGTTGTTGGACGCTAAACTCAAAAGTGTCCAGACGCGGTCTATTAATTTTTCAGTCTACATGTTTTGATTCCGTCGAATTCAAACCCTGTCGATCCCTTGACGTTCAGGAAGCTATACAGGTACTGATAGAGTTGGATATTGAAGATTGCATGTCAGGTACCTTGTTAATAAGCATCAGGTTAGCTGTGTAACAGCTTCTAGAGCATCTTTGCTCAAACTTGACAAGCCAATTTACCTTATCCACGGGACGTTTTTCATTCAGCTATAATCAATATGATTCGACTCCGATCATGCAGCAATTCTAGTATGTAAGCTGTGATTAACCATGGTGTTAATGTTATATTACCAGTAAGGTAGAACGAATATGATTCAAGATCACGGGTAATGAATATATGTAATTGATCAACTAATCATATATCAATTAGTTCTGCAGGTTACTTGAAAATGTGGGCTCGAGCTGGAAAATAAATCCATTCTGTATTAAACTAGATTCTGGCGGATCAGTCTGAAAATAATGACACTATAACTTATAAGTAATTTTTTCCAGTATGCTGCCATAATAACCCATGATAATATGGCTAAGTAAAAGACTGATAATAACAGACTACACATGAGCTGAATTCTCGAGTGGTCTTACAGGATCAGGAGCTTCCAAACTTCAAACATTCTTGGTGATCGAAAGACGCTTAGTTACGAAACAACATATTAATGACAAGGATAACAAATTATGAATTATTTGTCATACATTATTGATTGTTCAGCTCTCCTCTAGATGTCCGATAGGTGAGACTTCTTGTCGAAGGTACATCCTCAGATGATTATTTGAAAACCACCTATTACTGATACCACTCTTTTGATAGAGGTCGAACACGTTGTAAATTGTGTTATAGGACCATGAAATTAATTGCATCACTTTTGAGCTCGAAATATACTCCCAAATGTACAAATTATTGAGTACTGCAGTCAAAACATTTCAAATCCCTAGGTAGTACTTATCTAGTTGCGCACAGGCCCACATATATAAGTACTAATTATCGATACCCACAGCTAGTGTTAGTTTTTTCGTATGATTTGCAATTATACCAGTAAGCTTTAAGCCCAGCTCAACATTGTATACATATTATATATAACGCTGGGCCTTGATCTAGTTAGTTCTTTCAGCCAATGCTCGAGACCATGGGATTCATAATTGTTAGCAGCATGAGCTGGTTATAATAATATGTTACTCAAGATTAACATCTCAAGCCGTAGTACGAATATTGTTTATATTGAGAAAACTGGTCAACAGAGTAACTGAGACGTCCATCAGTTTCTGTGTCTATGTTTTATCATAAGATTGTCTTGATCATGAATATTACGCATGGAGATACATTATCGGCAATGTATCGATAGTCATTATACACAGTATTCGTTGGATTAGAGCTGTAACCAGTGACCAATGACCATGCACAGGTAAACCCATACAACATTTAGAATCAAACCTATAAGTTAAGATATTGATAGTATATATTATGAATCATCTATGCCGAATCAGAAAGTGTATCAGCTATATAGCATAATAATCAGTTGATGAAGTCAAAAGAATCGAACATTTTATCTGTACGTAGAGGAATCAGAGCCTAGGCTGTACATGTAGCCTTGGGAATTGAGTCTTGACTCTATGATTCAAGTCTTGAAGCTTCAGTCTTCAGACAGACGCGTGTCATGATTCATCGGTAGCGTAACGTGCTACAGTGTAGTAGATTATACAAGTTGATCCGTGTTTGGGCAACTGCGAAACTTCGATGCATGACAAGCTAGATCCTGCAGTTTTTGAACCACACATGCAGAAGCATACATGTGTGGCACCAGAGAAAAATGACAGCGATGATCATATCTGGGTATCCCGAATCCCGATAACTGAACCCATACAAAGAGGTCCATGATGATGTACAGCTAAATCTCTTTGTTGAACACAATTTTTTTAGCCAAATGACACCTTTTTTCGCTATGCTAATTTTTCGATACCAAACAGTAGTTGTATGTTAAAATTCCTCTCACCAAGCGCGTGAACATGACGTCATGATATGAGCCATCCCTGATCACAGAGTTCAGAAATGCTATACAAATTAGTTCTGTAATGCATTTTTGTGATCAAGTACTCAACAGAAACGTTAAAGCGATATGAATTATACATAATGTACATATAGAGTATGGAAACTTCCAAAAGGCATGAGGAAACAGGATCACAAGGACATTAAAAGTGCTCTTGATGGATTCAAACCGTGTAGGTACCAGGCTAGCTAAGCCTCAACTTGGATCACTAGAGCGTGTTGCCGTACCTGAGTCCTAACCAATTACTTGTAGCATGAAAATTTTTGATATATCTAAATATTATCTCATCTGTCGTCCAAAATCACATATATTGTACAAGATAACTTCAAATATAATCGATAAACCAATCATTGATATTAGATGTTTGGCTCATATAAACCGCGAGTGTAGCCAGCGTAGAACCATTTATACATAATAATGTTAACGTTGAGGTACAGTTCAAACTTCAAAGTACTTCAAACTTCATGTCAGGACCCAGTCTCAGTGTTAAATCAAATATTCGCTGTGCGGTTCAATTTACCGCATGCTTGATCGTATTATTATTATGCTTCTATGTCTTACTATAATGCATGTGAAATGCTTCTAGAATGAATTTCTGCCTCATCGCTTTGCCTTTTAGCTGTTAAAACCTGCTTGTGACGAGATAAATTAAGCTGTACACATAGCCATTTTTTGAGAAGGACATGCTAGGGCGTATAGTGCGACTGGGAAGCTGTGTTGTTGAGAGATTTAAAGCATGCTGCAAGAAGTCTGTATATCACGAGTGCAGAGTTTTTTGAAATGGCATTTCGTTCTGGTTGAAACTTGAGAGTTTTGAGACGGCCTATAAAATAACCAAGAAGTAGGTGTATGAGCTCAGGCGTAGGTCATTGAATTCTGATGTAGCTACCAAATTAAACTATGAACCTCAAAATTCCAAATTCAACACTAAACGTATCACCTAGCTCTTTCATAAATGCAAGCACCATTTATAATATCCTTGTACATGAAAAGTATTTGCTCTCCTGCATTCGATCTCGCTTAGAGCCTTCGACTTGAAACCTTGATGAATATTATGCTCCAATAATGGAAGTTGGCTTGTCAAATTATGAGCAGATCAAAAGCATTAATTCCAATTAAATGGTTATATACGATATCACTTTGCAGGTAATATTGGCCGATACGTTATAACAAATATTAAATATATTTGTAATATTATATGGCCGTGGGTTTCCCTAGCTGCTTTAAAGCTTGCAATATCATTAATCACCAGTTGAGCTAGTAGAAACTGGAGCATCTATTCTTGAAGAATACACGTCCGTGCAGTTCCAGTCAGTGCAAGGCGACTTATATAGCTGTACTAGCCTTAAAACAGCTAGGTAATGGAGCTAGCAAGGTTTACAACTCCTTGAAGGGATCGAGACACTATTTTCCTGTGGGAACTAAGCAGCAGAATACTAATCAAATTACAACGACAACTAATTATTCTAGTATAACCAATTTATTATCAAAACAAACTGATATGTTTTTGATGTAACACTATATAAATATATTGATAAAGTAAAATTAAAGACTGACGTGGATCACTATTGATATTAAACAACAGAACAACAGGACAAATTTAATCAAATCCGTAGGATGATGAATTGAAAGAAATATACTGCAGCTTGAACTGCACAGAAACAGTTGATATTAAAACACAAAGTAAAACATTTAAAAAACAGAAAGTGAACTTTCCAAGTCCCATCAGCTTGTGAAGCACAAGCACCATCAGCTAATCTGCAAAGTTGGAACACTCCAATTGTTAAACAACGTTGAGCTAGATTTGACCAAGACAGGTATAGCTCAATGCCCAACAACTTTTCTATTTTGTTCAACATATTTCCAGTAGATGTGTTTTGTCTTGTTTCTCCAAAATGGACCAGTGTATCTCATGAGCAAAAACGAACCATTACAAAAAAACAAAATACAACCTGATGAAATGAATGCATTCTTGTAACCCATATTGACAACCCAATCAGTTAATCCATAACTACAGGCAAACGACATCAAGTTTCTAATCAGAATGACAACAACCATAGCTTCACAATCTAGTTCATGGTAAGCATCTGAGCAATAAGTAACAGCAGAAATACAGCCAAAGACACCAAGACCTCCCAAAACACCCATGGAAACAACAAGGACCATCCAATGGGCACCATAATGAGCACCAACACCCCAACCAATACTTGCCAAAAACCCTAAGACCATATATACGATAAGAACCCAAAATCTATCCTCTGGTAAAGAAAGACCATTTCTTCTCTTAGCCAATTTGACCTTCAAAAAATCAGATAAATAACCAGAAAGGAAGAAGAAGACAACAGAAAAGATAGTTGGTGAAATGTAGGCTAACCCACACATAGCTGAAGAAAAATGATATGGTGCACCACCAAGAACAGTAGCTTCAGTGGCATTCAACAAATTAAACCAGACCAGTGAAGAGCCATACAAGAAACCACCCCATAGAACAGAAGGGAATCTAGCCATTCTGAAAGGGCCAATGAAATAATGAAGCAGTAGAAACTTTTCTTTAAACCCACCAGTCAATGATAATTTATCTTTGAAAGTTTTTCTTGGTTTTGATTCATAATTTAATTCATCAGAGCTTGAAGCCATATCAACTTCATTATACAAATTTTCATTTGTTTCCTGCATTCTTTCCTCCATTGTTTGATGAGATAAGACAGTTCCAATTCTTTTCTCTTCAGATGTTACGCTAGTGATATTTTCTTCATCTTTACCGATACCCTCAATTGTCATGATATTGATCTTTTTAGAGCCTAATTTACGGTTATAATTGGTTTCTTCCATGAAAAAGAATAGAAACACAAAACAAACAGCACCAAAGATAGAACACATCCACATGACCCATTTCCAGCCAATACCATCACTGATAAAACCAGCAATCATTGGTGCTAAAAAGTTTGATGTTAACAAGGCAACAGCATAAATACCCATACCTTTGGCCCTTTCATGCTCAAAAAAGATATCAGACATTGTGATTTCACCTAATGATTCAATTGGAGCACCAAAGAAACCTTGCAAAATCTTACTACCAATCCATTCACCATTTGATTTACAGTAAGGAGACCACACACAAATTAAGGTGGTAGCAAACATACTTAACAGGTAGGTTGGTCTTTTACCATATTGTAATGCTAAAGGTTGAAAAATCAAACAACCAAGACCAAAGAATAAAAACATATAACCAGTACCTGCATTCAATTGACCTAAAGTGATATCAGTTTCAGCAGCAATGTTAGTCAAGACTGAGTAAATAGCAGCAGATGGAACACCAACACCAAAGGTATAAACGACGTTACAGAAAACAGCTAGCCATTTTCTTCTAGCACTCCAATTCAATGGATCATCTGGGTCTTCTGAGGGCGTTGGAATTAAAACAATTTGTGAATCACCTTTTGAATGGTGAGCATTCATATGACCATCTAAATCAACCAAGTGTGTTGTACCTGGGACAGCTTTGTAGTTGATAGCACCGTGACCCATATTCGATGTATTTTAGCTAAGTGTTTGAACCTAGTTGAAACAATGATAATGGTGGCAAAGATGGATTGTCATAGCTCTATATATACCACCACAAAGAATCCTAGATAGCAGAAGCACACTGATGTAGCTTGCCATAATAACTAAACCTCCATGTACCTAATGTTGATCAATTACATCGTAGCATCCTAATCCTTTGTAATCTAATCGTTATCTAGTGGAATGCATCATCAACATCATCGAGTTCCGGTTTTTCTCTCTTTTGAGCTGCGGCTGGCCAAATCTGTTGATAAAAGACACAATTGCCAAATGTAATGGATAATGGATTGATAAGGAGTGCGTACAATCTGTCAGTTGGCACATTTATGATCCAGGGCTTGATGAGTTGATTGTTCACGTTCCGCTTTTTGATTAAGTGGACGCCAAAATCGACGAAAACTACCGAAAACAGAACCAGGAGCGCTTAGTCCCGATTAGGAAGGCGCTTAAAATTAAAGCCATCACAAGAACTACAGTATACCAATTACAATTCATTTTAATATTATTGCTCCGTTAGATCCTGAATAAGTCAAGGTGTAACCGGTAAAATGGTTGTGTATTATTATGTATTGTGTTCAAAGCACACAGCATTCTATAAAATCACTTTACCCACAACTCTTCTATCAAATAATATATCAAGACCTCTGGTTTTGATCTCTTCACATTCTGGGCTTTTGCCCCAAGCGATATCTAGAGCATCCAAAACTGTGTAAACATGACGACCATGTGTTAAGGCACCAGCTTCTAATAGGGTCTTCGTTAAAAGTTCCCGTTGTTCTTCATTTTGAGTAGCAGCACCAGCTATAAGAAGTGGCCAACAAGAAATAATCTTCACCCTAGAATCTGACGAGATTGATTTCAGTTTGATAAAGATAGAAGATAAATCCTTCTGGACAACCGAATCCATTTCTGTTATTTCTGGTATGATTAATTTTCTTAATAATATCTTTGAAACTTTGGCAACGATTTCAGCCATCAAAACACTATCTCTTAAGTTCTTATACTTGGTAGAATTAACACGAATCTCTGATGGAATCATTGGTGATGGATAAAAACTTGCAAGATCATAGAGCTTCTTTGCAGTCACAAGCATATTTGGATCATTCAAGTTTCTCAGTAGATATGAAGCCTTAGCAGCCAACTCATAAGCATCTAAAGAAGCACCAAATACAGGGTTATTCATCCAAGCAACATCACAGCTGAATAACGGTGTTTTCAAGAATTGACGAAGGTCTCTAAATACTTCAAACGGATTTGGTAAAAGATAAAATTGTTCAGAAACCAAAAGGGCGATACTATAATTGAATAGAAAACTTTCAACAAACATTTTTTCAAAATGTGATTCAAAAACTTCCGTGCTGAAATCATCCAGATCTATCAGGCTATTCTCAATTTCCATTTGTAGTGCATCATTCTTGAAGTCCTTCAAATAATGGGCCAAGTCTGATTGAGGTTCTAAACTTGAAATCTTATCACTTTTTTGTATCTTCTTACCATACCTTGTTGTTTCAATGAACCGTCTTCTAATGATTTTATATGAGTTCACTAGATTAGCAATACAATTATCAGATGAACAACTCCAAGTGATTTTAGAGCACAAGCACATCAATTGAAACGCAGCACCAACCCAGCTCTCCTTATAAGCAGATTCATTATTATTCACATAAGTTTCCAAGGCATTAAAAGCTGTATAATATTTTTGAGTTGACAATCCAGTTAATTCAGGGTTTTGCCACGCCAGAAAAGCACAACCACAGGCAATGGCAACTTTTTGAGAAATTGGATTATTGTTGACAAACGGTGAAAAAGTTGCAGTGGTTGTTAGCAAAGGATGTGTATACTGAGGACCAACAGATTCAATAAAACCATTTGTACAAGCTAAGATGAACCTTTGATCAGGATCAGAACTAAATGGACTGAGAAAAGTTATTTTATATGAAGGAGTTGATGAATTTTCAAGATCTAGAGAATAGGAGGTTGAATCTGGAGACCCAAAGTCATCTATGAGCTCTGCGACATTGGAATAAGGAATCATTGTCATTCCTTTAGGTGACTCAAAAAAATCAATGGAGCTGACTGGTGATCTTTCTTCGACTTCTGGTGTCTTTGAGTCAAACTCAACAGGAATGAATATTGTGCCCTCATTGGGGTTCATCTCAGATGACGTAGAGCTTGGAACTCTGTATCCTTTTGGTAATTTATCACCACCATCTTTGGGCCAAACACAGCTAATACATTTGTTGATACATGAAGAACAAGAAGGCTTCATCTCGTCACATTTCTTCTTTCTTTTTCGACCTAAAGACCTGTTAGATGACAGATAACATATTGTTTTCCGAATCTACTCACAGTTGAAGCACCCATTTCTTGATCTCTTTGTTCTGGCTCTATTTGGCTTTAAAGTTCCCAGACCTTCAAACTTGATGACTTGCTCATAGGGATGTTTTACCATTTTATAAACAATAGCGGCCTATCAATATGGTGGTATTCCAATGGTGTACTATGTGTAAATGTGTCAATTGGGGACGTAATACTAGCTCCTTCAAAAAAAGAATTGTCATCATCTTTGATATTTTAGCCACCGATTCAGCCATTCAAAGTCAACAAAGAATTTTTCTGATAAGCTCGTTCACTCCAAAAATGGCAGACCATGAAATTTTGCAAATTCGAGGAAAATCGCGAATCTTCTTGAATCGGGTTTGTAGCAAAAGGGACAACGAACAAGTTACATAGGACGTTTTGCTCTAGAAAAGCTTGATTTGTTATCAATATCTGGATAAAGCTGAGTTTAAGTGGACGAGATGATTCATAGAAAATAGAGACCAAATGCGATAAAGGATTAGTTTCTTTTGCTGTATTTACAATAGGGGATAGATTGATATTATTTAAAACCTCTATTGTCCAGATACAGAGAGGCCCCTTCACCTTCAATGATGTATCTAACAATTCAAGATAAACTATGAGTGCAGCTAAGTTATTTATTGATCATTCAAAGGAGCCATTACTCGCACCAGCGACCTCCTATAAGCCAAATCTGGAACTATATGAAAAAGAATGGGTCCCAAAGATCAAAGCTTACAATGAAAAGCTCTCAAATGCAATCCCAAATGAATATCTTGCCCCAAGTACTTTATTACCAGATGATTTAGATGCTACTCCTTTCAATGCCATGGGTATTCCAGCAACAGTTCTAGATGAAAAAACTCTTACCATCACTGAATTAAACGCTTCAGAAATTGCCCAAAAAATCGCTGCTAGAGAATTGACTGCTTCAGAAACCATTTTGGCATTCATCAAAAGAGCTACACTTGCCCATCAATTAACCCATTGTGCCATGGAGATTTTATTTGATTACGGTATTAAAAGAGCTAAGGTGTTGGATGAATATCAGGCAAAAACAGGACACACAGTTGGTCCACTTCATGGTGTTCCACTATCCTTGAAAGAACATTATGAATTTGAAGGTCATGTTACACATGCTGGCTATGTGTCATTGCTAGACAATGTTTCGGAGAAATTTTCATTGACTAGTCAACTATTGTATGATTCTGGTGCTGTATTTTACATTAGAACTACTGAACCACAATCGTTAATGCATATGGATAGCATCAACAACATCACAGGTCGTGGCAGAAACCCACACAAGACAACAATGAGTCCTGGTGGATCATCATCTGGTGAAGGTGCAATCATTGCAATGAAAGGTTCACCATTGGGACTTGGTTCTGATATTGGAGGTTCCATTAGAGGTCCTGCTGCTTTTAATGGGGTTTGGGGCTTGAAACCTTCATCAAAGAGAATCTCTTTAATTGGTTCAATTTCAGCTCGAGAAGATACAACTTGTGAAGCCATCCAAGCGGTGTTGGGTCCTTTGAGTAATTCCGTTGATGATCTGGAATTGTTTATGAAATCCTATTTAGCTCAAAGGCCTTGGGAATTAGACCAACAATTGTTTCCACTCCCATGGAAAGAAGTTCCAACCCCAAGAGCATCTGATTTAACTATTGGCTTTGTCTATGATGATGGGGTTGTTAAACCACATCCACCCGTTATACGTGCATTGAAAGAAGTCGAAGAAAAACTTAAGGCTGCTGGTGTCCACATCATTAAATGGGACCCACATAGAGTTTATGATGCTGTTGAAATTGCTAATGCTGCCTATTCATCTGATGGTAATTCTGCTGTCTTTGATAGATTAGAAAAATCTGGTGAACCATTAGCTCCATTGAGTGAACATTACTTACAAATTGGTAAAGGTGATAAAGGTTTGAGTTCTATGGAACTGCAATATTACACTCATTCTAGAGAGGTTTTGCGTCAAGAGTATTTGAAGCTGTTCAATAAAAGAGGAGTTGATTTTTTGATTACACCAACATATGTTGGTACTGCTCCAAAACCTTCTACTATCAAGTATTGGGGTTACACTTCATTGTGGAACATTATGGATCAAACTTGTGTTACATTCCCCTCTGGTGTCTTTGGTGATAAATCAACTGATTTCAAAGATGAAAGCTACAAAGCACGTAATGTTTACGAAGAACATGAATATGGGATCTATGATCCAGAAGCTTCTGATGGGTTACCAGTTGGGCTAACTCTTGTTGGTAGACGTTACACTGAAGAAGCTGCTTTGAAAGCCGCCAAGGTTGTATCTGATATCATATCCGTTTGATGAGGATAATTGGATGCCAATTTGGTCCGAATGTATAGCTAATAGATATTCTATATTAAACATCAGTTTCGATTGGAGTCAGTAAAACATCATAAGCGAGACACTAAACGAGTAATAGTAGTATTTCTATCAATGCCTTTATTTTCTGCTTGACAATTGCACATGTCACTTTGAACCATGAAGAGATATTAGCATAAATCAAAGCCTGCAAACCGAATCACCACTAATGCTATAAGCGACACCTCAAAAGGGATAATATTCAGATAAAGCGATCAAGTTTGTTGAGATAAGGCATCACCTCAAAACCGGGAGTCGCAACTCCCAATAAGGAAGTTCACAAGCTAAGCGCCGGTCGAAAATTTGAAAAGCCTTTTGAGTTTTGAGTTCACTTCACCAGCTCAAGATAATCAAATACTTTAGATATCTATAAACGTCGCTTGTGGAGAAATGTACTAATTTGGACCAGTATTCAATATGCTTATCAAATTTTATTCATCCAAAATCATATAAAGACGGGGAAGAACCCTGATGCTTAGGCTCAATGGTTTGAAATGATTCATAATTCAACATACATCCATCATCAATCATGTCAGCTGCTAAAGTATTTATTGACCACGCTAAAGAACCATTATTCAGTGAGCCATCTATTTACAAAAGTGATCCAGAACGTTACGAGAGAGATTGGGTTCCAAAGATCAAAGCTTATAATGATGCTTTGAAAAGTGCCATGCCAAAGGAATATCTTGCTCCTTCAACTTTATATCCAGAAGATTTAGATGCCGCTCCTTTTAATGCTACCACTGTCCCAGAGAAAGTGTTGGATGAGAAATCACTACAAATTACAAATATGACTGCTACCGAATTGGCTAAAAAAATCGCTGCTAAAGAATTGACTGCCTCAGAAACCATTTTGGCCTTCATCAAAAGAGCAACAATTGCCCATCAATTGACCCATTGTGCTATGGAAATATTATTTGAAGACGGTATCAAAAGAGCTAAGGAATTGGATGAATATCAAGAAAAATACGGTAAAACTATCGGTGCGTTACATGGTGTTCCAGTTTCTTTGAAAGAACATTATGATTACGCTGGCCGTGTCACTCATGGTGGATTTGTTGGTTGCCTTGATAGAGTTAGTGAAAAGTTCTCTGTAACTAATCAAATCTTGTATGATCTAGGTGCTGTTTTCTACATTAGAACTACTGAACCTCAATGTTTGATGCATTTGGATAGTATTAATAACATCACTGGTCGTGGTAGAAATGCTTACAAAACTTCACTATCTCCAGGTGGTTCCTCTTCTGGTGAAGGTGCTTTGATTGGTATGAGAGGTTCTCCATTAGGTGTTGGCTCTGATATTGGTGGCTCAATCCGTTCACCAGCTGCTTTCAATGGTATTTGGGGTTTGAAACCATCAACTAAAAGATTATCAATGGCTCGTTGTTTTGCTCCTTTTGAAGATACTTATCCTGAAACTATTGGTTGTGCTTTAGGTCCAATGAGTAATTCTGTTGATGATTTAGAATTATTCATGAAGAATTATGTTGCTGCAGAACCATGGAAATATGATCAAGATAGTCTTCCAATTCCTTGGAGAGAAGTCCCAACTCCGAAACCATCAGATTTAACCATTGGTATTGTTTATGATGATGGTGTTGTCAAACCTCATCCTCCAGTTCTACGTGCCTTGAAGAAAGTTGAAGAAGATTTGAAAGCTGCTGGTGTTAATGTCATCACTTGGGATTCTCATAAAGTTTATGAAGCTGCTGAAGTTGCTAATGCCGCTTACACTTGTGATGGTAATTATTCTGCCTTCAATAGATTATCTGCTTCTGGTGAACCTTTAGCCCCATTAACTGAACATTATTTAACTTTTGGTAAAGGTGATAAAGGTTTGAAAACCTTAGAGTTACAATTTTACACACATACAAGGGAAGTTCTACGTCAAGAATACCTAGATTTATTTAACGAAAGAGGCGTGGATTTTATTATTGCTCCAACTTACGTTGGTACTGCTCCAAAGACTTCAGAAATTAAATATTGGGGTTATACTTCATTATGGAACATTTTGGATGCTACTTGTGTTACTTTCCCAACTGGTGTCTTTGGTGATAAATCAATTGATTTGAAAGATGAATCATACAAACCTCGTAATGAGTATGAAGCTTATGAGTATGGTATCTATGATCCAGAAGCTTCTGATGGTATGCCAGTTGGTCTGACCTTGGCTGGTAGACGTTATTGTGAGGAAGAAGCTCTCAAAGCTTCTAAGGTCATTGCAGATATTTTGAAAGTTTAAGTCTGGTACTTGCCTTTTATAAATATTTCAGCTTTGTGTAACTGAATATAAAACTTTGTTTATAGTTGTATTTGTGTAGTCTGCCAGTTTTTGCCGTGCCTCCAATCGCGAAATCTTGAAGTGCGGAAATATAAACAGGCAAGACTACAGATTTTAACGTACTATTATTTTAGCGGACTATCCTTTAATCATGAGCCAAGTGACAAATACACCGCTGCCACCTTATACTCCAGTGAACAAACCAGTTGTCCAATACATTGAGTATAATGGTGCCAATTTTTACACTGAGCTATGGGTAGGATTCACTGTTTTTTGTTGATGTAACGGAACATATTTACTAATTGCTATTCATCTAGTCAGTTCCAAAAGACACAGAATTGAAGGGAAGAATTGTTTGGGTTCATGGGTTTTCAGAGTTCTCCAAAGTCTATGTTCAATTGTTTGATGATTTAAGTCATTCAGGATATGAAGTGTTTTTCTTCGATCAAAGAGGTGCTGGGTTAACATCCCCTGGAAAATTAAAAGGTATTACCGACGATTTCCATGCTTTTGATGATTTAGACTTTTTCTTGAAAAAGAATATTGATGAATTGGAGGCTCGTGAGAACAAAAAGTTATTCTTAATGGGGCACTCTATGGGTGGTGGGATCTCTTTGAACTATGGGATCAAAGGTAAATACAAAGATCATTTGACTGGTATCGCGGTCTCTGGCCCATTAGTTTTATTACATGTGAGTATATGAACTAGAATCTTCAAATGCTGCTACTAACATCATACAGCCAAGCACAAGACCTGGTAGAGTTTTGTACGGGATTTCATACAGTGCTATGAAGCTTATCCCAAATTATAGAATGGACACCAAGTTGAAGGAAGAATATATCACAAGTGTGCCAGAATGGAGAAAATTCTTATCAAATGAGCCAGTTACACCACTATTGGGATCTTTGAAAAACATTTATGAGTTTTTGAAAAGGTGAGTATGATTTTGATCCAGCTTCAATTCCTTGCTAACAAATCGATAGAGGTGAGAGATTGCTCGAACCAGACTACGCCAAGGGCTTTTCAGTTCCACTATTAATCCTTCACGGAGATGAAGACCACATCAATGATGTTCACGCCTCTGAAAAGTTTGTTGATTTGGTTCCTATCAAAGATAAGACGTTCATACCGGTCAAGGGGGCTCTTCATTGTATCTTTATAGAAAGGGAAGAAATCTATAAGGAAGCCAAAAGAGACCTATTGGACTGGCTTGCAAAGCATTGAACTAGTATATGTGTGTAACTGGTGCTATAATTTTATGATTGATGGATTGAAGATCTCGCTAGTGTTAATTTTTTTTCAAGTCCAGCGACCCAATAGTGGACGAAAACGTGCTTCGGGATTACCATCTTGTTGTCACAAGAGATATCCTCTTTGTCGACAATTGTTCTGATTTGTTTCCCCAAATTGAGATAACATGTAAGAACCCTTGATCTCGAATGCTCCTGTCTTCCTTTGCTTTTCAAATCTGTCGTTGTTTTTGTCACCTTTCAACTTTTGTCGTAATTTCATCTGCATTCCAAAGTTTGAAGGCCGTTACGAAAAATTAATCGATAACGGTTTTTTGGCTGTTTGCCAACAGACACGCCTGTTGAGTAACAAGTATTGATGTACAGAATCCAAGAAAACGCACTCATGAAAGAAATTTCTCTATTGTACTCACTCACTTTGAAGAGAAGTGAAGAAGTTGTGAAGATATGATTGAAGAAATGAGTTCACTGGGTATAATGTTGGGTAAGGAACCCAGACTTGTTGATGTTATCAAGGAACAGTATGCTTATAGGGCACAAGTATGGGTATGTATGAAATGTTTCTTTTCTAATACTTCTACTGACACCAGACAGCCTATTGACGACAGTCAGACGTATAAAGGAAGAGTCTTAGTGATGCATAATCCTGGTGAGGACGTAACTCTGTATCACAGGCTAATAGATGTTTTGGGGAAGCATGGGTATGAAACCTTCTATTGTCAAATGACCAACGTTTATGAAAGCAGCTTGGACATCTATAATGAGATGAGTCGAATCTTGGACCTCTGTATCAATGATATAGATTCACAAAGCTATGTTAAAAGTCACAAACTCCATTTAATTGGTCATTTCATTGGAGGGTCTAGAATTCTCAACTATTGCGTCAAAGGGAAATTCAAGCACAGGATCAAAAGTATCATTTCAATTAATCCATTCCTATCAGCATGTCCTGAATTTGCCAGCTTAATTTCACAAACAACTACACCATTTCTTGCTCTTGTTCTTCCCAAATCTAAAACATCTGCACTTCCAATCAAGTATGAACATTTGACCTCTGATAGACGATGGTTGTCTTATCTTCAGTCCAAAAAGTTCAACTTCTCCACAATCACTGCAAATTACCTTTATGAAATCCAACATATAAGTCATGTACTACAAAACAAGAGAAAATTCAATGATTTTGCGGTTCATAACGTCTTATTAATTCATTCAAAAAAAGATCCAGTATCCACAGTCAAAGGTACTGAATATTTTGCAAAGTATTGTCCAGCTGAAAATATCAGATTGTTGGAGTACGAAAAGGGACTCAACAACTTATTCATCGAAACAGATGATGTATTTGACAAACTGAGTGATGATCTCATAACTTGGTTAAATGAAAATTGAGCTGGTTCATGCCTGTTTGTATAGCTCGTTTAATGTCATGCCTGGCCCTTCCCAACCATATATGAAATTGCCAAAATTATTGACTTTAATTAACCTTCTTGATACTTTGAAATCAAACATATTTTTGGATTTTAAGATTTTTTGAAATTTTTGGTAGATTTCTGGAGATTTGATATAAATCAATTCCAATTCATGCATCTCTAGGAAATTAAAAACTTCCAAATTTGAAACGAAGGATATTCTCAAGAATTGATCTTCATTTCGACTTTTTCTAATTGATCCACTTTTCACAGTGATTGTTATAGGGTTCAACACTGGTGGTTTATTGATATCATATTTGATACATACTTGATTCATTAATGGCTCAATTTCAACGACAGCACCTGAAAATTCCAAGACTTTTCCATCTATAGTCTTTTGTTTGTTCCATCTCTCTATGAAATTTGACTCCTCTCTCTCTTTCGGATCTTGATATGTTGATTTTATTTGAGTATGAGGCACTTGTGTTTGTGGATCTTGACGAATAGGCGATTCTATATCATAATCCCTTCGATGGATAGTGTCTTCGGGGAGATCAGCCACTGAGGATAATTTGACAGGAGGAGCAGAAGGACTAGTTGGAGCATCACCAGCATATGGGGCAGCTAGATCATATAATGTCTCACGGTTATTTCTGATATTTTGAGCTCCTGATTTGGAGGCCGGAGAACTTCCCAAATCTTCTTCAGTAATTTCACTACCAGGACCTGTTATATAGTTTCTTATGCTTGTGGGAGGTATTGTCTTCTCAAAATTCTGTAGATTCCCAAAAACAAAAGAAGGTGGTAAAGTCTTGATTGTGTGTCTAAACACAGGCAACGATAGATCAACATTTCCTATTGTGAGATCTAAGAGAGTCATTGATTTGACAAGACCTTCTAGAACACCATTAAACATCTTGAATTTAACCTGAACTTTAACATAAACTGCATCGCTCAGGACATTTGTCCAACCTTCACCGATTCTTAATTCTTTACCTCTCAAGGTCTTGTAGGAGTTCACAAAGGGTAATAATTTGTTTTCATATATACCTAATTGAATTATTTGGTCCAATGGGATCCGCTCATCATAGGTCCTGATGTAATTTTCTCTTGTATAGTCTGTTTCAATCAACCTGTTTGCTGTGAAGTCCGTAACGCCCAGTCTTGAAGGTGTTCCAATTTTGGCGGATACAACCATACACACCAACTCCCCAAAATAATAGCCATTTGGCTCTGAAAGACTGGCGATATTCTTCAACAACCCATAATCAACCATACTTTGTAGGTTTGATCTAGCTCGGTTCGTGTTGTTGTGTTTACTTGACGCGTCTTCTCTCTTTAAAAAATTGTGTTGATGTAGTGTGTCTACCGTGGTTTTTTCTCTTGAAATAAACAATAACACATCAACAAGATTCACGGAACAATAACCTTTCACAGCTGCAAACTAAGTCTCAAAATGAAGGTCCATGACATCAAGGATATCCAGGACCTTCGGTCTGTGAGATTGACCCGTCTTAAGGAACAAGCTGATAAAGTTATTGTCAAATTGACAATGATTATTGTGACTGCCCAATTTGGCGATAAACCTGTTTTAGAGCTGACAGATTTCACATCACTATACAAGAAAGGATACCATTCGTTCCCTGTGAAATCAGGATCAGACGCTGCACAGCATTTCAAGGAGTTGAAAAAAGTCTATAAGATAGAAGAAGACCCCTCGAAGAAGAAAGTAAGAGGTGATACAAAGACACACTTTCTTGATAATGGTTATTTCGTGTTGGTTCATGTAACCGCTGAGGCTTATAACGGTACCACTGCAGCTGACTTCATTATGACCGGCTTCAAGATTTTGAATGAAGGACCTTCAATGATCAAAGGGTTAAGTCTCATACAACAAGTTAAAGTTACCTCATTGATCAAGGCCATTGAAAGCCGGTATTCACTCAATAATTCCAAAAATAAAGAAGAACTGAAGAAGATAATTGAAATAATAAAACCATCATCATCAACAGCATCTTTTGAAACGCCAAACAAAAGACAAAAGATAGACAAAACTTCTCAAGAGAGTAATAGCAGTAATGGAACAGCTCAAGAACTAACACCACCAGAGAATATTGATCCTTCGCCATTTCCTTCAAACCCACTATTCATACCACCACCAAACTCTATGGGGAGCCAGCTTCCACTAACCCAAATCTCTGATGATTTTTCTTATAGTCAAGATGACATTGAAAAAAGTGAAGCTTCATTATGTGTTACTGATAATGAACAGAGTGAAAGTCAGGTTCAAGTGGAACAGACACAAATAGATATTGTCGAAGTTGAGGTTAAACATGAAATGGTTGAAGAGAATGGAACAGATGAATCTGTGGTCCATGAAGAGGTTCCCGAAACGGAGGCTCCTCAAGAAGAAACTGAAACAGAGAAACAAGCAGAGGTAGATGAAGATGAAGATGAGGAGGAGGATGATGAGGATGATCCATTAACTGCCATTGCATCTGCTTTTAAAGAAGGTAATTATCTAACTGAAGGGGGTGCGGTTGTTTTTCATGGCTATATACTCGGTTCAGAACCTTTAAATTTTCAAATCATTGGTAAACCATTCAATAGCACAACTATCAACACAACTGGGTTCAGACTTTTGTTAACAAATTTCCCTCCAAATATGCTGAGAAATATGAAAATTAATGAAAACTGTATTGCTGTTGAATTTTCATCAAGAGATCAAATACTGTCTTTCTTTGGTTATGATAATATTGAAGACGCTTATAAAGATCAAGACAAGATTCAAAAAAAATTAGAGGCTTTATTGAATAGAAGAGACAAGATGAGTTTCACTATCGAAAGAAAGTTTTATGGGATGAGTAAAGGAAAGAAACTAGTGTTTGAGCTGACTGATACGATTGATTACTTATTAGATCAGTAATCAAGTAATCAATACATTTTAATTTAATATGTGACGCGCGTAGCAAAGTTTTATGTGTTCTGTCATCCGCTCCGGTTAAATAAAAACAACAACAAAAAAAAATTGTGAACCAGCTTATAATAAACCCTCTCTAGATAGGTTAATAACAACAAACGCCAACAATGCCCCCTAAAAGTGAGTATCAACACTACATTCAAGCTTTTTTTATCTCAATGAACTAACCAGATCACTCAAGAAACGCCCAAGATCCCAAAGTTTCCTAAAAAATCAAGTCCAAGCCCTTCAGCGCCAACACTAATCACAGCAAATGATTATTTAGACCATGGAGTTGAAGAAGAAGAATCAGGAGATCGTTGGATAATATCAGATCTTTCCAAGTCTTTAAGATTTTATCAAAGGGCATATGAAAACTACATAGAGGCTATCAATAAGGATTCGACACTAGTTGACGCTTATTATAATGCGAATAGATTACTTTATCATGTTTGGGAAGTTTATAATACTGTTCCACCAAGTCATTTGAAGAATGTTGACGGATGCGATGTTGTAAAGTATTCCTTGCGGGAAATAAAGGACAAGCATGAGTTTGTTGTTAATAAGTTTGATGAAGCTGGATTGACATGGGAGATGTATTATAATTTGATTTTGATTAATACGGAATTGATAGAGAATGAAGATGTGGTTGGCATCGATGCTGTTTTGAAATCTTGTGAGGATGCTACTGTTTTAATGGGAAAGGTGCTGGATTATCAATTGATTGAATTGGATTCATTTTTGAAAAGATTGGAAAATCCAGAATATGAAGAAGAAGGTAAAGAGGACGAGAATGAAGATAATTTTGATGTTGTTGAGCAGATAACACCGAGTGTTGTGCTCGACTCTATTATCACTGGTGCCAAATTCGTCCAAGCATCTTATGAATTCTGTGATAACTACATACAAATCAATGCATTGAAGAATTTTTTCCAAAGCTCAGGGTTTGAGGCAAGATTACAGCAAGTTCTACAATTGTTACTAAGTAAATTTACTGTTGAGAATAATGCTCAAGATGAATTCAACTTGAATTTCAAGAATGAAGAGATTGAAAGTGTTAAACTGGTTAATCATTCAATAAGTGCATTTTTTATTAATGATTTCGAGCAATTAGTTAACCATTGGAAAACTCTAGGAAATGAACTAGATAAAAGTCCCTCTAGATTTATGGCTGAAGCTGATTGTTTCCAAAGTTTTAAAGATCGTATTGATTCAATAACATCTGAACAGCAATGGGTATTGATCAATCATATAAATGCAAATTTGAAAAAGGCACAAGAATTGGTTAAGGAAGAACTAACAATTCATATACAAGACAAGACAAATGAGGTTTCATCAAAAGTTTCCAAAATTATTGAGATCTTATTATCAAGAGCAGATAATGAATTATTGAGAAGTTCATTGCAAGATCTTGAATCCTCTGCTAAGAATCGTGATGTGTTGCGTCAAAATACGGTCAATTTATTGAAAAGTGGATTGAATATGGGTAATACAAATTGTGGGTTGAGAGAAACGATCAGTGATAAATTGAAAAGAGAGAAATTGAGAAGAGAATGTGTCGTAAGATTGGTTGTTCTAACAAAAGAGCAATTCACAGAACAAGATTTGATTAGAAACCTTGGGATGGATCATTATATGAAAGAGGTTGATGATCTAAAGAACAATGAATTGTATAGAGCTTACTTTACATAGAGGATAGAATGGCTCATAAATTGGTGAGGCTCGAGGTCATCGGGTGGTAGAAGTGGATCAGTCACAACTAGCTATATATTTAGTATGTACTATTGTTTTCCAGAACAAAATAGCCTCAGATACCCGAGGTAACGGGTAAAAATATCTCGAGATTAATCCATATAAGCTTTCCTCTTTTTTCATATGATTCTATTCGTCAAATCGTCATGATCGGATTCATGAAGATCTCTAAAATTATTAGCAGACTTGTACAAGTTTTTTAGCAGCGACTGTGCCCGTACAGACCGACTACCTATTAGACTTCCCAAAAGAGTAGTAACGAGGGCTCTTTATCTTCATCGATCCTCGGGTCTTTTCGTGCCTGATTCCTGAAAACTACATACAGTGAAGAACCAAGATACCACATCAACAGATACAAACCAAAATTATTATTGATGGAACGTTAGGATTAATACGTTAGCTATGCATCGAGTAGGCCATCTTATATATTAAGCTCAAGGTTGAAAGGTCCTGGTTGACGTAATTTGGCTAAATTTCATATTTGGTTTTCCTAATCGCTGGAAATAGGGGAATCGATATTTTTTGTAACTGGTCGTCCGTGGATCGAGATTATCTAATTGGTGTGGGAATCTGGATCCACGCGAATGAGTCCTCTATAAAACAACACACATTTGCTATGAAACAGACGAAGCAACTGTCACGTCGTTCTGATACTTATACTCGTGATATTCTTTCAACAACTATATACCACTAACTAGTGATCCATACTGCTATTCATTCTTATCAGTGTTGATGAACTCCAAGATTTTGAACTGATTGTCCCACACTAGAATTATTATCACAGAACTTTATGAACCCAGAATTACAATCATGACTTCTACCATCAACAACAACTTCAAAAACAGTCTAGTTTTCCCAGAAAGAAGCAGTAACATTGAGCTCAAGCCTACACCCATGTCGTCCTCATCGTCTTCAGCTTCTTCTACAACATCGCTTTCGCTGCTGTCGTCAGCACGTTCCAAAGATTCAAGCTCGGCGGTTGCTCCTCCACACATTAGATACCAAACTTCACCACTTTCCAACATGAGCTCGATCGAATACCAACAACAACATCAACAAGAATCAAACAATAACATCACCAATACCAACACTGCTGGAGATTCTTCATCTCAAATGGACTACTTGGAATACCTTCAAAAACAGCCTTGTCATCCACCAACATATTCCGCGGCTAATGCGTCACGGAACATCAGGTATCCAATCTATGAACAAGTTGAAACTCATCAGCTACCAGATTACTCACCTTCAATCAACCAAGTGGCTCTAGTATTGAGAAAAGTTGAATGGTTATCACCTTATGAACCTTCACCTATCAGAAGTTGGAAGAATTTGGTTATGGAGTTGAACTCCACACAGTTGAATTTTTACTCAATAGATAACTTACCATTATTACATCGTGTGAAGAAGTCTAAAACAAAGAAGTATTATGAGTTCACTCCAATAGAGAATGATTTCATTTTGAATGCTGTCAAGAAAAAACCTGGTGATTATTTAACAACAAAGAGATTAGTCAAGTCATATTCTTTACAATTTGCTAAGTTTGGTTTACCTGTTGATTACAAGAAAAAGAATAATTGCTTAAGGGTTCGTGCGGAAACTGAACAATTTATCATTCATTTCCATTCTATTGATGAGATGATTAGTTGGTCGAATTACTTATCTGTTGGTATCAATGTTAGTTTGGATATTGACACAAGACCAATGCCTTCTGATCGTACAGTTCCAAGAAGAAGAAGAAATAGAAGATGCTCAAGCTCTAATAGAAATAGAAGCTATTCTGATTCAGAATTGATTAGAAGAGAGTTGACACCAACTAAAAGAAGATCAAGTTTTTCAGGTGAATCTTCAATAAGGAATAAAATTTCAAGAATATTCAACAGGAAGAAGTCAAATCCATCAAGTTTTGATATTGAAGAATTGTCTAAATCTTTCCAACAATCATCACTAACATCATCTACTACACCATCTTCATCAAGTTCAATTCCAACTTCGCAACATGAACGTTCTGCTTCATTACCAAATAGTACATCACTAGAATCATCAAGTGAGCCCGTTTCAAGATCTCCTACTGATGAGGCTGAATCTATTCGTAATGAAATGACAACAATCAGAGAAGAAGAAGAGGAAGGTGAAGCTAATTCTGTTCATGAATTACATGATGAGGAAGATGATGAATCGGATGAAGATGAAGATGATCTTTCAATCCACCATACAAATCAATCAGCTGCTGACATGTTATTCAATGACTATCAATTCAATTTCCATGAAAAGATTTGGAAACCTGAACATAAAATCATGACTAGAAGAAAATTCCTTAAAGATTCATTGCGTTGTATTAAATTATTACCAGGTGATGAAGAATGGGTTGGGAAATGTCTTGTTAGATCTTCAAACCCTCCAAAATTTGAAACTTCAAATCAAATAAAATCCAAGAGTTCAAAAAATAAATTTGTCAAAGAATATATTGTTGGTCCTCAAGGTTTAGTTTCTGTTTGTGTTTGAATTCCCTATCCATTTGTCAAGTTATACAAAATGTTCAAGAAAAAATACTAAAGAGAAAAGATTGAAGAACACTAATTTGCATAATATCTATTTAATGAGTTTACGAGTGATGATTTACATATATTTGAACTTTTCTATTTAATCTAATGGACACATTGAAACTAGTTTCACTAGTGTAAGATGGTCTCTCTAGTTTGAAGAATCCTAAATATTTGCACAATTCCCACAATTGAATTAGCAAAAAAATATTGTAGATGTTCATGTCCTTATCCGAGATTTCGTTTTCTGTACATGGTCATTTAATCAAACAAACAAACAAACTAAAATCTCCACACATTGTTATGCATCATCTAGATTGACGGTTACAGGGAAAACTCTTAGCTTTTGAACCTAAACAGATCAAACAACCGTGATAAAGCAATACCTATTTGCATGATCGAGCTAGCTGCTACACCCGCTTACTAGTATACCATATTGATTGAATACAAGTTGGTATATGGGCTACGTCTCGATTAATGAGTGGCCCTCATGTGAGATTGAGTCCAAGCAAACAATAAGAACCTGTCAAATCTCAATGTTGTAGTCGTCACAAATCTACTACAAAAATTCATGAGGCATGGACAGAATGAGAGAATGATAGCCCCCGATTTCATCCTTCATTTGACTCCGATTTACTAACCCTCATCTCACGCGTGAGCACTGAACACTAATGCTCATCATCCTCATCACCTCCCTCTTCTCTAAACCCTAATTTTTCGCGACCAAATCCATCACCCTATTCAACAACTTTTTTCGCGAATTTTTCCAAAATCTTGATTCTCGATCGTTTTAAAAAAAATCAAATCTTTGGAAAAAACTCTTCGACCTATCCATTTTATTTCACTTCTTTAACATCAACCGCGTATTCCATCCTCTACAAAAAGGTATTGTCTTTTTTATTCCTATATGGATGATACTGGGGGGCCTCATGTGGAATATATGCGTAGATAGAATTAAAGAACGTTGCTGGGCGCCCGATGTTGAATCCTAAAAACTTGAGATGTTGGGAATCAGTTGTTTCTACATGTGTTAAAGAAGTGGTTTAGATTAGGCTTGTGTATATGTGTTTTTCAATTGATGATGATTCTTTTGACTTGTTTAATCGTAGATATGGCTGAGTTATTTATGAGTAGCTGTTGCAGGGGTTCATGTTGAAATTACCATTAGGCTCTACATAGACTTGAAGTCTTTATAAACAAGATTCACTGGTCTTCATAGAATGAAACCATTTCTTAAAATTCAATTAAACAAAGAAGAGTAAAGTAAATCAAAAAAATCAAACTGTAATAATGTCTATATGAGAAAAAGGCCTGTGATCCACTTCATAATGCATTTTTTCTTGTTAAATAATCAAATCTTGAATAAGTATAACCAATAAATGGTAAATCTTCTTTGCTATCGCCACCACTATTACCAACTTTACCTTGTTCTCTTTGTCTTTCAGCTTTAATTAATGCAGGGTTTTCAGGAACGTTTTCTAATTCATCAGTTGGGAAGAATCTTGTATCTGTAATACTCTTCAATTTTGGAATAAATGGAGCATCAACATTTCTAATAGTATCCCAATCAACGCCTCTAAAGAATGGATGACTTTTAATCTCTTGTGCACCTCCATGTCTACCTAATCTATGTTCAGAATGTGTCAACAATCTTCTAATCAAATTTTCAGCTTCAGGACTTAGATGAATATCATCAGGGAATTGTAAAGTTTCTTGGAAATTCAAAATCTTTCTATATGTTTCTTGAGGAGTTTCTGAACAAAATGGTGGCCAACCAACAAGACATTCAAACATAATTGTACCTAATGACCACCAATCACATTCTTGTCCATAACCTTGATGGATGAAAATTTCTGGTGCAATATAATCGGGTGTCCCCACTGTGGAATATGCCATTAATCTTCTTGATTTTCTCCATGTTTGGATTTGTTGACGATTTGACATTGTTAAATGAATAGCATCAACCATCATTGTATTTCTTGCTCCTGGTTGATTTAAAGGTTGAGGTTGTTGTAAATTTTTATCTTGATCTAATAATTTCTTATAGTAATTTGAATCATGAGTCTTGTGGAACCCTGTTGATAAACCAAAATCTGATAATTTAATATGACCACGAATATCAATCAAAATATTATCTGGTTTGATATCTCTATGAATGAAACCTAATTTATGAATAGCTTCTATAGCTAAAACACATTCAGCCATATAAAATCTTGTTATATCTTCTGTGAATATTTGCCATCTAATCAACATTGTCATTAGATCACCACCTGGTAAAAATTCCATAATAAGGTATAAATATTGAGCATCTTGGAAGGAATAATATAATGAAACAACCCATGGAGAATCACTTCCTGCTAAAACATCTCTTTCAGCTTTAACATGAGCTAATTGATCTTTCTTATACATTTCTGATTTTAATAAAGTTTTCATTGCATAAATCTTACCTGTATCTTTCTTTTGAACTAGTCTAACTTCACCAAATGCACCTTTACCAATAACTTTAACAGTTTCAAAATCATCCAAAGATAATCTTGTACGACGTAATCTTAAAAATTGTGATTCTTTACGTCCTAATGATTGTAATTGACGATTCTTACGTTCTTCTGACCCGTCATCATTTTGTAATTTATGTTCCAAATCAACACGTCTTTGGTTTCTTTCCACTGCATGTGTTACTGACATTTGATAAAAATTTTCTAATCTTAATTTAACTGCTGCTGCTTTATCTTGAGTATGTTTCTTAAAAGTTTCTGGTCTTCTTTCAAAATACACATAGTTACTGTTATTATTATTGTTGCTTGACTGTGAAGAAGGTTGTGGTGGGTTTGGTTGAATCTTAACTGCATTTTCAAAATTGTTATGTGTGGAACGCGATGCCAATGAACTTGTGTTTGATAGAACCGGTGTTAAGTTATTATTACTTCTTATACTTCTCGTTGGAGAAGCAGGAACTTGAGGTTGATAAAATTGAGGACTTTGAGGTGCTTGGCCTTGTTGTTGGAAGGATGAGGATGAATAGTTACTCAGCTGACCTGGTGAAGTTCCATATTGGGATTGGTAAACATTTGGAGGTGTTGAAGGTATGTTCATTGGAGTTGAAGGCGGTGGCATAGTGTTTTGCATTTTTAAAAACTGTTGTTGTTGCTGGGCTTGTTGCTGTTGAGCATGTTGTTGTTGTTGTTGTTGATAATACTGTTGTTGTTGATAGAATTCTTGTTGTTGCTGCTGCTGTTGCTCATAAAGCTGCTGTTGTAACGATTGGTGGGAGTTTTGCTGTCTCATATAGTTTGAGCTGAACTGAGCAGGGGGCTGAACGAATCCTTGACCAGCATTTCTTTGTTGAGATTGAGATTGGGACTGTTGTTGTTGTTGTTGTTGATTGTATTGATCAAACGAATACATTCTTGAAACTATCTCTTGATCTTGAGTGTATACGCGTGTTTAGCGAGCTGTTTTGCTTATATTCTTGTTCTCAGCTTGATAATGTATGGATCACACCTGTTCACAACCAAGTTTAGCGCCTTGAAGAATGAGTTCTTGTTGATGGATCAAGTCAAAACACACTTCGCTTTAGAATCTGATCTGTAAACGTCTTTTTTTGAAACAGGGAAAACGAGAAAAAAGTCCTTTCACGACTTTAAAATTCGCTGGATCTTGGAAGGGGGCCACACAGGGAAGCACCCCTTCCAGAACGCGAAGTTAGGCGGAGGAGTTGGAAGGGAGCGTAGGCAGAGCAGCCTAACAGTGTTATAGGTTACTATAAAATGTTCCAAAATATCAATACAATCTACTCAAAATACCATCTCTTCTTTATCTGTAAAAACATTACATTAAGATATACAAAACCCCCTTATAAGCAGTGCAAAATATTTCATATAATTTGTCAAACACCTTAAAATTGTAAAGCTTGACCTTTTTGTTTTTTATCACCACCTAATTCAAAATGTTTACAACGTTTTAATGATAATTGAGCTTTGGTTTTACAGACAACACATTCTAAACGTAAAACAACTTTTTTGGTAGTTTTAGCCTTTTTGTGGAAGACTGGTTTGGTTTGACCACCATAACCGGATTGTTTACGGTCATAACGACGTTTACCTTGAGCAAATAAAGAAGCTTTACCAGCTTTGTATTGGGTAACTTTGTGTTGGGTGTGTTTTCTACACTCTTTACCTTTACAGTAGGTTCTTCTGGTTTTTGGGACGTTGACTAAATTGACATGTTAGTATTACAAATTCTGAAGATTCTTTCAATAAAGGTGGCCCAGTATTTGTTAGAGCTTTATGGATATCTTTCACTTGTTCCTCTTTGATCTCTTATTCTCTGTGATATTATGTCTTGACTTTATTATAATGTTTCACTAGTTCACACTTTTGCATACTTGGTATATCTTCGATCACATCTTGCTCTGTTCTCATACCCCAGTCGTACTAATTACTCTCATCATTGTATATCTTTGCTTCTATTCCTCTAATGCCCTTTGGCTTGACTCTACTCTTTCTCCTTATTGATATTCTTGATCTTTTTGCTCATTAAGTACTTTTGACTTGACTGTACGACCGTATTCATTCAAACGTGATCTCAATAAACAGATATACTGCTTCTTGTTCTAACCATATATGGGCCTCCCTTGCTCTCTTTACATACCCATTGTAACTGATGTTTGTTCCTGTTATGATGGAGTTCTTCTTTTGATACGCTTCTTTCTGAAGGTTATTAAATTTCAACACTTTTGAAAAACGAGAGTCGCTGAGGCTCTCTGCCAATGGGAAGAAATCCCAACACCAGCAAGAAAAACAGTGTGGTGTTATGTAATCATTCTCCCAGCGAAAAGCATTTCTGGTAATAGCACTCCAATACTCTACTGAATAAACCGGTACGCGCAACCAAATGAAAAACGAGCGTCGTCGCGAAAACATCAATTTTTTTTTGAGTGTGACGTTGTTCGATTTGAAGCAATTCTGAGCCCTACTACACATCACATGATCAAGCCCAAACGCGTGGCATCTTTTTTTTTAATTTTTTTGTTTACATTTCAACTTGTTTGTAAACTTGTGAAACGAGGCAAAAAAAAAGTGTACAAGCGAGCCATAATTAGAACAACCAGACCAACCATCACCACAACCATATCCCATTCAAGTGATACCCTTCATTCCAGCATCAGGATTTCACACTCTATTCAATAAGAACGCGTACTTGTTGCAAAAACACTGGCGTGTCACACCTTGAATCTCATTTTCAAAGCCTTTTGAGCCTTCCTCCAGATCTAAGCATCCATCATGGCTTTTGGTGACTTCAACTCCATCTGTAATGGGACTTCTTTACCCCTATGTCAAGTTGTTTCATTCACTAAACCTACCACTCATGAATATCTGAATAACGGTATCATTCCAGTATGTTATGCTCGTTCGATTGAATTGGCAAATACAGTGATATTCCAAATAGGTAATGCCTTTGTTAATATTGGTGCCTTAATAGTGTTTCTTATCATCATTTACCATATCAGATCAAAATATACAGCTATAGGAAGACTAGAAATGCTTTTTTATTATAATCTATTACTAGCATTAGATATATGTTCATTGGTTGTTGATTGTGGTGTTAGTCCTCCAGGTTCAAAATCTTATCCATATTTAGTTGCTGTTCAACTTGCATTGAGTTCGGCTTCTTGTTGGTGTTTAATGATTTGTGGCTTTTTAGGATTTAGATTATGGGAAGATGGTACAAATAAATCAATGTGGTTTATAAGATTAACTTCTTTAGCTTTTGGTGTTTTAAGTTTCTTTATTGCATTACTGACGTTTCAAGATTGGATCAAGAACGGAACTCTGGATCGTTCAAACACTACAGGTTTATTTGTTGTTTGTTATATATTGAATGCCATCTTCTTGTTAACTTTTATCATTTCACAAATAATATTGGCTCTTTTCTTGATCAAGAATTATTGGGTCATTGGAGTAATTGCATTAACTGTCATCTCATTCATTGCTGGTCAATTGTTTCTATATGCATTCTCAAGACAAATCTGTGAAGGTGTTAAACATTACCTTGATGGTTTATTCTTTGCAAGTTTGTGTAACTTGTTTTCAAATATGATGCTGTACAAATTTTGGGATATGACTACAGATGATGATTTGGAATTCAGCATTAGTATAAGTAAAGACGGTGATGTTTTATATGCAGATAGATAGTTTTAGTCATTTGGTTTTTGTTTCATAAAATTATATTCATAATATCGTTCATTAAAAGTGTAGTCATTAGTTATTTTCATGTAGATGATTGTCCAAATATCTTGTCTGCTGCTTCTTTCCCTTGTAGTCTGGTCACTTTAGCTTTTGCAGCTTGATTCAAAGAGGATTCACTGACATTAGAGATATTTGTCTCGATGTTTTCGTTGAAAGGATAAGAACACTGGAGTTCGATGTCAGTATGAAATTCAAACCATCTGTCAAAAGATCACATACACTTAACTCGGGACACATTGTGACCGCAACATCAGTATTAATCAAACATTTCTTTAGTTCTGTTGAGCATAAAGGACATTTCTGCATATCTGATTTTGATTCTTGTTCTTGTTTCTGTTCCACTCTGATTATTTCTTTCCCAGATATGCATGATGAAATTTTTCTCGATTCAAGCTCAAAATCCTCGGGATTGAAAGTCTGACATTCATCTTGAAGCAATCCCACTTTTCAGCATGCCTTCAAACCAAAGGACATAGACGGTTATAGGTTACATGTTGTATTCAGTCTAAATTGGCTTGGCCTTTTACTGGACCTCACTTTACGCCATGAGTTTCGGCTGATTAATCTCGGAGTATAAACTAATTAACCAAGGGATCAAGGATCAAGGCGCCAGTCAACCATTGTACAACGCTCAAAAGCCCTTCTTCTATGGTACACTCAACTACACACACAACTTTCTGACTTGTGATTTATGACTGGTTTTATCTTTGGAAAGGAAAATCAAGGGTCCATGTGCCCTCCAGAAATCAAGACCCTTTCCAAATTGGAGCCGATGCATAAGGCAGATCTCCAGAATCTAATTTGTGTCAATCGTTGTACACGAGGGTCCCTGACCGTTCACCTTTGGAAAACAAACCCATACAACTCCATGAACTCGTCACCAATTTAACTCAACCCACGTTGCCATTGAGTCGTATAGTATGTTGCAAAGATGAAAAGATTTTCATCGAGCTATCATTATCATTACCCAATTCATACGTTGTTATACACTCCGAGATGCTTTTGTGATAGTCCTGGTTTAGGTGGTGAAAAGTACTTAAACTCAACAATATTCCTCCAGACTTCATTGAAAATGGATATTAGGCTAATCCTGCACCAAAGATGAAGTTGTCAATCCTCGGTTCATTAGCTGCTTTGGCTTCAATTGCTTCAGCGGTTCCTGTTATCAGTCAAGAGACTCAAAGTCAATTGGAAGCTAGTTTGGAGCAACAATATGCTTATACCAACTATAAACCAAGTGATCAAGTTTTAATCAAAGAATTCACCCATCAATTGAATCAAATCACTCTTTATAATGGTACAAATTCAACTAAATGTGAAAGATGTCTTAAAAGATTAGAACTAGGTAAAACATTAGCCCTTACTAAACCTGAACTAGTTGCACCAGTATTTACACAATGGTGTTTGGATACCAAATTCAGTGCTGCTGTTAAATGTCATACAACGTTTGGTAGAATGACCACAGTTAATGATACTTCAGGTACAAATTTTGCTCATTTATTACAATTAATGGATCCAGCAGGTTATGATGGTCAATTGTTTTGTCATTTCCAACATGGTAAAGCCTGTAAGATGCCTGAAACTCCAGAAATTGATATGTCTTCTTATTGGCCTGCAAAAGAACCAAAACATGAAGTTGCTCCAACACCAGGTGATGAAACATATAACGTTTTACATGTTTCTGATTTCCATATTCAAACAGAGTATAAGATCGGTTCTGAAGCTAACTGTTCTCAATACATGTGTTGTACTGACAACAATTTTAACAAAAACAAATTACCAGAAGGTTTCAATTCCACTGCTAATTTCACTAGTGAAGAAATTGCTAACTTGTCTTACTATGAAGCATGGTATGATGAAGAATTGAATTTGGTTAAAGGTGCTGAAATTGACGTCTTTGCTAATGAATCAATTTGGACCCCAGCATACACATTTGGTCATTATAAATGTGATTCCCCAGAAGTTTTAGTTAACAATTCTTTGAAATCAATTGCTGAATATCAAGAAGAACTAGGTTTAGATTTCACTTTCTCAATTTTTACCGGTGACTTGGTTGATCATGCTGAAACTGAAGTTATCGACTTGAACAAAACTATCAAATCCGAAGAATTAGTCTTCAGAGACGTTAAGGCTATTTTGAAAGATTTACCAATGTATGCTGTTTTAGGTAACCATGATACTTTCCCATATGCACAAATGGCACAAAAGAAATCGGGTTTTGGTAATTTATTTGATTGGAATGCTGAATTGATGGCTGACTTGTGGGAAGATTACAATTGGATCAATTCTACACAAGCTAGATACGCTAGAGAACATTATGCTGGTTTTGCAGTTACTACTAAAGATAATTTGAAAGTCATTTCATTGAACTCTAATACTTGGTATCAATCTAATTTATACTCATATTGGAATGCCACTGATGTTGACTCATATGGTCAATTTCAATTCTTGATTGATGAATTGATTGAAAGTGAAAAAAATGATCAAAGAGTGTGGATTATTGCACATATTCCAACTAATGCTGAAGCTTTACCAGTCCCATCTGAAGTCTATAAGCAAATTGTCACCAGATTTTCTCCATATACTATTGCTGGTATCTTTTATGGTCATACCCATGCTGATCAATTTAACGTCCTTTACAAATCAGATGATATCTCCAACAAGGATGAAGGTGACGCTATTCAAAACACCTGGATCTCACAAGCTATTACACCATTAACTGAAAACAATCCATCATGGAGATATTATAGTGTTGACAAAAAAACTCATTCAATCATGAATGCATACAATTATTATTCCCGCTTGAATGAAACTTTCACCAACAACTCAGAAGAACCTGTTTGGGACTTTGAATATAGCTCAAGAGACGCTTATGGTATTGATTGGCCAGAAACTTCACCATTGAATGCTACATATTGGCACAGAGTTTCTGAAAAGATTCATCAAGATAACGATACAAGACAAACTTATATCAATTTCATGAGAAGATTATCACCATATACCCCAGTCTGTACTGAATCAGATGAATGTGATAACACATATTGTTATGTTTCAAATTTTGCTTTTGAAGATTATCAAGCTTGTAAAAAGGCTTTCAAAATCAAATGATGATCAAAGGCTGGCTCCTCTAAACTTCTTTTCTTGCTTCACATTCGTAAAAGATCTTTTTTTTTCATGGATCTTTCTCAATCATACTTTAGATTATAACTTATATAAATACATCTTTCCTTTATATTAAAACTCGTAAGAATGTTCTTTTTACCTTTTGGGAAGTTTCTTGATTGTAAAATCACATACAAATTTTCGGATTTTAAAAACAAAGTAGTGTCCGGTACAATTTTGAAATAAAATTTTGTGGGTTTTTCTGAAGGCAAATTAAAGAAAACATCATCATGATGAGATCCTGAACACAATTGAACCATTTCCAATTTCAAAAAGCATTTACAGAATGAAGGTCACTTCTGCTGAATTGAAACGTCTACAAAAAGACCCATCAAGCATAAGGAACATTTGTATCTTGGCCCATGTCGATCATGGTAAAACATCATTGAGTGATTCTTTATTAGCAAGTAATGGTATCATTTCTCAAAGATTGGCTGGTAAAGTGCGATACTTAGATTCAAGACCAGATGAACAACTTCGAGGAATCACAATGGAGTCATCTGCTATTTCGTTATACTTCAGAGTTTTACATAAACAAGAAGATGGTGAAGTGTTAGCAAAAGAACATTTAATCAACTTGATTGATTCACCGGGCCATATTGACTTCTCATCAGAAGTCTCCACTGCATCAAGATTATGTGATGGTGCTGTTGTTTTGGTTGATGTTGTTGAAGGTGTCTGCTCTCAAACAATCACCGTATTAAGACAATGTTGGATTGATAAATTGAAACCAATATTGGTTTTAAATAAAATTGATAGGTTGATTTCAGAACTAAGGTTGTCACCAGGTGAAGCATATACCCATTTATCTAAAGTTATTGAGCAAGTCAATGTTGTTATTGGTTCATTCTACTCTGGTGAAAGAATGCAAGCAGATTATTTGTGGAGAGAAAAACAAGAAAAAGATGGGGCTGATCTACAGGAGGAATATGTTGAAAAAGACGATAAAGATATTTATTTTGATCCAGCTCAAAACAATGTTATCTTTGCGAGTGCAGTTGATGGTTGGGGTTTTAACATTGGTCAATTTGCTAGATTCTATGAGGCAAGATTAGGTACTAAAAGAGAAAACTTGCAAAAAGTCTTATGGGGTGATTTCTATCTTGACCCTAAAACAAAGAAAATCATTTCACATAAAGGATTGAAAGGTCGTACTTTGAAACCATTGTTTGTTTCATTAATATTAGACAACATATGGAAAATTTATGAGAATATACTAATAGAAAAGAATGTTGAAGTTTTGGAAAAAATCATCAAGACCTTGAACATCAAAATCCTACCAAGGGATTTAAGATCAAAGGATAACAAAAATCTTTTAAACCAAGTCATGGGACAATGGCTGCCTGTATCTTCAGCTGTTTTGTTAACAGTCACTGAAAAACTACCATCACCATTATTTTCACAAGAGGAAAGAATCCCAACCATTTTGGAATCTGCTCCAAATCATGAACTAATAGATCCCGTGTTGAAAAAAGCAATGTTGAGCTGTGATAATACTGGGCCGGTGAGTGCCTATGTTTCAAAGATACTTTCAATTCCAGAAGACGAACTTCCTCGTAATCAATCTACAATGACACAAGATGAAATTATGGAAAGAGGAAGAAAAGCAAGAGAATTAGCGGCACAAGCTGCAGAACATGCAAAACTCTATGGAGATGATAAAAAAGCCGATGAAATCGAAGAATTGGCTGCAAATTTGGATGAATTCTCTATCACTGGAAATGGAAATGTCGCTACTGCTACAACTGCTGCTGCTGATCCATATGGAATGTTCGAGTACGAAGAGGAAGAAGAAGAGGAAGAGGAAATTGAATTGACTCGTGAAGAGTTGATCGGTTTTGCAAGAGTTTACAGTGGTACCTTAAAAGTTGGTCAAGAATTGACAATTTTAGAGCCAAAATATGATCCAACAAATCCAAATGAGCATATTCAAAAGGCCACAATCACTGAGCTTTATTTATTAATGGGTAAGGAATTAGTTCCCTTGGATGAAGTTCCATCTGGTAATATCGCTGGTATTGGTGGTCTTGCTGGTAAGATTTTGAAAAATGGTACATTGATCGAGCCAGATGTTGTTGGTGTGAACTTGGCTGGTATATCATTACTATCACCACCAATTGTTAGGGTTGCATTGGAACCTGTCAACCCAACACAAATGGACAAATTAGAAAGAGGTTTACAGCTGTTGAATCAAGCTGATCCTTGTGTTCAAACCTTTTTGGAAGATACAGGTGAACATATTTTAGCTACTGCTGGTGAATTGCATCTTGAGCGTTGCTTGAAGGATCTAAGAGAAAGATTTGCTGGTATTGAAATTCAAGCTTCAGAGCCCGTCATTCCATATCGTGAAACTTTCATTGAAACCCCGGAAATGAACCCTCCAAAGAATCAAGAATTAGGTAGGGGTGTCCAAACCTTTGAATTAGGTACTGTTTCCGTTAAATTGAGATCTATCCCATTACCTCAACCTGTTATTGACTTCTTAATTGAACATCAGTCATCAATCAACAAGTTTGTTAATGCTATCAATAAGCGTCGTAATGATGAAGAAGATGATGAAGAAGAAATTGAAGCAGTCACAACAACAATCTTGGATGCTGAAAGTTTCAAACAAAAATTACAACAACTATTGGATCAAGATGAAAAACATGGTGATATCTGGAAAAACATTGTTGAACGTGCCAGTGCATTTGGTCCAAAACGTTCAGGTCCAAATATTCTATTTGATTCAAGCACCAAATCAATCAGAAGACTCTTTGAAACTTCTGAAGAAGCTGACCAAAAAAGGTTTAGATTTGAAAATAGTATCATTAACGGTTTCCAATTAGGAACATCCAATGGACCATTATGTCACGAACCAATACAAGGTATTGCAGTTATTGTTGAGGAAATTGAAGAGAAGGAAGCAACAGACGAAACACCAGTTATTCCAAACTTATTGGGAAGATTGATAACTACAACAAGAGATACTATTCATCAAACAGTGTTAGATTGGTCTCCTCGTATTATGTTGGCAATGTATACATGTGACATCCAGGCGTCAGCAGAAGTTCTCGGTAAAGTGTATGCAGTTGTTCAAAGAAGACGTGGTCATATTTTAAGTGAAGAAATGAAAGAAGGTACACCTTTTTTCCAAATTGTTGCAAGATTACCAGTTGTTGAAGCTTTTGGTTTCTCTGAGGATATTCGTAAGAAAACATCTGGTGCTGCATCCCCACAATTGGTGTTTTCTGGTTTTGAAGCCATTGATGAAGATCCTTTCTGGGTTCCAACAACTGAAGAAGAATTAGAAAAGTTAGGAGAATGGGCAGAGCGTGAAAACATAGCCAGAAAGTACATGAACACCATCCGTAAAAGAAAAGGTTTGTTTGTGGAAGAAAAGGTTGTTCAAAATGCAGAGAAACAAAGAACGTTGAAACGTAATTAGTCATGTTAAGTATAAGCATTATTCTACCATTAAATTACCTTTGTAGATTATCTTTTATGGTTTTGTATAGTGTTTCACCTACCATTCGCGAAATTTAAGTGTCTCAATTTTTTTTGGACGCTTGATGGAGTAGAAAAGGGCATCTAGAAAACACTAGAGAACACCAACAAATTGGAAGATTCTTGAGTATCAAATTGCTGCTGGTATTTGGATTCGCAATCAATCTCATCCTGCTGTTATATTGCTTTCTAGCTTAGGGCCTACTTTTTCTTCCACAAATACCAGATCTTAAATAACGAAAACCTCATCAAACTCCATATGAATCAGGTAAATTTGAAGATATAACTATGTCCCATCAAACTGATTCTAACCAAAATCCCCCACTGGCTATAAATTATTTCCTTGAGTCACTAAAGTCACTCACGAGGGATCAATTGGCAGAAGATATAGAGGGTCTTGATGATGAGGGATTCTCACCGTTTCCCCAAGAAGGAGAACTTGATGAAGAAGACCTAAAGGCAATGAGTGCCAGTTTCCAAGAACACGCTAAATTAAAACCACATCTTGAAGATCTTCTAAAGCTGCTGAATCAAAAAGATCCCGAGGGAGATGGGCACACCAGTGTTTCTTTGAGAATGAGCTCATCCGATAGAGACCAGATAATTACTAATCTTCAAAAGGCACAATCCGATGTTGAAAGTATACAAGGACAGTTATCATACATACTAAGTCAAGGATTTTTCAATAGTGAACTGGAGCAACATGCAAAAATACTGCATAAGCTTTCTATATCTGCTGTTGCTGATTTATTACCAAAGGAAATCAAAGAAGCCCTTGAGAAGGGGAAACCACAGTTTCAACAGTTTTCATCCAAAATACATGAAGAAATTGACGAACCTGATCTTGATGATGTTAAACTTCCCCCAATATCCAACCTTAATATCAAAGAAGCTCAAAATAAAGGCAATGGAATTGCTCAAAAGAAAAGTAAAACAAAGAAATCACAACAAAAAGCACAACAAAAGACGCGCCAGACGCCAGACATTCTTCCTTATGAACCCGATGAATGCATCATCTGTGAATACTATCATGTTTTTGGGAAGCAACCAGTTAATTTGATTAAAGCATATGATAAGAGATTGAAAGAAGAGACATCCATGAGAAACAACCTTGAGAATCGTACTCGACGGAAGAAACGCCAACAAAAGAAAAGATAAGCTAATGTTGGAACTTCTTCTCCCTTATAATACTTCACTAGACCATGCATCAATAACGAGATTTGTTGGATGTGTTTTTTGCGGGTGGCTTTCATGTTTTTTTTCTTCTGGGTAAAATGGGTTGCATTATGAATTCTTATTAACTGCATATAAATTGATTGGAATGGTTTCATGTTAAATAAAATGGTGCTTAATATGATCTGAAAAGGGAAATTGTAGACGTATTCTTTCAACTAGTTCTACTCTTGCTCGTTGCATCGTGTTTCCAGTTCTCTGGATAGCCAGCACTACAGCTAACTAAAATCTGGAATTCATACTCTATTGTGCGTCCCTATGGTTTAGATCCTACATGAAGGGCCTATTCTTTATTGACATCACCATTTAGCCTCAACTGGCAACCAATTATACTCATTTCAAATCTTCATTGGGTTAGAAGTTGTCTAAAATTGATGTAACTTTTGACATATCTTTACTATGGTGATTATGTAATCATTTCCTTTTTCGGCGTCATCACCAACCACATGAACTTTTTATGGCCGAACAATGCATCGGCCTCTCTTGAAACCAGCTTAAACCAGTGAAAACCAACCACCAAGTGGCACGAGAGTAAACATGATGCTTAGAGAGTTGGGTGGTTATGTATGCAGCTTATGGGATCTTGTTAGTGGAGCTTAATCAGATCGGTGTTCCAAAGTTTCTTTAAAGGATTCAGCAAGCCATTCGAGTACCAACATCAGGAAATGGATATAAACTAGTTAAATTCCTGGCTTTTTGCCAGAATTTCTCTTGTGAAGTTCTTTTTCCTTCAATTATTCATTCAATAATCAATTCAATAAGAAACCTCACAAAACAAACATAGCTTTTGATACCCATAGCTTTGAGACTTCTGTTTTCCAAAAAGTTCAATCTAACTTCAGTCATTCATTCATTATTTTAATTTAGATCGCACTTTTATTTCCAACTATTGTCTTTCCTTTAGTGCTTTCAATACTATCTTCTAACTATTATACGTTCATTACTTTCCTTACTTTTTGAAGAAACCCAGTTTGCTCTCAATCCACAAAGAAAAAAATAAAAATTATTAATATTACAATGCTTTTTGTCAAGTCATTAGCTGTTTTAGCTCTTTTATCATTATCAGGTGCTGTTCCTGTTCCTGTTCCTGTTCCTGTTGCTGATGATTCAAATACTTTCAGTTATGATGTTGTTAATGTTGATGGCTCAAATGCTCAAGCTACTTCAAGTGTCCAATATGGTGATAACTCAAATGATTCAAGTACTGTTGGTGTTGCAGAACCAACTAGTACCGGTACCACTACAGCTACTTCGGTCTCTGAAAACATAGTTACTGGTACCACTGTTGTTCAAAATCCAACCACAACTTTCACAATTGAATATACTTCAACCACTACCACCACAATCAAAGGTAAAAAGAAAACTGTTTGGATTACTGAAACTGAAGGTCAAAATGGTGGTCAAACTCCAACTGCTGATGCTTCTACTCCTTCATCCACTTCAACTTCTTCAACATCAACCTCTGATGCTCCTTCTTCAGCTGATAATGCACAAAATGATGTTTCAACCACCTTACAACAAACTGTTATTGATGGTACAACTTACTTGGTCTCTGCTTATGTCAGTACTATTAGGCCACCAAGCACTATCACCTATGAATCAGCTTATACCTCAGAGCTTGCATCTACTGGAGTCTCAACCATCTCAGCTTCAACTATTCCAGTGAGCTCATCAGTTACTCAACCAACATCATCAAGTGTTGCTCCAAGTTCAAGTGCATCACCAACATCAACTGCTTCAACTGCTTCAACCACAGAAGCACCAAAATCTTCTTCAACTTCAAGCACTTCATCCTCAACAATTACTTCTGCTCCAGCTTCATCCAGCTCTATAGTGAGTGAAGAAGCCTATACCACTGTTGTTAGTGATGGTGTATGTGAAGTTTATTATGAAGATCTATATGATGATGGTTCAGATGATTCAAGTGCTACAACAACCATCACAAGTACTATTATCACCACTGTTTCTTTGAATTAGAAATGGTGATATGTACCAATACTTATGATGATTTATGACTTGCAGACCGGACTATATTATATTTTTTTTATTTTCTTCAGTTTACTTTGTGTGCTTTTTTCCACTTTCTCACCCGTTTTTGATCAGTTCTTTCTAAAAAGATGTTGTGCTACAATTTGATGATCCCTTAATTGGTTAATCATTCGATCAGTGGCTCAAGAATATATTTGTATAATTTCAAACTTTAATTAATATATTTTGTAACATGGCTAGTAGAATACGTTTGTTGTAGCTAGTGAAGTGTCATAATATCTTGCATTTCCGTGATATTTTTTGATTTCTTGATCACGTAAAACCAACGCCAAGCTTGATATAACTAAAGAACAATAAGGTATATCAAGTATACTATCTTTATTGCCTGAATTGAAAACTTCGATAAGTTTGATATCACCATGTCTCAAGAGTCTTTTCTTGGGTATTGAAGATGATTGTTTATCACTGAACCTTGCCAAAGGTGGTAAAGGTGAAGTATTGGCTAATGCATCTCTTGAAGCTAATAATGGATTTGTAGGGTCTGGAAAATTTTCATCTAGGTGGTCTGTTAAAGACGGGCTTTCATCTGATAATTTCAGCAGTTTGAAAAAACCTGAACCGAATGTTGAAGACATGCTTGTTGTACCAACCCATCTCAGTCTCGTGTTTTTGTAACAAACATCAGCATATGGAGTAACAGAACTAACATACATTGTTAAAGTTTCATTTTCTGCATCATTTGGATCCCCATTAGGCATGAATTGGAAAGTGTATTTGGCAATTTTATCTTTCAAATATTTAAAATAAACCCTGCAGAACTCAATTTTAGGATTCTCTATGGTGGCCTCTGGACTAACGTTTAAACAGTTGATAGGTGGAGTTTTGAACCTATATATCACGACAGTTGGACAGTTTTTCTTGAAAGCACTTAACATGGGTGTTGTAACTTGTAAAATGGGTGTCCCTAGCCCTTTTTGTCTTAATGAAAGGTCAACATTTCTATTCTTTTCTTTGTACAAGTTGAGCGACTCTTCAGATGGGAACACGTATAGACCTTTTTGAAAAAGTGCTGAAACAACAGGCATAGTCCTTATTGCATTAAATTCAGCAAATGAATGACCTAATACCAAATCAACAAAAGTTTCAGCTCTTGAAATATATGTGAGATTTGAGTCGTTGGAAATAGTTCTTCGTATATGGTTGGGTATTGATGAAAATGGATGTGTAGGTGTGGTGGGTATGGAGTGACCACTAGTTATCAAGGTTTCTTCACTTAAAGACCTCAGCATCTCCGGAGGTATTGGACTGTTTAGGGTTGATCTTGGTGTTGAGCTTTGTTGTTCAGCATTACTTGTTGCAGTTCTGCTATTTGTATTCTGTCTTGAGTTGCTCGAATTTCGACGGTTTCTTCTGAGTAGTTGCATTCTAGATACTTTTATAACCAAAATCCTCGATTAGATACTCCAGTATACAGTATAATCCTTAGTTCTAAAAGCATCTTGCTGTCAAAAATAAAAATATGTGTAATGTTTAAACCGATAAGACGACTTATTGAAAATACGAGGGAAGCGTGGTCACATGATGTAGTTTAATTCCGACTCTGTTTATTTTTTTTCGCGTTTTGTTTTGTTTTGTTTTCAAAAAAAAACTTGACCGTGGAACAATTTGAACTTGAACTTGAACTTGAATACATCAACTGGAGACAAAGAGATCAAATATAAAAGAAAATGACAGCCGAAGAAGTACAAGTGGCTGAATCACATGAAATTAAGGAGACCAGTGAACTAGCTCAAGATACTGAAGTCCCAGTCTCCAAGTCTGAAGTTGTCGATACTGAAAGGAGTCCCTCTATAAACGAAGAACATGAAAACAATACATCAGATGAACACATTGACAACATACTAAAAGAGGTTGAGGAAATCAGATTCAACAAGCAATCATCAACTCCACTTAAGGTCAAAGTGGAACATTCAGCAGTTTCAACACCAAATTCAACAATACTCTCCACTCAACAACCTCATGAAGATACCAGTATAACAATAGATTCACCACCTAAGAGCTTGGATACTTCAATAGTGAACGAAGTTAAAACGGCGCCAGCAAAAAAAGCAAATATTCCAAATTCAGTTTCACAAGCATTATTCAGCCAACCATTAAAAGTTACCAAGATTCGTGAAAAATCACCAACTCCAAGGTTTGTTGGTATAAAAGGTCCAGCAGATCCAGCAGCTAATAAACGTTTTGAAGAGTTGCAAAGAAAAGATCAAGAACTGAGCCAAAAAATCTTTAAGCTGAATAGAGAAATTGAATATTTGAAAAGTCTTGTCGAAACAGCTAGTGTTACATCAGATTTAAGTGAATTAAGAAAATTAAAATATGCCATTGAAAAACTTGAAGAATATTTGGATAAGAAACAAAAAGACAAATATGAAATCGGAATTCAATTGACAAGAGCAGTTCGTAAGAGAGTTGATAGTGGTGAGAGTGGTGAATTTTGGGTTAGTTGAGTCGTGCATGTTTTTTTGATTTTTATTTGGTGTATTTTTAGCTGGTTTTCGGTTTACTTGCTTTGAAAGGTGTGGAATAATACAGACACATCTTTTTAATGAACTCTCATATGATATTTTTTTGTACTATTATGAACAATTTTGAATAAATTTGATCTATTTTTGAACAATTTCTCCATCTATACTGTAGAAGCCTAAATTCTCACTTTCGTTCTTAACTGCCTCTAAATTAACACCAGATCCAGCTTCATATTTGGGCACATAAAGATGCAATGAGACTGCAATATCAGCTGTGGGGTTCTTCATTTGATGTAATCCTAATTCATCTGTGATGTAAGCGACTGAATTTGTTGGTAATGTCGTAGTTCTTTTGAGTACTCTATCACTTTCTGATGATGTCGGATCGAATAACTTTTCTTGTAATTGACCTTTTAGTATCTTCATGAAGCAATGAGTGTTTGGATGGCCATGTATATTTGATTGTTTACCAGGTTCCCATACAAGTACCAATAAATTTGAATGTGTCTTGATATTAGTCACAAGATTTCGGGTATAATTGTTATCTTTATCCCTTAAAGCATATTTTGTCCATTGTTCCTCTTTTGATTGATAATATCTTAGTAGATTCATGACTTCTCGTATCTTGACATTGTTTTCAGTTCTGGTTTCTTGTATTGAACTTGATAGATCTTGGATTAAATTTTTCAATGAATTTTCTTTGAAAAGGGAATAAGACACAGGCTTTGAGTAGTGACGAAGTCCATGAAGACGTGGTCGAAATGAGTTGGATAAGGGCCTTGGCAATGGTGCCCTCCGTATTACCTGTAGCATTATATCTATATTCTATTGTGTTCCTGGTTTTTGATGAAGGCTAAAAAGAAAACACCTTACAAAATTCTTTTTTGTTTTTTGTTTTTCGTTATCTTAAACTTTATCCGATAAGTCAAACCGTTTAAGCTTACATGACATGATACAATAGCCATTTTTGGAGAGCTCAGCCAAATATAAGCTAGGAAATTTTTAGGAGCTATGTGTTATGTATACTTTCAGTATATAAGTCAAATATCTTTGTCATTGTACCAACGAACTGTGGCTAATGCCGGTATTTGGTTCAATTATTCGCGAAGCTATGCGCATGATTAACGTCTTCTGTTCTGTAACTTCAAGTCTAACTAAATTGTTGTTATTTGATACTATCAATCTTTCATATTTGATTGCTTTCAATTCCACTTTATCATTTTAGTTCAATATTGAACAAATTGGTAGCTTTGATCGATCAAATTATAGTATTTCTATAGAGCCAGGCCGCCTGAAATATCGAAGATTGGTCGGGATGTGTTTGCTTAATTAAACCAAAACCAAAGCTGGTAAAGATCACAGATAACTGAAGAATTAAATGGAGAGCACAAAGCTTTTAATTATCTGTATTTTTGAGCGATTTTAACATTCTTTGTTTTTGAATTTTAAAGATTTAGTGATGTATTTAATTAATTTTAATCTCATTTTCGAGTAAGCACAATACACCTGAAAAAAAAAAGTTTCAAAACACAGAAAAAACCATTCAAATCTAAATCTACAATAAATTTAAGCATAATAAGTAATTTTGAAAGTAATTTTATATATATTTTTGACTAAATAAGTGAAGTTTTGTATAAAGTGCAAATAAAATTACGTAATAAATTACATAATCTTAGGTTATAGTTACCTCCGAAGTTTAGTTAAATTGAATAGTAACATTCGAAATTCTAAAGAATTATTGAGACGTAAAAAATAACTCACAGTAGTAACAAAAGTTAAATCTATCTATCCTTGGTTTTTCAAAAATTTAGAATAAGTTTCCCCATACAAATTTCAACAAAGTAAAAAGTATCGGCTTTTCAGCATCCTGCACATACCAATTTACCCTTCTAGGCTTCTCGAATTTGATCGAAATTTTAACGATGATTCAAAACTGAAGGACTTCCATTTGAATATAAAGAGAAGAAAAGAGCTGTGAAGTAAAGAGTTTTTGCCTTGAGAATTGAGGAAAATCACAAAAGAGAGAAACTGAATTAATCGTTAAGAGAATCGAGTGTTTTTTGTGATTACTACGTTGAATTAATACTCAATATTCCCAATAGAGAAAAGAAAAAGACTCATAATGGCAAAATCAGTTATATGTTCATTACATACAATTAATCAAAATGTTGGTAAACTAGCTACCAGATCTTTCTCCACAGCAGCTAGACGTCCAATTCCTAACTCAATATATGCTCAAAGTTTAAAATCCTCTTCATTTTTCAGAAATAAGAAAAGTTTCCATGCAACTTCAAGAGCATTGGCTGTACAAGATCCATATAAGGCATTAGGTGTTGATAAATCTGCAAGTGCTTCTGACATTAAGAAGGCTTATTACAAATTAGCGAAAAAGTATCATCCAGATATAAATAAAGAAGATGGTGCAGAAAAGAGATTCCATGATATTCAAGGTGCTTATGAAATCTTGTCAGATGCCGAAAAGAAACAACAATATGATCAATTCGGCTCTGCAGCATTTGATCAAAATGGTAATAGTGCTTATGGAGGTGGAGGAGGTAATCCATTTGGAGGTGGTAGTCCATTTGGTAATGCTCAAGGATTTGGAGGTTTTGGTAACATAAATTTTGAAGACTTGTTTGGTTCAGCATTTGGAGGAGCTGGAAGAGGCCGTGGTGGTGGTCGTGGTGGGTCATCATATGTCACCGAATACAGAGGTGATGATATTGAAGTTGTCAAATATTTGACTTTCAAAGAAGCCATATTTGGTGTTCAAAATACAAAAGTTAATTATAGTGTTTTGGATAGCTGTGGAACTTGTAAAGGTTCTGGTTTGAAAGAAGGTAAAAAGAAATCAACATGTTCAGCTTGTGGTGGTACCGGTTCAACTGTTCATTATATGCAAGGTGGGTTCCAAATGGCATCTACTTGTATGAGTTGTGAAGGTTCGGGTGTTTCTATCAATCCAAGCGATGCATGTGGTTCATGTCGTGGTGATGGTGTTTCCCAAGCTAATAAATCTACTGAAGTTGATTTACCACCAGGTTTAAGTGATGGTATGAGATTAAGAGTTAGTGGTGAGGGTGATGCTCCAAAAGTAACCACTGGACCTGGAATCCGTATTCAAAAAGGTGATTTAATCATTAGAATGAGAGTTAAACCAGATCCAAGATTCAAAGTTAGTGGATCAGATATCATTTGTAAAACAAACATTCCATATACAACAGCTGCATTAGGTGGGCAAGTGGAGATTCCAACCGTTGATGGCCCTTCAGTTAGATTAAGAGTTCCTTCAGGTACAGAAACTGGTAGTACATTATCCATTTCTGGTAAAGGTGTTCCAATCCGTAACAATATCAATAACCGTGGTGACTTGAAAATTGAATTCACAGTCAAGATTCCAAAACCAGATGGCGCTGCACAAACAGCTCTGCTGGAAGCATTAGCTGATTCTATTGGTGATAATAACGCTAAACGTACCAATATTGATTGGAAAGCAAGCTCAAATGCTGATTCAACATCAGACAAATGTTCAAGTGACCATCCATCCAACTTGAAAAAAATTGAAAACTTCCTAAGTGATGCATTCAAACGCATAACAAAGAACAAAGATGACAAATGATTGAGATTTTAACAATTCAATTTACCGGAAATAATAATCATATCACGTCTTGTATATATACTACAATTGTCCAACCAAAAAGACCACAACATCAAGCACAAATTTAATGGTGATTTGCATCAAGATTCCAAGATAAATCTTATTGTGATGGGAGAAAGCTGTCTAACGTAAGATGATCTGTCTAAGAGACTCTGTAAATACGAAATATACACTTTTATTTATACAGAAAACAGCCCCTTTGGAGATGAAATTTAGCGACTCTAGAGCCTACGCGTCTTTTTTTTTAAAATGTTTTCGCGAAGCTCAAAAGACGCGGTTTGCGGTTTCGAGAAATTCGAGACATGGAGCCCAAAAAAATTGTGTGGAAGGCATAAAAAAGTGAAACTTGAACATCAACATCAACAATTTTACGAAATCAAATCAAGATCCTGTTCTTCATTCACACTCACTTCGAAACCATCCACTCACTATCCAATCATTATTACTGCTGCTACCTCCACAGTCTTTCATTTCCAAAACATCAACACGTTTCCAAGCTCATTCCAAGACGATCTCGGGAATATTTACTTTTGTTCAAATTGGGTTAATGGTGATAGAGACGAGAATATTTGAAATATGAAGCCATATAACAACGCAAAAACCACAACAACCAGCTCTCAAAGAGACGAGTGCTTTGACGACGTGGATATCGACGACGTGGGAGAACTCTCATTACACAACAGAGCAAACCAGCATTCCAGTCTTAGCTATCTTTACAAGAAGAACAGAAGCGTGCTCTACATAGGCTCGAATGATTCTATTAATAGATCCTCTTCAACACTCATGAACAACAACTCCCACGATAACCTGGGGCAGAGGTTCAATAACAGCAGCGTGCAGCTAAAGCCATTGCCTCCAATGCCAAAAGAACAGCAAAATGATTCAAATTCCATGGTTACAATCAAGCCAAATTATTCCCCTTCAAAAAAATTGCACAAGAGACGTGAAATTCCTAAAGAGGATCAATATCAAATGTTTGACAATGATTCTGATGATGATTTGGATGATACAGTACTGATATATGATGTCCCATTATCTCAATCTTTGGTTCAACTGACCACTCATCAAAAACCGATCCAACCAAGACTACATTCCCTAGCATCTGATACAACACATACTTCATCAATAATGAGCTCACAATACTCATTAGATTCAGAATCTGACCTAGATACTGCACTATTCACAGATGCTAAATCAATAGCCTTGGAAATGTCTCGTTCAAAATCTGTTTTAGCTATTCAAGAATCTACAATGAGACGTCATTTAATTGCAAATTTTGATCGTCCAAAAAGTTTAGATAGCTCACTACCTTCAAGTCATCTTAAAGAGAAATTCATATCAGGTACAAGACAAACAGATCTACCTCCAAAGGATAAATTAGAAACTGCAAAACATTTGAAAGAGTTTCAAGATATAAAGACAAAAGCTATAAGGAATGAATTGAAGAATGAAAAGGAAACTTTGAAAGAATTGGAAAAAAGAAGAAAACAAAAAGCTCAAGATTTGTCAAGTTGGCAAAATTCTGTGATTCCAGATTTCAAAAAACAAGTCCAATTAGCTGAAACAAGAGAATTATGGTGGAGAGGTATTCCTCCAAAATTACGTCAATTTATATGGACAGAACAAATTGGAATTCATTTACCATCTGAATATTTATCAAATTTGAAAACTAAGAGTTTGAAACTGATTGATCTTCAAGATGATCTAGTTCAAACTATTGATAAAGATATAAGGTCAATCTTCCCAGATATGCCAATTTTCCAAACCTCATTATATGAAAAACTTCAATTGATTTTGGTGATGTACTCTCAACACAAGAGTTATCAAAGGGGACTAAGCACACTAGCTGCGGTCTTGTTATACAATATTGGTGATTTTGAATCGACTTTTGCATGTCTATTAGGTCTTTTACAAAGAACCGTGATGAAATTACTGTACAATAATGAAAAAGATCAATTTAATATAGAGGCTAGTTCATTCCTTAGAACTTTCCAAAAGAAAATGCCGGAATTATATCATCATTTCCAATTGAAATTGAAAATGGAACCTTGGACATACTTAGAACCTTTGATTAAACCAATTTTTTCAAACCATCTACCATTGGAGATTGTTTCGAGCATTTTGGATGTTTATATCTTTGAAGGTGATTCAATCCTTTGGAGATGTGTGTTGGGTTTGTTTAAGAAAATTGGCTATAAATTATTTGGTGATGAAGATGAGATCTTGGATGTCATTGGCTGGAATGCTTTGAACAAAATTAATAAGGGGAAATCTCAATGGTATAAATATTTGGATGTTGGTGATGAAGTGGAATTTATAAACACTGTTAGAGAAGTGCTTAAAAAGAAATAATAGAGGTTTAATGATGAACCGTTTATAAGGTTAGAAACGATTTTGTTGAAATGTACTGTACTTGATTAGATTTTTTTTTTATTAGTTCTTATACTACTTTTATGATTCATATGATTAATTATATTTAAAATACATATTATTTTTACAGGTATTCCTCAAATTCACGGGGAATACCATATCTATTTTGAAATTTATTGCTTTTGAGCATCTTGTAGAGCTTTCAATAGATTTGAACCATCTTCTGGTGTTTTAACTCTTGCAATGTATGTTTCAATTTTACCCTCACTTGAAACAACTGGTATTCTTACACTATCACCTTTACCTATAGTATCATATTTGAAATCTTTTGGAATTGCAGCATTTAACAATACCCTGTTTGCACCATCTGATCTCACCAATATTCTTGATTTTTTATTATCTTTATTCTGTAAAACTTTCAATTCACCCAAACCTTTTGATTCATATGGTTGTTCTTTATTACTTGGATTGAATAACATCAATTTGGATCTTTTGGTATATAATGTTTCTTCGTTTTCTTCCCCTGTTTGATCTTCAACTTTCTCAGTTAATTGAACAACTGGTTTGAAATTTCCTTCAACTTCTTCTTCTGGAACTTTTTCATCATCATTACCATTCGAAGAATCTGTTTTGGTTTCTGATGAGGATTTGAATGAGAAGTTGAAGGTTGATGAAGGTGCAGCTGAATTTGTACCAAAACCGAAGCCAGAATTTGATGAAGCACCACCAAAATTAAACGATGGTGCAGCAGCTGATTTATCAGAAGATTCTGTAGTAGTTGCTGGTGTACCAAATGAAAAAGCTGGTTTTGAATTAGTTGCAGATGAGCCAAATGAAATTGTAGGTTTTGAAGCCTCTTTAGTTGAATCAGTAGTAGGTGTACCAAATGAAAATGCTGGTTTAGCTGCTTCTTTGTTATCCGATCCATTATTAGCGCCAAAACTTAAGGCTGGCTTATCTTGTGATGTTGAAGTACCAAAAGAAAACGCTGGTTTTGATGAAGTTTCATCTTTCTTTTCAGTGGATTGACCAAAAGAAAATGCTGGCTTTGTAGTTTCACCGAATGAAAATGCTGGTTTTGGTGCGCTCTCTTCTTTCTCTTTATCATCATTTCCATTGAATTTAATTGGTTTATCAGGACTCCAACTAAAGTTATTACTACTTTGTGATTTAACTTCTGCAACTGCTGGTGATTCTTTTGGTTCTTCTTTCTTTTCAGATGTTGGTAATTTGAATGGACTATTGAATTTCTTTGAGGTATCTGCTTTGAATGTGAATGAAGGACCAGTGGAACTACTTGGACCTGATGATGATGTTGCATCTAGCTTGAAAACAGAGTCTGTGGTGGTTGGTGGTTTAGCCAATGTAAATTTAGGACCTTCAACTTTGATGGAATCATCAGAGTCATCAGAGTCGATTTCCTCGACATCTTGGGTATCATTATTTTGAGTATTATCTTTTGATTCATCCATTGGTGTTGGCTCTTTCTCTTCTCTAACTTCTTCTTTCTTTTCAGCTGGTTTGACACCAAATGAAAAACTTGGGGTAGTACTATTAGTAATGGCTGGTTTATCAGTCTTACCAAATGAGAAAGTTGGAGCAGGTAAAGCTTTTTGTTCTTTTCGTTTCTCTTGGGTATCATTATCAGCATCTGGTAAGTAATCCAAATCATTTTCAATCTTGTCATAATAGTCAATATATTTTCTTAAAATTGGAGTGAAATTTGAAACAGGATCGAGCTGTCTTTGTTCAGTAATTTTATCATAAAAATTATCATTCAATGCCTTTATCTTATTAGGTTTCTCTGTTTGTTTTGAAGAGACTAAATCTGTACTTGAAGTTTTAGTCAATGATGTATTGCTAGAGCTATTATTATTGTTTAAGAATGAAAACACATTGGATTTTGGTTTTTCTGAATCTTCTTTTGTCGTTGTTGTAGATTCTTGTGGCTTACCCAAAAACTGGAATGGATTAGTCTTTGGTTTATCAGAATCCTCTGCTGGCTTGGATTGATCGAATGAGAATGCTGGTTTGGCAGAAGATGTAGATGTACCAAATCCACCAATACCACCAAATGGATTAGCTGGCTTATTTTCATCAGAATTGGTAGTATTAGAACCGAATGAGAAACCAGAAGAAGGAGCTGGAGCAGCTGAATTACCATTGGCACCAGCAGCTCTATGCAGTCTAGATCTTGGTTTCAAGATTTTTCTTTTTGCCAAAACATCAGCGGTAGCTCTACTTGGGCCTGATGGAGCTTCATCATTCTCTTCGTTTTCAAATTCATGAAGGTTCTCTCTTGTAACTTGATTATCAGCTCTTCTTTTACCTGACATTATGTTGTGTTGCTTTTGGTTTATGTGACTGGAATTGGGTGTACTCTGAGAGTTAATATGGAGCTAGCAGTTGAAGCAGATAAATGATAGATATTGAAGTTGATTCCTAGTATCACAAGAGACCAAAAAAATGGATTGGGATAAGGGTATCTGGGATAACTTGGAAGGTAAACAGCAGTGCTTAGTTGATGATGATGTTTGTTTATACTTTCAATTCGAAAAACAAAAAAAATAGTGGCTGATTACGTAACAACGCCAGCCAAAATTTTATGGTATTAATCGTTTTTGGTTGCCAGAGTGAAGATGGAATAAAGTTGAATAGGAAATAGGAAATAATGGGTTTATTGGAGATTATAAATGAAATGGTTTCCCTAGAGATTGGAGATATTGATGCGTGTTGTTGTCGTTGCTTCAAAGTTGTAGCATTATGAAACCAGAATAAGCTGGCAGAAGGCTAGGGCTTGAGTAGGCTTTCAAGGCACGTGAATCATTTCAGGGCAGCGTGACTGACTTCAATTTTCGCGAATATGAAATCCCTGGATGCCTCAGGTGTTGGGATGGAATCTTCTATTTACACATGACGCAATGGCAGCCCCAGCCAAAATGTAATTTTTGTATGGGCGAGATCGCGCTTCTGGTACAGCCCACACCATAGAGCCAGGACTCTCAATCGATAAAATTCATTTTCATGAAAACAAGTTTACTACATCCCAGTATACCTTTAGAATCAGCACAGGTTAAGCACTACAAAAGTAAGTGACAATACAAATGGAATGGAGGAACCCACAGTGAAGAGAATGATATATGACTAGAGAAAAGACGACCGGATAGATATGGATGTCAAGTGTTTTACAAATTAAAGGAAAATGGATGCCCAAATATCAAACATTAGTATCGAAGTGTAAAAAAGTGATGAAGTATTGATATAATAAGACTATTGATGAAATAAGAACACAAGGAACAAGAAAAGAACAAGTATAAGCAAAAGAACCACACTGTACATATATTTTGATTATTAGCTCTCAAATGATTACAAGAATAGATAAAAGGATATATATTTTTTTCACTTGGGCGTCACAAACCATCTAAATGTGATTTAAGATGATTCAGAATACTAACATTAATCCTAGATGCCACCAAAAATTCAACAATCTAAAGCTGCTAAAGCTGCTGCCGCCATGGCCGGTGGTAAGAAATCTAAGAAGAAGTGGTCCAAAGGTAGAGTTAAAGACAAAGCTCAACACGTTGTCATCTTAGATCAAGACAAATACGACAGAATCGTCAAGGAAGTTCCAACTTTCAGATACATCTCAGTCTCCGTTTTGGTTGATCGTTTAAAAATTGGTGGTTCCGTTGCTCGTGTTGCTGTCCAACAATTAGAACGTGAAGGTTTAATCAAAGCTGTCTCAAGACATTCATCACAATTAATCTACACCCGTGCTACTGCTTCTGAATAAGCTGCTTTTTACATTTAATTTATATATCAGGATGGGAAATTTAGTTTTATTCGAAATGTACATTTAACGAGAAAATAATAAAAAAAAGAGATGAAAATGTAGAAATTTCGATTAAAGCAAGAACAAAGATTCCAGCAAATGATTTTACAATTTGAATATCTTTATATAACCAAATTATTAACATCAGAATCTATCAATATCAAAGTCAAGCCCTAACAAAATCCAAATTTTACCCTTCTTAAAACCATCTGGTAAGCGACACACCAGCCATTTTTTTTTCTTCGATACTTTTTTTTATAAAAACCTTTTCAAGTTCAAAACTTTCAAACTTTCAAAGATCCTTGATTATAGTACAGAACAACCTATTAAGAACCTATAGTCAAGAATGACTTGTATCTTTATGGGTGCATGTCTTTTATTATGAATGCGAATGAGGTATGTGAACAAACTACAATGACAACAAAGATTCAATTGAGATCTTTTCAAATTTTCTAGATGATTATAAAATTTATTGGGAATCTCTCTGAGGAAGTATATGCAGGACAAAATAAATTTTTAGGAATTCTTCGTTTATGATTTGAAATTTGAAGATCAAAAGATTTCTTTTCGCAAGATTAAGTCTTTGGAAATAATGTCATTATGTCTCCCAACATGTTTTGACAATTGAGAAAAAATTTCTAACACCTTTTTTTTAGTATGTTTAATGATTTAGATATTCATTTATGTCAACTTTTTATTGATGATTTCCTTCACAACCTATCCCGGTGAAAAACAATGTGCCATGGATAAAACATGCATCACCATCTGAACTTTTGTTGATATATTTGAATCAACCCCTTGAGTTTGATTGATCATAAACTAACATTAGGAAAAGGAATTGTTGGAAAGAGCAAATGACAATCAACTGTGTTATTGTTTATTTGTGATTTGTATGTACTCATTTAACAACATTATTTGATTTTTTCTTTTAGCTGATGATAAACTTAAATTTCAGTTCTGCTTCTGAGAATACATGAAGATACTCATTTTACCAAAAGCTCATATCTGAAACAAAAGAAAATCTTGAATTTATTTTTAATCAATAGTTATGAATATTGATGTACTAACAATGTGCTTTTAGAATCATTCAATTTCGTACGTTTTTAATAAAAGATAATAATATAAATTTTATAAAGTGTAGTTCTATAACATTTCTATCTAATAAACTTCCAAAATGTAACGAGAAGTTTCTTTTAGTTCTTCCACTTCTCTAGCAGCATCAACTTCAACACCTCTTTCCTTTGCTTCTTCTGCAACAATATCTTCTAAAGCAGCAGTGATATCAGGAACTGGCCAAGTTGGACCACATAAATAGAAACTACCATTCTTTTTGATGATGGCTTCTTTCAACTCTGGTAAAGTTTGTCTGATACGATCTTGAATATAAATCTTTTCAGGTTGATCTCTTGAGAATGCAGCACCAATATGGGTAATGACACCAGCAGCTTTATAAGCTTCCCATAATTCACCATACAAATATTCTTCTTTTCTATGTCTAGCACCCAAGTACAAGTAAACTTCACCAATTTCCAAACCTTGTTGTTTTTGCCAGATTTTTTCTTCAACAAAAGCTTTGAATGGAGCTAACCCAGTACCTAAACCTGACATGACAATTGGTTGAGTTGATAATGGTGGTAATTTCATAACAGATGGTTTGACAGAAACAACTAATTCAGATCCAATTGATAATTGTGATAAATATCTTGAACATTGACCAAATCTTTTACGTTTTCTATTGTCAACCCAATCAACAACAACAATCAATAAATGAACAGCATTTGGATGCATTTTTTGAGATGATGCAATAGAATATTCTCTTCTTTTCAATGGTGGAATAATTGATAACAATTCTGTTAATGAAGGTTTAGCAGATGGGAATAATTCCAGAATGTCTGAAAAACTGTAGAATTCTTCATCTTGATATTTCTTTAATTCTGGAGCACCTTCAGCTGATGCAACTAATTCTAGTTTCTTCTTTTCATTTTCATCAGTTGCAAATGCAGCTAAAGATTCATAAAATCTTTTTGGTGGTTTACCTAACAAGTCCAAGTTTTCAGTGAAGGCTTGATAAACAGTTCTAACTTCAACAATATCAGAATTATCCCTATTTGGAACTTGAACTAATTCTTCAGGATTTAAACCATAGAATTCCAAAAATCTTAAAACTTCTTCTGGATCATTTCTACCATGGATACCTAAAGCCTCACCGATATCATAAGTTAATCCAGTACCTGTAATATCGAATTCGATATGGAAAATGTTTCTTGAATAATCATTTGGAGTGACACGACGATTTTCTTGAACTTTAACAACAAAGTTACGAACTGGTAAATCTGGTCTTAAATTGTTATCAATTCCATAAGCTTCACCAAATGCAAATTTCTTTGCAATTTCAACATAAGAAGTTTCTTCAGGTTGTTCAGGTTCTGGTGTTGATCTTGGATTTGGTTCAAATGATGATTCAGTTGGGAAAATTGGTAAGGTGACCTCATTTTCTTCAATTGGTAACTCTGCCCATTTTGGATCAAATTGAACTTCTTTAATACCTTTTTCGAAAATGTCTGTAATAATTGAAACTAAAACAGCTGGTAATAACTCAATGTCTGAGCCCGAAGCATGTAAAACCCTTCTAACAATGTCATTGATGTTCAATTGTGGTGCAGAATATTTCCAGAAAATTGATTGAATTGCAATTAATCCAGTACGGCCTTGGGTTTGAGCATAATCTCCAATAGTAGCCAAGTCAACAATAACAACTTTGTTTTCATTTTTGGCAACATTACGACGGAATTGAACAGGTAATGAATCAACAAAACTTTGCAAATCTTTTGGTAAATCTTGATGAACCAAAACAATGGTACCTTTTTGTTTAATAGTTTTAACAACATTCAAGTTTTTCAAAATTTCTAAAGTTTCAACAACAACCAAATCTGCCCTATCAACTGCACCAACTGTTGGAGATTCCAATTTAAAATCTGATTTAGTTGATGAAATCTGTGCTTGATAAACACCACCGGCAATCAAGTTATCAAATTTAGATCTGAATTTAACGATTGAACCTTGGTCTAACGAAAATGCATGAGCAATTTTGGATGCAACATCAACAAATTTGTCATTATCTAATGACCAGAAAATAAAATCACCATAAGGAACAGATGAACCCAAATTAGCTGGAACATTTGGTTGTTTCTTTGGTAAGACGATAAATGATCCAATGATTTGTTCAACGGCAATTGAAGACCAAATAAATGATGGTGAGTAAATAAATTCAGAAACCTTGACTTGTTTTGCCAATCCATTGAAGAAAATAGTTGAAGCAACATTAGTTTTCAACAATGATGACTTGTTATCTAATGATTGGCCAATAACAATTAATGATTGAGTAGATTCAGGAATAACGGAGACAAATTCTTCAGCATCAAAAGGTAAAGGGACTCTTACTGCAATAACACCAATTTTCAAATGACTTTTCAAAGCTAATTCTGAAATTTCCTTTGCAAATAACTCAGATTCGACAGAACCATAAACAACAAAGACACTAGTAGCATCTTTATGACCATAATATTCGAAAGGTTTGTAGTCGGTACCCAAAATAGAATTTAAAGCTGATAATGCTGCACTAGGTCCTTTAACAAATGGTAAGGATTCCCAACCAGAAACAGCAGTTTTCAATTTATTATAAGTTGAGCTCAAAGTTTCAAAATCCAAAACATTATCGATTCTTGAAGATTCTTTCAAGTATGTTGGACCATCATATAAGTTGACTGCAGGTGAAACATTTGCGAAAACTGAAGATAAAAGTGCTAATGGTTGTGCTTCTGAAGCAGAAAGCGGAGTGAAAACAGTGTAGTTCAAAGCATTAGCAACACTTAATGGAGTAACATAGTTTGGAACTAAAGCATTAGCTTCTGAATCATAATCTAAAGCTGCAATTTGGAAAGATAATGGTAATTTCTCATTGGTAAATTTTGATAATTGACCTTGGAAATATGGCAAAGCAGAACCAGAAGCAACAACAGGATAAACTTCACCATTAGAGTCTTTACCACCTTGAGAAGCAGCTGAAAGATAACCTAAAACAGCATTTGAAGCACCGGATCTAACTTCAAAACTTGACAAGTTTGGAACAACACCATTTGGGTTTTTTCTTTGTAGGACTGACCACAATTTCAAACCAATATCCAACGCATTTTCATGACCAATGGATTTGTAGGAAAAGATCTTGGAAGCATTAGCATAGATGGCTGAATTAATCAAACCATTTGGAGTAGTGTAAACAGTACCCTTCAAAGATTGTGGATCTTTGGTTAAACCAAACGGGGAAGAGATCGAAGCAGCTGACAAGTTCACCACTGATGAAGCTGAGCTTTCAACAGAGCCAGCAACAGAGGACATTTTGAGGATGGGCCTTTATGGTGTTGGTTTAAAAGGGAAAGATTTCAACCTTCAACATTGATATGGTTTTTTTGCATTAGCCACAATCTCGAGAATGATTTCTTCACGATAAACAATTTCACGTGAATTGACGGTGGCTAATGCTGCACAAGCCATGAGGCGATTGTTCCAGCCACTTGGATTTCGCGTTGTGGCTAGTGCTTCGTCTTACGTAAGAATCCGGTCTGAATTTGTTGTGAAGCTTCAAAATGTGCCACTTTAAACTTGAACTTAATGAAATATAACCGCTGTCATCATCAAAGCAATTCTATAGTTGTCGATAAAAGAATAATAGGTAATTAAATTCTGGATAACTTGTTTGTGGTTGTGATTGTTGCCTTAGAATGTCTGTCAACCCATTACTGTTGAATGACTTCCAGGATAAACCCCATGCTGAACAAGAATCAATATTACAAGAGATAAGGTTAAGCATTATTGGTGATGAAGATGAAAAATTGATCTTATTAAACTCTTCTAGCTCCACAGAGTTATTCAAGCTGCTTGACAGATATGTTGTTGGTGATGAAACGAATTCTCAAATATTGGAACATTTGCTAATTATCATTTCCTCACTGTCTTATTTGCCAATTGCGCTACCAAAACTGATTAATGAATATCATGTACTTAGTAAGTTGATGGTCATTTCAAATTTATTCAGTGATAATCATGGTATTCTCTCCATCATTTTCAAGTTGTTGTCAAACATTCTATCACTCAAACATGACTTGAATTTGGAACTTAACACATCCGAAGGCTATTCTTTTAAAAACTTGTTATTCAATAAATTGGAAAGTGATGCAACTGATAATTACAAAATTGTGCATGACAATTCTTTATTACTCAATATTTTCACATTGATCCCTCATTTGAACCCTCTGGAGCTGAAAAATCTTATCAATCCAAGTTTAAGAATTTTAGAAATTGTTTTAAACAAGCCAACAAATTACTTGTTATCCAAATATTCGAATAAAAGATTCTACTCAGGGTGCTTTGATAGTTTAATTGTTCCAAACTCGCCACCATTATTCTTGTTTTCCAATTTGACAGGCCCTTTGCTATATTCATTATCACATTTATTGTATTATGACCAAGAATCACTAATGAAGACGTTCACAGATTCAGCTGATCATACAAACGATATTGAGGAATTGAACAAGAAGAATAAAATTGACAAGACTTTTAATAAGAATCTATACTTCACAATATCTTCTTTATTGAAATCAAGTGATTTTGAACTAAAATTGTCTGCAATTTCCATCTTGATTAATTTTTCATTAAATTCTACACTTACTGAGGGTGAAAAAAATAAAAATGTTAGAAAGTTTCTACCATATTTGATTCAATTAATTGATTTAGATGAATCCAATAATTTGATTGTGTTCAAAAGTGAGCTCAAATTATCAAGAAGGTTTAATCCCTTTTATATCTTGTCCAAATTATGTTTGAATTTTGAGTTTGTTAATGACTACTTATTGAACTGCAACATCATCAAGAATTTCTGTGAAATTATCACCAAATTTAATAATTCAGATTTTGATTCATTATCTTTACTGAAATTAGATAATTTATCTGATTTATTTTTGATTTTAAGTTCAATTACTTCAAATAGTGAACCAAATAGACAACTGATCACTAAACATGACTTGGCTCCTGCTATTCATAAGATTTTGGAATTCCATTACATGAATTTGGTGAAATATTTGAAGGATGAGGGAGATGAGATTACAATAGATGACAGTTTAGAGAATGGTGCATCACAAAACATTGAAGAGTTAGTTATTGCTTCAAACCATCTAACAGTTTCAACTTGTTATTTACTACGTTCATTATCAAGAAGTGTGTCAATCCTGAGAACCTATTTACATGAATCAAATATTGTGGAAAATTTGTTGAATATCTTGAAAGTTTCAGAAGATTCATTACTTAAACTCAAAAATAAGAATTTTGTCATCATTAGGGCTGAGATTTTGTTGAAAACAGTTATATTATCAATCATTTCAAACCTAATACTAGATTTCAGTCCGTTAAGAAATGAATTATTGAACAAGAATTTGGTTGATATTGTTGCAGATTTGTTATTAACAACCACACATAATTCAATCAGGGCCAATTGTTTATGGGTGTTCCGTCATACTATTTATAATGAAACTGTGATGAATAGAGATAAAACAATTGAAAGAGTTGGTATTGATAATCTCATTCAATTTTGCAATGATGATGATTTGATGATCCAGGAACAAGCTTTTAACGTTTTCAGAAATTTATTATGCCAATCAAAAATCCACGTCAATAAGTTTTTGAACCATTTCTTGGATGAAAATAAAGCTGAAAATTATTTTTTCAGATTTCTATATGACAAATTATCAAATATATCAGTTAAGGATTCAAAAAATGTTGGTGTTTTAGAAAGTATGCTATTCATCTTGGTACACATTGCAGCCAGTACTGAAGTCAAAAGAGAATTGATTGCGAAACATGAGTTTTTATTGGAAAAGGTTAAAGACGTACTTACAACTACCGAGAGTGATGAAGTTAGACTTCCTTGTGTTTGGCTAGCTGTCAATTTAACATGGATTGAAAACATACAAGACCAAGAAATTTATAGAGGTGCAGCTGATTCATTTCTTCCAACAGGAGGACCTCAATCTAGATCTAACAATTTTTTTGAAGACCAAGACGTTATGGATGAAGATGATGATGAAGACGAAGAAGAGGATGAAGATGATGACGAAGGCTTTGGAGAAACAAGACGTGTTTTAAGATCTCATGTTGCATCTGGTAATACTAGAGGTGGGTCTGAATTTCAAAACTCCAATGCAAACTACACAGACAATGTTGTCAAAAGGGCTAATATATTGAATAGGCTTGGTTATACTGAAGTTTTGTCAGGATTCTCAGATAGTGATAACATTGATTTGAGAGAGAGAGCTAAAACTGCAGTGTTTAATTTGAATCACCTCATCAATAGGTAGTGTATATGACTTAACTAATGATTATGAAATTATTTGAAACGTAGGTTGGTTAAGGCTTACATTGGATTACAGCGATAGAGAAGAACTACAAGCTTAGGATTACAGCAATAGGGAATGATTACAAGCTTAGGATTACACTGATAGAGATTAATATTTACAATCTTAGGATTACAATGGTAGAGAAGATTACAAGTTTAGGATTACAGTAATAGTGAAGGATTACAATCTTAGGATTACAATCTTAGGATTACAATCTTAGGATTACAATTATAGAGAAGTATTACAAGCTAAAGGTTACAAGCTTAGAGTCGAGATCCGGAAATAATAAACCGGATCTATTTAATGTGGAATCTGTTGATGAGCTTTTGAAAACAACTTTGGAACCAGTAATCAAACCATCGACTCCAGTCAATAGTCAACAACAACAACCATGTCTGATACCTATCTAACATCATTAGGGATTGGTATATCCACCTTGTTGATCCTGGGAACCATATTCTACCTCCGTTCAAATACAAAACCATCTAAACCAGAACCATCAAGAAAACAACCAAGAAAACCCAAAAAACCAGTCAAGATCCTAACATTATTGGAGAGATTCCAGCTAGCTTTAACCACTGTTAATACCACTGTTAGAACTGAACTTGAGCCAGAAGTTGAAAAGTATTATACAGACATCAATCAAATTTCACCAGATGATAGATTGTATAAATATAACTATTTCCAAGAAGAATTGTTGAAAGAATTGATCAAATTGGATGAGATTGACTTGACACTTTTAGATGATGAAACAGTTAAAAAGACCTTGAAAGATGAAAGAAAAATTATCATTAAACATATTCAAGGTTTACAAAAGGGACTTGATGGGTACAAAAAGGAAAATAGCGGTAAATATCCAAAAAATTGATTTTTGTGTCTAGGTTTGATTTAAAATGCATTTGTGTTACATAGAGTATTTTTTTCGCGAAATGACAGAGCATTTACGTAATCCACCGAATTCGGACTCCTTCCCGATCTGGCAATTCTTTTTGCCAAATTTCTACGGTTTTTTCGCGCGCATTAAAATTTTGTGCAGAAAGTCATGATCAGCCTCATGATTGAACTTTAAACAAAGGGTCGTATTTGTATAATTGTCGAGAAAGATAGTAAAATTATTCCATGAATTTGAATTTAAGACAATTATCTCATATCTCAAGCTTTTTGAATCTCAGTTTGGCCAATTGCTTTTCTTTTAAAGTGCGAACCATGTATTATATGGGGGACATGGAGAGATCGCTACACCTTCACCTTGTGGTGATGGGGTCCTTGATACCCCAACTGCTCAAACAACAACCACAACATGGGCAGGCAAAAAACACATTGATCAATTTACAACAACAACCATCTTCAAAGCCACGCTGGTCCCTTTATCCAGTTAAAGCGTAAACAAAAGGTATATGAGCCACTACAAGCTGTTTCCAGGTGAGTGACACCAAGCTCAGTATAATCCCGGATGTGCGTCCCGGACCAGGAAGGAGCAAGTTTATAGCGCAAATTTAATGGCTTTGACACTTTTTTTGCGTTGTGTCAAGGTGAAGATGCTATCATCTATGTAGATTCTAGTATCAAGTAAAGGTTCTCCAAAGAACTCTCTTTTCTGGTTGTAATCAAACTGTTCAGCCTGAGATCCTCTTCCCTAGAATCACCCGTTTGTGTGTGTTTTGGGTTGCGTGTGTCTTTTGACTTGTGCTTGCTCATACAAAATTTTTCAGGAAGCCCAACCCGCGTGATATCAGCATAATAGAAATTCTCACCATCACCTAGGCTAACGTTCCAGAACTAATTAACGTATTGATTCTCAGCGCGCTATTAATTTATTATTATCACTATTACTAGTAGTAGCTGGATGTATAAATACAGCAGTGGATCCTGATTAGTAGCTGTTGCTGCTTGTTTGTTTGTTATTGTTTTGAATTCAACTTACACATCATATTCACACTCAAACTATACAATACATCAACATGAGTACACATCATAGTCACTCTGATATAGAGTCTATAAACTCACAGGCTCAACTGGATCAAGCGCCTCAAGCTTATGTCCCAGAAGATAATCAAGACGCTGTGTCGGAATTGAGTTCGTTTGCATCAAGAACAACTACAAATAACAATGTCAGATTAGTTCCAACTGAAACTGTCAAATCTTTACAAGATATGGGTGTTCAAAGTGATGCTCCAATCCCAGACGTTAATGCTCCTCAAAGTGTTAAAAATGCCATTTTCCCAGAAGAATATACTTTGGAAACTTCAACTGGGTTAGTTCCAGTGGCTACTTTACAATCAATTGGTAGAACTGGTACTCAAGTATCAAGAACAAGAACTGCTCATTTAGCAAGAAGATCAACACATATTGATGATCAAGAAGATGAATCCTCATCAAACACCAATGTGGAGAAAAAAGAAGGTGAAGAAACTCCTGGGTCTGATGAAATTGATCCAGAAATAGAATTTGTTACATTCGTCACTAATGATCCTGAAAACCCTCATAATTGGCCATTATGGTTGAGATGGGTTTATACTGTTAATTTATCAATCTTGGTTATTGCTGTTGCATTTGGTTCTTCTTGTGTTACCGGTGGATTAGGTTTAATTAATGACAAATTTCATGTTTCTTTAGAAGTTTCAATTTTAACTTGTTCATTAATGGTTTTCGGTTTTTCATTAGGTCCTTTATTATGGTCTCCATTATCTGAACAAATTGGTAGACAACCTGTTTACTTCATTTCATTACTACTTTACGTCATTTTCAACATTCCTTGTGCTGTTGCTAAAAACATTGGTACATTATTGGTTTGTAGATTCTTATGTGGTGTTTGGGCAAGTTCAGGTTTATGTCTAGTTGGTGGTTCAATTGCTGATATGTTCCCAACTGAAACTAGAGGTACTGCTATTGCAATGTTTAGTTTTGCTCCTTATTGTGGTCCTGTTTTCGGTCCTTTAATTTGTGGTTGGATTAATGTTAAAACTGGTAGATTTGATGTTATCATTTGGGTTAATTTAGCATTTGCTGGGTTCATGTGGATCACTGCAACTTTAGTCCCTGAAACTTATGCTCCAGTCATTTTGAAAAGAAAAGCTAAAAGATTAAGAAAAGAAACTGGTAATCCTAAAATTATGACAGAACAAGAAGCTCAAGGATTATCATTCAAAGAAATTGTTCAATCATGTTTGGTTAGACCATTATATTTTGTTATATCTGAACCAGTTTTAGATTTGGTTTGTTTCTACGTTTGTTTGATTTATGCTTTATTATATGCCTTTTTCTTTGCTTATCCAGTTATTTTCTCTGAATTATATGGTTATAATGATGCTTACATTGGGCTAATGATGATTCCTATCTTGATTGGTGCTGTTTTAGCCTTGGTTGTTACACCAATTATTGAACGTCAATATGTTAAAACCGCTCATAAAAGAAAAATGACACCTGAAGATAGATTAGTTGGTGGTATGATTGGTGCTCCTTTCGCTGCCATTGCCCTTTGGATCTTGGGTGCTACTTCTTACAAACATATCATTTGGGTTGGTCCAGCTTCTTCAGGTTTAGCTTTTGGATTCGGTATGGTTTTGATTTATTATTCATTAAATAACTATATCATTGATTGTTATGCTATTTATGCCTCATCTGCTTTAGCTACCAAAGTTTTCTTAAGAAGTGCTGGTGGTGGTGCATTCCCATTATTCACTACTCAAATGTATCATAAATTGGGTTTACAGTGGGCTAGTTGGTTATTAGCATTCATTTCAACTGCAATGGTTTTGATTCCATATGCATTTTACTTCTATGGTAAAACCCTAAGAGGTAAATTATCTAAAAAGAACTATTCTTTGGATGAAACTGCTTAAAGAGAGTTTAATCATTCATTTTAAATCAACCAAGTCAATACAATACAACAAATCAAAGTCATAAAGTTCCAGTTTAATATAAACACACAAAGAGCTAGGAACTTCATAATTTAGTCATTCATAATCATACAAAAAGGTGATGATACCTTTTTCAGTTAATAATATAGAGTATGGTTTTAATTATAATATCAAAAACTTAATAACTATAAATCTTAAGTGTAGTTTTCATGGATCTAAAATTCACGAAATTACGATTTCTTTGATGCAATCCATATCAGTTCCGAATTTGGAAGCTTCTTTCCCTTTTCGGACAAATTTCAACACCAGCGAATTTCATTGAGAGAAAACACAATTGAAAGGTGGATTACTTTGATTCTTGACTTTTGCAATTCACCAACCATTGAGCTCAATTGAGTCTTGAATACCATTCATTCACTTTCCATTCACATACAAATCCTGTTTCACATTTCTCAAGCAGGTCAGTTTAAATAATCCAAGACAGCAATTCTGCCACTAATTGCCGAAAAATTCAAGGAGTATATAACATAACCTCGACTTGCCCCGTGTTTTCAAAGTTATTATCAACAACAACCAGTGAACAATCTCAATTGAATCAAACCAACGATGCCTCGTCCTGATCCCTTTGCTGCTCTATATGAGAAGGAAGAGAAAGACGAAGAAACTCAATCAATCTTGTCTTATGCTGTTAGCAAAAGTTCAAAGAAAACTGAAGGTGGTGACGATGCTGAATCTAAGGACTGCTCAAAGACAAAATATAGATCTCCTTTTAGATTTAACAAAAAGAACTCAGATAAAGTGAGACCAAGTGACTATACAAAGAACAATACCATCAGTTTCCCTTCAAAGTTCTTCAATAGGGTTGAACAAAAAAATAAGAAGGAATTGGAAGAATTGGAGAGACAAGAGGAAAAATTGAAACTGTTGAAAAAGCAACATGAAGAAGAAGTCAAAGCATCAGAAGAAGCAGCTAAAAGAGTGAAAGAGGAAGATGAAAAAAGATTGAAGGAGATTGAAGAGAAAAAAAAGGCCGCCTTGAAGAAAGCTGAAGAAGCTAAAGTTGCTCAAAAGGAAGCTGAAGCCAAATTAAAAGCAAAGAAAGAAGAAACTAAAGAGGAATCAAAGAAAGACGCTGTTGATAAAGAAACTGAAGAAACATCTGAAAAGAAGAAAGATGTTGATGAAGTTGAAAAGAATGATGAAGAAGAAGTTGAACCTTTATCCGATGCCAATGAAGATGAAGATGATGAATTATACACCAAAAAGGACTTGAAGAAAGATGAAGAAACACCTGAGAAATTTGAGCCTGAAGCTACAGAATCAACAGGTGCCGATTTATCAAAGACAAAAAGTAAAGAATTAGAATTACCAAAGGATTCTAAAGATGAGGAATTGGCACAATCTGAGGCTGATGAAATCATTGCTGAAGAAGTTCCCTTGAAAGAACACGCTTCTCCAAACAAGAAAGCTTATGCTGATGAAGTCCCATTGACATCTGGTACCGATGCCACTGTCAAAAGTGAAGAAACTGAAATCACTGAGCCAGAAGAAGAAGAGGAGGAATTGGGTGAATCTGAAAAGACAACTAAGGCAATCAACGATGAAGTTGATGATTTAGATGTCCCATTAACTGAAAAAGATTCTGATCCATTAGTTGTTAAAGAAGTTGGTCCGGTTGCTACTTCTGGCGAGAAGGATGAAGAAAATGCAGCTGATTTGGAAACAAAATTAGAGAAAGAAGACGCCGAAGAATCTAAAGAGGAAAAGAAAAAACGAGTCGAAGATGAAGTTAACGTTGAGGAGAAGGAAGCTGAAGAAGAGAAAGAAGTTGTTGACTTGGAAGAAAAACTTGATGAATCTGAAACTAAAAAAGATGTTAGTAAAAAGACTCCTGAATCCAAATCACCGGAAAAGAATAAATCAACATTGGTTGGTCAAGCTACTCCAAAAAAGAAACTATTTGGTTTAATCCCAACTTTATCATCCACTAGCAACACTAATGGCAATGGTACTTCAGCCGGCTCTGAAAAATCTACAGCTAAACCAAAACCAACGGTTCACGATGAAATTTCTCAAAAGAATAAAGAGCATCAATCAAAATTACAAGCATTGCAATCCAAGAATAAAGCTGTCTTACAAAAAATTGAATCTCAATACGATGTTCAAATCAAAAAATTAAAAGATGAAATCTCAAAAATTGAACACAGTATCAAAAAGACTGATGAACATACTACAAAGACTATTGCTACTGCTAATGAGAAGCATGAAACCAATTTGAAAGAATTGGCTGAAAAGCATGAAGAAGAAAAAAAGAAGTACTTTGAAGAAACTGAAGAAAAGCAAAAGGAAAAACAACAAGAAGTTGAAGAATTAAAGAAACAACAAGAACAAACCACAAAAGACTTAGAAGATTTGGAAAAGCTACAAATTGAATCAAGTGAAAGATTAAAAGAATTGGAAGTTGATATTCAAAAATTGAAATCTGAAATCAAAGGTGAACAAGATAAATTGGATGATTTGAATAAGGAAAAGGAAGTCAAATCTGATGAAATTGAAAAATTGAAAGAAGAAAAAGATATAATCTTGACAAGAATTAAAGAATCGGAATTGAAAACTTCAAAATCTGAACAAGTCATTTCCGGATATCAAAATAAAGATTATGAGAAGGAAATTGAGGCCATCAATAAAGATATTGAAAAATTGACAAAAGAGTTATCAACTTCAAAGAAAGCCTCTGATGATGCTCAACTTTCAAAATCAAGATTAGAAAGAGATTTAGGCGACAAAGAAGTACACGAGTCTAAAGAAAAGGCAAATCAACAAAAACTGGCCACATTGCAAGAACAAGCTGAGTTAACTGATCAGCATCAAACTGATAAGATCAATGAGGCAAAGAAAGAAATTGACAGATTAGAAACTGATAAAGTTAACATCACCAAGGAGATCAAAGGTGAGAAAGGTTCAGAAACTAATGCTTTAAAGCAAAAGGAAGCCTTATTAAAACAAGTTGCTGATGCAAAGTCAAAGAAAGAGTCAATTTTAAAAGACCTGAAGAATGCCACTAGCTCAGACTATGAGTTTATTGAAAGAGAAAGCATTGCTGACCTAACTGATACTGAATCTACAAAATGAACTTTTTAAACTAATCACATTATCTGCTTATGTGTTGCCAAGTCATATAGTGAGTGCTGTATTCTTTGTGTATTATTTCTATCAGGCATATTATTAATTGTTTAGTTTTTATTTATGATGTAATCTTATTTTATGGCCGAGCTGTACTATTGAACGTGTCGATAAGCATCCGAGAAAACAGAGAAGAATTAATCCTAAATTCTAATAACCTCAAAAAAAGTGGTTCATTTGTCCAGATATCACACTATTCCGTCTTCAGAAAGTCCTGCTGAAGGTCTGGATGTTTCAGAGCATCTATTTCCTGGTTTAATTATAACTGGTGCATCTTTAAGGTCTGGAGAACATGAAATTGAACATTCTGATCAAGATTCCGATCAACTAAAACAAAGAATACAATCCATTTAATTTGATAACACTAAAAAGCAAACTTTTGAAGTGATACTCGAAAGCTTACCACATCGAAGAGTAGACTGATTTTGCTGCGCCTGCTACGGCTATTAAAAACTTGCTTTAACAAGTAGTATAACATCTTTATGAGATTGTTTGTATAGTGTTTGGTGCCCCATATGAGATGATTAGTAAAGATGGTATTTTCTTCTGAAAGAAGTGTATAAGAATACAGGATAATTCCAGTTCTGAGAACTGAGGTCGTCTGTTATGGGGTATTAATCTTGCAATAGTCTGAAGGACCAGAGATACACCAAATATCTGTAGGAGAGCTCATCATGTCGACAATAAGAAATACTTCCACTGGAGACGCTGCTGATGTAGCTACTGGTGAAGAGGCTCAGGTTCAAGAGGTATCAGGCAACTCTTCGCAAAACTCAAATGCTGGTGAGCAATTTATTGCAAGGATTCCAATCAATTTCAATGAATATAGAGTGATCCAAGACATAGAAGCTCATCTTACTAGAGTTATCAAAATCACCACAAAGGGACTTCAACAGTATTTTATTAAACCTGGATGTTTTCATGATTATGAGTCTCACCATAGTTCTGACTATATTGTTGTATTGAAGCTCTATAGTTTTAACCATTTAGAGAATTATTTTTGGAATTTTTTTGATAATTATATGGACGAGACGCTCGATGAATTTTCAGACAATATCATCAAAGGCAAATATGAAACTGAAGTGGAAATAAATAAAATCATTAATGATTTTAATGACACTGTTGACGATCCATCCAAAATGATAAATTCACCAAGAATGCTAGCCTTTGGGCGAATGACCTCTACCAGTGTGTTGACACCATTTGATGGTTACTATATTGCTTTCCAAGAGGTGAAAGTTGGTAATAATAAATTTAATGGAAATCATATAAAAGGATTGATTGATGAGGTTCAAAAATTTCATTCGATTAAGATAGCTCACGGGGATCTTGCAATTAGAAATATATTAGTTGACGAGCAGGATGAAGTCCATCTTATTGATTACAACAGTTTATAATAAAAGGGATAAATCAGAATAAATCAAGTAAGCTGAATGAACTAATTAAAAAGCTGGCCATTGTTATAATTGGAGCAATTGTAAAATTTGTGGAAATCACCAAGAATATATTCCTAATACTTTTCTCGATGAATTAGTCCTAATGGTTTGTTAATTAGTTGATATTTCTAAGATGAAATTCAGATGCAACGTCAATAATATTATAATATTAATAATATTTAATCCAGCTAATTATTTAATAATAATTAAAATATGCATGTAAATATCTAATATTATTGATCAAGTATATAATTATATAATATCGCACAGCTATAATAATTAAATTAATATTAAAATATAATATTCAAAATCGTGACGTATATTAAAAATGTACTTAATAGCTCATGATGCAATTCATCACCAAACACTGACTTCATCACTTCTTTGGTATCACATTTCTTCAAAACACAACATACCAGCAAAAAAACACCACCACATGAAACTCTAGCCATTTAGCGACCTTGAAAAGTAGGAGATTCCATTGAATTGCACCATCTGCTTAAGAATATTTTCCAAAAAACACTTGAAATGCTGTTTCACGGGTTTCAAACTTTGCATCACAACTTTTCAAAGAGTACCTTTAGAATATCATTCATAGCACCAAAAGTTGTAATTCCACCTCTACTTTCCAAATCAGCACCCCTTTGACCATGGGAGTCCCTCTGACGAGCTATAGTGTTCATTTTATCGGATTCACAATCCATCCATGTATCACCACACCACCATCTTTTGCATATTCCAATTTCAACAACTTCACTTCTGCCAAATCTGACACCTTGACTGTAAAATTCTCTAAATTTTGATATGGAAACCACTTTCAAAATAACCATTCACCACCAAATTTGATCCGGAATTTTCAAAAACAGGGGTTTTCATGGACCCTTGGATGGATTTTTCAAGGCCATTGATCGGGTTTTCCCTGGTTTTCCGCGAATTTTGGGCGGTTTTGGATGGGTTTTGAGGATCAGGGAAATAAATCAAGAGAAAATGAGGTACATACCAGCTGAAATTTGGCCTCCAACACCTCAGCGGTACTCCAATAACATGTTCATAAGTTGTATTCCGACCTGTAGATTCCAATAAAACCCTTAGTTTCTCATTTGGTTGACTACTTATGGTTCTGGGTTCCATTTTATCGGGTTTGAAAACCCCCTTTTCACCACTTGACCCCCTTCTTGGCCCAAAACTTGTTAGCAAAGTATCTTGTATCAACAAAATTGAATTGGATATGGAAAATACATGTGCTTAGCTCCCTAAAACTCTTTGAATTCCCTCAAAAACGCTTCTGGTTCCAAAAATATCAACAAAACTAACCAAATTTTTCACTTTCACCACATCCAAGTTCTTGCCATAACTTTCCAAAAAGTAACACTGCAACACCAATCTCAACTCCACAAGTTGTATTTCCACCTCTATTTTCCATAATATTACCACCTTGCACATGGGAGCTCCTCTGAGATCCTGTAGTCTTCATTTTATCGGATTCTTAAATATGCTGGATATGTTCAACGACCAATTCTCATAGTCCACTCATGCTTAATACTTTTGTAATCCTTTGAGTGTGAACATTAATAGGCCTTCAAATTGGATGACTAGTATCAATTGAGTCCACGATTGGTTCGCTATTGCTGTTTGAATTGTTATTGAAGGGGTTCTTCTCAGTACATTCTCGAGATCGAATCGGCCAATTTTTTTCCACGACACAGGTCGGAATATGCTCAGTCACGTTTTCGCGATTCCTCGGAATTGAAATTGGTTACCCGCCTGATTTTAAAGCTGCATAAGTGTTCCGACTGTACGTGAGGTTTATGCACAATAATTCAAATCAGAGGATTCTTTTGACTAGGCAATATGTTGAAGCTCATCTATTTCCCTTATCATTTGATCCTTTAGCTGCTGCATTCGAATTTTATCTATTTGTTTTTTCTAAGTTGTAGAGTCTAGTGGTATTAATTATTAGAATTGTAGTTATCTTTAGTAACCTTTGTTTTGGCTGGGTGCTGAAAAACAAAGTTCTAAGAACAAGCGATCCTAAACAACCAACACCCATTGGATTTCAAACTATACCCAATTGAAACATATTCAATCATGTCATTTTTCAGCAATTTCTCAAAGACCCTTCAATCAGGGTTGGAAGAGGGTTTGAAAGAGGCTCAAAAATTCTCTAATGATTTGACCCCAATTGCAAAGAGAACAGCTAGATTAGTTCAAGAAAGATTTGGTACAATTGAAGATATTAGTGAACTTCCAGAAGAATATATCTTGTTAGAGAAGAAAGTTGATACTTTAAGATCTGTTTACAAAAAGTTGTTAGCGATCACAACTACTTATGAGATTGAAAGTTATGATTATCCACCTAATATCAAAGAATCAGTTTCTGACCTTTCCAAATCCATTTCTGAGAAATTTCAAGGATTACAAAAAGCCTCAAATACAGCTGATGTTGAAAAGGTTTTGAATTCTGATACTCAAAGTGCTCCATTACCAAAAACTTTAGCTCATGAAATATCCAAAGCTGCGAAAAGCTCACATGAATTATTGAAGACTTTTGGTGAAGACAATTCTTTGTCTAAAATTCTACTTAGATTATCTGAGGCGGAATTAAAGATCGGTAATAGAAGAATTGAACAAGATCAATTGATAATTAATGAATTCAATGCCAAATTACAAGATATTTTGAATCAAAACTTTCAAGAAACTCAACTAAATAGAAAAAATGTTGAAAACGCCAGATTAAGCTTTGACACATTGAGATATGAAGTTAAACTAAACCCAGAAAAGCAAGAACAATTACAAGAACAACTAGACAACAGTGAGGATGAGTTGGTTAATGCTACCACTGTTGCTGTCCAATCCATGAAGAAGTTAATTGAACCAGCGGAATCAGTTAATTTAGTTATTTTATTCTCTAAGATTCAATTGGACTACCATAAGTCTGTTGTTACTGAATTAGAATCCCTGGTGAAGGATCTTGAAAGTGTTCCGATTGAAGAAGAGGAAGAAGAAGAAGAATCATAGGCAATTCTTAAATATATCTGCTAAAGTGCTCCTTTTAGTTGTAACCGCCTTTATATATGACATTTCATGTTAAATCTCAATTAAGTACAAAATATGACCTTGTCTTTGCGACTTTTGTTCAGCTTTGTTATTGGTTGTAGGCTGTAGCTGATATACTGATTATTTCTACATTACAATTTGAATAAATAATTTTATATTACCAAACCTCTGATGCTGGCACCCATATTTCAAACCAAAAGAATCAAAAACACCAAAACAAATCAAAACAAAGACATATATACAAACTGAGCTCCTCTCAATGTAATGACTCACAAATCGAATTATTGGTATTGATCTCCATGACACTTGCTAGTCTATGGAAAAACACTTCACCAAATGATAAACCAAGAATAATCGCGAAGAAGTAAGGAATAATAAAACTCATAGCAGCCAACATTAATGCGTAACCAAGCATAGCTGAAACAAAGGCCAAAATGACTCTAATGAAGTCTCTGTATAATGAACTTGGTGTAACAGCGAAAAATTTAGCAATAACTGATCTATTATTCTCAGCATCTCTCTTTTTCACCAAAACACTTTCCATATCCGTACTTCTTGTGCTTTCATTTATCACATTTTTTTCATCTTGATGAGTATGGTGCGTTGTTTCATTTTCACTTAGATCAAACTTCTTTGGATCTCTGAAAACGGTTTGTTCTAAATAAGCACTCAAGAATCCTAAACCTCTGAATGCAAAAGCTGTAAAGAATAAAACACAAAAGATTCCAAATGCAGCACCACCACTTGCAGCTGATAAATTTTTGAAAACGACTGGATAACCTGAGTATTTTGTCGTCAAAAAAGTGTTCATACTCATATGCATTCCCATGTCCATTGAAGAAGAACCTGTCGAAGAGCTCATTGGCATGGACATAGAAGCTGTTGTATGATGACCCATACCACCCATACCACCCATGTTCATTGACGATGAAGCCGTTGGAGTTGATGAAGACATGGCCATAGACATCATGGCCGAGCTTGAAGCTGATCCCATATTCATTTTTGATTTGTGGTTGTATTGGAAAGAATGACTGTAGTGAACTCCTCAAATATAGATCTATCGATATCTTATATGGAAAACATACTCTTTTTATTAGATTTGTATCGATCCAAAGGTGTTTTCAGATCTAGCTCGTTAGCTTCGAGATTATTTGCTCGCCCATACACACCGTTCCAAGTAGCTAAATCGGGCGAAATCTGCTCGTTTTTTCCGCGAAACCAAAAAAAAAAACGAGGCCGTTGACACTTTGTAAATTGGCAGATTTTTCGCTTCGATTATATAATCCTTTCGCGAAAACCTTTATTGTGGTGATGAAGTTTCTCCATCAAAATGATGACAGTTGTGCATTTTAAACCAATAACTCAACCTGGATGACGAGACCAGTGGTTATTACTACTTGAGCAGAGATGTCATCATTTGAAATCACGTTCAGTGCTAATCCCGCATCCAAGGACTTAGTTAGAGAACTGCCTGTTAAGCGTGATGTAAGTGTTTAATGAAGCTATGGTGGCCCATTAGTACTATCACAGATAGAGTATCAAAAAAGTGCGGAAATGACTAACGTTTGTAACAATAGAAAAAACAACCCGCTTGTAATAGGTGTCGGAAATCTCATAGAAAATGCCAGTTGGACAAGCCTGATGATCTATCGTGCTTGAGATGTATCAAAGCTAAGGCCCAATGTATATGGGAAACACCTTCTCAACAATCCAAATCAGAAGAATCACCAGCATCATCATCATCAGCAGCAGCTGTTCCATTGAAAAGATCAAGCAGTCCACTTGAAATAACAGAGAATTCCGAGACTAATCGTGATGATAAACGTCAAAAACTGAGCTCATTGTTCAAAAATGAACACATTTATGCAAAAGTTTTGGAAGCAAGTTCAATAAGTTCACAGTTCATCACATCAACACAACCTTTGGCGCCTATATTGTCTCGTGATTCATTGTTATGTCTTGATGGTGAAATACTAGGTTTATATTGCCCTTGGAGAGATGTGTATTATGAACCTAGAGACCGTTATGGGAATAAGATTGACAAAGAATTGCAAACTTATTTAACAAAGAAAGGTGCATTTATTGTTCCACAAATATCAGAACAAAGAAAATTGGTTCAGTTATACTTGGATAACCTTTACCCTTTTTATCCAGTTGTACAAAGAGATGTTATCAATGATTTACAAAGTGTACCTTTGATTTTGCTGAATGCAATGATGTTAGCTGGTGTGAGATATGATAAAAGCTTGAAAAACACTGAATTTAGAATCAGGGCTGAAGAATTTAGGTCTCGCTGTGCTTTATTACAAATGATTGAATCGAACAAAGTCACCTTGATTCAATCTTATTTATTGCTATCATCAAATGAAGAAGGGCCAGAGGGACCAAGCTCTTCAAGAGAATATATTTCAAAAGCAGTTATACTCAGTATTGAATTGGGGTTACATAACCTCGCAACTAGTGAACAATTTGATTTGACCAAAATTGATGGTACTGATAAGAAAACTGCATTTAGGTTGAATTACAGTAGGAATTTAATGGCTAGATTATTTTGGACTTCTTTTTGTTGTGATAGAACCACTGCTGCTACAAGTTGCACCGCAATGCTTTACAACATTTCAGATATGATTGTTGATGAGCCAATCGTGAAAGATTTTGATGATGGTGTTCATCAAACTCAAGATTATGAATTGTTTAAACGGTGGTACACATTAACAAAACTGTTTGAAAGAGTACTCATGAAAGTTTACAGACCACCAGGTAAAAGAAGTGTTGATGATGAAAGTTTAGAGCTGGATTTGTTGAATTGGGGAATTAGAAACTTGAATGCCACGTTACCGGTTGAGTCAAAGTTCATTAGGTTTTTCAAAATTGTTCATGCTTATTGCAATTTGTTATATCTTCGATGCAAGATCGGGTTCTTGGATTTAATTGAGGATAATATCCAACCAAATTTTGAGTCAAACTCAAATCCATTATCAACTGCTGGAATGTATTATGTTACAAAATTTTCAAAAGACGTTATTGAAAATTTGACCAATGGAGAGGACAATATTGAACATATCATCAACACACATGCGCTTCTACATGTCCTCGTTCTGCTTCATTTGGAAATGGAATCAAAGAAGCAAATCACTCAAGAGAATAGTGCTGAATATACTCATCGTGTTCGTGATTTGAATGTTCTATTACGGTTGAAGCAAGAACAATTTGACCAATGTCTAGAATTGTTGCAACAGTTTAGAAACAAGTGGTGGTTTTCAGCAGCAGCTTTCCATCTATTCAAGACACTTGCAGAAAAGCAATCAACTATGAAGTTCAGTCCAACAACATTGGAAAGTATATTCATCAACCAGGGTGAATTCGGAGAAAAGTTAACGGTTTGATTCATACCAATTGCTTGAAAAGGTGTCCTTCCTTTATGCTTAGTGTAAATGAAAGTTCATCGATCAACCTTCATAAATTTATCAAAATGGTGTTTTGAAACCGAATTATGATTCAGATATCGTTGAAGTTATTTTCAAGGTGGTAACAAGGCACGTCAGGTGCACCGTGGTTCTATTAACTTACACCGGCTAAATACTTCATTAAGTTGGCAGCAGTTTCTTCAGTTGACGACCGACTCTTAGCAACTACATATCAATTGATTAATTTGACTCAAATCACTGTAGCTAGTCTTGAAGCATTCTCTCTTGAGATTTAATAACTGTTTTCCATAATCTAATAGGGTGTTGGAGAGCCGCAATTTATTGATTGGGAGTGCCCGAGGCCGCAACTACCCAACATTGATGGTCTTTACATCAATACTAATTTCTGATATCCCTCTTGCTACAGCTGTTTGCTAATACACTAATTACGGTTGGCTCTTGTCGTTACTTATTCAAGAAACGAAACCATCCCGCATTGTTTTCGAGCGCGTGCGGGATGCTGTTTTAGGAAGGCCCGCTTGCGGAACGACGTTAGATCTGAGTTTATAGTGCTTTCTCCACGAATTAGCCTCTGGAGATTTAGTCTTGGTGGGATTAAGTAGAAGGAATAGAATCTGTGTATAAATATCTGTGTATTTCTCCAGATTCGCATTGTTTTTGTAGAATAAAGTCAATGTTATACACTGTTAAAGCTGCTTGTCGAGGAAGAATTTTAGCGTACACAAAAATGTCAACATCTGCCACAAAAATCAATTTCTCGAAATCATCTGAATTTACAAAACCTGTTCTACAACTGAGAACAGCGGAGTTCAAAAGACCAGATTTATCAAAAGTCGAGACAAGAGAAGGTTCTGATATCTCATCGGTGTTTAATACTCTAGGGACTGAATCAAATAATGATGTTTTCCCTCCAAGATTTGTTGAATTGAAGAAGAAACTAATCAAAAACCCAGAAGCTGTGAAGGAGAGTTGGGTCAGATTAAAGAAGTCATTGAAGGAAAAGATTGACCAAATCGAGAAACAAGGTCCTGATATTGTTCCAAGTATTGATTATAATGAACTTGAAACGTTAAATCACTCCAAAAGGGCAGATGTTTTGGAGAAAGGTTGTGTTGTTGTTAGAAATGTGTTCTCCAGAGAAGAAGGTCGGAAATTTAAAACTGATGTTGATGAATACGTGAAGGCAAACCCTCAAACAAAAGGTTTCCCTCAAGACAAAAAAGTTGTTTATGAGTTATACTGGTCCAAATCTCAAGTTAGGGCAAGATCTGATCCAAGAATGATCAAAACTTTGAACTTTGTTAACCATTTGTGGCATGCTGATGAAAAGACTGAAATCTCATTAGACCAAAACTTGAGTTATGCTGACAGACTACGTATCAGAAATGCAGGTGATAACATGTTTTCATTAGGTCCACACGCTGACGGTGGTGGTGTTGAAAGATGGGAAGATGAAGAATATAGCAGATGTTATGATGCAATCTTTGAAGGTAGATGGGAGGATTATGATCCATTTGATGCAACACATAGAGCTAAGGCTCAAATGTCATTATATCCAACTGCCGGTGCATGTCGTGTTTTTAGAACTTTCCAAGGCTGGTTATCCATGTCAGATGCAGCACCAGGTGAAGGTACTATTTTGTTTGGGCCTTTTGTTAAAGAAGTTACTGCTTACTACATGTTGAGGCCATTTTTTGATGAAAATGATGAGTTGGATTTTTCCACCACTAAGTTCCCAGGAACAGTAATTGGTAAGGCTCAAGAATTTAATGATAAAACACATCCTGACTTGGTCCTCCAAAAATTGATGGTTTCTATTCCAAAAGTTCAACCAGGAGATGCTGTTTTCTGGCATTGTGATTTAATTCATGCTGTGGATCCTGTTCACAAAGGTACTGCTGATTCATCTGTCATGTATATCCCATCAGTTCCATTATGTGAATTGAATGCTCGCTATTTTCAATTGCAAAGAGAAAGTTTCCTCAATGGATTTGCTGGACCCGATTTCCCAGGGTTCCCAAGTGGTGTTGGTGAAAGAGAACATGTTGGTAGGGCAGATGCTACTTATGCTTATAATGTTGGTGGTAGAGATGCTTTGCAAGAGTTATGCTTGGAACCTTTTGATGTGAAATCATCTTATTCTGAAGGTACAAAGAGTGTTATTAAAAAGTGTAACGACATTTTGTTTCAACGATGAGTACATAATAAGCTACATATTTCTTTTCTCAATCATTAAATAACGGCTCTAAATAAAAAGAGACATACTTTTACATTAAGCGATAACTTTAGCTTCCTTTTTAGATGCAGGATCATCTTTAGATATCCAGTCCTCGCCTGCATTTGGATATGTAGTATAACCATAACTAATACCAGGAGTATAAAACGTTTCTCTATGATACTTGTTCAATTCAATTCCCTCGTGCAATCTATGAAGTAAATCTGGGTTGGCTAAGAAATGTCTCCCAATACCGATTAAAGTACGATCATTTTGGCTAACAGCATCAAAAATACGTCTATAATCAGGAGTAGAACTAGCAAAAGCACCGGTTCTTAAAACAACACCTCTCCAAATCAAAAAGATCCAGTCATTGTTAACATTCACTTTGGAGGCATCAGTATCACCAGTGACTTCAGGCTCAACAAGTGATAAATAAGCAATTTCATTACCAGCCAGTTTTCTTTTTTGCAACTCTGAAGCAACATAACTATGAATTGCAACAATTTCTGTATCTGTATCTCCAGCCATTTCACCATATGTACCCCATGGAGACAATCTTATTGCAACTTTTTCTGCACCAACAGCCTCGATCAGAGCATCAATAGTCTCAAATAAGAATCGTGCTCTATTTTCAATAGATCCACCATATTCATCAGTTCTTTTATTAGTAGAACTTTGTAAAAACTGATCAAATAGATAACCATTTGCTGAATGGATTTCAACGTAATCAAATCCAGATCCAAATATTGCATTTTTTGCAGCTTTTACAAAATAATCAACATGAGTTTTTATCTCATCCTTAGTTAAAGCACGTAATGGATTGTTTGCCTTTTCAGCTTTTGCTCTCTTATCATCATTGTTATAAACATCTGAAGCACTGATATAACTCAAACCTTGACTAGCTAAATAACCAGGATCTGCTTGTCTTCCTAAACTCCACAATTGGGCACTAATAAAACTTTTTTTAGAATGAACTGAATCCACAATTTTCTTCCATCCCTTTGTTTGTGATTCTGACCATAAACCTGGAACGTTTGGATAACCACCGGCTTGTTCAGATACCAATGTTGCTTCAGTAATCAACAAAGTTCCTGGATATTGGGCTCTTTGAGTATAATATTCCAATTGTAAATCAGATGGTTCATGATTATTAGCAGCACGATATCTTGTTAAAGGGGCTAAAACGATTCTATTTGATAGTTCATTTGAACCAACTTTTAATGGATCGAAAGCTTTTGTTGCACTTAATGATTGAGTTTCACTAGACATTGATAGATGATGGTGGTAATAAATGTGATTATTTGAAGTCTATTCTGAGCTTGCGGGGGTATTTATATAGATGTCAATTGATTGAACAATAGGAACAATGATTTGTAATACTGACGTACTTAATTCCAATTCCATAGCAATATTGACTAGTTCCAGTTGGTTGTTTCTGTAATTTCTGTGATTAGTTCATCACATCTGATCATCACATCCAAAATAAACCATCAGCGCTAGTACTACAAGGCACCTGTCAAACCAATGATGATACTGCCATAAAATCAACACATTAACTTTGTTTATACTTCAATTTATCAAACAAAAAATTTTGATCACGTGTGGTGTCACGTGCAACAGCAAACTGTTGATGTTGCTCTGTCCAAGTTTTTGTGACATGTGAAACGTGAAACGCTAATAAAATAGCAGACACGAGCTCATCAAAAGTTTTGTTGACTCAAAATCAAAACAAGACTCGTCAGATAGCATACAATACTCAAATAGAGAGAATAGATTCAATATTGAAGCACAGATATTTATAGAGAGATAGACTGAGACTCTACGATTTCACCAACAATGTCAAGTTCAAACTCCACAATCAAAATACCTAATGATGGTCAGGATAATAAGGAACTGCTTGAAGATGCCCCAATTCCATCAAACAGATCATGGAGAAGGTCAAGTAGCTCTTCAAGCTCACTCACTCCATCTGGATCTCCAGTGTTCTATTCAAACAGCTACTACAACAACTCAATAGAGTTTCCAAATGATAAGATTTCATTGCTTGAATTATTGGATCCTTTATCAACAACTACAAACACGATACAAAAAAAGTATAACAAAGTTAAAGAAAAGTCTTTTTTGAAATTGCAAGATTTGAAGAATAATACATCGAAAAGAGGTGAGAAATACATTAAGGAAATCAGAGATATTGACCGTCTAAAGAAGAAGCTATTGGAAAAAGTTGATGGGTTGGATAAAAGATTGGATAAAGTGTTTTATGCATCTGCAACTGAGAAAATTTTCTATTCTGTTGCGTTATATTCTATCTTCATTGCTGGTTTCATTATTGGGTGTCGTCCTGATTTCTTCCATATCTATTACTCTGTGATCTTTATGATCTTGATGCCAATAAGATTTTACTTGTACTTTAAGAAAGGTTATCATTATTTTTTGGCTGATTTGTGTTATTATGTCAATATTTTATTGATGTTGTTTTTATGGGTTTTCCCTGGCTCTAAACATTTATACACTTCATGTTTTGCCTTCACTTTTGGTACATTATCATGGGCTGTGATTACGTGGAGAAATTCATTAGTTCTTCATTCAATCGATAAGACAACAAGTTCGTTCATTCACGTTTCACCGCCAGTTGTGATGCTTGTTATTACACATCATTTACCTTATGAGTACAAATTGCAAAGATTTCCAGGTGCTGCAGAATTGACACATTGGAACTTTATATCTGGTATATTATGGACTTCTTTGTATTATTTGGTCTGGCAATCATTATATCATTATTTTATCACTGTTAAAAGAGCCGCAAAGATTAAAGCAGGTAGAATCACTTCTTTTGAATGGTTAAGAAAGTCATTTGGAAAAAGTTTTTTGGGTAAATTTGTTAATTCGTTACCAGACCCTTTCCCAGTCATTGCATTCACTTTGATCCAATATGCTTATCAATTGTTAACTATGTCGATTTGTCCACTTTGGTTTGCCTATAAATATTTAGCCACTGCTTTCATTACTTTCATTTTCATAACTGCAAGTTATAACGGTGCTACTTATTATGTTGATTACTATGGGAAAAGACTTGAAAAGGAAGTTGCAAGATTACAGAAGGAAATTACTGAATTACAAGAGAGTGAAAATGATACATTTGAAGATGCTGAAAACTTGACCACCCCAAGCACTACTGGCTCTTCATCTCCAGGAACTGCTAATATTACACTTGCGGCTGCACCAGAGACAGCATCAACTTCAGTCTTTAAACATCCAGCTATTTTACAACAAAAGAAGCTTTAATATTGAATTGGTATACAGATTTATAATATATTACGTAATTTGTGCTTATGTAATTTTGATGTTGAAAAATTCGAGGTTTTTGTGAAAAAAAAAACCATCAATTATAGTGAACGATCTTGGAGAAACTTTAGTTTATTGTTTTTGTTGTTTTGAGCAATTCATTCCATAGCACAAATGCTTGCATCTATACCATCCTTCATAACACGGAGATCCATACGAGCATTCTCCACTGCTCCTCAAGTTCTAGCTGCTGCTACCCAAAACAACAGTAGCTTTGAAGAAAAAAAACGTTCACATATAAATTATTTAAGAAACTATTATTCAGAAGATTTATTAGAAAGTATTAAATTAGCCGAAACTGCAATCAAGCCAGAAGATTGGAAAAACAAAAAATTAAGATCAGTTAAATTTGCACCACCATATTTAGATGATTTTGCAGAATATCATCAATTTTGGGATAAAGCACAAATCAAAGATGCATATAAAATAGACCCAACTTCACCATTACAACCAGCCAAAGTCCCAATCCCATTAGGCTACAAACCACCAACAGATGATAGTAATAAAAGATTCAGTGAGATTGCTAAAGGTCTAAGTGTGTTGACTGGGTTATCAAAAGAATATATTGAAGATTTACATGCACGTCCATTAATCATGAAGAGAGTTTCAAATCAAACTGCAAAGGGTAAAATTAGATCAAATTTTGCTATTGTCATGGTTGGTGATAAGAATGGTATGGTGGGTGTTGGTCAAGGTAAAGATAGAACAGATATGTTTAGAGCTGTTCGTAAAGCTCATTGGAATGCTGTTAAAAATTTGACTTATATTCCAAGATATGAAGATCGTACTATCATTGGTGATATTGATTATACTTATCATGGTTGTAGAATGCATTTAAGATCTGCTCCTCCAGGTTTTGGTTTAAGAGTTAATCATTATTTATTTGAAATTTGTGAATTGATTGGTATTAAAGATTTAAGTGCAAAGATTTATAAATCAAGAAATGGTATGAAGATTGCTAAAGGTATTGTTGAAGCTTTGAGTAAACAAAGAACTTTGGATGAATTATCAATGAATCGTGGTAAGAAGATTGTTGATTTACGTAAAACATATTATTCTGCTTAGTTGGAATTCATAATTATGAGGGGAGATGGTATATATCTGTACATAGATGATGATTACATATATAATTTAGGTAAAATGATACATGTAGAACTACAATGTCTATTAACAAAAAATAATTTATTCCTTTAACCTTAAACCTAACGTATTTTAACCAAAGATAAATATAATTAATTGGTGAGTAAGCATGTCCCTTCCCCTTTAACTAATTTAAACTAATTATAATAAATATGAAATATGTGCAAATTTATATCCCTAATATACAGCTCATTATTCAATTTCCCTTTTAGCTTATTTATCACATGAGCAGTCAGTTGAACATTCTGGGTTCTTTTGAACAATCATAACCTTTCTGTTACAGGTACAATCACAATCTCTTTCACTGAGCTTTGTGGCAACTGTGGAACTGAATAAACGAGCACCAATAACTGGTTTAGTAGCAACAGAAGCATATTTCTTTGATGATGACTTTATGATTTGTGACAACATTGTATAAGATGGGTATTAATAATTCGAAAGTATAGATTTGTATGTTTCTGAGAACGAGTTCAATGAGGATAACAAGCAACTTGCTGAAGAAATCATTCTGGATACCGTCCTGAGGTATTTATACTTCCCAAACTGCAATCTTTATCGCGTTTACACCTTTACGTATCGCATCATTTTCACGTGAAATGGGTGTCAAAAAAAGAAAGAGCTTCGTTTTTTGCGCGAGAGCCATGGAACGAAGAACCAGGATCTTGCAGATAAGGTGGAAATGAAAGCCGATCTGATGAAGGAAACAATATCCACCGCTTTGAAGAGATAAAAGTGCGTTTGTTTCAGGACGTTTCGAAATGTTGGAAAGCTTGAATTATGGCTCAGTTGTAGTTTATTATGGAGAGGTACATCCAAACACCACGAAATAGGTGATGATTTTTCTTGCACTTGGAAACTGGCAGTTAAAGAACCATTATCGAAGCTTCAATTCTGCTGTTTTGGATAGATATCAGGTACATTCACATAATGACAAATATAGTCAAAGACTCAAAAGAAGTAAAGCCAGAGGATAAACCCGTTGAGATACAAGATGATGATGGTTGGGAACATCATTTTGATGACAAAACTGAACGATTCTTTTTCTACAATAAACTCACAAAAGTCAAACAATGGTTAAATCCAAGGGTCCCTAAAGATGATGAATGTAATAAAGATTTACCAAAATTTGATCCACCCAAGCTACCTTTTGAAGATGAAACGTTATACGAGCAAAAACTTCGAGAATTGAAGGAAGATCCAGACTTCAAGGAACTATCAACATTTGAAAAGTACAAACATGTCGAAGCCCTTAAAAAAACATTGGAGGAACAAGATCTGTCTGTTAACCCAACAACGCTAACTTCAAGTGAACTTCAAGAAAACTTGAAGGATATTAAACCATTCAGAGAGGATACAAATTTTACAGATTATGGCTCAAAAAGTTTTTATGCACAAGAATTGAATCATTCTATAAGGTCTATAAACAATGATCAAAGCAAAAAACCAACAAACAAAGTCTCCAAGAAGCAGATTAAAACATTCAATGAACGTAAAAAGCAACAACGGGATGCAAAATTGAAAAAATGGTTGACAGAAGATTAACTTCTTGAAATTTCTTTGATCTTTAATGCATCAAACTGAGTATTAACTGATGGTTTTAATCTATCTCTGATCAATTCATCAATTATTTCCAAAACTTTGTCAATTTGTTCCACTAAAAGATAGTCATCAGCATTAACTTTGACATATGATAAGACAGTTTTCAATTTTTCACCGTATCCTCTAGGAACAATATCCAATCCACCAAAGGAAATCAAATCACTAATTAGAACAACAGCACTTCGTTTCATGATGACCTCTTTTTCAAGTTCCAAAATACCAATTGAACAATCCAAGGCATCTTTGATGAATTTTTCCAATCCAATTGCATTAGTTCTTAATGCTTGACCTATCAATGACATGGCAGACATTCTAACTCTGTTATCTTCTTCAAAATTTTGAATGACACCAAGAGTCTTAGCCATCAACTTATCAGCCAAAGGACCTGTGAATAGTTCACCAGTTTTACTTATAAAATTTAATATCACTTCACCAATCTTCAACTTATCATCAAGTTTTTCTTCCTTTTTTGTGTAGAAATCACATAGAAAATCCACTGTGGCATCTTTATCAAATTCAATCAATTCACTCAAACTTTTGATAACGTTCATGTAGATGAATGGTTCAGAATCATGAAGTTGAACAATATGAAGCTCAATGACGAAATCTAATGAGATGACCGGTGATCTTTTCACGATAAGTTGCCTTAATAGATATAGACCATGTGCTCTGATTGGAATCAATGGATCATTCATACTTGTGATGGCTTTTTCTAAAAGCTCTTTATCTTTGGTTTTTTCATCATCACCATTGTTAACAGTATGTTTTTCATCACTTAAAAAATCTTCGATTCTCTTGTGTAACGCTTGACAATGCTTATCTGATGAAAATTTGATCAGGATTTGAGAAATCTCTTTTAAAGTATGTTTGTGTCTCGTTAATTCAATTGGATTAGTTTCTGAAATAATAGCAGATAGCAATTCTAAAAGTATGTTCAAATTTCCAGGGTTTGCTATGTCTTCATCATCTTCATCTTCGTCATCAGAATCAACTTCTTCATTGGTTTCCTCTTTCTTCAGGGAGTTTTGAGTAGATCTTGTTGTCAACAAATTTCTAACAACCAATAAAACATCTTCAGGTTTATTCAATAGTGCATCTCTGAACTGATCATTTATCTTTTCCAAGAACTTCAAATCTATTAATATTATAAATGGATTTTCTTGGTCTAACAAATTGTCATTATTTTGCTTTGAAATCCATCTATTCAAAACAGTCAAAAACTGAGTCCTCACTATATCATTATTTAAATTTTTGAATAGCTCCACAATTATTTCAAGTCCAATATCCAGATCGTCAAAGATTTCTTCACTTGAAAGATTTTTATCTAAAATGCTCGATTTAACAATACTTGATAATTTATTCTCCAAATTTGTTTCAAATTTCCAATCATCACCACCTGATTTTATGAGATTCAGCAGAGTATTTTCCAAAAAATCATTATTTGAGGTAATTGTAAAGAATGAAACCATTATGTTGCTGATTATACTGTAATACTCCAGCTTTTTCTTTTTGAGATAAAACATATATGCCCATAAGTTCAATATTATCTTGGAGAAGAATTCATTCAAAAATTCCGGTGAAGTTTCCTTTGTCAATGAGATCAAAACATTTATAGCATCATTCAATTCTTTAGCTTCAACAACAGTTTCACCTTGCTTGAAGTTAGAGGTATCGGGACTCAAGATGTTCCAAATCTTTTTGAACAAAAAATCATGAATAATACGCTTATTCTTACTGTACAGGACTCTAATGAAATTCACAACAACTGATGACATCACAGGTCTATTAATGAAAACAAGTATCTCGTAAATTTGATTGAAAAGCTTTGTAAAATATTCAACGCTTGTCATGTCTTTTGGTTTTGCTATCAATATTCTGTTGACATTGTTGAATTTATCAATATTAACATCTTCATCATCTCTTATACCGACAACAAAATCGATTAAACTCATGACACCATTCTCTCTGTGTACAGTTATACTTGTGAGTCTTTCACTTAAAAACGCTTGATATCTGGGTATTCTAGTGGTTTGCAAAAGAATGGTATAAATGTTGAATAAATTGTAAGTGTCACTCTTGTTTTCAAACTTTTGGAATGCTGATTTGAATGAAGGATCAACACTTACTAGAACTGTCAAAGCAGTTAAAATATCAGTTAGGCCACTTCCCTTTAGCAGTAAGTCCTTCACATCACCACCTTTATCAAACACGACTTCAAAATACTTGACAATCTTTTGTAATGTCTCTAGACCATTGTGTACCTTTTCAAATCTGAACAGTTTACTTCTAATGTTGAAGCTTTTCAATCTTCTTTGTTCCAATGGGATACCAACACCAGTTGGTAGACATGGATAGATACCTTGCACAATGATCAAATTCATCAACTCATTGAAATATTTCATATCATGTAGTGAGATTGTAATCAGGTTGACTTTTTCTGGATCGCCGCTGGCTTTGTTTTGAGCTTCTTTGCGTAAAGAGTAATCTTGAATCTTGGAAACAAACTCGAATGATTTTGCTAATACAGCATTAATTTGATCCACTCTATTATTGGAATCGCCATCCAATTTGGCATAAAGTTGAGCTATAGCATCTTTAGGCTCTTTGTCATCAATCGTTATAAACTCAGAAAGTTCTCGAAAGATCTTATCCAATGCTGTTTCCCTTGACAGCTGTGGAACATTGAGACCTTTCCTTTCTGACATTCTTCAGTCAAACCAACTTCACTGTGTATAAACTCTCGGTCTTTATTGATCGAATGTTGATGTTGATGTTTTCTATGATTTCGATTTTGAGGGTAATTGATGAGCTTTTCGCGAAACGAAAAAACCATAGAAAAAAAAATTTAGACAGATTTAAATTGGAAACTTGAGATTCTGTATTGAAAGCAGTCCCACACAATGTCGAAACAAGAATTAAGCCAAGAAGAGTACGATATAATAATCGAAGATGCCAGATACGGTGATCTAGAGGCTTTGCAGGAAATTTTCGAAGAGTTGGATGGTTCATATCTTCTCCAAGTCAAAGATGAACATACATTCACAAATCCAATTCATATGGCTGCTGCTAACGGTCACTTTGAGGTTGTTAAATACTTGCTATCCAAACTATCAAAATCAGATGCTACCAAACTAATAAATGCTCAAAACAGCGAAGGAAACACATCACTACATTGGGCAGCATTGAACGGCCATTTACAAATTGTTGAACTATTTTGTGATGAATACGAAGCTGATGCATTTATAAAGAATAAATTCAACCATGATCCAATCTTTGAAGCTGAAAATAGTAATAAAGATGAAGTTGAAACCTACTTCTTGAAGAAATTTGATGTTGAACCATTGGGAGATAGTGAAGGTAATGTTAATATTAGTGTGAGCAATAATGAAAATGTTCAAGTTAAGCCTGGTCAAGAAATTGAGCAAATTTCCAAAGAAAAGATTGATAGTCTGCAGTCAAATGAAGAGTTCATAGAGGAAAGAACAAAGAATTTAAATTTATAGATGTATAATTCAAAAGATGGTTTAATGTGTTACTGTATTGAGTTGAATTTGTGCAACTTTTTCGTAATTCTATTACTAGAACAAGTAGTATTCTTTGAAATTTTGCAAATTTCACCGGCAAATGGCGCTTTCATGTCTAACCCGGATATTCAGTGTCATATTTTTTTTTTTGTCTTCTGAGATGTGTTGAAAAAAAAAACGGCAAAATTGATGGTTGAACGTGAATAGATAGCAGTTCTTTTAGTAATAGACCGTGTTTTACTTCCCTTTCTCAATTCAAAAAAGATTGTATCTGGTTTTTGTTCACTTATAAAATAAGTTTTCAAAAAAGTTTGGTATAATTATCATAGAGTTTCAATTTAATAGAGTAGAGAAGGTTCATTACAAATATGTCTGCTGAAGAAGTCAATGTTGATTTGGGATTTGATCCAACATTAAAGAAAAAGAAGAAGAAGTCAACTAAAACATTAGATGTTGAGTCAAAAGAATCTACACCAGAAGTTGATGATGTCTTATCAGGATTGAAAAAAAAGAAGAAGAAGTCTAAGGAATCAAAATCAACACCAGATTCAGAAGATGTTAATACAGAAGAAGTTACAGATGCGTTAGGAGAATTAAAACTTAAGAAAAAGAAGAAGAAGAGTACAGCTGTCACTGATGACGATTTTGAAAAACAATTGGAAAAAGCTGGTTTAGATGAGGTCACAGCACAAGAAGAAACTGAACAAATAAATACTCTACAGGCTCAATATGGTTTACCATATGATGATTTATTATCTAGATTTTTCCAAATTTTGAGAAAGAATAACCCAGAATTAGCTGGTGAAAGATCAGGTATTAAATTCAGAATTCCTCCACCAATTTGTCAACGTGAAGGTAACAAAAAAACCGCATTTGCTAATGTTCAAGAAATTAGTGAAAAATTACAAAGATCACCAGAACATCTTATTTCATATCTTTTCGCAGAATTGGGTACCTCTGGTTCTGTTGATGGTCAAAAGAGATTGATTATTAAAGGTCGTTTCCAACCAAAACAATTGGAAAACGTTTTGAGAAGATATATTATTGAATATGTTACATGTAAGACATGTAAATCCATCAACACTCAATTGAAGAAAGAAAGTTCAAACAGATTGTTCTTCTTGGTTTGTAACAGTTGTGGTTCTACAAGATCTGTCAGTTCTATTAAAACAGGTTTCACTGCACAAATCGGTAAGAGAAAGAAGATGTAAGTGTGATGAATTTTACGTTTGGATGAACTTATTGTTTTGCTCCCTCATTTGTATAACAATTTATTAAAAATTAACAATTAAATAAATAACTTTGTAGCTTTCTTATAGTTTTATGTTTTCTAGTATCTTTCTCAATGGTAGACACCAAGTTGAAACACCATCGTTTACCAACATGAATTTCATCAAATCATTTTTAGTCTGCTCTTTATTTTGATAGTTTTCTAAGCTAGCCAAAACAACAGCCTTATGTGAATCATTTGTTAGTCCCTTGGTAAACTGATCTATTAGTCTTTTCTCATAATGTTTGAATTCACGATCTTGCAAACAAGTTTTCAAACTTAAGATCTCTGTCAATTTGCCCAACAGATCTTCATTAGATATTTTTGATTCTTCAACTTTTGGAGCATTCAGGGAAGCTTGAGAAGTAGTTTTCTTCAAGGAAGTGACACTTGGAGGTCTGGGTATTGGAGTAGGACCATTCATGGATGTTAAAGATGGTTTTGAAGTAGATTTTGAAGCAGTAGTGTTATGTGACACCAACCTTCTTCTAGTTTTCAATGAGGTTGACGATGGGGTTCTCTGATAATCCAAAACTGGACAGTCATTGTACCCTTTGATCTCGGATTCTGATATGTTCTGGTAACTAGTCATTTTCTGAGTACCTGCTGCTTCTTCTTCAACTAATTAACAAGGTTTAGGGTTATTCGATTTTGCAACGTTTCAAGTTTTGAAATTTTTGTTTACAAACAAAAAAGGGTCTTGATATTTCTTAGACCGCTCAGAAAAGACTAGACTGGCAATACTTGCGGTCTAGACTTGTATATTTAGGTCTAGTCCGACAAATCTACAAATAGTTTGAAGAACCTGCTTCTATTTTCTAATAAAAAGGTCAAAGAATAGTATCGTTGGCACTGATTCATCCTCTTCTTGATTGAACTTCAAGGGCTCTGGATAAAACTTGTTCTATAGCTGGCCTCTGAGCAGGATCCACAACAATACACAGTTTAATCAAGTCTTTGACTTCATCCGAGTAAATATCATTCTTCTTTGGGAAATCATATTTACCATTGCTTATAGCCAAAGTTATACTAGCCCCGTTTTCACTTTCTTCATATTCAAATGGTGAGCAGCCATAAAGTAATGCATATAACGTACATCCCAATGACCAAATATCAATCTTTTCATCAATCTTTGCACCTGTCTTCACATCCAACAGTTCTGGAGCTCTATATGGTAAGGTGCAATGTTCAGCTGCTAATTCTTGGATTGCAACAGCCGCACTTCTGGTTTTAGCCTTCACTCGAGCTTTGGCACAACTTCCAAGATCACATAAAACAGGAATTCCATCTTTTGACAACATCACATTTCCAGGTTTGATATCCCTGTGAGCATAGGCAATTGTTTGGGTTAATTCTGTGGCATTCTCTGTTTCTTCTTCATCATCGGGTCCATTCGAGGTTCCAATCAATTCTGGCAATGTGTCAACTTCTGACTCGACTTCTGAATCTTCTCCATTTAACAAGTTTTCACGTTCATCTGTTGATAAATTCAGATTCATATCTTCAATTGCTTGTCTGTTATTCTGGCTTATATGATGTCTATGCATACTCTGTAAACCTCGACACATCCCAATGAATATCCTTATTGCCTCAGCTTCTTCAATTCTTGTATCATTTATCACATTTTTATTGATGATGTCTTGCAATGAACTCTCAAAGTTCGGAAGAAGGATATAAACAGTCTTTGAACCATCTTCTTCTTGTACAATACTTGAATCTATTGCTCTAATGATGTAAGGGGAATGGAACTCTCTATAGTTTTCCACTTCAGTCATGGCAATTTTAACACTTTCAGCCCCAAAGGGACATCTGATCTTCTTCAAGGCGTATGTTCCGCCATTTGAAGCTTCCACTAAATAGACATATGAGAAACCACCTTCTCCTAGTAGCTTTAAAATTTTGAATTTTACCTTGTTGATCCTCAATTCAGGTTGGGAGCTGAAGCAAGGTAAACAGCTTAATAAAAACGACATTTGGGGCAAAAAAAAAGCTTAAAGATACGTTGAATCCAATTCACTATTCGAATATTCTATTTCTCTCTTTGTTAAAGGTTCCTCTGGTACTTTGGCTATCTGTTTTGTGTTTGAGTTTGCTTCTTGATGGGTTAGTTAATTGACAGATTTCCCAAATTTCGAGAAATGCCAAATTTTCGAAAAGAAAAAAAATCAACAGGAAATTAAGAACGAACCTTTCCAACATCAATATCAACCAAAGGGATCAATCATTTAAGAAATAATGGTAAGTAATAGTTTCATAATGGAATCTTAAGTATATATCTCTAACATTTCTAGTCTATTCAAACAATCAATCAAAACAAGGACTTGAAAGGTCTATCCTTAATAGCTGCCCATTCACATATTTCAGGTCTTGGTTTAGATGACAATTTACAACCAAGAGAACAATCCAGTCAAGGGATGGTTGGACAATTCAGAGCCAGAAAAGCAGCTGGTGTTATATTGAAGATGGTTGAAAATGGTTCAATCGCAGGTCGTGCAGTTTTGATTGCCGGTCCGCCATCAACTGGTAAAACTGCTATTGCCATGGGTCTCTCACAATCATTAGGTAAAGATGTTCCATTTACTGCTATTGCAGGTTCAGAAATCTTTTCACTAGAATTGAGTAAAACTGAAGCTTTAACCCAAGCTTTCAGAAAATCAATTGGTGTTAAAATCAAAGAAGAAACTGAATTAATTGAAGGTGAAGTTGTTGAAATTCAAATCGATAGATCTATCACCGGAGGTCATAAACAAGGTAAATTAACTATAAAGACCACAGATATGGAAACTATTTATGAGTTGGGTAACAAAATGATTGATGGTTTAACTTCAGAAAAAGTTTTAGCTGGTGATGTTATTTCTATTGATAAATCTTCAGGTAAAATAACAAAATTGGGTAGATCATTCACTAGATCCAGAGATTATGATGCTATGGGACCAGACACTAAATTTGTTCAATGTCCAGAAGGTGAATTACAAACCCGTAAAACAGTTGTTCATACTGTTTCTTTACATGAAATTGATGTTATAAATTCAAGATCACAAGGATTTTTAGCGTTATTCAGTGGTGATACAGGTGAAATCAGATCAGAAGTTAGAGACCAAATCAACACCAAAGTTGCTGAGTGGAAAGAAGAAGGTAAAGCTGAGATAGTTCCAGGTGTTTTATTTATTGATGAAGTTCATATGTTGGATATTGAATCATTTTCATTTATTAACAGAGCTTTAGAAGATGAGTTTGCTCCAATTGTGATAATGGCAACTAACAGAGGTGTTACCAAGACAAGGGGTACAAATTACAAATCACCACATGGTTTACCATTAGATTTATTGGATAGATCAATTATTATTCAAACTTCAAGTTATAATGAGGAAGAAATCAAACAAATCATATCAATCAGAGCACAAGAGGAAGAAGTTGATTTACATCCAGATGCATTGAACTTATTGACCAAAATTGGACAAGAGACAAGTTTACGTTATGCTTCAAACTTGATTTCAGTTTCTAATCAACTAGCATTGAAAAGAAGAAGTGATGTTGTTGAATTAGAAGACATTAATAGAAGTTATATCTTATTTTTGGACTCTGCAAGATCCGTTGCTTATCTACAAGAGTTTTCAGACCAATACATTGATGATACTGGTAATGTTAATATCGGTGGTCACACATCTAAAGTTGAAGCAGCACCAGCAGCTACAGCAAGTAATGGTGATGCCATGGACACCAGTGCTTGATTAAAACATTTTGCTAATTTCCCTTTTGTATTTTTATTGTATATTGAATTAAAGATCTCTTTTTTTTTTCTATTTGATTTGTTCATATACTCATTAAAACCAAGATTAACCAGAACCTTTTGTGTTTAAGATCAAAGCAATAATCATACCGTATAATCCTAAAACTTCAGCGAAAATCAAAATCAAGACAATACCAACAAACAATCTTGGTTGATGCATATATTTTCGCACACCTTCATCACCAACAATACCAATAGCATAACCACTTGCTAAACAAGCAAATCCAACAGCTAACCCACAAGCCAAGTGCATGAATCCGTTGAACAAAGTGTACTCTTCAGTAGGTGATAAGCCACCAGCAATTAAAACTGAAACGACTAATCCATAAACAGATAAAATACCACTCATGACAACAGGTATTAAAGACTTCATAATTAATTCTGGTTTGAAAGTACCGATACCAGCAATACCAATACCTGACTTAGCGGTACCAATAGCAGCACCGGCACAACTCAAGATCATAGCAGCAGCACATCTAAAGAAATCAGTTAGTTACTTGAACATATACAATGCAATGTTATCTGTAAATATAGTACTCACCCTGCAAACCCAAAAAAGGGAGCAAAATTTGGTGCAAATTCATTATAGACATCAGACCTGTTGAAGAGTTAGTTATCTTTCTGAGCAATTGAGTGCAAATAGCTACATACATCCTGGTCTGTGATTTGGCTTTGAACAGTTATTTGATAACTTCTCTTAAAGTTGGTTGTATAATTTCGTCTCCCAAATTTCTGAAATTGATTTGGTCTATAATTTTCGCGACTGGAAGTGTGACCCTGTTTTCGGCAGGGGCAGAAAAATAATATGCTTTATCAAAAAAAATGTAAACAAACACAAACACAAACACAAAATATAAAATATAAAATCAGATTGAGTCCATTTAACTCTTCATAAGATTCTACAATGTCACAAGAACATCACCAAAAGATCCATCTGAACTTGAAGGATGTCAAGCATCTGCAAATCCAGTTCGCCAAAGCTGCCACAGATAAGTTGAACTTGTATCTTCCCACATCAGATCATTCAGATCCATTGAAAAGCAGAGTATCCTCACTGGTCAATGATTTCATATATGAGATATTTGAAGCTTCTAAGAACTCACTAGATATAGATGGGGCTACTGGAAATAGAGACTCGTTGAGGAGCTTGTTGGAGAACTCAACAAATGGTATGTACATTTGTTCTAGTGTCCTTAAAGTGCAGTATACTAACTGAGTAATATATTTAGAGGTTGAACCTTTTGATTTTTCATTACAAGATCAAGTTAGAAAAGCATATCAAGAGGTTGAACAAGAAACGATCAAGTTGACAAAGATGCGTAGAGATGCACCATCAGAGATCAAGAAGTCATATGAAGATTCACTAGAACAGTCCTTGTCCAAAATTGAAACACTCCAGAAGGAACTGGAGAATTTGGAGAGTGAAAATGAAGCTGATATTGAGAACCATGAGGATCAATTCAAACGTGGTGTTAGTTCTAGATTGGAAGATATGATTTCAGACTATGAGGAATCTATGAGAAGTATAAAAGAGATTAAAGATGTGAGTATTTACATTACTTTTTCGTTGAACTCTTACTAACTTTCAATTAGCAAATGCCACAAGAAAGAAATGAGATAGAAAAATTGAATAATATAATTGAGTTTCTACAACAAAAGTGAAGAGTCAGTCTACAAATTATTAGATATTAAGCTCTGCTTTCAAAATCAAAGAAAAGGAATCGTTAGCATCTACATAGTTGGCAGTCAAGGTAGAATAATCAAGCTAAGTGCGATCTATGTTGATCAATTCAGCCTACAAGGCACCCTTTGCCTCAGTGGTGTCAAGTGTATCATTCACAATTGGTCTTAGCAGGTTCCCTGTACCAGCCAACAATGAGCCCATTTCTCGATACCCCTAATTGTTCATATCGAACGTCCATACATGTACAAATCTTTTAGTTTTCGTAGCTTTCGATAAGTAAATATAAACTTTTGACGGTTCACGCCTCTTTTTGTTGTTTTTTTTTTGACAGATGAGAGTTAAAAAAAATCAGATCGAAAACAATCATATAAACAAACTTTATCAAGAAGCAGATCTGGAACCAAACAAGAACTATGGAGGCTAATCTTAAGATACTACGTCAATATTTTCCATTAGGAGGTGATTATCCACCAGCGTTAACTATTGGGTTGACCATTTTCCTTCCGTTTTTATACATTTTGAATTTCTTCATCAGCATCAACGACCACATTGCATTGTCACCAACAGATCTATTCAAACTAGATTGTATGTGTTTTTGAAAACTATGGAACTTGAAGTTCTCATTGACTAACATCTCTTTACAGTGAACAGGGTCTCCCTTTATCCTTTAGGACATCTTTCAATCTTCCATGTTTTGATGAATGTTTTGGCGCTAATTACACCATTGTCCAATTTTGAAAGAAGACACGGTACTGTTTATACGGGTGTTGTTTTGAATCGTGAGTATTAGGTCTATGATTCTAAAGGTGTATTTTTGCTAACATGTCTTTAGTTCTTGCGGTTTCCACAGCTATTCCTTATTGTATCCTTGGTTCAGTCTTTATTCCAAACACCAAAATCATTGGAGCTAGGTAAGTTTTTGAGTTCCAACAAAAGAGATCAAAGTCACTAACAATCTTATAAAACAGTGCTTGGGCGTTTTCATTTGCTGGATACTTTGCCTATAAAGAAAGTTTAATCAAACCAACTTTCCAAATGTGAGTTAAAGCAGAATCATACATGCACATAAACATGATACTAATACTTACAAAACAGTACACCATCACATAGTCTTCCAACTTTAGCCACACCATTGATACCATTGATCTTGATTGCCATTTTTGTTCCAGGATCAAGTTTCTTTGGTCACTTGTTTGGTTTGATTTCTGGATACGCTCTTGCATACGGATATTTGGCTAAATTAGCACCACCTTCTAAAGTTATTGAGTTTATTGAATCCAAATTAGATGGTCTTATCAATCTAATACCTTCCATGTTCATTTATTACAGAGAAGTCGAGGCTAAGCACTTGAGAGAACAAACTGATTACGTTTCATTGATTGGACCAACAGAAACCATTTTACCAACAACCAATAATCCAACTGCTCCAGCTTCCAACCCAACGTTTGCCGGACAAGGACATGTATTGGGTGCTTGATAATACTACACTTGTTGATTCAATCATTCATAAGACATATAGTAATAAAAAAGCGTATACATAATAATCATAGGTACTATCATAAAAAAAACAATTTGAAGTAAAAAAGAAATCCACAATCCATATAATCAACCATAAATAAAAAACCTAATAATCAAATCCAAACATAAATAATAATAATAAAAAAAGAAAGTCCTGAAACATCAATCAAATGGTGATAATACCTAGTTGTTTAACCAATTAATTTGCAATATTTTCAAAATCATGTTCTAAATCACTTTCAAATTTAACATTTTTTGGACGACGTTGCTTGAAGTCACCATGACGAATTCTTGGTTTTTCTTCTTCTTCATGGCCATGACTCTCTGGTTCAGTGCCTTTAAAGAAGTCAAAAATGTGAGCCAACCCTGAAAATAAACCTGGTGCTTCAACTTCATGAAGAGCATTTTCCTGTTTTGGTTCTGGATGATGTTTGTATTGTTTATGATGATCAGCAGAACCTTCTCTATTTCTACGATGATCTTTCCATGAATGACTTTCAACATCACCGTCTTTTTCAAATTTGTGATGTTTACCTTTGAATCTCTTAAAATCACCACATTTAGCTTTTCTCTCTTCATCGTGGTGTTCACCTTTAGCAAATTTGTTGTGTTTTCCACCTTTGGCCTCTTTGGATTCATCATGGTGATTATCAGTGACATAAACCTTATCTGGGATTGGACCATCAACATTTTTGCCTTTGTAATATTCTTCACCGCTGTAAAAACCAGGTTTGTCATCAGAAGAATCAACAACACGTAAAGTTTTACCTTTTAAAAACTCTGGGACATGTTTAGCATCTGGATGATGTTTCATGAAGATATCTTCAGACTTGTAATCACCTGGGGACAACTTTTTTAAGAATCTTGGACCACGGTGGTGTTTATTGAATTTATGATGTTTGGCACCTTCAATTTGTTTAGGATGTTTGGATTCAACCTCCTTTGATTCACCTGAAAATTTGTCCAACATAGCTTTACCATACTTGTGAATATCTGAACGTAAAGTTTCTAGCTCAGTAATCAACTTTTTAACTTGATCAGTGGTTAAATCTTCTTGGGCTTGTAATGGAGCTTGTTCATCTCTTTTAAACAATTGTCTCTTGACAACCTCAATCAACTCAGTGGAAACACCATTTGATTCATGAGTTTCATTGTTTTCTTGTTCTTCATTCAATAAAGACTTTAATAAAGCAAGTTCATCATCAACTTTCTTGTACAATGAATGAATTTGTTTCTTGATTGTGAAATGGGTCATGTAAGCATCGTAACCCCAATTTGAATCATGGTTTTCTTCTTTAAATGCCTTGATAAAGTGTTCAGTTTCTTCCTTGTCATCTTCAATTGGAGAAGCTTTTGAGTACAAATCTTTTGGAATTTTCCCAATATAACCAGTATCACCAAAACCTCCCAAGAAATAAGCATCCTTGACATCAAATTTAACAAAATGAGATTCATGAATTGGATTACCTGGTAACCACCAAACCGCGTCTTTATGACGTTTCAAGAAACATTTTTTCAATTCTTCAACTTCTTCTTCTTGAACATCAATGAAATTACCTCTTAAATTGATTCTTGGTGAACCTGCAACAGAGTGTGGTCTACTTCCAGGGTATTTTGGATTGACATGTTCATGAGGAGAATGGTCACCAACTCTAACAGTTAATGAATAAGGAGAACCTTCTTGGATATTCTTGAAAGAAGTAGCCATGTTGATGGCTAAAATGACAGGATTACCATCACCACAATCAGCATAGTATTCGACAAAAGAAGCTGGTAAACCTTTGTCATCACCATCTTGATAAACAGTATTGATGTTGGCTAAAGATTCTCTATGGATCAATGTTCTGGCATTAACAGCAGCATCCTCAACAGTTGGGCGTTTCCAGATCTGGATGGCATTGGCGGCAACTAAGCAAGTTGCAAGGGCATTAAGTGCAGATATCTTCATCTTTGTAGACAATGATTGATTTCTCAATAACTTTGGTGGTAGTTGATGGTTGATGATAAATTAGGATCGCAAGTACTTTTTAAACATGGCTGTTTTTTTTTCTGAAAAGGAGATTTGATGAATACACCCCAATTGTATTACAGTAGGAGATACACCACCAAGGCTTAGAATAAGGACACAAAGTACAATAAGAGGCCGTATTAAACCAGAGTTATACGTTTATAGATACCTTCTATGTTGTGCTACTGTACCCATAAGATCCAGCTACTGGTGTGCATCTGATTCAACGATTCCCTCATTGTTGTCCATACTTCAACATCTCCGATAGAATACGCGTCATGTTCATTGTACCCAGTATTAAAGGACCACTTTTCAAAGGTGACGGCACAGTTAAAGCCCCAGCAGTCTACACCAGATCATATCTATGTACAGTGAGAGACTAGAGTTTACATCAATTCATCAAAGGGCTTGAAGCCTTCTGGTAGTTAATTAAGTACACACGGAAGTTCGTAACCTCCCCAGAAGCCGACCGCTCATTCACCGAGCTGCCATTTGTAAAAGGCTGAATTAGCCTCAAACACCGGACGTATAACTCACACATACTGATAATAATATTACTCATGATGAACGTCAACTTTAATAATCACTATGATTTATATAACAGCGTCTACAATTGATATAGCCTATGCTGTTATAGTACTAGTACTAGTAGCACTGCTTATAATATAATATACTAGCAGTGAATAATATACATGATATTCGCATACTAGTACTAGTGCCAGCTAGCTACGACGGATCGTCAATAAATATATGTATATTAATTAGAGCTCGTGTTATACACTTATAGTTATCAACTAGACTGGTAATATATAATATATTATATTAATGATATTTTTATTTTTTTTTTTAGTTGATGTATGGTGGAGAATAGGTTTCTCAGTTGGCTGAGAAGGATATTATAAGGAAGCCTGAATTCCATTAACATATAGCGAGAAGCCTACAATCCAAGCGGTTCGTGCGTAGTTGCATTCCTCATCCAAGTTCATCAAATACATCAACTGAAAAAAAAAAAAATGAACTAAAAAAGCTGCCGGCCAATAATATTGTTCTAATATTAATTGGAACGTCGACTGCAACTAGTGTAAACTTGTGGAAGTCACCAAGATATTCCTAATACTTTTCTTGATGAAGTCCTAAATATGGTTTAGTTGATTATAAGGTGTTATATCAATGTCGTCAGCTCATGCAAGATCAACAGCTCATACTTGATTATATCACTTAACATCCAAACCAGCCTGAACACCATCAATGATCTTTATTTTTTCAATCCATGCTTTCAAATGAGGGAATTGATCAATATCAATATCATTATAAGCATAAACTCTAACCCAAGGGAAGGCAGCAATATCAGCAATATTGAAATGGTCACCAACTAACCAACCATCGTTTTCCTTTAATCGTAATTCATAGACTCCAAAGACGCTTTCAGTTTCACCTTTATATCTTTTAATACCATATTCAATCTTTTCTGGAGCATAATGTTGAAATTGGGTAGCTTGACCTTGATATGGAGCATGTGAGGCCACTTGGAAAGTCAACCATTTGATTTGATCCCAATAATGTTCATCATTCATTGAATAGTAATATTATCGTTCCTGGTCATATTTTTCACCTAAATATAGCAAGATTGCACCAGTTTCAAATAAAATTGTTTGTTTCCCTTGAGAATCAACATCACTTAATGTTGGGACACGGCCATTTGGGTTGATTGCAATGAACCATGGTTCTTTTTGGATGTTTGTTCTAATATCCAATTGTCTATAGTAATAATCTTCAATTCCTAATAGTTTTAAATATAATGAAATTTTTTGACCATTTGGACTTCCGAGTGAGTATAATTTAAGGTAAGGCGGTTTTAAATCTTTTGGATGTTCAGGATCTGACAAATCTAAGTTTTTTGAAGACATTGTAGTTGAGAATTGACGTTTGGTCGATGATGATTGATAGGTTTTGGACTTGATGAGTTGATATATGTTCAAAATTATTAGATGAATTGCTGTACTTTATATAATTATTAAAACTCTAGTTGGTCAATTGGTAATCCTGGGAACCACATTGGAGAAGTTTATATCATGAGACCACAATTGATAAACGTGTAAGATGAATCAATTGACCATTGGGCCTTTAATCGAAAGGGGTTTTATTTTGATACTTTCGAGATTCATAATCAAGGACATAAGACGGAAATAACAAACATTTGATTTGACACAATTGAAAGACTGTTACAAAAACAGGATTCAGAATAGCCAAAAGAAGCAGCAAACGATAAGGATACTTTATGATAGATTGTACCAATAATTCTTCCACTGTTGAAACGTCCACAATCAAACTACAATATAGCGTATAATTATAACTACGTTAGCTGGGTGTGGTATTAGGCTTAGGGTGAGTTTGAACAAACTGATATGCCCTTAATACGTCAATTGGTTTTGTGTTCATAGTGGGTCATTTGAATTGAATTTGTGATCAAGACAGATTGTATCCAAAAATTGAGTGTTTATTTATGAGCCAAAGCTGTATTTGATGTTTTTAGATGTTAACAAGCCAAGGTGGCTAACCATTATAATTTACTCTCATTACTACGATCAATTGAAATGTCAAGTTACTTTCCAAACTCATATTTCCCTTAGGGCAAAAGAATTTTACAGACGTTCAACTTTCGAATTGAAGATGCTAAAGAAGTGATGACTATGATGCTTCTGGGTACTATAATGGATTCATACAACTCAAAAACTCACATCTCAATGTTTCAGGGCTATCACGTAGATCATATGATATTTTAGCTAATGCAAATATGGTTTGTAATTTAATTTTTCTAGATGGAGATACTCAAGTTTCCCAGCTACTGAGTACAGATGTTGAATAGCATTAATGCCAACCGAGAGTAAAGCAGCTTTTTAGATTGTAATATAAAAGTTGTATATACTTGACTGCTTTTCTTCCAATATTACAGAGCTGGGTATGAAATTTAATCAGCTTAATGGGGCTGCTTGAAAATAAGTACAGATGTAATAATATGAGCAGATTAAAACTTATCAGCCATGAATACTTGCCACGCTACTACATGAGCTAGCAGGTACTTCCGGTAGTAGTAGAAGCAGCCGGCATTTCTATTATTGATTATATACGTCGTCAATTAATTGCCGATGGTTATACTTGAGAACTAAATATTTGTAATTTGTACTAGTATTAATCTCAATGGTTGCTGATCTTTTTGGTTTATTATCAAAAAACCATTAGACATAATTGTATCTTTTTAAAATGGCCTTTCTTGAATCTTTAACAGTGGTGAATGGTGACTTATTTCTTATCACAGATGCTTACAATTGACTTCGGGAAATCGGGTTTATTTTGAAACTTCCGAGATTCCTAATCAAGGACATAAGACGGAAATAACGATTATAATACTAATACCGGAAATAACGAATTTAAAACACTTGATTTGACACAATTGGAAAATGTGTGCAGAATTCAGATCCATCAATATCCAAAATAGCCAAAACAAAATAAAAGCAATAGCGAATATCTTATATATTGTACTGATATATTGTCCTTTGTTGAAACGTGTTCTCTAGTACACTGCTGTGCATTGTATATAAGTGATGAGAGTGCAAGTACCAGGACGTTTCACAAACTCATCTACCTGGAAGCTGTAGCTCATGTGTATACAGCTCTGACTAGGTTACACAAACAAAATAGGTCTAATACATTGAACAAACTGGAAAGATCAACAGATTATACTTCGTATTAAAGTTTGACCCTCTGGTCTCTGGTCTCTGGTCGCCCATTTGCAATTTGTAATTCAGGAACTGTGTTGATCAAACTTCAGATATTCCACTAAGTCCGCCTGCCTATAACCCGTTACGATGTCCCAACAGATCAGATATACACCTTGTACGTTGTGTATTAAATTCATTGAATACACTGTGTGTATAGTTATCTTAGAATGCTCATCATTAAAGGTAATTACTATTGATATGAAACCCTAACAAAGGAAGAGTACAGGTCTTGGAAGCTATTACGGATCAGCTCAACAAGTAGATATTTACAAGACATCCCAACTTAAACATAGACAATCCGTTTCACTTTATACTAGATTATACGTTAAGGGCAAGTGTACAATTAGCGCTTTTGCTGGGCGTACACGTCTTTTAAACCCGTTAACGACGTGCTTATCTTAGTAATCGACCGGCTTGAAAATTTTCAAAAACGTAAACACTGCGCAACTCAGTGCCAGTGGTGTCCTATTAATTCTTTCAATGTGCGAATATTATCAGGATTAGTCCACAACGATGACAAATCCACGGATCTATGCTGCATGAAAATATCCATCTATAGGTATAAATAGACGCTCATGTCCTCTAGAGTTTGGAGAATGAGTACTGGTTACTGGATTGTTTCCAAAAGGCTTGATCAGTTGAAGTACAATGTCCAACTCTTCAAGTGACAGTCGCTATGAGGAAAAGCCATATGGTGGCGAAAACGATATCGCTGACAAGGAATCAAGAGATGAGTTTGAACAGGAACAAGACTTAATTAGGGTTGTTTCACAAGATGGTATCAATAAGGTCTTGACTAGATTTGAAAGTCTAGCAAGAACAATCTCTAAGAAAAACTTTAAAGAGTTCCCAATGGCTATTGATCCAAATGATTTTGATTTGCAAACCATCTTGGGTGCTTTTGTTAATGATACCACTGAAAGAGGATTGAAGTTGAGAACCGCTGGTATTACGTTTAATAATGTTTCTACTATTGGTAAAGATAACAGTGTTGCTTTTGCACCAACTTTAGCGGATCTTGCTTCTGCTCCATTGGATTTGTTCAAGAAATCACAAAATAGAAAATTGATCAAAAACATTAATGGTTTCGTGAACTCTGGTGAAATGTTGTTAGTTTTGGGTAGACCAGGTGCTGGTTGTTCAACTTTCTTGAGAACTATTAGTGGTGAAACTCATCATTATGTTGGAACTGAAGGGGAAATTTTTTACAATGGTATTCCACAAGATGAAATGGTTAAAAACTTCAAGTCAGATTTGATCTACAATCCAGAACATGATGAACATTTTCCTCATTTAACTGTTGAACAAACCTTGAAATTTGCTGTTGCCTGCAGAACACCAAACACCAGACCAAACGCTTCAACTCGTGAACAATACATTTCCATTATGGTTGATTTATTAGCCACTGTTTTTGGTTTAAGACATACATATCAAACCAAAGTTGGTAATGATGTCTTCAGAGGTGTTTCTGGTGGTGAAAGAAAGAGAGTTTCCATTGCTGAAGCTTTATCAGCTAGGGCTGCAGTTTATTGTTGGGATAATGCCACTAGAGGTCTTGATGCTTCAACTGCTTTAGAATATGCTCAAGCTATTAGAACAACCACCAATTTGATGAAGTCAGCTTCGTTTGTCACTATCTACCAAGCTTCTGAAAACATTTACAACTTGTTTGATAAAGTTACAGTGTTGTATGAAGGTCGTCAGATCTATTTTGGTCCAGTTCATAAAGCTAAACAATATTTCATCGACATGGGATATGAACCATTGAATCGTCAATCCACTACAGAGTTTTTAACTTCAGTTACTGATCCTCTTGGTCGTTTTGCTAGAGAAGGTTATGAGCATAAGGTGCCTCACACACCTGCTGAATTTGAAGAATATTGGTTGAATTCACCAGAATACAAAGTCTTGCAAACCTCAATTGCTCAATACAAATCTACTGCTAGTGCTGACGAAACCAAAAGATTGTTCAAAGAATCATTGGCCCATGAAAAAGCCAAATATTCTAAAAAGAACTCTCATTATACAATCAGTTATCCTGCTCAATTGAAGTTGTTAACAAAACGTGGATATCAAAGAATTATTGGTGATAAAGCTTTTACTACAATTCAAATCTCAATGTCCATTATTATCTCATTGGTTCTTGGTTCAATGTTTTATGATTCTCCTGATTCAACAGCTGGTGCTTTTTCAAGAGGTGGTGTTATTTTCTTTAGTTTGATCTTCTTTGTGTTTTTAGCTAGTGCTGAAATCATTATTTCATTTCAAAACCGTCCAATCATCCAAAGACATAGATCTTATTCGTTCTACAGTCCCAGCGCTGAAGCCATTGCTGATTTGCTCACAGATTTCCCTTTGAAGATGGTTACAATCATTGTTTTCACAATCATTTCATATTTCCTCGCTGGATTAAAGAGTGATGCTGGTGCTTTCTTCAACTTTTTATTGTTCTTCCTACTCACTGTCTTCATTGCCAAAGTTATGTTCAATGTGGTTGCCACAATTTCACCAACTGCATCATTGGCTAATTCTGTTGGTGGTGTTTTGTTATTGGCCATTGCTTTGTACTCTTCATTTATGATTCAAATTCCTTCCATGCATCCTTGGTTTGTTTGGATTGCTTATATTAATCCTGCCATGTATGGTTTTGAATCAATGGCACTTGGTGAGTTCCATGGGAGAAAAATGGAATGTTCTCCCGAATATTTGATTCCATCTGGTCCAGGTTATGAAAATGTTGATAGTGCTAATCAAGTTTGTGCATTCGTTGGTTCTGAACCAGGCCAACCATGGGTTAGTGGTGATCGCTATTTGGATATTTCATTCGAATATACTTATGGTCATAATTGGAGAAATCTTGGTATTTTGATTGGATTTGCTTTGTTCTTTACTGTTTGTTTATCTGTCTTTGCTGATTTGATGAAATTTGGAGAAGGTAGTGGTGATAGATTGTTGTTTAAGAAAGGTAAACTACCTGATGAGTTTGTCAGATCATCAAGCTCAAGTACTGATGAAGAAGCTGGTCCAGTTGATGATAACTTGGTTCGTACTAGAAGCACTAAGAAGAACTTCTTGAAAGATGAAGATTTAAGTACTGCTGATATTTTCAGTTGGAAAAACTTGGATTACACTATTAAGACTAAAGATGGGAACTTGAGAAAATTATTGGATAATGTCCAAGGTTATATTAAACCAGGTCAATTAGTTGCTTTGATGGGTGAATCAGGTGCTGGTAAAACCACCTTGTTGAATGTGTTGTCTCAAAGAATTGATATGGGTGTTATCACTGGTGACATGCTGGTTAATGGTGCTCCAATTGATAGTACTTTCAAGAAGAGAACTGGTTATGTTCAACAACAAGATTTACATCTTGATGAATTGACTGTCAGAGAATCATTAGTGTTTGCAGCTAGAATGAGAAGACCAGCTAATGTTCCAGATGCTGAGAAGTTAGACTATGTTGAAAAGATTATCAAAATCTTGGATATGGAATTGTACGCAGATGCTATTGTTGGTCAGATTGGTGATGGTTTGAATGTTGAACAACGTAAGAAGTTATCTATTGGTGTTGAATTAGTTGCTAAACCATCATTGTTGTTGTTTTTGGATGAGCCTAGTTCAGGCTTGGACTCACAATCATCTTGGGCAGTTGTTCAAGTGTTGAGACATCTTGCAGAAGCTGGACAAGCTATCTTGTGTACTATCCATCAACCTTCAGCTACATTGTTTGAACAATTTGATAGATTATTGTTGTTGAAGAAAGGTGGTCAAACAGTTTATTTTGGTGATATTGGTGAGAGATCTAGAACTTTGTTAAATTACTTTGAAAGAAATGGTGGAAGACCATGTGGTGAATTGGAAAACCCTGCTGAGTATATTTTGGAATCTATTGGTGCCGGTGCTACAGCTGTTGTTAATGAAGACTGGCATGAGAAATGGGAAAACTCACCAGAGTATATCCAAGCTTCCACTGAAATTGATGAGATTAACAAAGAAGGTTTACGTTTAACTGCTACTACTACTGTTACTGCTTCAGAAGATAAGTACTTACATTCAACTTATGCTACTTCTTGGTTTTCTCAAGTTAAACATGTTTATTTTAGAACAAATTTGCAATTTTATCGTGATCCAACTTATATGTTTGCCAAAATTGGGCTATACACTTTAGGTGGTTTGTTTATTGGTTTTACATTTTGGGGATTAAAGCACTCCATCATTGGTAATCAAAATGCTCTTTTCGTTGCATTTTTAGCTGTTATCATTTCCAACCCATTGTTGAATCAAATCCAAGAAAGATCTATGAAATCAAGAGTTGTTTATGAGGCTAGAGAAAGAATGAGTAATACCTTCCATTGGACTGCTTTAATGGTGTCACAAATTTTGACTGAAATTCCATACAACTTTTTTGGTTCAACCATTTACTTTTTGTGCTCATATTTCCCATTAAGAATATATCAAAATTCAACATTGACAGGAAAGTTCTATTTCATGGTTTCAATCATCTATCAAATTTATATTTGTACATTTGCCATTGGTATTTATTATGTTTCTCCAGATTTACCATCAGCTGGATTATTGGGATCTGTTGTCACTGTCTTCATGTTTGCCTTTGCTGGTGTTTTACAACCTTATTCAAATCTTCCAGGATTCTGGCGTTTTATGTACAGGGTTTCACCTATCACTTATGTTGTTGAAAGTTTATCATCCACTTTGCTTCACGGAAGAGAAATCCATTGTTCCAAGAGTGAACTAGCTTATTTTGATCCTCCATCCGGTCAAACTTGTGGTGAATATGTTTCTGATTACATTTCTGCTCGTGGTGGTTATTTGGTTGATCCTTCTGCTACTTCAGACTGTGGTTACTGTTCTTATTCTGATGCTGATACATATATTGGTAGTACTAGAATGATGAAGTATAGTCATTACTGGAGAAACTTTGGTCTTTTCTGGGTTTATATCCTCTTTAATGTTGTTTCAATGATGGCGTTGTACTGGTTGGCTAAGGACGCTAAGTTTTCTACTCCAAAGCTATTTCAAAAGAAACCAAAAGCTGAAAAGGAGCCAAAAGTTGAACAAAGCGATCTTGCTTGAATGAATTATAATATATTGAGTTGTATAATAGAGTTGGGAATTTTAACTATGAATGATTAATTTTAATACATTTAATTCAAAGTCGATTTAGTAGCACTATTTCCTATTTGTAACTTACTTGACAATTGAGACTCGAAAAAGTAACATCCAGCTATGAGTTAGCTGGTAACACTGCGACTGTCACCAACAGCTATAAGTGTTTGATAATATTCACAGCTCTACTATGAACGGCGGAAGTCCGTCGAATTACGTATAATTAGTACCATGAACAGAATGTATTTTTAATGAACGTCCACAGAAAGACCTCGTTTGATAGAGGTGCTCAATTACTAATGGAGCTGCTAATTATTCAGCAGTTGTCAATTTTGTTAGGGGCCCACCTGGGCTTCAAACCTTTGCGCTGGGCTTCAATCACAGAAATCATCAAATTTCAATTGATCAACAAACAACAAGGTAAACACACAATGGTTTTGCTTAGTTTCACAACCCTTAGCGCCTGCTTTGAATAGAGAGATTATACAGCTCATCATGAGAAGCCACTGATAGATTATGCCTGTTTTGTCATCAATATCATGGGTTTAGCTAATCAGATTGTCCATTGACTGCTTTTTGTGATTTCAAATTAAGCTCAGCTACTTGAACTGCTTCAATATTGAAATGTAATAACCAAGTTCAATTATTAATTATCTCCTCACTGAAATAGTTGTTTCAAGTTTATTTAAGAATGCCTGATTCTCAGCTATTAGAAGATAGATTTTGCTGAGGGTGTTTGACATCAATAAAGCAAAATGAATACATCCCCAGAGCGTGCTTTAGAGCTTGAGAAGAGCCAAACATTCGATGAATATGAGGAAGACTTAATTCGCAGTGTTACAAATGATATCAACACTGGTGTTTTGAACACTTTTGAGAACTTAGTGAAGACAATGTCAGGAAAAACTTTTAAAGAGTTCCCAATGGCTATTGATCCAAATGATTATGACTTACAAACCATCTTGGGTGCTTTTGTTAATGATACCACTGAAAGAGGATTGAAGTTGAGAACTGCTGGTATTACGTTTAATAATGTTTCTACTATTGGTAAGGATAACAGTGTTGCTTTTGCTCCAACTTTAGCAGATCTTGCTTCTGCTCCATTGAATTTGGTCAAGAAATCACCAACCAGAAAGTTAATCAAAAACATTAATGGTTTCGTGAACTCTGGTGAAATGTTGTTAGTTTTGGGTAGACCAGGTGCTGGTTGTTCAACTTTCTTGAAAACTATTAGTGGTGAAACTCATAATTATGTTGGTACTGAAGGTGAAATTTTGTACAATGGTATCCCACAAGATGAAATGGTTAAAAACTTCAAGTCAGATTTGATTTACAATCCAGAACATGATGAACATTTTCCTCATTTAACTGTTGAACAAACTTTGAAATTTGCTGTTGCTTGCAGAACACCAAACGCCAGACCAAATTCTTCAACTCGTGAACAATACATTTCCATCATGGTTAATTTATTGGCTACTGTTTTCGGTTTAAGACATATTTTTCAAACCAAAGTTGGTAACGATGTCTTCAGAGGTGTTTCTGGTGGTGAAAGAAAGAGAGTTTCCATTGCTGAAGCTTTATCAGCCAGGGCTGCGGTTTATTGCTGGGATAATGCTACTAGAGGTCTTGATGCCTCAACGGCTTTAGAATATGCTCAAGCTATCAGAACAACTACCAATTTGATGAAGTCAGCATCATTTGTCACTATCTATCAAGCTTCTGAAAACATTTACAACTTGTTTGATAAAGTTACAGTGTTGTATGAAGGTCGTCAAATTTATTTTGGTCCAGTTGAGAGAGCTAGACAATACTTCATTGATATGGGGTATGGACCATTGAATCGTCAATCCACCACTGAGTTTTTAACTTCAGTTACTGATCCACTTGGTCGTTTTGCTAGAGAAGGTTATGAACATAAAGTTCCTCACTCACCAGCAGAATTTGAAGAATATTGGTTGAAGTCACAAGAGTATAAAGTCCTAAAAACCACAATCACTCAATACAATTCCACTGTTGATGCTGATGAAACTAAGAAATCATTTAAAAAATCTTTATCAAAAGAGAAGTCATTATTTACCAGGGCCAATTCAAGGTATACTATTGACTTTGCTTCCCAGTTGAAGCTGTTGGTGAATCGGGGTTATCAAAGAGTAATCAATGATACAGCGTTTTTGATTATTCAGAGTGCTTTAACAGTTATTATTGCGTTTATGATTGGGTCGCTATGCTATGATACACCAATTTCTACAGCTGGTGCTTTTTCAAGAGGTGGTTTCATCTTCTTTAGTGTTATATTCTTCGTGTTCAATACATTTGCTGAAATGATTTTCCTTTTTCAAACCTGTCAAATTGTGAACAGACATAGATCATATTCATTTTATGCTCCTTCCGCAGAGGTGATTGCTGATTTAGTTATCAATTTAATTGTGAAGGTCGTCATGATTACCATTTTTATGATCATTTCTTACTTCTTAGCTGGTATGAAATATGAAGCTGGTGCATTCTTCAGCTTTTGGTTATTTTTCATTCTTACTGTGCTTGCTTTCAAAGTCATCTTTAACTTTATTGCTACCATCTCCCCAACCAATGCTTTGGCAAATACAATTGGAGGAATTGTTCTTATGGCAATCTCTATCTATTCATCTTTTATGATCCAATTCCCATCGATGCACCCGTGGTTTTCTTGGATCTTTTATATTAATCCATTTACTTATGGATTTGAATCGGTGATGCTTATGGAATTTCACGGTCGTGAAATGGAATGTCAACCAGACAGTTTGGTTCCTTCTGGTATAGGCTATGAAACTGTTGATAGCGTCAATCAAGTTTGTGCCTTTATTGGTTCAGAGGCTGGTCAAACTTGGGTTAGTGGTGATAAATATTTGGAAGTCGTATATGATTACACTTTTGGTCACATTTGGCGCAACTTGGGAATATTAATTGGATTTATTTTTTTCTTTTTGTCTTTAACAGTGGTTTGCTCAGATTATGTTAATTACGATGAAGTTAAAGGTGATAAACTTTTGTTTAAGAAAGGAAAGGTGCCAGATGACGTTGTTCAGCCTATGCCTACTCATGATGTTGAATCTGGTAATGTCCAAGAAGATTCATTAGTTCCAATTCCTCATAGACTTTTGAAAGATGAAAAGCTAGGTAGTGGTGATGTTTTTTCTTGGAAAAATTTGGATTATACTATCAAGACTAAAGATGGGAATTTGAGAAAACTATTGGATAATGTTCAAGGTTATATTAAACCAGGTCAATTAGTCGCTTTGATGGGTGAATCAGGTGCTGGTAAAACCACCTTGTTGAATGTTTTGTCTCAAAGAATTGATATGGGTGTTATTACTGGAGACATGTTGGTGAATGGTGCTCCAATTGATAGTACTTTCAAGAAGAGAACTGGTTATGTTCAACAACAGGATTTACATCTTGATGAATTAACTGTCAGAGAATCATTAGTGTTTGCAGCCAGAATGAGAAGACCAGCTAATGTTCCAGATGCTGAGAAGTTGGACTATGTTGAAAAGATTATCAAAATCTTGGATATGGAATTGTATGCCGATGCTATTGTTGGTCAGATTGGTGATGGTTTGAATGTTGAACAACGTAAGAAGTTATCTATTGGTGTTGAATTAGTTGCTAAACCATCATTGTTGTTGTTTTTGGATGAGCCTAGTTCAGGCTTGGACTCACAATCATCTTGGGCAGTTGTTCAAGTGTTGAGACATCTTGCAGAAGCTGGACAAGCTATCTTGTGTACTATCCATCAACCTTCAGCTACATTGTTTGAACAATTTGATAGATTATTGTTGTTGAAGAAAGGTGGTCAAACAGTTTATTTTGGTGATATTGGTGAGAGATCTAGAACTTTGTTAAATTACTTTGAAAGAAATGGTGGAAGACCATGTGGTGAATTGGAAAACCCTGCTGAGTATATTTTGGAATCTATTGGTGCCGGTGCTACAGCTGTTGTTAATGAAGACTGGTATGAGAAATGGGAAAAGTCACCAGAGTATACTCAACTTTGTTATGAGGTTGATACTGTTGTCAAGACTAAAGCACCTTCAAAGACTGAAGAACAATTGGGCTCATCTTACTCATCATCTTGGCTCACGCAGCTCAAATATGTTCTTTTGAGAACCAATATTCAATTTTATCGTGACCCATGGTATCCATTTGCTAAATGGGTATTGTTTATCTTTGGCGGTTTATTTTTTGGTTTTACTTTCTGGGATTTGAAACACACCATTACTGACACCCAGAATTCCTTGTTTGTTGTTTTTCTTTCACTAATTCTTCATAACCCTTTGGTTAATCAGATGCAAGCCAAATCATCAAAAGCTCGTGCCGTTTATGAAGCAAGGGAGAGAATGAGTAAAACATTTCACTGGTCTGCCTTGTTGCTGTCCCAAATTCTCACTGAATTGCCATATAATTTATTGGGTTGTACAATTTTCTTTTGTTCTTGTTATTTCCCTTTAAGAGCTTACCAAGGACCTTCATTAGCTGGTAAATATTATTTCACACTTGCAATCATGTATGAGCTCTATATCACAAGTTTTTCCGTCGGTGTCTACTATTTTTCACCAGATTTGGCAACTGCAAATATTTTGGGGACAATTTTGATAGTCTTTATGCTCACATTTTCTGGTGTTGTTCAACCTCTATCAAATTTTCCTAAATTTTGGACATTTATGTACAAAGCATCACCAGTCACTTATTTTGTTCAAAATATGGTTTCATCTTTAATTCATGGAAGAGAAGTGCAATGTTCTGATGATGAGTTATCTTATGTGAATCCACCAAATGGTAAGACTTGTGGTGATTATTTATCTTCGTTTATTGAATCCAATGGTGGTTATTTGGTTGATTCCTCTTCAACTGAAAACTGTGGGTATTGTGCTTACACTGGTGCTGATGAATATATTTTCAAGACCAGAAATATCGATTATGGGACCTACTGGAGAAATATTGGTATTTTCTGTGTATTCATCGCGTTCAACATATTGGGAATGATGGTTTTATACTGGTATTTTAAGGATTTCAAGTTCAAAAGATCGAAAGTGAATTCTAAGAAGAGTAATGATCAAGAAAAATGATGATAGAACTTTCATTGAAAGTGGTGTCTTCTCATTTCTATGTCTTGTTGTTTACGTATACAAATACATACTTTTAACTATTTTGATCATTGGCGTAGGATCGACAAATAAGTACCACTTAGTAATTGCTAGTTGATGCTTGAATAATCTGAAATCTTGAAAGATTTACCTCAATAGCTAGCATATAATAGAAATACTGTATATGTGGTACAAATCTTCAATTGCATATATCTTTGTTAAATTTAAATGGCCTTGCAGGAAAATATATTATAACATACAATCTAATCAAGCTACTTAAATTAGACTTTTTATATTGAGCTTGACACTTGAACGTTTTACCCCTGTTGACTCAACCTTTTGTAATCTCATTATTAGTATAATCAAAAATAACAACAGCCACTTTGTATATCAACCGGAGAGCGAGTCAATTATAAGCCGTCCAGCATACTGAGATAACGTAAACAGAACAATTGAATGGAAACCATGACCCAAAGCTTACACTTACTTCATGGTTTGGTCAAAAGGAATTTAATTGGTAGCCACTATTTTGATCAGTTTCGCCAAATCCACACCTCCAGAATGCTGAATGAAAGCACATCACACAAATGCTTGGGAAAGAGTCAATTCTTCAGGAAAACTAGGAACTTTGGGCGCAAGAAGTCATCAGAGCTCACTTCCACCATCAATAACCTTCATTCGCGACTAAGTACATGTAGAGATCCTCTAGTTGAGTCTCACTCCCAACAAAAAATCACTATTGGATTAGTCTGCACAACAAAAATCAACAAACAATTTCACCAAAAACTCAAAGTCAACACATTCACCAGAACCAACGAAACTCCACCATCACCAACGAATTGCATTAGCTCAATTTCATTGGAATTGTATTTAAACGTAGCATATGGCAATTGCAACTTGTGACCTGTGACCAATTGAAAGTACCGGACTTTCAAACTTCGGTTTTTGGCTTGTATAATTTTCACTAGACCCTGTCACCGGACGAGATGCACCAGACCTGAAATGTCCACACCCGGACACCATCAATTGTGTTAACTATGAGAGCACCAGGACTAGGTCCTCTCAGTCTCCAAAATCCTCGTGATTTCTCGTTCGCTTAGATGGTGAACGACCACTTTTTTTTTCAAGATTTGAATCTCATCAACTTGTTTTTACCATTGAACCTTAAGGAAATTCACATTCTTTTTAGCAAAAGCTCTGTTAAAGCAACTGTTTAGGAAGGGATTTAATTTTGTTTGGTCATTGTCATTGAGGCTTCCTTGTTTTGTCAACCAATCAATCCACTATCGTATAAAAACATAAAGATATCATCAATTTCTGAATATTCAATCAATTGCAGTGTGCTGAAATCGATACTGATATAGTTGAGCAACTCCAATAACATATTTAATAGTCTAAACCAATTCTCAATTCTATTCAGGTCTCCAATTGAATTCAAGAAAGGGAAAAGAAGAAGAAACCAAAAAAAATCCAGATACAAGAGTTTTATATAACCACATTCCCCTCAGATTAAAACACAAGAAACATGACAAAAGTCGAACACAAGGTTGTCCACGAAGCCTCCAACGTCGAGGCCAGACACGCCCCAGAACATTTCTACAAATCTCAACCGAACAAAGGTTTCGTCAACGATTTGGAGCACTACAAAGAGCTTTACGCCAAATCCATTGAAGATCCAGAAGGTTTCTTTGGTCCTTTGGCTAGAGAATACTTGGACTGGGATAAAGATTTTAACAAAGTTCAAAGCGGTTCTTTAGAAAACGGTGATGTTGCTTGGTTCCTTAATGGTGAATTGAATGCTTCTTACAACTGTGTCGATAGACACGCGTTTATCAACCCAGCTAAACCAGCTATCATTTATGAAGCGGATGATGAAAAAGACAACAGAATTATCACTTTTGGTGAATTATTAAGACAAGTTAGTGAAGTTGCCTCAGTTCTGAAAAGTTGGGGTGTTAAGAAAGGTGATACCGTTGCTGTTTATTTACCAATGATTCCAGAAGCTGTTGTCGCTATGTTGGCGGTTGCAAGATTAGGTGCTATTCATTCAGTTATCTTTGCAGGGTTCAGTGCTGGTTCTTTAAAAGATCGTGTTACTGATGCTGGTTCAAAAGTTATCATTACCTGTGATGAAGGTAAAAGAGGTGGTAAAACTGTTCATACTAAAAAAATCGTTGATGAAGGTTTAAATGGTGTTGATTCAGTGGAAAAAATCCTTGTTTTCCAAAGAACAGGTTCTCAAGGTATCCCAATGAAAGAAGGTAGAGATTTTTGGTGGCATGAAGAAACCTCTAAAGCTAGAGGTTATTTACCACCAACTCCAGTTAATTCTGAAGATCCATTGTTTTTGTTATATACCTCAGGTTCTACTGGTTCTCCAAAAGGTGTTGTTCATACCACTGCTGGTTACTTATTAGGTGCTGCATTAACTACTAAATATGTCTTTGATATCCATCCAGAAGATGTCTTATTCACTGCTGGTGATGTCGGTTGGATTACTGGTCATACTTATGCTCTTTATGGTCCTTTAACTTTAGGTACTGCTACAATTATTTTCGAATCTACCCCAGCTTATCCAGATTATGGTAGATACTGGAGAATTATTGAACGTCATAAAGCTACCCATTTCTATGTTGCCCCAACTGCTTTAAGATTAATTAAAAGAGTTGGTGAAGAAGAAATTGGTAAATATGATTTAAGCTCTTTGAGAACTTTAGGATCTGTTGGTGAACCAATTGCACCAGATTTATGGGAATGGTATAACGAAAAAATTGGTCAAGGTAGATGTGTTGTTTGTGATACTATGTGGCAAACTGAATCAGGTTCTCATTTAATTGCTCCATTGGCAGGTGCTGTCCCAACAAAACCAGGTTCAGCTACTGTTCCATTCTTTGGTATCAATGCTGCTATTATTGATCCAGTTACTGGTGAAGAATTGAAAGGTAATGATGTTGAAGGTGTTTTAGCTGTCAAAGCACCATGGCCATCAATGGCTAGATCAGTTTGGAATAACCATTCTCGTTACATTGAAACTTATTTGAAACCTTACCCAGGTTATTATTTCACAGGTGATGGTGCTGGTAGAGATCATGATGGTTACTACTGGATTAGAGGTAGAGTTGATGATGTTGTTAACGTTTCAGGTCATAGATTATCTACCTCAGAAATTGAAACTGCTTTAACTGAACATTTAGGTGTTTCCGAAAGTGCTGTTGTTGGTATTCCAGATGAATTGACTGGTCAATCTGTTATTGCATTTGTTTCATTAAAAGAAGGTTACTTAGTTCAAGCTAATGAAAAAATAACTGATTCAAATGAACACATCACTCCAGATAAATTAAGACGTGAATTGATTTTACAAGTTAGAGGTGAAATTGGTCCATTTGCTGGTCCAAAAACCGTTATTATTGTTGATGATTTACCAAAAACAAGATCTGGTAAAATCATGAGAAGAGTCTTGAGAAAGATAACATCAAATGAAGCTGATCAATTAGGTGATTTATCCACTTTAGCTAACCCAGAAATCGTTAAAGATATAATTGCTGCTGTTGATGACCAATTCTTCAAATTGTTAAAGAAATAGATATAGATTGTTTTAGCAATTGATGTTGCTTATAGAAAGAAGATTGTCTGCGTTGAAATTCTTTAACTTGTTTTTTATTCCTCTTTTTCATTTTGTTTGGATTATTTATTGTTTTTGAGTCTAGTTAATATTTACCCATAGCGTTTAGAAGATAATGCACAGAGCTTGCAAAATAAAGATCTTGTAGATTTAGTCTAGTGTACATCTTTCTTGCAGTGTAGTGGTTTTTCAAAGAGATGGACATACTTCAAACCGTCTGTCAACTTGGATTAAGAGATGAAGTTACAAGCGTAACATCTAGTTCAACACTTTTAAAAAACAATGTTCAATTAAATTAATCAAAAAAAAGAACTATACGTGAATTGAATTGAGAACTGAGTTAGCTAGAAGCTTATTTACTTTCTTCAGTTTTTTTTTCAGCTTCTGATGATGAACCACCGAATTGTTTTCTAATGGCATCTTCACCTTTTTTATAGTTATCTTCACCAACTTTGTCTTTGATTTGTTTTAATCTATCTTCACCAATGTAACCTTCAGCTTTTTTAACATAGTCAGTTTGTTCACCACTTTTTTTATCACCAGAGCCACCTAAAGCACCTTGGATTTTACTGAAGTTTTCTTCACCAACTTGATTCTTAACGCTGTCAAATAAACCCATTTTGTATCAATTGTATTGAAAGTCTTGTGTACAATATCAATTGAGATTGGAAAGAGTAAAAGAAAATTCAGGACTATAGAACTGTTTATATACCCCCAAAATCAAAACACTGAATTCAACGCGTTTTCCAGAAGGTGAAATTCGTTCAATTTCAATTCATGCATGATTACTGCACATTCAAATTTTAAAAACTGGAATTGTGTTGAACCTAACTGTTCTGTAATTACCGTGGAAGCAGACTATGGGCATTGGATTCATGCAAGTAAAGAGCTACATTTAGAGTCTAGAAATAAGAAATAACTAAGATACGATGCGTTATCAACTAACCTAAAATCTAGGATGCTCATTAATTTCCTGTTGATAAGAGAATTCAATCTCAATATCGCTGTTAACAATTGAACAGTCGCCCGACATTATGATTCTTAGACGAGTCAGACCAACTAGACAGTATAAACATCAATTTTATTATAAACTACCTTAATATCGAGTACGTCCTACCTCTGATTCACAGGTATTTGTATAGCTCGTTGAAGTCTATCCTATGGACATTATCGGCGTTCATGCTCGGAATTCGCTGAGGATTAGCACGCCGACCTTCAGAACATCACAATTATAGTAATTATAGAGCCACAACCACTATAAAGACAAAAAAACATAACCAGGCTATCTATAAGACTCCAAATAACTTCAAAATTGAAAAAAAATAGCATAAAACGGGCATATGAGCGAAGCATTTCAAAAAAATTGCGCAAGCCCGGAGTCGAACCGGGGGCTCAAAGATGGCAACTTTGAATTTTACCGCTAAACCACTTGCGCTTAACGATGTCGGGTTTTTCCGCTGAGTTGTCTCGAGCTTCTTTTCGGAGCTCAGTCACGTGATAATAATTACTCCATTTGGCTATAAAACCGATCCAAATTCGAAAATTTGAAAACCGTTATTCGCGTTTTTGAATAGGTTATAATTTGAATTGAACATGCTAGGAAGAAATAAACGGCATTAACGAATCCTTTTAAAACGCATTTTAATCCATTTTGGGAACTTTTAATACCGTTACTTGCGAGCTTTATTAGTGCTACCCAGGTTGTTTTAATGCCGATTGCAAATGTGTTGAGTGTTGACGCTTTAATTGATCAATGCCTTGAGGAAACCCACCACCATTGAGAACTATAAAAGAAAGCATTTTCCCTCAAACGATATTATTGGTTTCTTAAAGCTATTACTCGAGAAGAGCCACATTTAAATCACGTTAGCTACCAGCATGTCCGTCAACTTAACCCATCACTGTACAGAGACCAACTTCCATTCAGGTGAATCAGTTGGAAAGATCCAACCTGAATATTTAACTTTCAAAGACGTTTATGTCGTTGGTGATGAATCCAAAAACAAAGGTGTTGTAGTCATCTTGACTGATATTTTCGGTAACAAATACAACAACAATCAATTAGTTGCGGATGCATTTGCTAAAGCTGGTTATTATGCTTTAATTCCAGATTTGTTTGATGGTGATGCTGTTGAATTAGAAAATTATGGTAAACCAGGTTATTTTGATACTTGGAAAAAAAACCATGGTTTTAACGTTACAAGCCCATATGTGAAGGATTTTTTGAAAAAAATTGACTCTGAATTGAAACCTACCAAGATCTTTAGTGTTGGCCATTGCTATGGTGGTAAATTAGTTATTCAAAATTTAACAAAAGATGGTTTATTAGCTGCAGGTGCCGTTGCACATACTTCAGGTACAGAATTGTCAGAAGTCAAAGAAATCATCAACCCTATTATATTCTCATGTGCTGAGAATGATCCAGCATTCACTGATGAACTTAGAACTCAATCTCAACAAATTTTGAAGGAGAACAAGATCAAATATCAATTTGATTTATTTAGTGGTGTTGCTCATGGCTACGCTGTTAGAGGTGATCCAAACAATCCAGATGATAAATATGCTTCTGAGAAGACCTTGAAAGACCAAATTGCTTGGTTTGACCGTTTCAGCTCTTGATCTATTATATGCATCTCAATGGAATATTGTAAATAGGCTTTGAAATTTTAACTTGTAGTGCTAATAATCTACACCATGTCCAAAACTAACATTAATATGAGCATAAACCTTATACAGAAGTAAAAAATATAGTGTATCACACTGATAATCTAAGACCACAACAAGGTCAAGAGTTTCCAGCCTCTGACTTTTTCTAATGGTGGCTCTGGGTTTTCCTCAGCATCTTTAAACAATGATTCCAAATCAACTTCATGAGGTTTCAAATATTTAGTGCCTTTGAAAAACTTCCAGCCAAAGTATAAACCTAAAGATAATGGAATGATAAAGTATGAACTGAAGAAAGAACTAATCAAGAATTGACCTTTGACAAAATTCTTAAACCCACCAGTGAGTAATAATATAAAGGAAGCAATACCAGAGATCCAAGCAGCCTGCGGAGCAAATCCTATGGAATGAGGTAATCTCGATCTTGGTATACCTTGAACTTTCATTGCTCTTGTCATATGAATATGATTCGAAGAAATCAAAATCCAGCCAAATAATAGTTTAGCAGAGACAATAGATTGGAACCAGTTGAAAACATTGGCAGAACTTGTGGATAGATTCATATAAGCTAATGGCATAAAACAAGCACAGAAAGTTGTACCAACCCAAGGGATACCTCTCTTATTGGTTTTCAAAAAGATTTTTGGTGCTTGGTTTTTAACAGCTAGAGCAAATAAGTTTCTTGATCCATAAACCAATTGTAAGTTGGCAGCACTGAAAGCAGAGGTTAAGACCGCAGCATTAACAACATGTGGTAGCACTTTAATGTTTGCATTCTTCATGGCAACGACGAATGGTGAAGATGCAGCATTACCTGTTGAGTTTGCAATTGTTTTGTCATTTGATGGAACAATAAGGGTTAGACAGAATGCAGTTAAAATCATCAAGATTGAAACTCTATAAAAGATTCTTTTACAAGCAGTAAAGACAGTTCTTCTTGGATATTTGACTTCAGCTGCCAATGCAGGAACTGATTGAACACCACCATAAGAATAGACAACACCAGATAATGCCTTCCAAAACCCAGCAAACTTACCCAAGTCACCTTTAGTTAAATATTCAACAAACGGACCTGGATTTCTCCAATATTGGAAACCAATACTTTTCCCATTTGGACCACCACCACATGTAATAACAATGGAGACAATAATCAAACCAATAAGCAATGACAATTTAATAATGGCAAAAACGAATTCCAATTCACCATAAAATCTAATAGAATAAGAATTTGAGGCGTAAATCACGAAAATGATAATAGTTATCCAAATACCTTGTGATAAGTCCGACCAATACGAAACAATCAAGGCAGCAGCAGAGATTTCATTAGGCATGATTGAACTCCAAACACTAACCCAACCATAAGTAAAACCCCAAGCTTCATCCACAAATTGTTCACAATGACGGACAGTTGCGGATGAGGTCGGCATTAAAGAAGCACATTCAGCCAACCCCATTTGATTCAAACCAACAATCAAAGCAATAAGAGTATAAGCTAGAAAAGTACCACAAGGACCAGCAGTAGCCAGCTGTCCACCTGAGGACAAGAAAATACCTGTACCGAAAACACCCACTAGTGTAAGCATCTGTAAATGACGTTGATTCAATCCTTGTTTCAAACGTGTACGATCTTCACCAAAGACTGATTCAGTATCACCATCTCTTATTGTTTGAATTTCCGCAACTTCAACATCATGAATCTTGTTGAAGTCTATATTTTCTTGCTTCTCATTCTTTTCAGAAGAGTCTGTATATGATATGGAGGAGGCTGTTGGCTCCTTGCTTGAAGACATTGTGATTAAATGTTGTTCAAATGCTTTGATACCCTTAAAACTAAGGACTTTGAATATGAGATCAAAAGCATCTTATATACTGTCCTATTTTCAAAACTAGTACCGGATCTAAGCTCGAATTGGGATATTTCTGATGTACAGTGATACAGCATGGCTCTTCGCTGGCTGTCTCAAGTTTTGACTGCATCATTTCATCGAGAAAGAGCTATCAACTTTCTTTAGTTTGTTATCACGTAAAAAATTCAGGATCGCGCTTTTAGATAGAGAAGATCAACACTTTACCAAAACTAGGCAGTAATTTGCCGTGTACACTTTTAGATTAGGGAGTTAATAGAGACTATAGTCTATGGAGTAGGACTATATGGCCAGCTAATCACTTTGGTACTGGTAAAGTGATATCTCTGTCTTGTTCATCCCTCAAGATACAGGATACAGGTGTTAGGGGTTTAGAGTGTTTTAGGCAATATGTCCTATCAAGTGGTCCAATGTGTGAAGCCAACAACCACGGAACTCCAAGCATATGTTGACCCCTGGTTCTGATCAGGCATTAAATATATCTGTATTGTTTGACTAAATCACCCCCATTGAAACCAAGGAAACCTTTTGTAGTCTTAAAATGGGGGCGTATTGTAGAGTTAATGTCAATTCAATGCGAAAGAAACTTCAATAAAGTTCGACAAAATAGGACCATTTGCTGGATAGAGATCAAAAGCCGGAGACGTTATATTTCATAGCAATGGTGTGATTGTAGATACCATATCTTGGACATTTGGCTATTGAAATCAAAGATACACTAACCTCGATATACTTGATAGATTGTAATCCAAAAGCACCTCCATTGGTGACTGCAACACCGTTGACCACAGTCCTATACAGCTTGTAATCCATTACACTCTTTAAATGGTTTACCAAATAATTTCATCGTTCAAAGTTCAAGTTGCAGTGTAATTTGTTATCAGGATGAATGAATTGGCGACGTCGCTGCGCAGAGATAAGCATATTGACAGAATTATTTGTAGTCAAGAAGGTGCCAGTTTTTACAAACCACTCAAATTCCATTGGCTCTATAGCTTCTGGCACAACATCTTAGATAGATCAGCTCTTTCAACTGTTAATTGGCTAAAGGTCCAGTTCGTTAGTTATCCAATGTTTTAATGATGTTATATTCCTTATCTACTTGACAGTTATACGGGTACATAATCATAGATTCCATTCGCGAAGTACCGGGTTTTCGAGCCTTTTTGGATTCTTTGAAGGGTTCAACCTCAGGATTTAAATTAAACTTGAGAATGTTCTTAGATTCCATTGAAACCCCACTAGAGGTCAAATAACCAACACAATTTCCTCAATAACATTTCTTCCATTATATTTCACCACCGTTTTCCTTATTCTCTGCCCAACTGTGGAGAAATTCGTGAACAAGGTGACGGGGTTCAAAAATTTTCAGCCATCTCAAAAAAAAAAGTACAACTTTAAACCACAGTACAGAATCATCAAAACAGTTTACACACTTTTATGTCACAACAATGAGTTGATGCTCTAATCAATAACAACATGTCAAATCAAGAAGAAATATCACTTGGCGCTATAATCTTCATAGCAGCCAAACCAATTGTCAAGATCTACCTTATTATGTTCCTTGGTTGGTTATTAGTTAGACATAACATTTTAACAATGGAGACAAGTAGAGGAATATCAAATATGGTTGTCAATGCCCTTTTACCATGTCTTAGTTTCAACAAGATTGTCACCAATCTATCAGGTGGGCAAATCAAAGAAATTGGTGTATCTGTATTAACTGCAATGCTTGTATTTGGAACAGGTGGTGCCCTAGCTGTTTTAACAAGATTTATTACACCAGTACCCAAGAAATGGGTTTGGGGGCTTATATTTGGTGGTATCTTTGCAAATATTTCAGACTTACCAATCGCTTATACCCAGAGTATGGGAACTGGGATTGTATTTGATCAAAAACAAGCTGATAAAGGTGTGGCTATAAGTTGTATCTTTTTAGCATGTCAACAATTCTTGATGATGAATATGGGGATGTTTCAAGTGGTTGGATTGGATTTTAGGGATGTTCAAGAAAGAAAGGGTTTGAGAGATGAAGAAAAAGGTGATGTGAGCGCTGAAGCTGATAAAAACTCTGAATTTAATGTTGTTCCATTAGTTCGTGATGAAGATGACGACGATGCTGCTAGTGATGCAGTTTCAGAGGAGAGCTATAGAAGTCATGCTACATCAAGTAGGAGAAGAAGAAGAAGCTCTGCAATCTCTAGAGCTTCATTTTCAAGAGTTCTTACTGGAGAGTCTGGATATTCCACGAGATCCAAAAAGTCGAAAGTTCAAAACATTCAATCATTAATTGAAGAGTATAGTGAAGCTGATCGAATCAAATCAAGAAACATGGACCTTGGAAGAACTGTTTCCAAAACTCAAGAGATTGGGTTGAATCTTGATTCTGATGAAGACGAGAAACCAACATATTCAAAGTGGAACTTATTGGTCAAGAAATATAAACTATTCTGGCTTGATTATTTACTAATCAACCTTATGCGCCCTGCTTCTATTGTCTTGCTAATATCAATACTGGTCGCTATGGTTCCATGGTTAAGAGCCTTATTTGTCTCCAACAGCATACACATTCATAGTGCACCTGATAAACTACCACCTTTGAACTTTGTTATGGATTTCACTATATACGTTGGAAATGCCGCAATACCAATGGGACTTTTGTTACTAGGTGGTACAATTGCAAGGTTGAAGATCAATGAAATCCCCAAAGGTTTTTGGAAAACTTCATTGTTTCTAACGCTTTGTCGTCTTGTATTGATGCCAATCATTGGTGTACTTTGGACAAATAGGTTATATTCAAATGGGTGGATCACGGATGATATTTCAAGGTTTGTTTTAATCATAAGTTGGGCAGTTCCAAGTGCAACTGCTCAAGTTTACTTTACTGCATTTTATACCCCATTAGAAGGTGATCATATTCAAATGGATTGTTTGGCTATTTTTCTATTGATGCAGTATCCAATATTGATTATAACACTAGCTATTACTGTTAGTTATGTTCTTAAAGTTAATTTAGGGTATTAATATACACTGTATTCATTTAATCATAAGTAGCCGGACTTGTAAGCCCTATTGTTGAATATCGCGAATTTGTCGTGTACTATATCTATTTCTGGATCTGAAAAAAAAACTATTTTTATCTGAAAACATTTCATTTAGCCAGAAATTTTTATACGTGAACAATAGAGAAATCATGATTATTAGTGACAAGATCATCACTTGGGAAAGATCCGTCGAGGTTATAAGTGAGTAATAGCCGCGAGATAATCACGACGCTGAGAAAAACAGACGCGCTAACACGTTTTACCAAAATAGAAACAAATGCCCTTGAAGAGTTCTATAGAAATCAAACTGAAACTGATAAATATCGTGCTTTCAAGGAAGAGTTGAAGTCAAAAGGCTCCACAATCGTTCAATATATCATCAAGAATCGTTTAGGTTGGATTGATGAAAATGGTCTACCCGCTTTAGAACCTGCTTCTGTTACATTGTTTACTGATCCAAGTGATGTTCTAATCATTACTAATGACTTCCCATACAATTTTGGAAAACCAATCACCCATTTTGTCGTTTGGTCTAAAGTTATAATAGAATCTGATCCTGAATCGAAGATTGGTGATGTTTCTGATCATACTAAAAACATCATAAACACTTATGTTAAAAAGACATTTGTTGATCAATTGGGATTGAAACCTGAAAATGTTAATTGGTTTAGAAACTTCCCAGCTATTCAAAGCGTTAGAGAGCTTTCACATATTCATATATTGATTAGAGATTTAGACAAGAAGGATTTTGATAAAGTTTACAAGACTTCTGGTGTGGTGTTGGATGAGAATGATTTGGCTTAAAGTTCATTAAAAAGACGCCACTAAAGCCTTCCACTATAGAGGCTAGAATTATTGAGAAATTATGTACTCATTTAACTGCACATAGAGTACATGGTGTATTTATTTAATAGTTGTAGAATTTCTTCACAACTCCGGTCCAGACTCCAGAGTCTATATCGGAGATAACACTCTGTTAACTCCGTCCGGAACAACGCTTCTTTTTGTGTCTGGAAAATTCCATTTTGTGGAAATACTGGATCAATTGATGATTTATAAACAGGAACAACTCCATTGGAACAACTACATCTTTAGGATTTCCAAAGCAACAGATATTATCATGAACCCAGTTAACCAAGACACTAGTATCGTGCGAGAAGAGCCGATTAGTTGGGAAGAAGTGTGCCAAATAATAAGTGAGTTTCAGCCCATCAATGTCACTTGAATTAGCATTACTAACCAATCGTATAGAAACTAATCACCTAGAGAGGCTAAAGAGATCCAAATCCAAATTGGCAGAGTATAAGAGATTTAAAGACTACCTCAAAGAGAATAACATTTCATCAACTGCCATACTATTAGGGGATGATTTACAATGGGCAAAAGTTGATTCAAACCATCAAATACTAGAAACTTATCTTGAAGCAAGATCCGACAAGCTGCTACGTGATCCAAGAGATCTAAAGATAATAGAGAATAGATTCCCATACAACTTCGAGTCAAATATTTCACATTTACTAGTTTGGACAAAAGTGCCAATTGAATCGGATCCAACTTCGCCAAGAGGTGATATATCAACATACACGAGGAAATTGATAAATAAATACATTTGGAATACGTTTGTCAAAGGATTAGGTATCCCAGAGTCCAATATCATCTGGTTTAGGAATTGGCATGCTTTGCAAAGTATCAGAGAGTTGTCTCATATCCATGTTTTGATTAAAGATCTTTCACCAGAGCAATTAAGCAGAATAAAGGGGACTCCAGGAGTACCCCTATCTGATGATGACTATATAGAACTAGCACAATTATAAAACAATCAAAGTGTGTCATGTGTATAGACTCAATTGTAATTGGTTGTGTATTAAAGCCGACTACACCCGTTTACCCTCTTTGGTCCCAAAACGCGGCTCGTGTGCTGTGCCCTTTTTTTTTGTAACCTTCTAAAAGCAGCGATAAAGAGTTTTCATTGTTTCAAGTGATACAAAAAGTCAACTTTACTCGCTATTTAAAGAGACAATAGACGTAGCTTATTTTCATATCAATAAACTCAAGATGTCAAGCAGCTTAGACTCCAGAATAAAGCTGATGAAGAGCGTGTCGACAGCTCCTCCAAGAGCTGTCATTGGTGACACGGGGATTTTAATCAAAGATCAATCCACGCTATACCAGAATGATAATTCCTCGTTATCAAGTTGTATAAGTTGTTCATCCACATACACAAATGCTCAAGCTCCAAGGACTATCCCATTTGCAGATATTTTAATGGCTAAATATCTAAATTCTTCAGTGGAGGATGGTGAAATAGGATCGGCCGTTGAAGATGATGAAGAAGAACCTGTTGTTGAGATTGTTTTCGCTAGAAAGAAAGGTGGTAACTTGATACCTACCTCAATAGTATTATCTATTGATAGTCTAGGATATGGAGATGTCGTTGAAGAGATTATAAAGTTGAGTTATGCAGGTACGAAGGCTAAAAAATCTATACTAGTATTGGTCAATCCTCATGGAGGTAAAGGTAAAGCTATAAAGTTATTTTTATCGAAATCAAAACCTTTATTAGAAGCTGCACAGGCAAATATTGAAATTAAAGAAACAAAATATTTTCAACATGCTACAGATATTGCAAAAACTATCGAACTAGATAAATATGATATGATTGCATGTGCTTCAGGAGATGGTATACCTCATGAAGTTTTGAATGGGTTTTATCAAAGAGAAGATAGAGTGGAAGCTTTCACCAAGATACCAATCACTCAACTACCTTGTGGGTCTGGTAATGCCATGTCAGAATCTTGTCACGGTACAAACAATCCATCATTCGCGGCATTATCATTATTGAAAGGCATTCCTGTGAGTATTGATTTGATGGCATGTACACAAGGTGATAAGACCTATGTTTCATTCTTAAGTCAAACTTTTGGTGTTATTGCAGATTCTGATATAGGCACTGAATCTCTTAGATGGATGGGTCCTTCAAGATTTGAATTGGGTGTTGCATATAAAGTGTTCTCTAGGGCAAAGTATCCATGTGAAATATCTGTTAAATATGCTGCAAAGAGTAAAAACGAATTAAGGTCTCACTATGATGAACATGTTAACAAAATACTGGATAAAAAATTGAAAATATCTGAAGAAACTTACAAATTAGAATATGATCCAAGTGGTCCAATACCTGATGATTGGGAACAAATTGATCAAGATTTAGCTGATAATTTAGGTATTTTCTATACTGGTAAGATGCCATACATCTCAAAAGATGTTCAATTCTTCCCTGCTGCATTGCCAAATGATGGTACTTTTGATTTAGTTATAACGGATGCACGTACAAGCATAACAAGAATGGCACCTACATTACTATCGTTAGACCAAGGCTCACATGTATTACAACCTGAGGTGCAACACTCAAAGATATTGGCTTATAGATTGAAACCAAAACTAACACATGGTTATTTATCAGTCGATGGTGAAAGTTATCCATTTGAACAAATCCAAGTTGAAATTTTGCCTGGGGCAGCTAAAACTTTGTTGAGAAATGGTAGCTATGTGGAGACAAATTTCTGAAAACATCTTATATATATATATTATAATAATCCATATTTTTTGTTGATCAAATCAAAGCCTTTTCCGTGTATGCCCATTGTCAAATATTGAATCAACCGTTGAAGCTTATATTCTTTCTGCCCAAACCAATTTTTGGCGCGATGAGTCGAAGGAAGTTTTTTTTTCTTTAACCGGTCAAACGAATTTATACCCACTGCAGGACATAAATTTACTGGAAAAAAAAGATTGAAATAACTCCTGAATTTCCTTGTTTTAACCAAATTCTCGAGGATTGGGTTGATTAGATCAAATTAAGAACAATGAGTGAAGACGAAGAAACTTTCGCTGCGTTGGGTCAAACTTTACCAGACTCAATCAAGAGTTCATCATCCCGTATCTTTACACAAGAGATGATTAATCCTTCTCCAATGGTTCCAGATATTCCACTAAATGGACATCGTACTCCTAAAAAGACACCATTAAATAATTTCAAAGAAGAAGTACAAAGAAATAAGAGTCGTGAGAGAACTCAATCACCAATTCCAATTCCTGGTCCATTATCTGATCCAAATGTTCATTTCCCAGCTTTAAATAAACAAAATGCAGCAACTGGTGTTATTTGGTGTACAGATAGAGCTAGTGAGCGTGGGTTCCCTAATCCAAATTGGGTCAATTTAGGACAAGGTATGCCAGAAACTGGTGATATTGAAGGATGTTTTGAGAGACCAAAAAATTTAAATATCTCTGTGGAAAGTCGTGAATATAGTCCAACTTCTGGTATAAAACAACTTAGAACTGCAATTGCAAATCTTTATAATGAACATTATAGACAGGGGAAACAATCAAAATATACTTGGGAGAATGTTAATGTTGCACCAGGTGGTAGAGCTGCTTTAACAAGAATTGCTGCTGTTTTAGGTGATGCTTATTTATCTTTTTTCTTACCAGATTATACAGCATATGCAGAAATGTTGTCACTATTTAAAAACTTTGCACCAATCCCAGTCCCATTATATGAAACTGATGGTTATAAAATTGATTTGAAGATTATTAAAGGTGAATTGAATAGAGGTGTTTCAGCAATTTTAACTTCAAATCCAAGAAATCCAACAGGTCAAGCAATGACAAGGGAAGAATTACATGAATTACATAATTTATGTAGACAGAAATGTCTATTAATCATGGATGAATTTTATTCAAGATATTATTATGATGGAGAAATGGGTGAATCAATAAGTTCTGCAAGTGAAGTGGATGATGTTAATAAAGATCCAGTTTTAATAATTGATGGATTAACCAAGTTTTATAGATTACCAGGATGGAGAGTTTCATGGATTGTTGGTCCAAAAGAGTATATAAGTGCTCTAAGTTCTGCTGGTTCATATTTAGATGGTGGTACAAATTATCCATTCCAAGAAGCTGCAATCCCATTTTTAGAGCCAAATTTAGTTAAACAAGAAACTATTGCCCTTCAAACACATTTCAAATTCAAAAGAGATTATTGTCTTGATAGATTGATCAAAATGGGATTTAAATTTGTTGTTAAACCAAATTCAACATTTTATATATGGGTTGATTTGAACCATTTACCAGGGAAATTATCAAATTGTTTAGGTTTTTTCCATGAGGCATTACATGAGGATGTTATTGTTGTTCCTGGTATTTTCTTTGATTTGAATCCGTTATCATTTAGAGAATTATCAGATAGTGCAATGTATTCATATATTAGAATTTCTTATGGTCCTGAATTTGAAAATTTAGTTAAAGGTATGGATAGAATAGAGAAGATCTTGCGTCGTTTCGATGCCTTGCCTAAAGATTATGATTCATGAATATACCTTCTTATATATATATTAAACACGATTGTACGATATTTTGGGGGTTAATTGTACTAAATCATCATTATTATAATTGAAACCCTATATAATCTCATTTCCGGGTAAATTTCCAGTATTCGCGAATTTGTTTTTCGCCTCGTTTAAAAAAAAATTTTGTTTGGAAAACTTTTCTTCACTTTAATCATTCAAGAAGACTAAGAATTTTAAGGATTAAAGACCAATTACTATCCCTAATAAACTTTTGTGATCAGATGGATCAATTATCAGAGATAGTATTGGATCTTTCAATTGGATCATTTTTCTTTTTTAACCCCCAGATCAAATGCCTTCTAGTTTACTCCGTGAATGGGTTAGTCCTGTTCATTGGTCTCTGGTTTAATAGAACACTTTCGATCTGGAAGATTAAATGATGTGTGTTTTATCAATTAATTTTGTTAATCACTTTATCATCATAGGACTTCTCCACCCTGATTGAACTTTATAATCGTGTCAATGGCAGGACTAAATCACTGGCCTACAATTTAATGTGTTTAGTATAAATAAGCATGTATATGATAAAAGATGTTTACCTCATATTACTGGATATTTTTCGTAAAAATAATTCATTCTCTTTCATACTGAACTGAAATAAAACCAACACAAATATTAATTAAAATAGTCTTTAAAAAAACACATTCCTCAACTCTTTTCTGTTTTTCAACTCTCTCTCTCTCTCTATAAAAATACAATCATGACACAATATAAAACACAGTCACTCACCAAAATGCACCTATTTGGCATATTTACCAGCAACAGCACCAACAATAACAGCGATAATGATCAAGATAACAATGATCAAGATGATTATACACCAACACTTCTTTCTTCTTGCTTTTCTTGCACTATCAACAGCTTTAGTAGTATGGCCAACACCTAATTCAATATCTTTTTGAGCACCTTCAACTTCTTGGTTAACATTTTCAACTTGAACATTTTGTTCAGCAACTAATTCTTCCATATCATGGAATAATTGAGTCAATTCAGCCATAGTTTTTTCTAATCTTTGTAATTCTCTATGTCTTGATTGAACTTCAGCTAATGCAGTTTTGGCTTCACCTTGTCTTGTAGCATTCAAAATGGCTTGAGAAAAGATTTGTTGACCACCAACATCATTAATTGCATTTTCAACCTCGGCTTCAGTTGCATCAGGTTGAACAATTTTATATTGTCTTGCAGCTTGTTGTTTATTTTGGTCTCTGTAATTAGCTTCAACAACTCTATAATCTTGAATCAGTTTCAAGAATCTTTGTCTTGAATTTTCCGCTTGAGCTTTCTTAGCAGAATCTTTACCAGCTTTTGATTGAGCATCTTTAATTTTAACTTTTAAAGTTTGTTGCAAAGAAGAAGCTTGAGCAATTAACCCATCCAGTTGTTTTCTTGTTGCTAATTCTTGTTCTTCATTAATTTCATTCAAGATTTTCTTTTGGTTGAATTCAATCAGTTCAATTAATTGATTATAGTTATCTAAGTCATTGTTTATAATAGAGATTTGATTCATATATTGGACAAAATCATCAGCACTAGCACCAGTGGCGACACCACCAGCTCCTTGTTGCGCACCATAGTTGTTTAATTCATAGTTTTCTTGATATGGGTTTGAATTATCATAACCATAGTTGTTGTACTAAAGAAAATGTTGTTAGTTGAGTTATCCGAAACACGATGTTATTCGAAACAGATGAAAAGACACACAAGCCTCTTGATATGGACCCTTTGAACGCGTTTCCACCATCAAATACTCTTTCCCTACATGGAATACACCATTATACTCCACCAAACCTTGGTATTCTCGCCACCAACCTCATGAAACCACAACATTCTTCTTTCCCTAGTTATCCTCGCCAACATCTGTCCTATTTAAAACGTGCTATGCCCTTTCCCCATATCATCACCCAGAACCACGCTACTCACGTTATTACTGTTATTGTAGTTGCTCATCTTGACGAATCCAACAACCGAGTCTGTGTGAAGTTGTATAAAATCTCCAACAACCTGTCCTTTGGCTTTTTGTTTTGATACTCGTTCCGTTTTGAAAAAGTCGAAGTTTTGATCACAAAAAAATTGCACCAAAAATAAAAAAAGAATGTGTCCCGTTTCCAAATGATGATTATGGGCTGTGAAGAATTTGAGCTAAAGGCAATAAATAAAACATTCCATTAGAAGGATAGGCTAGTATGGATGGGTTCACTAGGCTCAGGCATCAGGCTGCTGGCCACGAAGGACCTCTCGCTGACGAGGCACAGACGTTGTTCGTGAAGCCCTCCACTAGGCAGGAGATTGAGTTTTATACCCAGGTGCAAAGAGTAGCTGCTGAAGAGGAATCACAAGGGAAAGATGTTGAAGGTGATCGATTGATAGATTTCATGCCTGTGTTCATGGGTACTTTAGAGGCTGGTATCACGTCGAAAGTGGAAGAGACTACTCAGGTCAGTGAAGAATTGAGGAAATTGGATTTGGAGAGTAATAAGAAGGATGATGAACAACCATATTTGGTGTTACAAAATGCCTTGAAAGGGTTTAATAATCCATCAATCATTGATATTAAACTTGGGTCCATTCTTCATGACGAATTCACCCCACAGGAGAAAAAAGCTAGGTTACAAAAAGTTAGTGAAACTACAACTTCAGGTTCGTTGAATTATAGAGTTTGTGGGATGAAATTATATCATGATCAAACACCAGATTTATTCAAATTTGATAAAGAACATGTGAGTAAAACTGATGATGGTTATTTAGTATTTGATAAATGGTTTGGAAGAAGTTTAACTCCAACCACTGTTGTGGATAACTTTAAAATATATTTCCAACATAATAAATTATCATCAATTCAGCAAAGAATCTTGTTGGAGAACTTTTATACAAGATTACAACTATTTTATAACGTTTTGCTTAATTATGAATTGAGAATAAGGTCTGGAAGCTTACTATTTATTTATGAGAATGATCCACAACGATGGGAAGAATTGAATAACGAGGATCAACTATTTAGACAAGATTTCCTAGGTGATGATGACGACGACGACGATGATGATGATGATAATGAACAACCAGCCCCATTGAGTGCAATGTATTTGATTGATTTTGCACATGCAAAATTCACACCTGGTAAAGGAGTTGATGAAAATATTATAAAAGGAGTTGAAAATATCCTTGATGCATTAGATAGATTAGTTAATGAATAAATTTGAGCTACGTTTCAGCTCAAAACCAATAAATTAAAAACATAGATGACAAAGTTTTATACAAAAAGTAAAGTTATATAACTGGATCCAATAATTTATTCCAATAATTTGGTAATTTTACCAATAGCAATAGTTTGACCTTGATCTCTAAGAGTAAATCTACCCAATTGTTGATAATCTTGATAAGTTTCAACACAAACTGGAGCTTCAGTTTCTAAAATAGCAATAATTTTCATACCTTTTTTAGCAAATGCTGGAGGTTTCTTAGATTTTCTATTTGTACCTTTTTCTAATTTATGCAACAATTGTTTGAAAGTAACTTCTTCAATAGCAGTATGAACATGCATAACACATGAAAACCCAGTTGATAAAATTGATTTTAATTCCACAATGGCAATTTGTGCTTCAAATCTTGAAACTGTCTTGACTGGGAATTTTGGAGATGACAAGACAAACCCATTAGAAATATCTTCTTCTTCAACACCTTTTAATTTTAAACGAACTTGTTCACCACAATATGCTGCATTAACTTCATTTTCAGTTTCATTATATATGGTTAAAACTTCAACATTTGTCTTATTAGGCATCAAGATTAATTGTTGATTTTTCTTAACATGACCTGATTCAATTTTACCCTCCACAATAGTACCTAAATCTTTCATTTTACCAGAAATTGGCAACATGAATGGAGCATTAATATATCTGTTTAAATGTTGCATATTATCCAAATATTCTAATAATGAAGGACCATCATACCATGGACAAGCTTTTGGATCAACACGATCTTTTAACCCATCACCAGTATAACCTGAAACAGGCATGAATTGAACATCTTGTTTAACATTATAGCCAATACCTTTCAAATACATGGCCAATTTTGTGGTACATTCATCATATCTTTCCTTTGACCAGCCAACAGTTGGATCATCCATCTTGTTTACAACAACAATCAATTTATTAACACCTTGAGTCTTTGCTAATAAAGCATGTTCTCTTGTTTGACCACCTTTTTCAAAACCAGTTTCATATTCACCCTTTCTGGCAGAAATGACTAAAATACCAACATCAGCTTGAGAAGCACCACCAATCATTTCAGAAACATACATTTTATGACCAGGAGCATCCAATATAGTATATCTTCTCTTGTCAGTTTCAAAATAAGATCTACCAACTTCAATAGTTTTACCATCATTTCTCTCCTCTTTATTAGTATCCATAATCCATGAAAGGTACCAACCTTGTCTACCTGCATCTTTTGCCTCTCTTTCATATTTTTCCACAGTACGTTTATCAACAGTACCTGTTAAAAATAACAAATTACCACCCATGGTGGATTTACCTGCATCAACATGACCCATAAAGATGATGGAAACATGATCTTTACCACCATACATATCATTAACAACTTCTTCGTCAATTTCTTCCTCTTGTTCTTTTGTAACTGCATCTGCTGTAGTGTTTGCAGCTTTTGCAGGTAATGTTGGTTTAGCAACTTCTGATTTGACTGATTCAACAGGTTGTTTTGCGGTTTCATCTTTCGGTTCAACGGCTGGAGTTGATGATTCTTGTTTTGGTTCCTCTTTTGGAGCTGGAGTCTCTGGGGTTTGTTCTTCCTTGTTTGGAGTTGCCTCTTTCTTTTGTTCCTCTTTTGGAGCTTCAGTTGGAGCTGGTGAAGATTCTTTCTTGTCTTCAGCCTTAGCAGGAGCTTTAGTAGCATTAGCTAATTTGATACCTGAGCTTGAAGCTAGTTTCAAAGTTCTTTTAACAGTAGTTTTAGGTTTGTTCAAAGATGAAGCAGCTGCGGAATTTTGTTTTTGGTAATCTTCTAAAGACATACCACGTTGTTGTTGAGGTTGTTGAGGTTGGGATTGTTGGTTATATTGTTGGTTATAGTTGTTGTATCCACCACGGTTATAGTTGTTATAACCTTGGTTTTGATATTGATTGTTGTAACCACCTTGATATTGATTATTATAACCACCTTGTTGATATTGATTATAACCTTGTTGATAACCACCTTGATTATATTGACCATAAGAAGCTTGACCTGGGACAAAAGGTTGGGAGTTATAGTTTGGTTGGAAAGAAGAAGCAGCATTTGGATTGAACTGACGTCTTTGATTATAACCACCTGTGTTATTGTCATTTAATGATTGATTTGAAAAATCATTTGAAAGATTATCTTGATTGTAATTTTGACCAGACATTTTGGGAATAAGGTTAATTCTTGTGAAAATTCAACTAATTGAGGTTATTCAATAAGAAACCTTTACAAAAAAAACTAGAATATTGGTGGTATTCAACCAGAAACAGCGTTCTCATTACGTTGATGCTCAGCTTAAATTTTTTTTTCATCATCAAAAGTCAAAAAAAAATCGTTAAAAAATTGGGTCACGTGAATGGTCACATGTATGATCACGTGTTGATATTAATCAGTAAGGATTGAAGATGGATTATTATAATTAAGCAGTGGTTCATGGTGGTAATTCATGATCTTTCAAGAGTTCTGATGGAGTAATTGATGTAATACATTGATAGCATCTGGTATCACTTGTATCTGGATTCTTAATGAATCATGGATGACTACAAGATAGAGTAACGATAATCATTCATTCATTCAGCGTCATGGAGGTGATATTTGAACCAATTGATCACGTAGAAAGAGATATACCACTAGAATGATGGTATTATAAGGATATATCATCACAGAATGAACCTACAATTCAAAGCATAACCATCTTCAACAGCCATTTCAACAGCCAAATTCTTCCTGAACCTTCTAGAAATCATGGCTGTTACGGCCACTGCAGTATACCGAAATGTGGAGCAATGTGCCCTTGATTCAGGGGTGAAGCATAGGAATTATAAATATTGCAAAGCATCCATTCTGCTCTTCACCTCTGAATCCATCATCAACAGACACTACAACCAACAATGAGCTTCTACAACAACCCATTAGCTGACATCCTCAATGCCTTAGCTGCCTCTAGTGCTGAACAATCAACTAGACCTTCAGGTCAATTTGGCCGTCGCTTCCCAGGTCAACAACCACAACAGTTTTATTATGATCCAAATGAATACACTGGCCAAGATGATGATGAAGATGATGAGGATGATGATATTGGTGACGATGGCTATTCTTACTATGGTTATCCTGGATTCTACCCTCAACCATTCTTTGGCGGTAATACCGGTTACTATCCTCAACCACAACCTCAACAACAGTATACACCTGCTCAATTCGCTGCTCAATTTGGTGGTCCAGTTAGATCAAGATTTAGACAAAGTGGTTCCAATAATAACAACAACCCTCGTCAAGCTTTCCAATCTCCTCAACCGCCTTCTGCAGGTCCAAGCACTACTAATCTTCGTCGTGCTTCCCATTCATCTCGTCCAATTTCAAGAGTTTCATCTCAACAAAGACTCAATTCTCAATCTCAACCTTTAGAGGTTAATGATATCTTGGACTATTTAACTACAGGTCGTGGTAGAAAACCAAGTGATGCTGGTGCTGATTTAGATGCTGATCTGGCCGCAGCCTTGAGAAAAGAAATGGAGGCTAAAGAAGGTAGAGATCCTGAATCAACAATCTTGGAATCTTTGAAAGAAGATATTGAACATCAAGAAAATGATGATGATGATAAGTTAACATTCCCAGCACCATCTGGTGGTCCAACTGATACTTCTGGTAAATTGGAAACACCAAAACAATCAAAACCAACAATCAATCCACTAGCTAGACGTCATTCATCACTAAGAACTTTTAAAGATCCACAACCCAAAATTGAAGTTTCTCAGCGTAATACCAAAAACCCCAAATTACCATATTCACCTTCAATCAATGTTTATGACACTAAGGATGAATATAATGTCGTTTTAGCCTTACCTGGTGCTTCTTTGAATGAAATAGATATTGATTTCCATCCAGCTACAAATGAAATTGTGATTAAAGGTTCAATCAATTCAATTTCAAACTTGAATGAGATTGATTTAAAACATTCAGAAATTAGAACAGGTTCAATTGAAAGAAGGGTTAAATTCCCAACTTTACCAAAGATCATTGATGAGAATATTAAGGCAAAATATTTGAATGGGTTATTGACTATTAAAGTTCCAAAAGAGAGTAATGATGATGTTTTGAAAAAACCAAAGAGAAAAGTTACCATTGAAGATGTCCCTGATGAAGAATTAGAATATGAAGCTCATGGTGGCTATAAAGAAGTTGAACAAGATAAATCATAGACCATCGTTTTTGAACAATATTTAAATTTGCATAGAATGTATAGTTCCAGCTTTCGTTAGATTAATTGATTTATGATATTTACTTGAAAGGTTTTGTACTTGGCTACAACGTAACTCAAATATGATGACATAAATATTTGTCTATAAACTCATGACTAACAAAACATATAAAAATGATAGAAGTGAAATGATTATCATTGCACACCAGATGCTATATTTACATAAAACCTCAAAACAAAACAGAAATCAAAACTAGCAGATCATTCAATATCATTCCAACCTCTACCTTTAACATCTTTTAATTCTTCTGTATTCAAAATTTTACCATTTGTAAAATAACCTGAATTGATTTTAGCATCAATTTCAACTCTTGAATCTGGTGGAATTAATTCATCAGGAATTGGAATTCTTTCAATGATTGGAATACCTTGATCCACAATAGCATCATGTTTCATATTTGACATTGATAACATACGATCAATTTTAGTAATACCTAACCAATGTAAAACATCTGGCATCAATTGTTGAAATCTCATATCTCTAACACCAGCAATACATTCAGTTCTATGGAAATATTCAGCTGCAGTATCACCACCTCTTTTTCTAGCATTATAAACCAAGTATTTTGTAACTTCACCCAAAGCACGTCCTTCTTTTCTAAAATAGACAACAACTCCACTACCACCATTTTGAGCTTCTTTAACAGCTTCTTCAATACCAAAAATTAAATATGGACGACATGTACAAATATCTGAACCGAAAACATCTGAACCATTACATTCATCATGAACTCTTAAAGCTAATTTCTTATCTGGATTTGAAATATCTTCAGGATTACCGAAAATATAGACAGTTAACCCACCAATTGGAGGTAAGAAAACTTTAATATCAGGTCTTGTAATTAATTCTGGATACATCCCATTAGTATCTTCAAATAAAGCCTTACGCAATTCATTTTCAGTAATACCAAATCTTTTAGCAACACCTGGTAAATACCAAACAGGTTCCACTGCAACTTTTGAAACATTCAAATCACCATTTGAATTGATAACAACTTCTCCATCAACTTGTAATCTACCTTTTTCCACAGCATCCTTCATTTCAAATAATTGCATATGAGCTTTTGTAACTGAAATAGTTGGTCTAATTTCAACATCTTCCAATTCACCAACTTCATTGAATAACCAAGGGGTTAAATGACCAAAAGGATCCATTGAAACGATTTTTTCACCATCACTCCATTGAGCTTGAGTTGGGATCTTGAATGCAGGTTGAGCATTTGTATAATCGGCATCATAATTTGGATTCAATTGTTTTGAACCAACAGCTAAAGCATGATAAATACAATAAGAACCTGAATGAGCACCAATAGCGTTATGTTTTGATAAACCTTGTTTAATTCTTGAAGCGACAATTGGACCTCTAACTTGTGGATCTGAAGCGCCCCAATTTAATGGTAAAGGATTAATACCAGCACCATTGGTAAATGTGGTTAAAACAACATCTTTGTCTAATGGAACTTCATTTTTCAATTTCAGTTCATGTGTACAAGCTGAGCCATTGTGGATATGGTCTGTTAAAGCTTGTTGTTGAAGAATAGCAGCTGGCGCCATTTTGGATCAATTGATGTTTATAATGTTGTTGTTGTTGTGATGACACAAATAGATAACAGGAAAGCGCTGAATCAAACTAGATTGGAATAATAGTGTTTGTCCAAAAGTAAGTAACGTAGTTGAACGGATAATTCTTTCGAATCAGTATACTTTTAGTAGAATAAATCAAATTTGTAGAAAACAAGAGAATCCCAAGTTGTATTTATAGTTTTTTGAGGATATTTACTTTATTCCCTTTCCCTCTATACAGAATACAATCGCCGTCGGAAATAATGACGGCCTGTGCGGGTCTCAACAATCCCCAGTGGCGTACCCCCGTCGGAGCTCATTTAAGGTGGGCCATGTGTCACATTTTTGATAAGCTGCGAAGCGATAAGAGCAAAACAAACAAGCAAAGCCTGCCCATTCGGTGAAGGTATAAAGAGAAGAGCCAGGTCCAGTCCAACGGTGTTAGATAATATCTGTGGTGTCTAGATCTCAATTGGTCCAGAGCTCAAAGCCATTACTAGTCTATTGTTCATCGGTTGATTGTGTCAATTTGAAGTTAAATCCATCGGATACACTAAACTGAGGAGTACCAGCAACTCCGACGGTTCCAGCTTATACACTCTACACCTTTTCAAATAAACACAATTCTATTCATTTCATTAGTGTAATAGTAGCCTAACAGTACTTGAATTCTACTCAATCTTCAACTCTTTGACCCTCCTCCCTTATCTTTGAGCCTGGTGAGGTGTCTCCAGAATTACCTGATGATAAATGTTCATTCAACATCTCATGGTTACCTGTATCTTCTAATTTCTCATTATTCTCTAGATTTGGAGCACCACTATTCAAATTATCAACATGATATAGTTTTCTCATGAATTCTTTCTCATCTGTCCATCTTCTAAGTCTTTTACCATAAAAATATAAAGGAATTGCAAATAATCCAACAAATATTTCAACACACCCAAATACAACAAATGCATTTTTATAACCTTGTTTGTGATTGAATTCGTTATTAAATAATGAAAACAGAAACCCAATAACGTTCTTGGTAACATTTAATGTAACTAGACATTCGCCTGCAAACATCTTGTAAGAATCAATTGTAAACGTAATTGCAGTTGTTGAGGATAATGATGATCCAAATGCTAGTACACCAAATAAAATAATAGGTCCAGCCCATGTATCGCGTACTTGTGATGCCCATCCAAATCCCATTAGACCAATGCATGTAGTTAAGACAGACGGTATAACCATTAGTAACCGTAATTCTGGCTCATAAATACCATTGTTTCTTTTCACCAAATAACGAACAACCATATCTGAAGCTTTACCTGCAACTGCGGATCCTAAAGAACCACCAATAAATGGTGAAAGGTAAAATAATCCAACTGATAATTTTGAATACCCATAAGGTGGATGTGTGAAGATTTCAGATATAACTTCAGAAATCATAATTAACCAAACAACTGCAAATGCATAGAAAAAAGCTCCAAAGCAAACATGTGGATAAAAAAACAATACAAAAGGTCTGAGAAATACCATCCACCATTTATCTTTAGTATGACGTCCACTGAAAAGATGTAATTCTTTGATAAAAGATTTTTTTTGTATAACATGCGGACTTGATCCATGTGTTGAATTTGTTTGAGTTATACCGATTGGGTTTTGACCTTGGGTATGTGAATCAATGGAAACATTATCAAGTTGTTCTTCCTCATCATTATGGTATAGGGCAAATTGATTTGGATGAACTAGTGAATGTGAGGTCATTCTTTTCTTTAATGCTTTTCTCGCAGCTCTTGTTTCATCAATGGATCTTTGATTTGGAGTTGGTGGTCTATTCCAAAAAGTTTCAGGAACAAATAAAAAATGTAAGATTAAATCAACACCAACAATTATTGCAACAATCCAAAATAACCAATGTCTATCTAAATTCTGGAAAACAAATGCACTAAACATTGGAACTAAGTTTTTACCACCAAGTAATAGTAATGTATAAATCCCAACTCTATAAGCTCTTTCATGAGCAAAATAAATTTCTGCAATAGTGGCAGAAGGTAATGATTCCACTGGAGAGACACCAATACCCATAAGTACTCTTGCTCCCATTAAGGAGCCAAAATTCTTAGCAACAGCACCCCAAATTGCACCACCAAGGAAAATTGCAATACCAAAGATATAAACAAATCTTTTCCCAAATAAAATAGCAGTTGGGGAAGCTAATAAAGCACCAAATGCTAAAGATAACATGAAACCACCAACTAAATAAGCCAAAGTTGTAGACGATTCGTTGAATTCAACACCAAGTTGAGTTAATCCAGCGGCTAACATAGAAGATTGACCACCACCAACAAAACAATGCCAACCAAGAACTAATAGAGCAACGTCTCTTCTCCAAATGGGCCAATTAAGTGGATCATTAGGATTATCATGTGGTTGAGGGTTTAATATAACACCAGTTTTGGTTCTTTTCAAGTTTGTTGATTCTGTTTCAATGGTATTTGACCCACCAGCATGAGAATCTGAAGTTGAAGATGCAAGCATCTCAAAAGTTCCTGTAATTTCACCATCGTAGTTGGGTTCTTGAATACCTAACCCCATCGCGGTTCTTCAATATTGTTGTAATGAGTGAATGTAGTTTTGAAAAGCTGGTTTACCTATGAGATTTGATTGATGAAGGGCTTTAGCACCTTATGGGTGGTTGATTGATTTATACTGGGTTGAACGAAGGCGAAGTAACTCGTGGAAATGCTACCTGCTGTGGTTTGTCAAGGTGATTCAAAGAGGATGATAAGTGATCAGTGTAAAAAGGTCAGGGTCTTTAGCTGTGTAGTTCAAGGGTTTGTTGTGGAATCTAATTTTAATATTCAAGTTGTTGTTGTTGTTGATTTTTTGGTGATCTTCATGAAGAAATAACACTCGTGTTTTTTACGTCATTTTGAAAAAGAAAAAAAACCCTGACAGGTAATGATTCATGAAATAGAGAATGCCAACAGATAAAACAGGGGAAATGACATAATTATCGCTGATTACTAGCTATGGTGTATTTCAATCAGTTTGAGAATCAGCACCTTGATCAAGTCAAAGACGTTGTGGAGGGAAGATTGCAATCCATGTAGTATAAGTTTTCGGAGGTCCTGACGTTAGGTAGAAGTGATATCTCCGAACCATCACAAAGCACTGTGCTAGCTTATTTCTGTAATGAATCTATCAAAACTTACAATATTCATTAGGTTCTCAATCCAACAGTACTTCGAATTATTGAAATTATGATTTAGGAAGTTTAGAAAGAATTTTATACATTACCAGAGGAGTTACCATAACCTGTCCAGTCGACTCAGCTCGCGGCCGGATCAAGCACATTTTTAACAAATCTCGATGTTAATCAGCACTGTGATGGATATATGCCTTTAAAACTGTACTATTCGAATCTTGTGGCCTTAAATATTGTAGAAATCAAGTTTTTAGAGTTTTAAAATTTTTGAGTTTTGTTAAAGGTCCCATTTGAAAACATAAATTAGGAATACTTTAGTTGTTAAAATTTAGCTGAATTCCAAAAAGTTTTGAAAATGCATCCAAAATTACTGAAAAATATATGGTTTGAATATTTGAAGAATTTTAGATGATATTATACTTTAAAATATGGGATTATTATACAATAATGTTGAATAAAACTGATAAAAAATTCTAAAAATTCAAGCGGATTTTTACGTGCTAGTGATTCAACGGATATTTCGTTCAAAAAAGCGGTCCCTTGGCCCAGTTGGTTAAGGCGTGGTGCTAATAACGCCAAGATCAGCAGTTCGATCCTGCTAGGGACCACTCATTCTTATTTTTTGCCGCGGAAATCCACTTTTATTGGTTCTTTTTAGTAGTTTTTAGGTCTTTTAGACCTTTATTTTTATCCATGTGAGTCTGCTCATCTATATTTCCCAAAAAAAACCCAGTTTATTTTTGTTTTCATGGCCATTTTCTTTCCCGTTTTGAAATTTGGTGGCTCGCTTCGAAGAGGCAGCTGCATAAACGCGGTCAAATTTTTTTACGAATCCCAGGAAACCACAAAAACAAAAAATGAGTTATACGTGAGTTGATTTGTTGTTTTTATTTGAGATTTCAAGTTTCTCTCCCTGAACAAGCTTCTTGATCATTTGGTTTATTAACCTTCAAAACTAACTTCAGTCTTTCATTTATTGTTCCACTTTATCGTTTTTTCATTCATTTTAGATAAGCTTTGTGTACATTGATCAACAGGGTCTTGTTTTCCACCAATATGAAGATCACAACAACAACTTTCATCCAACTTTTGTTATTTATCTGCTCAGCAGATGCCTTGATACCAATCACTGTCAAAGGGAAAAGATTCATCAAACCAAATAGTGATGCCTCAACCCAAGGTGAAGTGTTCTTTATCAAAGGTATCGATTATCAACCTGGGGGATCGTCAGGTTATGATTCAGCTACTGGTGTTGATGCATTATCCAATCCTGATGCTTGTTATAGAGATGCTTATGCCTTTCAACAAATGAATATCAATACTTTAAGAATCTACTCTTTGAACCCTGACACTAATCATGATGAATGTATGACTATCTTCAATAATGCCGGTATTTATTTGATTTTAGATGTTAATTCAGGTGAATACGGTGGATCATTAAATAGAGCTGATCCATCTGGCTCATACAATGCAAACTATTTGAACAGAGTCTTTAAATTCATTGAAGCTTTCAAAAACTATCCAAATGTTTTGGGGTTCTTTTCTGGTAATGAAGTCATTAATGATCAAAGTAATTATGCTGAAATCACTCCAAACTATATTAGGGCTGTTCAAAGAGATATGAAACAATACATTGCTAAACATGCAAACAGAACTATCCCTGTTGGTTATTCAGCTGCTGATAGTGTTACTTTAAGAAGAGCTACTTTTGAATATTTGCAATGCTTCATTGATGGTGAAGAAAATGATGTTAGTAGATCTGATTTCTTTGGGTTGAACTCTTATGAATGGTGCAGTCCTTCAACTTGGGAATCTTCTGGATATGGAGAGTTGAACTCCACTATGTCAAACACAACATTACCTCTATTATTTTCAGAATTTGGTTGTAACAAGAATTCACCAAGAACTTTTAATGAAATCAGTGATGGTCTCTTTGGAGGGTTAGTCAATACTTTCTCTGGTGGATTGGTCTATGAATATACCGAAGAAGCTTCTCATTATGGGGTGGTTGAATTGAATAGTGATGATTCAATTACTTATAGAGAAGATTTCGAAAACCTGAAAAATGAATACGCAAACTCAAGTATTCCAACTATTTTAGAAGATGATGTTGAAAAGGCTCATATCGTCACTTGTGATGCTGATATTGTCACTAACATCTACTCTGAATTTGGTGCCAATTTTACTTTACCAGCCCAACCAAAAGATATCGCTGATTTGATTGAACATGGTGTCAATGCAACCAATGTTGGTAAACTTCTTGATGGAATCGAAGCTAAAAAATCAAACCACACTATCTATGACGATTCAAATAATGAGGTCAAAGACGCAACTGTTGTTTTTGAAGCTTCAAATGAGATCAACACTCAATCTGGGATCACTGCATCTTCAAGAGTTGCTCCAGTCTCAACCGTCGCAAGTTCTGGTTCATCAAGTGCGACTGCTTCATCATCACATTCTTCAAAAGGTGGTGCTCATATGAACTCTGCTGCTGGTTTCAGTTTCTGGAGTGTTTTCGTTGTTGCCGTCTCCTACTTGATTTAGGATCAAGATTTTCCGCTTTTTTATCTTCTACTTTGTCCCCAAAACATTTTATTATTCTTAAACAATGTTTTATTACAGGTTTGAATCTTTTATATACCCAATTATTTTGCTATTTTTCTTTTAACAAATTGTTTTCTACGATGTTATTCAAATCGAATTAATATATGAATATGTAAATTATGCCAATTATTCCGTATGAATCTATATCTGTACACTTTCTTGTTGTAAACTTGAACTTGATTGTTGACTAGCTTCTCTTGCCTTTCTTTCTGTTTCTTCACGACGACGTTTTCTCTCCAGTTGTCTTGCCTTCATCTTCTTTTCAGTTTCAGCGAAAACTCTAAAACTAACAGGAACATTTTCCCAATCTTCCTTATCTTCTAAATCTTGATTTAATTCAGGAACAACAGATCTTGCATGCTGTGCACCAGGTTTCGACTTTGTAGGGAAATATGCAGAACTTGAAATTTTCTTTTTATTTGTTAATTTCAATTTTGTTTTCCTTAGTTCATGAGGAACATTCTTCATTTCTAATGCAGCTAAAGGTGGATTAAAATCAGAAGGCCATATACGATCAGTTTGGTTAAGTTTGATAGCAGCTTCATTTCTTAATCTTCTCCAATCTTTTAAATCATCATTATATTGCTCCCAAACACAATTAACACACCCAGACATACAACAGTTATTTGGTTCTGTTGGCTTGTGTGGAACTAATACACCTGCAATCATTCTTGGTTCACCTATTTCTCTTCTTGATGAAGATTGACGAGCATCACCTTTAATACGACCACCAAAAACATTCATCATACGTTCTTCAGGAGTACCCACTAATGTAGTATTACCTTCAAAAGTAAGGGGATTAGTTGATTCGTTGGTTGAACTGTTATATCTAACTGATTGTGATCCCTTTGAACTGGTCACTGGGAACAGCCTCTCACTCGTGCTGAGTAGGAGTTGTTTTGGTGCAAGTGAGTGCATTCCTTTAAGCATCACTCCACGTCCTATTATCATTTTAAATAACTCTTGATTCTTTGATAATCTTGATGCTGATTAGAAATGTTGATTAATTTGAGATTCCAAGATTCTTTTTTTATGTATTATTTCATGTCCCGATGTTCGGATTTTTCCGCGAATTTCTGAGTTTATTTGCTGTCATTTTCGATCGGGACACTAATTACACTAAATTCTGGGGTCGTCCAATATAAATTCATTCATTAATCATAAATCATTATTAAAAACAAGCTAGGAGGTTAACTAGCTATTTATTCTTCTCCGAAATAAGGACAGCTTTTCTAGTCCATTTTCTTGCCCTGGTATAAGATGTAATAGAATCTTGTAGTTGTGCATTTTGCCAGTAGTTATCATAAAATAGCCATCCGTCTTTATTCTTACCTTCACAAAAGCTCATATCAATATTCCATTTCTCTTCCAGCCATTGCCACTGTTTAGAATTGAAAGGGAATGCAAAGCCAACAGGAGAGGAAGTTTCTTGAAGTGCCTCATTTGTGAAGTTTGCTCTTTCATATGGTAATAACTTATCACTCCATCCTAAACCTATCCATCTTCTTTGATTTTCAATAATTTGAAATTGTATAATTTTACCATTCTTTTCTTTAGAAATCTTGGTTTCATTCAAGATTTTATAGTTGTTGTAAAAATGAGCAGTGTTTTCACCAACAAAGAAACTAAATATATTTCTTATGAACTGACTTCTCCATAGTATTTTCATTGTAGCTTGAAACCACAGAGAGTGGAAAGCTGTTAAGATGATGCTCAAGAACAATAAATAAGTTTTGGGTTGCATCAGATATCTCAACATCAAGAGGTGAACTGGAGTAACCAAAAATAGAAAATTCAATAGCTTTTTGAAAGAGATTTTGATTGTTTTGAATGGCTCTAATAATATATCAACTCTTGTAGCAAAATTGTCCAAAGTATCAACAATTTCCTCTAGTGTAGGTTCTTCTTCATTGACATGGGAATAAACTGAATTGATGTAATAATTGATTGAAGAAAACACCAAAGTCACCAAAATAGGCATATAGAAGTAATATATAGATACGTCATAGTAGTAAATGAATATATATAGCGTTGAGTGATAGATGAAATTCATAAAAGGATCTTGATTTGTCCATGTCACGAAATCTAAAGCTGTGTTGAATATTATCAATATTGGGAAAATCCTATAGAGCATTGACGTTATCAAAGGGTTTGTAGTGGATACCAACGGCACTGATCTTCTTGAATGACTAGTGGGTATGGGGGTGAATCCAGCAGCTATCGTCATAGTTTCTTCCGTATCTTCAGATGTTTTTGGTCTTTTTGATTCATTTGAAGGGTGTGATGGATTGGATGAAGACGGCATTCAAAGGTCCTGAACGCTTGGGAAGAAAACTTTGCAGACAAGTGAAAATTGATAATGGAGAATTTCAATTTATCTTTCAGTTAATCCTTTCCTTTTGGTCAAACGATGTGAATGTTCTTTTGTGTTGTTTTCGCCTCCAGAATTTGTTAGATTTTGATTTTTCTTTCCCAAACCAAAAAACATCATTGTCTAGGACAACATCAACTCACTTTCTTCAACAATTCATTAAATAACAATCCTGAGTATTCAAATTGCTGGTCAATTATCTCTGAGCTAAATTGTTCAATGGCATAGCCAGAAATAAGAAGATGTCCAACAATTCTAGGGGTCAGAGAATGTCAATAAGCAGGTCGAGGAGCCAGACAAGCACCAAAAAGAACTCCATTCCAGAGAACCTGGGGCCTTTATATGATGACAATGGTCCAGAAGGTGGTTCAAGTGAATTCTTAGCTTCATTGAATGCACCTTATCATGCTAAAATGTCTTCAGAAAGTGTTGATAAAATCGGCAGATCATCATCGCCTTCAAGAGGTTTATTTGAAACACATCAATTGAATCCAGAATCCATTCCAGGCAATCTTCACGTGTCACCAAATAAGTCAATTGAACATTTGATTAAAAGATATGGTGCTGTTACTCTTATAAGGCAATTGTCTACAGATTTGGCACAAAGAGAAGCTGAAATGTCATTGATAAGGAAGAGAAACTCAACTAGAGAAAACACGCTGATGAAGTTACTGAATGAAATGGGGTTATCAACTAGCCAGATAGAGCTGATACTGAGGGAGAGGCTAGATAAAAGTGAAATGAGCTTGAAAGATATTAACGACAACTCATATTTAAAAGACCTGATCAATGATGCAATGAGTGAACATTTTGATGATGTTTTACAGCCCGTTGATTCAAGAACATCTATTGCAACTTCACCAGCAACCCTAAGAACTCCACAAAGAAGCTCCACCAGTGTTACATTGAACGCTGGAAAACAAAGCTCAACACAAAAAGTTTCAACAAGGCCTCATTCAATGTCTTCGCCTCCATTACCTTCAAATGATCTCAAACAGCATCACAACAATTCCATCATTTCACAACAACACGGCTCAAACTCAATATTAAATGTTGTTTCGCATAGATTTTTGAATCACGTACCTCAGCCTGTCCATGATGCAATAGTAAATAGTAGCACAAGTAACAACAAGAGGTTAGTGCCTATGGAAATGGAAAATTTCGATCCTCATGATGTGAAGCCACCAACTTACCAAGAACAATCTACTGAAGATGATCGAGGATATATAGACAAGTTTGGGTTCATGTATGACAGAGAAAATAAGGATGGCACTAAAATTACATCACCAAGAAACCCAATTGATAAATCGTTTACTTCAAGGCTTTTAGAAATTGCAAATGATTATGACAAAACTCAACATCAAAACAATAAACAATGGGATGCGTTCATAAAAAAGATTTCTTTGTTGAATAATGAAAATTCAGATGATTTATTAGTGATCAACGGTGAAAATTTATCAAATTTTAAACACTTGTACAAAGATTTCACCAAATTGGTTCAAAACGGTGTTCCAATGAAGTACAGAACAAAAATTTGGTCAGAATTAACAGGATCCAAAAATTTAATGACACCATCAGAATATTATAAATTAGTTTATGAAACAAAAGCAAATGAAGAGGCTGAATCACAAATAGAGCTGGATCTTTATAGAACAATGCCTTTCAACATTTTTTTCAAAGATAATGGGCCTGGATTGAAAAAATTGAAAAATATTTTGATTGCTTTTAGTAGGAAATATCCAAATATAGGCTATTGTCAAGGTATGAATTTTATTGCTGCTAACTTGTTATTGGTTTATCCCAATGAGGAAGAAGCATTTTGGGCATTCATTGGACTTGTTGATAATGTTTTACCTAAAGATTTTTTCAATTTGGTTAATGTGAAGAATGATTTGACCATATTTAAGGAAAACTTTATCGAAAACTTACCAAAATTGAATGCTCACTTTAACGAGATTGATGTTGAGATTGAACCTATTTGTTTCAATTGGTTCATTTCACTATTTTCAGATAGTCTACCTATTCATATTGTTTTCAGGGTTTGGGATATTATGATGTTGAATGGGTATACAGAGATCTTCAAGATATCGATTGCATTGTTCAAGACATTTGAAAAAAATCTATTGGGATTTGACAGTAATGTCGATGTTTATGAGTTTATGAAGAATTTGAATACAGCTAATTTCAATTTGAAGGGAACAGAGCTAATAAAGATCAGTTCTTCAATCATTTTGAATACTTCTGAAAAAAAATGAAATCTACAATCCACAAAAGAATATATGTATTGTTTATCTAGTTCACATTACAAGCTCACTGGAACTTGGAAATTTGATTATGCTATCAATAACGTAGTATTGGAAACAGTTTAATATGGTTGGGAATACCAACATCACCAAAACGATCTGCAGGTTGGGGAAGTCATCTGAAAAACTCAAGATCCAATCAGCATACATAATGAAAATTGGGATATATAGTAGTAGATAAAGTATACCTTTCATCATTAGCACAGCAATAAAGAAAATTGTCAATTGTTTCAAATATGAGCTGAATTTTGGAGGTTTACCGTAGTTACCACTTTCGATCTCTGATATCTGGAGCCATTCACAAACTTGATACACCGCAAATAAACAAAGCCATAATACAGGAACACCTATTGTTGTATCCATCAATAGATTTAAAAAATACCAATCACATTGATTATGATCTTCCTCATCTCCTCCACCATCTTGTTGTGTAAGCATTAGTAGAGCTTTTTTGGATTTGAGCAATGAAACAGTCAAATTTAATAAATGAATACCCAAAGCACCAAACACTTGTTTTGAAACGTCATAAAACCATACTTTCCAAGGTCTCTTAGGATGTTCATATAGTCTTTTAACCATTAATGATGAAATGGCAATCAGTCCTAATAACGACTGTATCAAAATTGACACTGGACCAAGCAGTTCACACTGGTCATTTGGCAAAATCTTCTTTTTGGTCATATCACACTTCGTATCATATACTATAAATTAACATATAAAACCTCACTTGAATCTCCAATTAAACTAGTTTGGCAAAGAATTGAAAGTTTATCTTCATCAAAATTATTTATTTGCCCTAGCAGATTTCGCGAAAACGTGCTCATTACGAAACTCAGAATTACGTAATATATTACAAATAAATGTAGTATATTCTTTTACTTTCTCAACAATTTTTCACTTAAGGCCTTCAACTCTGGATCAATATCGTTCTCTTTGGATAAATTGAGTAATGTTCCTGATATGTATCTTCCGTTATTTAGAACAGCCTTTGCGGCGTTATCGTTCGAGCTAGCATCTATTGAATCAATGGTTGTCAATAAAGTGATTAAACTTGATGAATAATTCTCTAAGACATAACTGGATCTATGTTGTAAAAGTACACCAATGGTCTTTGTTAGTTCAAATAGATAAGCAGCTTGTATATCATTGGAGAATTTGAAAATTCTGTTGCAAAAAATATCAATGTTTGAATCCGACTTATAAATTGCAACTTTGTTCAACAGTAGCAAAATGATTAAATTTGATTCATTACTTGGATCCGATGAAGTTAAAATTTCCGGTACACCACTGTTCAATATCTTTTCAACATGTCTTTGGTTGACTAAAACAAATAGTTTCTTGAGAAAACCAGTCAACAAAACATTGAAATTTGTATAGTATTTGCTATTTCTAACAGTGGCCTCAATGAGGAATTCCAGTACTTTGAAGTTTTTGTCTGTGAATAATGTGCCCACAGTATCAAAGTTAGTCAATGCTTTCAAAAGATGCAGTATACCTTGAAATTGAACAGGATCTGTCAAGTAGTTATACTTTGACAAAATGTCATTCACTAGAGCTGGAGCTTGATCCAAAACTTCATTTCTATCCTCGGGCGATGCAATTGAATTTCCAATAATTGTGAAACAGCCTGAAATTATATAACCATTTTGTTGATTTTGATCTTGAACATTTGAAATTGAGTACGTTCTCATTGGTTTGTTTGATGTTGTGAGGTTTGCAGAAATGTTACCAATTGAAGCAAAGAGTCTTCTCTTTGCCATCAATATATTTTGAAATTCAAGTGAGTCAATTTTCTTTAAACTGTCAAATAAACCAACTTGTAATGTCTTTTCAGTCTCTGCTTTATCAAACTTGAATCTTGGATCCACTGTTATACCTTCAAGGACACTTGATATATTAACGACAAGTTCTGCAAATTCATCCTCATCTAGGTCTGATTGTTGATTCAAGGTCTTCACTAGTAATTTGATCAAATTTTCAATGTTTTGAGGATTTGGGTTATATTGCATATTTCCAATCAAATCCGTCAGCAAATCAACGGCCATGAATATGCCACCATCAGATTGACTAATATAGCTCAATAGACTTTGAGTTATGAAAGACACATCCTTGGCAACGTCTGGTGTATCAATGACTAAGTTCTTTAAAAGAATCAAGATTCTTTCATTCAGTGAACTATCGTCTGGTTTCGATTCCAATTGATTTGATAAATGTTCAATAAAATCTGACTTTGAAGATAATTGTCTTCTATTCACATCATTATCAGCGATTGAATTGGCCAGGACTCTAATGACTTCAAGTAACAACTCATTATAGCCAGGTTGCTCTTGATTTACCAATAAGTAGTCAGCAGAGTCTATAAACTTGGGTAAGTTGGACCTTATAAGATCATGATCTCTTGTCGATTCCTCTCTTAGTAATAGTGCCATTTGGTCCAACAGTTTCAAGTAACTTTCCTTGTAGACGTTGTCCACATTCAGTTTTTTCTCCTCACAGTCGTTAACAAACGTGCTGAGTCCAAATAAGACATGCTCCAGGTCCATTTCAGCCATCTTTAGAAGGTAATTGAAGGAATTCTTCGAAAACTTGTGTCAAATTCAACTAAAATTTCTTTGAAAAGTTTCCAATTGTTTATAAATATTACATAATCAATGTTTTTTTTTTCTTTTTGATCGTGAACATCAAAAAAAAAAACCCATCAGCTCAAAAAATATTAGCGACAATTCGTCTCACAATTGGTTACAAAGTGGAATAAACAGATAGAGCAACTTCAAATCAGTTTTTCGAAAACCCTCAAAGATTATAGAGCATTTTTATTGATATTGATATTTGGAAAACTCTGCTGTTTTTTAACAAATATTCTCAGAAAATTCAGGGAAAAGAGAAGAATTCCAGCCAACTGGGGTGTCCAACTACAAAGTTTATCACAAATCATTTAACATCAACAAAGTAAATTTATTACAAAAAGATCATTCAAGGAAAGTTTTGCTACAAGGCTTACCAAAAGCTATAAAATTCATAAACAATGGCTACTTCTCCAGATTCTAGACGGCTATTTTCACCACACCCTTCTCCATCTGAGAAGAAATCAACAAAGACTTCAACACCAACTACAAAATCTAAACTATCCATCGCTTTCCAAAAAGCTGCAAACAAAGATCCTGCCTCTTTAATCCAAGGAGTGCCGCATCCTTTGAACACTCAAAGTGGAATTGATGACCTTTGTCATGAACAAGAGGAACATAATGACGGGTCTGACGATGAAGATGATGATACTGAAGAAGAGGAAGATCCAAAAACATTGGAAAATGAAGAAAACCAAGAAGATTACGTAAAAGGAGGATACCATCCTGCTTACATAGGAGAAGAGTACAAGGAAGGTAGATATGTGCTGGTTAGAAAACTTGGATGGGGACATTTTAGTACTGTGTGGCTTGCAAGAGATAATGAGAAAAATGTTCATGTTGCTGTTAAGATTGTTCGCTCAGCAAGACACTATACAGAAACAGCCTTAGATGAAATCAAGTTATTGAAGAAAATAAGTTATAATCATAGTATCCATAGGGGTAAAAAACATGTTATTGCATTTTTAGATTCGTTTAATCATGATGGTCCAAATGGTACACATGTTATAATGGTTTTTGAAGTTTTGGGAGAAAATTTGTTGAGTTTAATTAGAAAGTACAAACATAGAGGAATTCCAGTGATTTATGTTAAACAAATTGCTAAACAAATGTTATTGGCACTTGATTATTTACATAGAGAAACTGGTGTTATTCACACAGATTTGAAACCTGAAAATGTCCTTATTGAAATTGGTGATGTTGAGCATATTGTTAAAATGGTGGAGACTGTTGAAAAAACAGAAAGAGATAGAAGAAAACTGGAGAGAAGACAATCAAGACGTTCAAGATTACCAAGTGCACATACTTCTGTTCCGCCAAAATCAGGTTCAACGAGTGGAACTTCAACTCCTTCAAGAAATGGCAGACGCTCAAGACGCCAAACTCTGATTACTGGATCTCAACCATTACCTTCGCCAATTAGTTCTGGTCAATATTTCGAGAATTCACCATTCAAAAATGAATCCCCATTAAAATCACAATCAAAGAGAGCAGAAACAGTGGCAAATTCACTGTCATCGATGTCTATATCTGCTGAAAATAGTGGAATTGAAATAAGTCAGGATGAAAACAATAGAGGAGTCATTACAAGTGATGAACATTTGATCAGTGTCAAGATTGCAGATCTTGGAAACGCATGTTGGTATGATGAACATTTCACAAATGATATCCAAACAAGACAATACCGTTCGCCAGAAGTATTGCTAGGTGCTAAGTGGGGGTGTTCTGCTGATGTTTGGTCATTAGCTTGTATGATTTTTGAATTACTCACCGGTGATTATCTTTTCGATCCTGTTAAGGGTCATAGTTATACAAAAGACGATGATCATATTGCTCAAATAATTGAATTATTGGGTAAAATTCCTTCAAATGTTTTGAAAGAAGGTCAATACTCTAGAGAGTTTTTCAATTCTAGAGGAGAATTAAGAAATATTTCAACATTGAAACCATGGGGTCTAAAAGAAGTCTTGATGGATAAATACAACTATAATGAAACTGATGCTTATGAATTAGCTGACTTTTTATTACCAATGTTGTCCATCAATCCAGAAAGAAGAGCTGATGCCGGTGGTATGGTGAATCATCCTTGGTTATCCGATGCTATGGGATTGGAAAATGTTCTTCTTGAAAGACCTTTACGTGGTACAGGTGATGATATCCCAGGTTGGTCTAGAGAGATTAAAGGTCATCCTAAACACTAAGGTGCACATTCTTTTCACGCATTCATTATTTCTAATTTCTATTTGCATTAATCAGTTATAAGTTTTGTTCAATAGGTTGAGAAAATGATGTACATGTTCTATTTATTTTGTTTGCTAACGATAGTTGTTTTCTTCAATGTTTTATAGGGTTCTTTAATATTTGTATATTGTTATTATTACTTAATAGACCACTCCGTTTAAACATTATATTAATAAATAAATCATAACTTTGAAACAGTTGGAATCGACTCAACTAGCTTCAAAACTTCTTCAGCCGATCCACGAGACAATTCATATCCCATACCACCAAAGCCATAGTCATGGACAATGTATTGCTTACCAACCTTCTCTATCTCGATTCTAATACCACCCTCTCTGGCAGGTCTGAATCCAACATTGATATTCTTGATATCTAACTCACCATCAATGAAAATCTCAGGATAAAGCGCTCTGGATCTTTCAATCAATTGTTTAGTATCTTCATCTTTTGGTGTATTTTGAAAATCATTAACCTGTTTAGTACCACCAACGATTAGTCCACCATCCAATGGTCTTGGAATGACGAATGTCCATAATCCATCTTTAGATTGGTGTGTGATTGTTTGCTTTTCGTAGGGATGCCCTTCTGGAGCTCTGACTAAAAGTGTTTGGCCTCTGATAACATATGATTTCGGATCATAACCACCATTGTATTGTAAACCCAATCCAGAAGCATTAACAATTATAGTATTTGGGAATGATTGTGATACTTGTTTCAAAGAGGTTAGTTCAGTTCTTATGAACTCGACTCCATATTTGAAGGTCAGTTTTCTTTGAAGATATTGAATGTATAAAGGTGAGTTCAACACCCAAGTTCTATACTTTGCACCAAATTCAACACCTTTAGGTAATTGGTTCTTTGGTATTTCCTTCAAGTATTGAATATCTTCATAGTATCCTTTTGCTTTAACATCATATAGTCCCTTTTCCTCTAAATAGTCAATACCATCAATAAATTTAACTGAGGATTGAGGTTCCTCCACAGCTAATTTTTCAAAATATTCAAGAGTCTTTCTTGTTAATTGGGACTCTTCAAATTCTTTTGGTGATTTACTAGGAAATGGTCTATAATGTGCACCTGCCCATGGTGAAGTGTAACGTGAATTTAAAGGATCAGTTGGAAAATGAGCAGCAACAACTTTGACTTTATAACCCTTTTCACAGAGTGCTTGTGCAGCGGAAAGACCAATGACACCAGCACCAACAACAACGATTTCTGACATATTTTGGGTAAGGGATAATTGACAAACAATAACGACTGAGATTTTAAGAATAGAGTGAGTTTATATAAACTGGTTGTCAAAGTGTTCTGGAGATCTTTATCTAGTTGTCCGAACTCGAACGATATTTCTGAGTCAAAAAGATTAGGCGTCCTTTTGAATCCTGATAACGTCGGCTTTGTCCAAATTGAGCATATTAAGAACAGAACAATAGTCTACGATTACTCGTACTTATGATAAATCTAATTTATTAATTGTAACCTGCAAAATATCAAAAATATCCCAAATATTAAAACAAAGAACCGAAAAAAAGCTTAAACTTATACGCAATATATCATATGACAAAATTTTGAAAATTGATTAGAAATTCATCGAGCTTTTCTTTATACCTCTAAATATTCATATATACCTTCTTTTCCCTTTTATATTTATTTGTTGATTGATTAATCAAGATCTAAATCACCTTCAGCATCTTTCTTTGGTTCTTCAGCTGGGGTATCATTTTGATCTTTTAATTTTTGGGAGAATTTTTGGTAGGCTTCAGCTTCTTTCTTAGCTCTTTCAGCTTCTAATTTTTCATTTTCAGCTTGTAAGTATCTACCTTTGATCAAGTTACCCTTTGAAGCCAATTCTTCATATTTAGCAGTGAAGACACCTAATGAGGAATCTTCGTGATCATATAACCAATCTTCAGCTTTCAATAATAATGATGATAAATCTTCTTTTTCTTGTTCAGAGACAAATTTAGCATAAATGTCATCTAATTTACTTCTGAAATCATAAATGTATTCTTCAATTTCATTTCTCTTGTTTTGGATCTTGAAGACTAATTCATCACCAGCAGTCAATTGACCTTCTTTTTCCATGTAATCATTCAAGGTTTTTTCTGGTAATGAAGCATCATGTGTGACAATAGTTAAATCATCTTTCTTGACAAGTTGTTTAACTGTTTTGTATTTTGGTTCGTAATCTTCTGGTTTTTCACCTTCACCTTCATATGGAATTTCTTCTTCAACTTCAACTTCTTCAACAGTGTAAGCAGATTCAATGCTGTAGAAACCAGATTCATTGTTTCTTAATTTAGCTTTAACAGTGATGGTTTGTTGACCTTCAGCTGGTTTAACACCTTTGATTTCCCATGAAGCAATATCAACTTCAGTACCGGCTGGTAATTCTGATTTGTTGGTGTATTTGGCTTCAACTTTGAAATCTTGAGTACGTTCTAAAGTGATAACTTTAGTTGATGGGAATGGAGAACCAGTTGGGAAAACTTCTAAGTGGTCATCATCATCTTCAACTTGCTTGTCCCAGAAGTATGAGACTGAGTGTGGGTTAACATCAGTGAATTTGAATGGACGAACTCTTAAAGTTGGTGAGTGAATAGCACAGATGAAAGTAGCACCTTTAGCAATAGCTTCATCTTGGTTCAAGTGGAATGATAATGGTTTACCAAAAGCTTCAGAAATTCTGTCTTTCAAAGTTGGAACTCTTGAACCACCACCGATAACTTCAACGTAATCAATATCTTCTGAAGTTAAACCGGCATTTTTCAAAGCGGTTTGAACTGGAACATCAACACGTTCTAATAATGGGGCGACTAATTCCTCTAATTTTTCTCTGGTTAATGATGAAGAGAAATCAATATCGTTGATAACTGATTCAACAGAGAATGGTGCTTGACTGTTTGCTGACAAGATTTTCTTGATTCTTTCAGCAGAGGCCAAGATACGTGAGAATGATTTTGGATTTTCACGAACTTTGACTTTGTATTTTGAGTCTAATTCATCAGCGAAATGGTTAGCAATGGCAAAATCAAAATCTCTACCACCAAAGTTTTTGTCATAAGCTGAACCTAAAACCTTCAATTCACCTTTCTTCAAAGCAGCAATGGTGATACCATATGAAGAGTGACCAATATCAACAAAAGCGATGTTTTGAGCTTTATCTTCTGGGAAATCAGTCTTGAAAACACCGTAACCAACAGCGGCAGCAGTTAAATCATTGACAATTCTGACTGGGTTTAAACCAGCGATTCTAGCAGCGTCAGCGATAGCATGACGTTGAACTTGTGAGTACCAGATTGGAACGGCAACACAAATATCTTCAATTTTACTTTTAGATTCTTTAGTGACTTGATCTTTGATTTTGTTGAAGTACATAGCAGCTAATTGAGTGGAAGTGAATTCTTCAGTTTTACCCAAAAATTTAACTTTAGCACCAACTTTACCATCAATATCAACTAATTCAGTAGAGAAGAACTTTTGTTCATGGGCGACATCTGGGTGGTTGTAATCTAAACCAACAATTCTCTTGATGTTATCAACAGTGTTTTTGATGTTTGAAGTTTGTTGAGATTTACCAGTTTCACCAATGAAACGGTTCTTGTAACCAAAACCAATCAAAGATGGTGTTGAACGGTTGGAAACTTCATTGACGACAACGTCGATACCTCTGTTTTTGGCAACGGCGACAACAGAGTTGTGGTTACCGAAATCTAAACCAAATGGAGAACTCATTTTGTATGATCTGTTATAATTGAACTAACTTTTTAAGGGAAAATTCAAAAAATTGTACTTGTATGGCTTTTATTCTTGTCGTCATGATGTTCTTATATTGAAAAAATCTTCAATGGCCAAAAAAAAAATCGAGATTTACCCGGTGCCATCGCCCATCTCGAAGCTTCTAGATAAAATGGCCCAAAAGGGAAATATTACCAGATCGGGACGAACTACATATCGATTTTGACACAAAAAAATGTGTGTTTGATTACAATTCTTTGGGTATTTAGGATCATGTGCTTTCTCTGATGATCGTGAGCAATGTCTGCCAGCCCGGTTGTTCAATAAGTCTATAAGCATCCTCAAGCTTATGTTCAGTGGCAATTTTAACAACCAACTTCTCTTCAGAAGGTGACAAAATATCCAAGGAGAAGAGATAAGTTAAAAGATGGAAGTCTGAGATGGAGTTTATAACATCATGTGTATCATGACTATCAATTTTCAATTGTTTCTTCACTTCAGCAAAATCTTGAGAAATACCAGCTGCTTGACGATTCTCCACTGGGAAAGAATTTGATTTGAAGACAGGGGATGGTTCTTGTGGGAAACCATGTGTTAATGTAACTAGTAAGTACTCAACTGGGAATGCTGGTTTGGCGTTAACCTTCACAGCCAATTTATACTCATTGATTTTGTTGTAAAAGATATCTGGGACATAACGCTCTTCATTTGTTTCATTGATATATGCAAATGATGGTTGGGTTGAACCTGTTAATATATCAGCTTTAACTAAACCTTCAGCACCTTCAGAAACTTGGTATGATGCAATGTCAATTTCTCCTTGTAAATTACCAGATACAACACATGTAACGAATTTTGATGAAAATTTACCTGAATCTGAAAATTTGGTAAAATTTGGATACTTTGATTGTAGTTTAGCAGCAAATATGACTTCCAACGATGACAAAAAATAAGAATCTTTGTGTCTTTTACAAACGACTGAACCATCACCATTTCCAGCATCTGTTAAGTCTGAAAAGATGACACCAACTTTATATAATCCACACTGTTTTGCAATTTTATCAATTCTTGATTCTTCTTCCCATGGTAATCCCAATGTTAACCCATCATTTTCATCATGTTGTGCAGGTTCATAGATAGCTTCAACAACTGCTTTGATTCCTAAAGGAACTTTGTCATATTTCTGATAAGTACCATACAGAAACCCAATTCTTTGAGTACCAGTTCTTCTCCAACTTTCAATAAAAGCATTGACAATTTCAAAATTTGCAAATTCAACATGATCAACCATACGAAATTCTTGTTGTTGCAATGTGATAGCTGAAGGTTGACATTTAGAGCAAATACCCTTTGGCCAAGGTTCATGACCCCCGATACATTGTTTATTGATGGCAAAATTTGATTCACTTAACGGTGCCATATATGACGAGCCTGTTCCTTTATTTGTAGCCTCATTAACTTCTTTCAAATGAGCATGGAATGAAGCATGTTTGATTTGGTTTTCTTCTCTATATCCTTTATCATATGGGGGTAATGGTGAGCAATACTCACACATACCTTTATCATTATGTCTACAAAGTCTACTCCTTTGTCTTGGAATCAAACCTTCTTCTTTCTCTAGTTCTTGGTCAATTGGCAATTCGACGATTTGTGAGGGATCTTTAAGTTGTGGGATTGAAATGAATGTACTTGCTGTACTTGTGGATGCTGATTCAGGGGCAGGTTGTTGTTCTTGTTGTTGTGGACCATCTGAACTCTCAAAGTTTATGAACAACATTTCACCATTCTTAAATCCAAGTTCAGCTGGAGTTTTACCAGCCAATGTAGCAATTGCCTGGAATTGTCCATTTGGCTTATCTGAAATTGATATTGAGCTGACATCTGCCTTCTCAAGTTTCTGAGAGAGCTGGTCGATGACATCTAAAAAGTCTGACGAAGCATTTGTTGAGATTCTGAACATCCCATCTTTGGACCTGAATCTTAGAATCTGTTTTAAGTTTGTTAGCACTTCTTTTTCAATCGATAGAGTTATATAGAATACTCACAATGCTGCTCATTTTCAAGGAACTTTACTCTTAAATATCCTCAGTTTGTAAGAGTTGTTGTTTAGCTTCCCTTTGATCTTTGCCATCGCGTTCAACTCTCTTCTGTTTACAAATTCGCGAAAACTTGAATTTGATATGGTAGATGCACTCCCTAGAAGTAAGATCTGTTTCAAACTAAATGACAAACTTGAAGAATTTGAAGTGAGCTTATGACCACTTGAGCTAACTCTTAATATTTGCCTTAACTTTTAGCTTCAACTCCTTCCTTATTTGCTTAGTAAAAGCCAAATTTTATTGGTTTTACAAGCTTCAACTTCCAAAAATCGATTTTCGCGAAGCTTATTTCAAGAATTTTCCAAAAAACTTGAAAAACAGACGTGTTAAAGTGAAGAAACAAATCAATTCATACTTCAATTTCTGTCTAAAGACAAACATTAATAAGCCATGGCTGAAGAAGAACCAGTAATTGAGATCTCAAAGATCTCTGTTTTCACACCAATCATATATGTGACCGTTATGATCACAGCTTTGGTTATTTTTTCAATCAACTACAGAAAGAAGAAACTGAACGCTTTATATTCAAGAAAACCATTCTTCAACAGAAACATACCAAAAGAACTATATTTTCAATTAAGGGAGCAAGATCCGAAACCAAATGAGAAGGTGCTGAAGGCCGCTTTAATGAGAAGAGGTGCTGAATCAATCAGAAGAACCATTAAACTTAAAGAAGTTCAACCATTCATTACTGCATTATACCAAAAGGGTTCAATTGGTGATGATTTATGGGAAAGATATCAAGCTGCTACTAAACTAGAAGAATTGGAGGTTCAAGAACTTGTTCAAGAAGCTGAAAAATACAAAAAAGGCTGGATCCCAAAATTTGTTCCATTATTACAAGAAATTTGCTTTAATGAAGCATTGAGAAGAAGATATAATGCTATTGAAGATAGAAAACTAGCTCTATTGGATCATTGGGGAATTGAAGTCCAATCTGATGGAACACTAGTCCTACCAAATAGAGAATAATCATTGTATAAGATAAATCAACTACATTCATGGGTCGTTTTTTTGTAATATGCAAAATGGGACTGTCTATTAAACATTATAGTCATTAATTTCTACCTTTCTTCTTTTTACCAACGACTTGGAAGTCCCAACCATCATCGTCATTTTCAGCACTAATACGTAATGCTTCATTCCAGGATAATCCATCATGAGCTTGATCTTCAACAGCTTTACGTCTCTTCATGAATTCTTGAGCAAATCTTCTACCATCCATAGTGGAACTGTTTGAATAAATAGTATCAGCAATGATTTCAGAAGATTCAGAGCCAACTGGTAACATCAACATAATTTGTAAAACTTCATCTTTATTGACACCTTTGTTCAATTTCATTGAAGTACGACACCAGCTCAAGAAATCTTGACGTGGTGAAATTGTTTTAGTATATGTTGATGATGGTTGAACTTGAGCAGCAGTTGAAGCAGAGACATTTCTTAAGACTTCTGGAGTAATTGGTTTTGGAGCTGTAGTGATTTTTGGGGCTGGTTTTGGTGCTGGTTTTCTATTAGAACTTACAACAGTCCATGCATTAGCTGGTGGTGCTGAAGATGTGGCAATTGAAGCAAATGAACCTTTAGCACTTGGTGCTTTCTTCATTGGTGTACTTCCTGAAGATGATGAGGTAGATGCAGCTAAAGCAGCAGCGGCTTGGGCAGCTTGAGCAACGGCAGCAGCTTCTTCTTCACGTTGAATATCTAATAAGGTTTTGGTTGGAGCTGGTGTAGCTTTTGTTGGAGTACCCCAACTTGAAGTTGAAGGTAAAATTTTCTTTGAAGCTTCAGTTTCTTTGATAGTCTTTTCAGTGTTTGCTAATAATTGAGCTGCTAAAATCTTATCTTGTTTAGCTTTTGCTTTAGCTTGTTTTTCGGATTCTTCAGCTTCTAATCTTTGGATTTGCTCTAAAGTTAATTGTGGAGCGTTGGAAACTGATTTATTGGCCCATGGTGCTAATTTTGGAGTTTGTTGTGCTACTGGTGCTTCAGGTTTCAATAATTTTGCAGTTTCTGATGCACTGGCAGTGGCAACATGTCCATTTGATGCTGGTTTAGTTTGTTGTTGTGTTGCATTTGATGGAGTACCAACAGCCTTTTGAGTAGCAGCAATTGGAGCTGTTTCTTTTGGCTCTGGGACTTTGATTGATTCTTCAACTTTTGGTTCAACAACTGGTTCAACAGTCTGTGGTTCAATTTCATCTTCTAAGACATTGTTCAAAACTTTTGAGTGGATTTGGTCTAATAACTCATCATGTTCATTTGAAGCAGTATCAACTGAAGCTCTAGCCAATGAAGAAGTACTTTGATTGTTGAAAGATGTATTCATAAATGGTGATTGAGTACCAATTCTGAAATCTTGAGTGGCAATAGGAACTTCTGAAGCCAAATTGGTTTGACTAACCCAAGGTGATGAATGACCTGAATTGGTTGACCAATTTTGCTGAACATTCTGAACTTGACCAAACTGAGATTGAGCCTGAGGAATCCCTTGATTGAAAAAACCTGGTAATTGTTGCTCAAAACTTAATGAATGTTGGAATGGAACTGATTGAGGTTTTGGAGTTAAATCAGGTAATGAGACCAAAAATGGTTGTTGGTAACTATTAACTGAAAGTATGAAATTTTGTAATGAGTAATAGGTATACTCATCCTCTCTTCTCAAATTCAAATCTGGGGCTAAGTAACCAGACATGTACCAATTTTGCATCAAGTTACCGTCAAATGGACCTTGCTGATTACCAGTTTGATCCAAATAAAACCATTTGATTTGATGAGGTTGCAATAATGATAATGAATTCTGAGCCAAAGGAACATCTGCTGAAGTATTTCCATATGGCGAATGCAATGGATGATCATTCAATAATGATTTTTGAGCCAAGAATGGACTAGCAGTGCTAGTATCTTTATTCAACAAACTTGCGAGACCACCAGCTGTAGTTGTTGAAGATGGCGTGGGTTTTTCATTTTTGGCCCATCTAGTAATCTCATCCAACTTTTCAGTTATTTCTGAAACTTGTGGGTCATCTTTTTTCAAATCACTTTGGAAAGATCTATCACGTTCAACTTGTTCAACTAATGATTTAATTGGACTTAATGACCGATAACTTTCTACAGATTCTCCATTCTTGATTTTCTCTTGAATTTCTTGCCAAATCTTTAATAGATCTTCAAATGAATAAACTCGGCTACCATTACCATTCTTTTGAGCTTGAGTCACAAAACTTGATGGCTGTTGTAAGCTTGGTTGTTGAAATGTTGGATCATTCAATGAAGTGGCTAAATGCTGTTGCTGTTGTTGTTGTTGTTGTTGTTGTGTTTGATCTTGTAATCCCCACGCTTTCACACCTTTTAGATTTGAAACATTTGGATCTTGACTCGAGGTTCTTGAATTAGCTGGACGCATCCTAAAATAGAGTTAGTTATTTATTCATTGAAATAAATCCCATTCAAATCATTGATTCAAAATGATTTGATAGAAGAAAAACGTACCAAGCTGGACCAAAGTTTAATGAGGGAGATTGAGACATGACTTTTTAATGACAATTATATGGAATGCTGAAAAGTTCAGATGCTGATTGAATTGTTTTGATGGAACAGAGATTTAAATTCTTGATGAATAGCTGTTTCTGATTTGCTAGTATAACTAGATTTGATTTCTCTGTAGTGAAAATTTTCAGTCTTTTTTTCGAAATGAATAATTTTTTTTAAACGCGCGACCGCCATTTTTCAAGCTGCCATTTCAGAGCGTGTCGATATGTACATACTAGATCGCTGATTTGCGGGTAAATTGGACAAATTAATTCAATTAAACAACTACAATTTAAGTCATTGTTAGAGCTGTTGGAGTGACTGGTCAGTGAGCTGCTAGTTCTTTCTTTGTTATTCTCTTTTGTGATGGAGTCTCATAAGAACCTACAATCTCATTTCATAAAAAAGCTGCATCTAATCCGTCAAATCTTTATTATATACCCATTTTTCTTTCCAAATCTGAGTGGAAATCTCTCTGTTGGAATGAATTTTGACCTATATTGTGTTAGTAGTCCATTATCATCGTTTTGCTTTATCTGAAACATACCTGTATAAATATCTTCCCAGTCAATTGAAGTATCCTTATTCAACAAAATATCTCTATGCACATTAGAGGCATTACCTAAAGCATTAGGCATGAAATCTGTCTGCTCAACAATTTTCAACTCCATTGTTCTCTTGATTGGCTCAGCAGCACCAAATATACGTCTATATTGTTCTAATTTCAATTCATGTTGTGTAGTTTCCCAGTTTTGGATTCTGCTTTCCAATGGATGTCTGTTGTTGATCTTGGAGCTTATGTTCAATGGACCTTCGTCTGATCTCAATATATCTTGTATACCTGGAGCAGATGGAGCACCTGGGCCGAATTTTGTACTGTCAACAGCACTTGGTTGAGTGGATTCAGGGATAATTCTTAAACTCTATAGTAGCAATTGTTAGCACTCCGAACATCATCAATTAACACACAGGCCAATAGCCATTCATAAAACTCACCATTTCAATGAACAGTTTTCCGTATGATTTTGATTTTGATTCTGTTGTTTAATCGTTTTTTGGCTGGTGGCGATTTGGTTTTCAAAAGTCAATTTCTCAAGAGCAAAAAAGTCGTGTCTGTTTCCAAAAACTGATGAAGTTTTGAAGTGAAAAAACATAAACAAATCAACTTCACCATTGAAAGCACAACCAAAGAAGAAATAGCTTGATAAAAATATGGCAGATGGCCAAGTGAAAGACGATCTGTACAAGATACGGTACAAGATATCATCCCAGCACAACAAGGAATCAACCACGATCAAAATCAGCCCCAATGGACTATATTTCGCGACAGCTTCATCAGATGCAACAATTCACATATTTAACCTAGAATCTGGTTCATTTATAAGGTCTTTGAGTTCTCATTCGAGGGGTATATCCGATATAGCATGGGCTCAAGACTCACGTCACCTGGCTTCAGTTTCAGACGATATGACCATCAGAATATGGGATGTGGAGTTTGGTGAATGTTTAAACATTTTAGAAGGTCATACTTATCATGTCACTTGTGTTGAGTTCAATTATAGAGGAAACTTATTAGTCACTGGAAGTGCTGATGAGGCTATAAGAATATGGGATGCTCAGAATGGGAAGTGCTTGAAGACTTTGAGTGCTCATTCAGATCCAATTGCATCAGTTGACCTTAGTTGGGATGGAACCATCATTGCAAGTGCAAGTTATGATGGGTTGATTCGTTTATTTGATACAGAATCTGGACAATGTTTGAAAACTTTGATTTATGATAAAGGTGGTTCATCATTTCCTGTTTCATATATTAGATTTTCGCCAAATGGGAACTATTTATTGGCAACTACATTGGACAACACAATAAGATTGTGGGATTATATGAACAATAGAGTTGTGAAGACGTATCAAGGCGGTACTGGATTTTCAGAAAAGTATACATGTGGTAGCAGGTTTGTAACTACTTCAAAAGATCCATTAATGTATGTATGAGAGATAATGTATTATGGAAATATCAGTTTACTAACCTACTTTGCTAGTGCTTCAGGATCTGAAAATGGAAACATATACATCTGGGACCTGCAATCAAAGAAAATACTGAGTACAATAGAAATATCACCATCTTCACCAGTGTTACAAATTGATACGTTTGGTAAAGTTCTATGTGCAATATCGATGGATGGTACTGTCAAGGTTTTCGATTTGAGTGATGAATTCAAGGAATATGACAGTGATAGAACGGACACAGACTAACAAACATATTCATTAAAATAAATGCATTTTGTCATAGAAACTTCTGTTCATTCTGGACAATCAAAAGTTTATTATGGTGTGTCCTGTAACGTATTCGCGAATCTGGTCTACACATAAAATTTATGTGAACGAAAAATCATGATATTTTGTATGGGTCCCTTGGATTTACTTCAAACAACTTTTGAAAACTAGTGACGATGTTGAGGGTCTTGTCGAGTCAAGTGAGAAATTCGTTAGTGAGACGTCAGCTCATTAGAAGCTTTTCTCAAAAGAGCTCTGTTTTCGTTCAATTACCACCAAAAGAATCCATAATACCCAAGTGTATGTGAAAAAACAGATTATTTGACATGAAAACCTTTAAACTAACTCATTCTAGTCCAATTTCCAAAACATACACATACCATTGAATCCATAAATAAAGATGTTGAATCATTCTTGGGGAAAGAAGTTAGATTATCTGGATGGATTGATAAAAAACCGAAAAAGATAAGTAAAAATATAGCATTTGCAACATTGAGAGATTATGAAGGAAATTTCACACAACTTGTCACTACAGAACCTGAATTTGCTAAACCATTGAAATCATCACAAGTGGAAGACTGTGTTTCCATAAAAGGTGTCATTGAGATAAGACCAAATAATGACACTAATTCAAATAAAGTTAGATGGGATCTCAAAATCTTGGAATATAATACATTAAATTCAAGTCATATCTTGGGCTCACAATTAGAATCTTTGAAAACAACACCTAATGAATTCCCAGCTCAGTATAGATATCTACAACTAAGATTACCATTTTTCCAACAAGCTTTGAAAAAAAGAGCACAAGCTGCAAGTATCATTAGAGCAGAATTGAATAAATTATCATTCACAGAAATTGAAACCCCATTATTATTTAAATCAACACCTGAGGGAGCTAGAGAATTTTTGGTTCCAACAAGGAAACCATCATTGTTTTATGCATTGCCTCAATCTCCTCAACAATATAAACAATTACTCATGGCTAGTGGTGTTAAAAATTATTTCCAAATTGCTAAATGTTTTAGAGATGAAGATTTGAGAGCTGATAGACAACCAGAATTCACTCAAGTTGATTTAGAAATGTCATTTGCTGATGCTAAAGATGTTCAAAATGTTATAGAGAGTACTGTAAAGAAAGTTTGGACTCAAGTGGCCAATGAGGAGATTGTCACTATCGATGGTACTGAGGGTGTTAAGACTGGTGATTTAGTTCATCTAAGTTATAATGAAGTTTTATCTAAATATGGTATTGATAAACCGGATCTTAGATCAACAATAGAAATCCAAGATTTAAGTGAATTTGCTAAAGCTATTGAAGATGATCAATTCCCAATTTCTGAAGTTTGTGTTTTGAAAAAAGCATTTGAAGGTAAACCAAAATTACCAAAAGTGTTATTTGATGAATCCGAATATAAAACAAGAAAGCCTATAATTTTCCCAATAAAGACTCAGGACGATATAGATAATTGGACATCACGCTTTACAGAAATTGCCCAATTTCATGATATTGAAGGTTTGAACTCCAAACTAAACCTTGAAATTGGTGATATAATAGCTGGTAGCACACGTTCAAAATTACCATATGAAAATCCAACACCATTAGGTAGACTTAGACAATTAGCTATTCAAGAATTCCCTGAAAATTGGAAAAGAGACGCAAAGTTCGTTGGTGCTTGGATTGAAGATTTCCCCTTATTCACACCATCAGAAACTCAAACCACCTCTTCTTCTAAATATCCAATATATAATTATGATAAATTAGAATCAACACATCATCCATTCACAATGGCAAAACCGTCAGATTATGAATTATTATCGAAAGATCCATTAAAAGTTAAAGGTGAACATTATGATTTAGTCATAAATGGGGTTGAATTAGGTGGTGGATCAAGAAGAGTTCATGATTCTGAATTACAAAGATTTATATTTACAGAGATTTTAAAAATTGAAAATCCTGATCATTTATTTGGACATTTATTAAAAGCACTAAGTCTTGGATGTCCACCTCATGCTGGATTTGCAATTGGTTTTGATAGAATGTGTGCAATGTTGATTGGTAGTAATAGTATTAGAGATGTTGTTGCATTCCCAAAGACTCAAAATGGTGCTGACTTAGTTGTGGAAAGTCCAAGTGATGTGAATGATGAGACTTTGAAAGAGTACTATGTCAAAAAGTTATGATTGTAAATAGATTTCAGCATGTATATAGACTACAATTTGATGACTCTTTAAAAAAGGACGTAACACCATGTATTTTTCTAAAATTCATTTCATAAATTGAGATCAACTCAATATACTATTATATTTAAACCAGAACTGAATAAAAACAAAACGAAACTAAAAAGCAAGTGGAAAACTGTGTAAATTTTGAAATTTTTCTTCTTGTATCATGTGTATATCAAAAGTTTCATAATCTAAGCTGAAACTTCTGTTTGTTTTGGAGTTGGAGTTTTATTACCCAAGATTGTATCATCAGGTGCAGATTGATATCTTTGTTTGTTAAAAAAATCAGTAATAATCTTGACATACTCAGATGGTCTTTGATCCAATATATCATGGTTTGAATTGACATCTGTGAAATCATTATTTGGGAAATGAGTTTGAATAGCCTTCATACCTTCATCAGTGATAAATGGTGATTGTAAACCTTTGATAAATTTAACAGGACCTTCAAATTTCAAATCTTTTGTAGTTTCAACTGGCCAATCCGTGACATCTTTAACAGCCATTTCTTCCATTTGTTCAATTGGATTCAAGAAATGAATATAACCATCTTCAAAATCAATAACTGGAGATTCAAAATCTTTTGGTGGTTTATTAACTAAATTAACCAATAAATTCTTTCTAATAACACCATTTGGTAAAAATCTCTTCATTGCTGCAGATGCTTTATTTTTCCAATCTTTATCATCAGCCCTAATTTTAGATTCATTCAAAACATGCAACATACTTTTAATATATTGTTTCATAAATAATTGAATTTGAGGCTGTGGAATTGGAGCGTTATCAATAATAACGGCAGATTTAACTAAATTTGGGAATTGTAGAGCAGTCAACATTGAAACTTTAGCACCTAATGAGTAACCAATCAATTTAACTTTGTCTAACTTATGTTCATCACAAAATTCTTTAACATCTTGAGCCAAAGTTTCATAATTAAAAGGTTGAGCATGGCCAGTTTCACCATGATTTCTCAAATCCATTGTATAAACAGGTGTATGTGTTGAACTAGCAATCAATTTTGAATCTGTGGCATAGGATTTTTTGGATCCAAAAATCCCGTGTAAAAATAAGATTGGTTCTTCTGGGTTTTCATTCAAATGTCTAATAGCTGTTGATCTTGGTTTGTGTAAGTCATAAGCCATTTTGATTGTTTCCTTATGAGGTAGCTCAGTCTTGAGTGTTTGAGCACTGTTTCTTAGTATTCTTGAGGCAAACATTGTTGAATTGAATTGAAGATAAAGAAAGATCTTGCAAATGAGGAGTCCACTTGGTGGAAACTTTACAACTTATATAGTTTTGCAAGCATTTCCATAATTATTTTTTTCTGTGCTTTTCTATTTGTGTATCTAGACCTAAATTAACCATAACTTTCTTAATTATGTGACAAGCGACGCGAAAAGAAAAACAGCGTTTATGATGGTGTGTCCCATAACAGCAAAAATTATGTAATGGTGTTGCCCATACGACGTCATAGTTGGCAAAGGGGCACGCACAATTTTGGCAGCACCAGAAATTTCACACAAAGAAAATGTGTATTCAGAATCCAGATTGGATGGTATGATGGGAGGTATTAAACACCAGGTCAATCGAAGAAAGATCCAACACAATTGATAAAGTAACCAGATTTCCCAATTGATTTATCCAAAAATTTCAGCCCAAAGGATAAAAAAAACTATATGCGTTTCTTTTTATTGCTTGACTTTTGGGCGGTAAGCGCACTCTTAGGCGAAGTTTTACTAGTGTGAAAGTTTAAAATTGCTACAACATGGTTCAACAAAATAAATTTTGCTTTCTCAAGTGGAAAGTAAACAGAAACGTTGCTTGTTTTTTGAAATCTGAAAGGGCTTAAAATGATAAGAAATGAAAGGAGTTCATCGGATCTCTGGTTCTAGCCACAAGGCTTTACAATCGAGTTTATTTTTGGATCTCTGATTCCTCTTTGTCAAGAGTCAGGATAAAACTGGAATCTAATTGAGTTTAAGATCTGGAGATGGGTTCACTGATCATGCAATTAAACTCCTTCAACTCAGCTTTGTGATGCAATCGATAAGATCTTGACACAAGGAATTGTTGTTATCCAAATATCGAGGTCCTATAACACGATCTTTTGAACTTGCAAGATCAGTCGAAGCTGTATGGTCTACAGATTGCAAATTTTGAAGTATATAATCAATTGATCACTCAATGCTGATGTATATTAAAGGCTCTGACGTTGTCCACCACCGGCACTAACGTTTACTAACAATGTATATATGCGCCAAATATTACATTGAAAGTATAGGCTGAAGCTAGTAAGCACAATTCTGCTTGCAAACTAGCTTATTATTCTTATATCTCAACTAATTAAATCTAGCACAACCCAATTCAAGGCTGTTGAATATGTGATCGGACTTCACTCCAGGATATCGGACATAGTTGTGGACCTGGTATGAATTCGATTAATTGCTTCAGTTAATTCTATCATATTAATATAATACACGTATTTAATGTGATGAGCTTGAGATAGAGCGGCTAGCACGTACCAACGCTACAGCTATATTCCTGACGAATATGTCATGGGGTGCTGATGAGGTAACTGAATAATTATTATTATACGACTGATTTTAATTGCCCAGTGCCAGCTATAACATACAGCGGATCATGATGACTCAGGCATATATTTTTTTATATAAGAACGTGAATTTCCCCCTTCCGCTTGTCTGGAAACATTAACATAATAACCTTATCTTGAATTGCTTCTTGAATGTTCATGTATTGAAATTTAATTAGAATGGTTAATTATCAAATACTTGGTAACTTGGATGGATCTTTTTTAATTAGCTGATCATACAGCTAGGGCTGCTTGACTTTGATATTGTTCGTGGCGCTATAAGCTGCATCGTGATCAATATATATTAAGGCCGTCATATTATAAATATAGACAATATTATATTTATATTATAATCATGACACTAGGTCAATATAAATATTTATTAAACATCCCAAAATGGTCATATTATTATTTCATTATATAACGTCAAGCTCTTGATCAGAGCTTGAGAATTAATGATGAATGGTATTGATTTAATTGAGGATTAGATTTTTGAATAGTTAACTTAGATCCTTGTTATTTGTAGTTGATCAATGTTACCTATATTATTAGTTATTTCGTCGATTCGTAATACGGCTCCGTATGAGAACAGTCTTGAAAGTAGATGACATAGACATAGCGCTAATGAAGCAAAACCAATTTTGTTAATTTGTAGCATAGGAGCATAACCAATGACGATTTGAGACCCGTAAATAAGGTGCTAGTGCTGGTAAATGATCATATAAGGCGTTGATCTTATCCCGATTGTCACAGTTGTGGTTGTAGTCCATCATAAGTACCTTGATAGTCAATGTTATCTATATTTGACAATGATCAATTCTTCAAAATTATCATTCACCTGACGGTAGCATTAAGAAGCAAACTTTTTGACAAGTATCCTATGATCCTTCATCGTGATATCTTGATCATCAGATTGATTGAAATGCAAAAATATCGGTAATTAAGTAACATACGAAACAAGTAGACCATTTGACAAAATATCACACTGAAATTGATTTAGGTCACCACCGAATTGAAAGAGATTTAGCAAATACCTCTTGTACCGTTCATAAGATCCTCCACTGTTCAGTCAACGCTTCATCCTTGTTTAAAATCAGAATTGAATTGAAGTTCGCTTTTTAGTGTGTGGCATATGTCACCATGATTTTTTTAGTTTCGCGGAATTGTTCTAGCTTTGATTTTTAGACGAGCTTTTTTGACACAACTTTTGATAAAACACTTTTCAACATCTTCGTTTGTTTTACTTGTTCTCCCTTATCGAAGTTACAATTGTTGATAATGGTTCCAGACTCACTGCCTCGTGATACTGAAAGATATATTGATATCTGATATTAGTTGCTAATCTCTTGTTTGTTTTTCGCTCGAGTTGATGTGATCTTCTTGTTTGAATGGTTGAAACAGTTGAAGTTGTGATTATTTTATCAATTCTAGGTTTCCAAAGTTTTAGATCAATTTATAACCCCCTGCATACATGTCTTTAGAAATTTCTATACATTATGGTTGTCTGCTGAAGTTTTTTCTTCATTTAAGAATTCTTGAAAGACAAGGAGATGCTTTTCAATGAAAAGTTGCATTATAGCATTATTCCTTGTTCTCTTCTTGTCAAGGATAGATAATGTACAATTCCTTAATATTTGATGCATAAAGTCAGGCAAACAAGCTGCAATATCACTAAGATACTCAAATTTTTATGAAATTTTGTTATCAAAGTTGCATTATTTTGTTTTGTTGAAAGAGCTTTCTCACCAGACAACAAAAAAACTTATTATAAAAAGACCATGATCTTCCCTTCCTTGATCGTACTTCCTCCTGATTTTTCTTCATTATCAATCACTTACACTGCGGTGAATAAAGAATTGATATTTATTCTGAGACTACTATATTTACACTTCAAAATGGACAGTGCTGCTAATGCTGCAATGAATGCCAAAATGGCTGCCAACAATGCTGCTAACAGAGCTATGCATGGTGCTATGGCTGCTAACAAAGCTGCCAACAGGGAGATGTTCTCTGCAATGCAAGGGGCTGGTCAAAGTAGTGGAGGTGGAGGTCTTGGTTCAATTGGTGTTCCAGTTGCTGGTGCTGCCTTGGGGTTTATGTTTCCTGGTAGTTCTTTAGTCTATTATGGGTGTATGGCTGCTACTGCCTATTCTTTTGCTGGTTGGTTTTTCTGATTGATTGATTGGCTTTACAATATGATTTGGTTTTTATGAGATTGATATGATATCTATTACCGTGAATAACCTGGCTACATTGTAGATTAATTAATTCGAACTACTCAAGACGGTTGTCATCGGTGCAACAGCTACTAGTGTAATTGTTTACTGGGCGGCTAGTCATTGTGAAGTTCTGTATAAAAACAGATGGAGTTTCCCAAGAACGATGCACTCTGAATATTTGTAAAATAATTGAAAGGCACATCGTCAAGCTCGTGAGACAAGTATTCATTGTAGCTGTATTATTATGGAACGTTTGTTTATTGGTGTCCCTCACCCCTTCACGTCCATGGTTAGTTGGTCCTGATTGGCTTTGTTATCCATCAGACAAATGTAATAGTAGTTTAATACTATCTAGAACGTCTTATAACAAAATGTGTTTTGATGCGTGATCTATTGAGGTTGATTACTTCTAAATTACTACCTAGTGAGATACTCCATTGGAAAACATTAGAGCTCATGCCATTGTACAATGTTTATTGATACCACATCGTCAGCGTTGATCCAAAACAACCGCTGCGATCTTAAAAAACATTTAATTAGTTGTTGTTTTGACGAACTTGTAGTACTTAATCGATCTTATCCAACATCATCTACTAAAATATCTTTATAGAAACTCCATATATATTTTGATCCCATAAATTAAATAAATAGTTTTAAGCTAATGTCTTATTCTAAAGCAAACCTCTTAAACAGTGATTTCTTTGTTTTGTTGTTGTTGTCTTTCAGTGGCTGATAAATCAACTTTACTTGCCAAATTATCAATGGTTTTAACTTGTTCAGCGGTTGGTGTAGTTTGAGTTAATTGACGTAGTTCTTCCATTTGTCTTTCATGTTCAGCATTGTGTCTTGCTTCTAATTCAGCTGATGAGAAATTTTCAACATGTCTAATATGTTCTTGTAATGATTTATATCTGTTAACTTTAATGAAATCACAAATCAATTTCACATATTCTTGAGGTCTTTCATTCAAGATGAAATGTGTAGCATTTAATTCAGATAATGAATAATTTGGGAAATATTCTTTGATAGCTTCAAGACCTTTTTCATCAATAAATGCAGATTTTGTACCTTTTAAGAATCTAACTTGACCTTCAAATTTTAAACCTTTAACATGTTCAGTTGGCCATGCTGAAACGTTTTTAACAGCAACTTCAGTCATGTGACGAACAGGATTTTGGAAATGAATATAACCATCATCATAATTAATAACTGGTGATTTATAACCTTTTGGAACTTTGTTGATTAAGTTTGCCAATAGATAATCTCTGATCCCCCCATTTGGAATATATCTTCTCATTGCTTGATTAGCTTTACTTTTCCAATCTTTATCATCAGCTCTAATTTTGGTACTGTTTAGGACATGTAACATTGATTTAATGAATTGTGTCAAGAAAATTTCAATATGAGGTTGTTCAATTGGTGAATTATCAATAATAACACCACTTCTAACCAAATCAGGATTTTGTAACATTGTCAACATACAAATCTTTGCACCTAATGAATAACCGATCAAGTTAACTTTTTTCAAACCATGATCTTCACAAAAATCTGTAACATCTTGAGCTAAAGTTTCATAATCAAATGGTAAAGCATGCATACTTTGACCATGGTTTCTTAAATCAATTGTATAAACTGGAGTATGTGTAACATTTGCAATCTTTTGACAATCATGACGATAATTCTTCTTGGAACCAAAAATACCATGAACGAAAACAATTGGTTCATGAGATCTAATATTTAAATTTGGATTAACTGTTTTATTTGGAATATGTAAATCATAAGCCATTTGAACTCTTTTATGAACGGGTAGTTGTTTTAAACCATTGGCAACTTGGTTATTTAGTACTTTTGTGAAAAACATGTTGTGTTTAGAATATTTAGTATGAATGTGAAGTATAATGAATCTTGAAAGCAAATTGAAAATGAATCACAATCCAGTGAAAGGGAGATATCCAATCATATTTATACAAAACAACTTACAAGGTGCTGCTATTCCCATCTTCGCATCATAGTGCCTCCTCAAAAAACCACAAAATATAACTCATAATTGTTGTGTATTTTGTAACACTCATCAAGTTCGGATTTTTGAGCACCTCTATCAATGTCCGAAACGGTTTTAAGTGTGCCACGATCTTTTTCAAATCTAAATCACCAAAATAGACACAAAACAATACGCTTCAAACGAGCAGGTAACGGTACCGGAGAACTGGGTGGCGAGTCCCAGAGTAATTATCAATCGATATTTAGCGTAATCATAGGTTATTAGTTCTATTGTTTCATGGTTTCCGCTGGTTCCTTCCCCTAATTCTATGTATTCACATTCAAGTGTCAACGCTTTTCTTTTTCTTTTTTTTTCGTTGAAGAGAGAAAAAAAATCGGTGCAGTTGACACGGAGGTGTTTGGCAGTGCCCAGCTCAGAGTTTTTCCGAATGGGTTTTAGATCGAGAAAAAGAGTCTGATTTGGATGATATTTCTGATACTGAGGAATAGAATATATTGATGAGTATTTTAAAGTATTCTACTCATAGAGTATTTGATCCTTATCTTGTAAAAGCTCTTGCACTGAATGTGCCATGGTTCAATTGGAGAGTCGCGCCTGCCATATACTCTCTCGGAAATGCTAGCCGCTAGCCAGAACTCAAATTACTTCCAAAATACCTCGAAGTTCTGTACATGTGATTAGATTAGATAGCACGCCGTACTATTCGTTTACAGGCTGGTTCTTGTGAACTGCGAAGGTCGCACGCTCATAAGAACAGATTGATGGCTACGTAGAGTATGCTACACGTGAAATGAAGCTCATGAAGCACGTTTGATATCTTGAGCAGTCTATACTAGTCCAGTAAAATATGAATCGAGTCCATCCTAGAAGTGCTCTGAATCACTTCAAGATCATCATGTTTAGGTCATGAAATCTCAAAATTTGACATATTCTCGACTAAAGCCTTTCCGTGAGCTTAACTCCTTTGCTTCAAAGTGTCAAGATCAAAAACACTCGAAAGACGTTTAAAAATGACACAAAAGGCGTCCGATTCGACACACCAAGTGTATACTTGTGGATCTCAAAAATCAATATTCTGTGTAGTTTGTTGAGGTTCACCTTCATCTTCAACTGGAATACCCCATTCTTCAATTTCAAACTTCTTTTTACCATTCTTAAATGCAAATTCACTCTTCATTATAAGCATTTGACCTCTTTCACTCAATTGAGGAACTTTATAAACATGGACTAAACCATGCTGAACTTTTGTTGGTTGATTATGATAAGCCTTTTCAAGGAATTTTAACATATCTTGACCAAATGGTTCTAAATTGAATACAGCATCTGATAAAATTTCAATGTTTTTCACTAATGAAGTCTCACGAGGAAACAAATCAAGTGCTATTGACATCCCAATCACTAAACTTTTGGAATATTTTCTTGTTAATGATCTTAATGAATGTATAAATTGTAATGATTCTTGAGATGTGGTTAATGGTGGAGGATACATTGAAGGGTTGAGAAATGATGGAATAACTAATCTGATAACTTTATTCTTGTGTTTTTGTATCGTTAGTTCCAATTGCTTGATCACTGGCTTGAAACTTGGCCCTAATGGGATATATGTGATTTCATTTGCATTTGGAGTTGGTGTCAAACGACTAGTAATATCGAATTGGTTATTGAAATCTTTATAAGTTTCATTATCAAGATTGGCAGTCTGTTGCTTTTTGGCACCATCATTCAAACCATATCTCCAAGCAATTCTCAAGTCGTTATCTTTTGTTTCAGTTTTAGCTTTTGATGGTGTAGTTGGTCTTTCAACATTATCTAATAAATTTTGAACAGAAACTTTATTTTCATTAGCTAAAATCCTGCTCTTTTTTTGATCTCTACTACTACCTTTATAAATACCAGGTAGCTCTTTACCCCAACTATTGTTAGAACTCAAAACAATAACATGTGTGTTTGAATTTTTTGGATCAAGTCTGCTATGTACAATACCTTGACTTGCAAAGGACTTCATTAAAACACTGGCAAAATCAGTAGTACCATTCTCTTCAATTAATAAGGAGCTTCCCAAAGGTAAACCTTGATGTCCCAAGATCTTGTCAAGATCAGCACTACCAGTGGATACTGTAGCTTGTGATGTAATTGATGAAGGTCTTACACCAGGATGTTTTACAACTTCTTCAACACTTAGATTTTGCACTTGGTTCGCTAAAAGTTCTGGAGTCATTCCAGATCTTCTCAATTGATTTGGTCCAGCACCTCTTTGAGGTAAAATACCTCCTCCACTTATATCACTTGACGGTGGAACTCTTCCTGGAATACCTGGTCCTAATGGTGCTCTACCTGGAATACCTGGCGCTGTGACTGGTTCACCACCACGACCTGCAATGACATTAGGTACTCTGGCATTTGGTCTTCCTATGACTTCACCTCTCTTTCTGAATGACATAATGATATTCTGATCTAATTTGATTCTCTTATGTTCCATACAATAGTCTTTTTCTGAAATATTTATGATGAGCTTTTGCCAAAATTAAAAAAAAAATAAGTTGGGCCGAGATACGGCTCATCAAATCACGTGCTGGTTTGTTTTGCCCTCGGACTGGATTTTCTTTTGGTGTTGATTTTTTATATGACAAAATGGCAAAAAAAAAGATCAAACCATACACAAATGTCATGGAAACAAAGTTAAACTTGCTAATCAACATGAGTCAAAAGTATGGTGATTTGAAAGGGAAAGGTCCAGAAGATCATGAAGAGAATCAGGACTTTGATAGTGATAACAAAACGGTGTTTGGGGATCAAGCAGCCACTTTAACATACCTAAGAGATGAAGGTGTATTGGAAGGTAGTACTGTTTTTGATGGTGATGATAATCATTTAAAAGTTGAAACTCAACATCACAGAAGTTTTTCAAACGATCGTCATTTGAAAACCCAGATCTCGCAATTACAATATAATAACAATCGTATTGCATTGGATAGATCAATTTCCAATACAGTTCAAATTTTGGGTGAATTACAAGTTGAAAATAAAGAAAGACCATTGTTTTATCCAACTAATGATTTGCCAAACGAATTACTGAATAGTAGAAAAGCACATCTAGCATTGATAAGAAAAAATTCGGTACAGACTGTTAAATCAATTGCAAAAGAAATTGCTGATGAAGTTGAGAATTCAGATTCACCAGAATTGAAAATTTTAAAACTAAATGTTAAGTTGGATAATAATCAAATATCAAAATTGGATAAAACTGCTATTGGTCAACTACTAGATGAAAAAATCTTCCAGGTTAGTAAACATTTATTATCATTAAAAGATAGAATTGATGATACTTCCTCAAAAGTTTTCGTTACTGGTGATTTAAATTCAGGAAAATCAACATTTTGTAATGCATTATTAAGAAGAAAAGTGTTACCTGAGGATCAACAACCTTGTACTTCGGTGTTTTGTGAAGTTATTGATGCTAGAGAAAATAATGGTGTTGAAGAGGTCCACGCAGTTCCAATCGGTAGTACTTATGATATTAAGAATGAATCTACTTATAAGATTTTCCAATTGAAAGATCTAGAAGAACTAGTTTCTGAATGTGATAATTATGCTATCTTGAAAGTTTATGTCAATGATAGAAGAACTATTGATCAAAGTTTGTTAAGAAATGGCGTTGTCGATATTGCTATCATTGATGCTCCTGGTTTAAATCTTGATTCTTATCAAACAACAGAAGTGTTTTCAAGACAAGAGGAAATTGATTTGGTTGTTTTTGTTGTTAGCGCGGAGAACCACTTTACCTTATCTGCTAAGGAATTTATTGCCACTGCTGCTAACGAGAAAAAGTTAATATTCATTGTCGTCAATAGATTTGACAACATTAAGGATAAGAACAAATGTATGAATAGAATCTTGGATCAAGTTCAAAGATTATCCCCAGATACACATAAGGATGCTAGGGAATTTGTTCATTTTGTTTCCTCGAGTGATGTTGTTGACCATTTACCAAATGATAACGGCGAAGATCCAGGTGTTGGTGGCAGTGGTGATGGTGACGGTAATGGTGCACCAGATGATAATATCCATCCAGACTTTGATCACCTTGAAAATAGTTTGCGTAACTTTGTGCTACAAAAAAGAGCTCTTTCCAAATTACAACCTGCAAAAACTTATTTGAGTAAATTGTTGAATGATATTGAAGCTTTATCAACAATCAACCAGAAAATGTATTTTAATGATAGGGATGAGATGGTTGATAAGTTGAATGAAATTGCTCCTCAGTATGAAGAAGGTTTAGTGCAAAGTGTCAAAGTTAATGAAAAAATCGAAAGTTTAATAGAAAAAACATCACAAACCGTGTATGATTTCACTAAAAATAATATCAACTCAACTTTGGAAACTGTTGGTGATCATCCAGTTGTTCAATATAAGGGTATTCTTAACATTGTTGAGTATACAGTTGAAACTCAACGTGCAATTACAAAGAAGATATTGGATTCCGTTAGTTCTAGTGAAGATTTTGCTCGTAAAAGAACAATTGAAACAATTGATTCCATCAAAGGCTTAGGTAAGAGCGCATTAGGGGAAGCATATAATAGTGATAAAGTTTTCAGAGAAGAATTTATGTTTAGCAGACGTAAAGATACAATCAGCAGAAATTTGGATGAATCTATAACATTTTTTGATTTCTTTGATCCTTCTTTTGAAAGTTTCCTAACTGTTTTCGGTGTTAATGAAAAGACTAAAGATCAAGCTATTTTGTGGAAAAATTCATTCTATTCTATTGGTTTGTATGCGGCATCTGGTGCTTTAACAACAGGGTCTATAATTAAGGGTGTCTTTCAATATGGTTCATTATTTTCATTGAAAACCTTACGTTTTTTGGTACTTCCTCTTTCTATAGGTGTTGGTGTTGTCTCATTAACCTATTTGATTGTGGATATTCCTAGAGCGTTACCAAGAAAGTTGGCTAAAAAGATCAAACATCAAGTTAAAGAGCTCGATTATCCACATCAAAATTCTGACAGAATTGCTAAAGAATGCAGAAAAGTGTTGAAATATCCCGCAAGAGAAGTTCAAAATGCTTTCCAAACTTCATTGGACAAACATGCCGTCAAGAAGGAAAAAATCATGAAGGCTATCAAAGATGCTGATGTTGCATCTGCATTTTTTGGTAAACTTTTGAAAAGAACAATGGACCAAAGGAAACTTGTTGAAAGCTTTGACTTGGAATCCATCTCAACTGTCGAATGATCCACTTATTTTTAATAACTTGTACATATTAATTAATGACTTTACGATAAACACAAAGCTCTCTTTGTAGGCAGTTTTGGTTCCGCGAATTTTTAGGCAAGAAATCAACAGATTTGATTTTGACCTTGTAAACAAATCATTCTAGGCCTCAAAATTGGTAGCCACTATGAGTCTCTATCTTCCCAATCCTTGTCTTCAGGGAATACTCTTGGCGATATCAACCCATAATGGACCTCAATTAGTCTATCATTATCCCCCAAGACCAAGATCCTACGGGTTCAAAGCTACTCCTTTTACTGTTGACAATGACCTGTTGAGCTCTGAAGATAGTTCAAGCGATAGCTCAGATTCAGATTCTAGCATTGATGATAGCCAAGAGCCATCATCCAAGATACTGGGGAAAAAGCTTTCTCAAAAACTGAATGCTGATAATATTGCAAATTATACATCTGGTCAAACTCTATTGGATTTATTGGATGAACAGGATCAGAGGAGAGAAGCGAGAGAAAAACGTCGTCGTCATCAGAGTAGAAAGAAGGGTTCAATATCATCAAACAGTTTGAAAAGATCAACAAATAACTCTGAGGTCAATTCTCTGATGAATCATCATCATCACCAACAACAGAATGATAAAGTATTTGGATTTGATGTTGAGTTTTTGAGTGAGTTTGTTAGTCCACCAAAACAATTATGTAACAGTCGGTTCGAATTGACTGTTGATGACATGGCGTTTTTAGGCCTGCCAATTCATGTCAATGATGAGGGTCGTTGGAGAAGTCATAAGTCAAAGAAAGACCAAAAATCAAAGCACTCCTCAGCTAATAATACTTCCAAAGCTGAATCAGATAATGATGAAGGTACACATAGTTCTAATGAGCGTCACGAAGGTGATGCCTCTTCTCAAAGTAAAAAACCAAACCCAGAAAATACTGAAGATGAGGAGCATACTGATACAGGCTCAATGAGTATGTTTCATATTGTTTTTGTGATGAATCCTCCAATGGTGGAGTATAACTATAGAATTGATGAAATGTTCCATTATGTTGTTTCAAGATTGAGTCTGGTGTTGCGGTATGAGCAAGCAAAGTCTAATTATGTCTGGAAAGAGGTTAAAAAGATACTCAAGATCAAAGATAATAATGAAAATTTATCAATTGAAGAACTTTACGTTAAGTTGAAATCAGAGTCATCATTGGCGAATGCCATTGCTCAATGTTTTGATTCCATTTCCACATCAGATATTGCCAATCTAGAGATTAATGATAAACTTATTTCATTACAAATACCTATAAAAAACCAGTTCAGTTCTCTATTACCGAAAACAACCCCAGTATTACCAGGGTCTTACCTTTCATCAACAACAAAATATAATGAAGAGGAAATGGATCACAATATGGCTTATATGGCTCTACTTTTGCAAGACGAACCGGAAAAGATTATCGTTGACTTGAAGACAGAACCACTAAGCCCTTTGGCAAATTTCATAAGGAACATTCATCCAATGATGTCGTTGAACAAGTTGTCCATGATCAATCAGCTAGACCTTGGGCAAGTGAAATCTTTTGCAAACCATTTGATCTATTGGAGAAGAGCAAGGGCTATAATCCCACTACAGGTAAAGAGCGTCTTTATTGTTTCGCCGATGGCTCCTATGGAATATATCGATGAAGGAATGAAAATATTTAAGCATGAGTTTCCTTCACTACCATCACTACCGTCATTTCTTTCACTGCTTTCAAGCTCAAAGCCAAGACAATATATGACTATTATCCCAAGTAAAGATCATAAAGATATTTATCTTGATGCCCTTGCCTGGTTAATTAGACATGGATACATGACTCAGTTGATGACTTTTGTTTGGTTGAAGATTTCAAATACAATTAAACTAGCAGTAGAGGAGGATTTGGAGCGTGAAGGGATTTCAAAGAGAAATAAGGATAAAGTGAAGTTCACTGATATTTCCACTGATAACACAAGTAAGGATAAAGATGGGAAATCAGGTGAAAAAGTTGCAGGTGATGGTGAAAGCACACATAGCGGAAGAATAACAACATCCAACAGAAGAGAAATTGAAATTGAAGAAGAAGAGGAAGAAGACACTATTTTGTTGGACCCTGAGAGGGCAACTGCTGTGGAAAGAAGATGGATAAGTAAATGTATCAAAGGGCAACCATCAGATTTGGTGGCACTTTTCCACAAAATGCTCAAATATTTCAATGGTAAAACACCTCTTGAGCTGATAATAGTGAGAGAGAACATATCAAGGCATGATCTGAAGAGGCTTTTGAACGGAATAAGTGAACATATAATCTCTGTCAAACATTGGTGAATTCTAGGCTCTTACCTTTTATAGTTAATTTCCTAATTAGGTGTATTTATTACATAATTTCAAAATTTTCGCGAGCGCGACCCGCGAACTGTAGTGACGATTTTGAAAACCCATGTTGAAAAGCATGTAAACAACATCAGCAATCTGAATTCAAGAAAATCATCAAGCATTATTAAGAAAATGGTTAAACCTGCAACGCAGAGACGTCGTAACAAAGTTTATCAGCAACAGCTTCAGGCCCAGCAAGCTCAACAGGCCCAACAAGCTGCTAAACAAAAGGAAGATGAGATTGGAGGAATGCATGATGAAGCCGACGTTATGTCATTTCGTTCAGCAGCTACACATAGATTTTTGTTGAATCAAGAACTGATAGAAAATGTGACAGAAAAGTGGGTGCATACTGATGCTATAGTGAAACCAAAACCATTTGCTCATTTCCAAACCACAAAAGAGAATATTGACGAAATTAAAGATGAACTATACTTTGGAAATGTCAAATTAATGCGTCAAAAACTTGAAAAGCTTGAGAAGGAGTTGGAAGAAGTTAAAAAAGAACAAGAGAGTATAGATGAGAAAACCAATAATAAAATCATACGGGAAGTTGTTGATCAATTATCCAATGCCTTTGTCAATCGTGATTCTTCAAATTTTGAAAATTTTGAAAAAACAGTTCAAGAGAAGATAAACAAACCACTAGTTGACCACCTTTATGAAATCAAATCATTCCCACAAATCAATAATGATACAGCACAAGCTCCTCCAAACTATTGGGAGGAATTGGCTAAAGCTAAAGAAGAACAAGCAGCTCAAGCAGCCGCTTCACTCAATAACCATCTTGTTATGACAGATCACAGTTATATGCAAGAACCAGTGCAAAACGTTCAAGAACAGCTACAATATGTGGAAGCACCACCTGCTTTTGGTAATGATGATTTGAATATGATGGATGATGTGGGCTTCGGCCTCCATTCAACTCTTGATGATCAGGATTTCTTGAGCCAGATTGACCATAGTATGGAGTAGAGTTACAGGTTGATTCACTCAAAAAAGCAAAAAAAAGAAGCACTTTATAATTAATTAAACTATTGTATTATACATGATGATCATTGTTTTTATTTATTATGGTATTTTCATCTACCAAAGATTCTGTTTATTTGTAAAATTAATCTCCCACAACTGAAACCAATTGTAACAACAACTAAAACAACATTGATTACAATTTGAACCAAAGCAGCAAACATGAACCTTGGTGCGAAAATCTTCCAAACCATTAAATGTCTTCTGAAAACAGTTGCAAAGATCAAAGCACTCAATGTAATTAGAGTTTCATAAATTAATAATGTTCCACAATTTTCAATGATCTTGGAATATAATGAAATTGGTTTGAATGATGGTGGTATTTTCCATAGTGTGATCAATGCAACAGCAATCGAAATGATAATAAATGGCCCAAAAGTATTGAGAACGATTGCTAGATGAGTGAAGGGGAATGTGATTGTTCCAGTCAATACGAAACCAATCTCCCAATTGATTGATGGGATTGTTGCTTGATGCCCAGTACTGAAGAAATGTAAAAATCCTAATAACCCCAAAACAACAGGTGAAATCAAATTGGCTCTAACGTTTAGAATATCAACTAATTCGAATAATGACAAGATTTGATAGATCAGAACGAAAATGGAGATTTGTCCTAATGGTTTGGTGAATAACATAATGGCAGCTGCAAAGTTCATTATCAACAAGAAGTACTGGGATCCGTAGACATTTTGATAACCCAATATACACGCTTCTCTTGAAGAAGTTTCATTGTTCTTGATATCCAATTTAACGCATAATGGACCTCTTGACCATCCAATGTTGGCTGCAACTAAAGTGATACCAGCTATTATTCTAGCAACAGTAAGTTTAACATAATGTAAAGATTTCAAGTCCATGTTACGGACAAATGAAATGTTGATTTCTGACTGATTATGTTCCAGATACTCAAACCCCCAATATATAGCATTCATGCAAAGGATGATTCTAAGCATATTATTCCATAATGGAGCAGCACTTTGATATGACGAAGTAATGTTGAAGAATGCTTTGATAATGGAAGGCATAAAAAATGCAATAAGGAACAAACCCGCAATTGTCATCCATGTCATCTTAAAAGTTGGAACGCATTGATCACCTTGTTCTTCACGACAAATTGTAATCATAGAAACTAATCTTGTGGTGATCATGAAGAATAGTGAATGGTAAACTCCCATAACACGATCAACTTTCTTTTGAGCTTGAAGTGATTTCAAAGTGGCCAAGAACCCAAATGATATCAGTAGATATGCAACAATACGATCTTCCCAAATCGTGAATGAATTTGAAGCAAAGAGAGCAGCATGTAACACCATAAATGTGATGGCAACAAGTGACCATAACCCATTGAATTTATCCAATAATGATAAGAATAACCATTTCAAAGAGTAACGATCAAAAACTGGAATTGAAAAACCAAAAATTATACCAATCGCAACTCCCAACAGAGTGAACCAAGTGAGACTTAAAAAGTAAGGCTTCAAAATGAGTGAGATAGCCACAAAGATGACACTGAAAATAGACACCATCGCAATGATAGAAGGAACAATTTCTTCTGTTAATTGAGTGATGACAACAGATGGGATTAGTTTTGAGTAAATGATCAGTATAACCAGTGAAAATGCCAACAGTAAAATACCAATGCTGATACTCAACAAGTCAAATCTTGCCCAGAGATCTTTACATCTCTCTAATGAATCATGTTGGTATTCCAAAACCTTTTCATAAAATGTATCATCAGGATCTCCAGTGCTCCATATTTTGGTTAGTTCTCTATATTTATTATTAATAACCTCATCTTCTCTTAGTTCGCCTGAATGCATTCTATATCTTTGAATTTGCTCCATTGTTAAATAACTTGCCAATTTAAAAGAATCTCTTGTCTTGAAAGCTTCTTCAATTGGTTTTCCCAAATTATTATATGGAATAGGCAACCCCATTAGCAGTGAAAGTGTAGGAACTAAATCAATTTGGTCCACTGATCTATAATTTTTGCCACCGTTGGAAATATCGTATAACGATCTATCAGGTATGGCATGGAATGACTTCTTTTTGGAATATAGCCAGAGTGAAGCTTCTAATTCGTCAATGGAATCACCACCATGATTACCAGTACGATCCATACCATGATCACCCATAACAACTAACAACGTTTTATCATCTATTCTTTCGATAACGTCTTTAATAAATGCATCCATTTGTATTTGTTTATCTTTCATTGAAAAATGATCTGGACCATATCTATGACCACAATGATCCACACCAAGTAAATGTCCAACTAATAGATCCCATTTTTCGGTTTTTTGGTTATCCAAGAAAGGAATCATATGCTCAATAACACCATTATCCACGGTGTGTAAGTCCCAAACATTCAATGAATCATAAGGATGTGAAACGTTTAAAAATGGACCAAAAACAGCTTGCCAGGTATCATCACCAACAAACGTTGTTGATCTATTATGTTGATAAAATTGTTTAATAAAATTATCCTCCTCTATGACATCACCATCAAAATTTGAACCAGCATCAACAAAAGTTGGTAAAGATCCAGTTGTTAAACCTTTGAGCCTTTGTAATGTAGTTGTTGGTGGATCTGCCATGAACTTTAGTAAAACAGAATTTTCAGGATGATCCAAGCTCAGTTTGTATGGAGTAAGGAAGTTATTATGGTAGTAAACATCATTTGATTCATCGGGTATTGTGAAATCAAATCTTAATGCATCAATAATCACCACCACTGCTTTATCAAATGCCTTCAGTTGTAAACTTTGATCAACAAAGATTGGATCTTCTAATGTAGAGAAATTATCCAGCACTTGTCTAGATAGCAAGAACCCATTTTTGAAAAACGCTATTGCAATACCTTGTAAAACAGCTATCGAAAAGAATATTATCACGTATAGTATAGCCATCACTTTCAGTCTATTGTTCCTTATTGTGTATTTGGCATCATTCTGTTGAACTAACCGTCTGCGCACCTCTTCGCTAGACTCTATTTCTTGATTATTTTGCGTCACCATGACTAATTGATTTATATTGAATGTTCTATGCTCCGCTGTCCTGAACTTGATTCGAAATAAACAGCTTTCTCTTGAAATGAATTATACCGAATGCTGCTAATCAAAGAAAGCAACGTTCCTCACGGACTTGTGATACAAATTTGGTGTCGCCAGATTAGTGACTTCTGAATTGGATAGCAATGGGTGAAAAGTTGGATGCCAGTTTGTGGATGTTTAACAGCTTTGTCTTCGGATTATGCTCGTATTGTTTACTTTGAATCAGTTTTTTTTTCCTGCCTAACCTCCCTCAAACTAAAAATTCAAGAGAAAAAAAAAAGACCGCGGGCCCTACCAATCCAGTTGCTCCAGTTGACATTCGCGGTGACATGCTACTTGGTAATAGAAAACTTGTAGTGCATTTGCATTAAAAGACAAGGGTATTGCAAATTGTTCATAGCTATATTTTAAGAGCATTTTATTTAAAGTGGTATTGTTAAAAAGATGAGAAAAAGCAGAAATAATGGTTTAGTGGTATGAAAAATGACATATGATGAAACTTTTGGCATAAATATGTGGGTATTATTGATCAAAATGGCCTTCTTTGCTGGAAATTTTGTTTATTGGCAATGTTATCATAGCCATTATGTGTAACCGGGCGTTTTTTCAACTGTTGTTGAGGTTGTTGATTGACAGTATGAACACCTAATGGTTGAACTAAAGTTGGCTGAGAAACAAGAATTCTTTCATGAAGGTTTGGTAATTGAAATAATTGTTGCGATTGTGGTAACTGAACTGGTACATCAGATAGTGGGTATTTTGAGAAATTGGTATCATAAAACCCACCAGCACTGTGGGATTTTGCATTCAACTTAATGTTGTAGTTATTTTGATTGAATTGGGTATATCTTGATGCTGAACCATGAATTATAGAGTCATTATTTGATAATTCACCTCTATCCAAGATCATGAACTCATTTTCACGCAAGAAACTGGTTAAGTAGGTTATGGCATCTTCTAAAAACAAATCACTTTCTGGTAAGAAACTCAAAATGATTGAATGATATGGAACTGATTCTTCAGTCTTATTGTCAATTCCCATAATCTCGAAATTGTATAAAATTTTAAATGGTACCTTTATCTTTTCAACATAGGACTCATTTGTATCATTGATAATTTGATGGAATTTCTTTGAGTAAGTTATCTTAAATTCATAACTTTCAGCTAATTCGTTGATGAAAAGTTTTGTGGCATTCACCGAGTGATTTTCAGTACCAAGTACTTCAACAAGTGCATAATCATTTGGCTCTGAATTTGGAAATCTAACAAAAGTCGAAGTTTTCTTTTCAATTTGTTGAATCTTGTTAAAATCAAACAAACGGAACTGGTTTCTTGATAATTTGAAATAGGTGTTGAAAAAAGTTGTATTCTCATTGTTGATCAACAAGCTGTTTAGTTCATTTTTAACTAATGGTATGTTTGAAGAATTTTTCGATGGACATCTGATAATAACATTATCAAATCTTATTGGGCTTTTAAAGTTATTTTTCAAATCATAGCTGTTGGAAAATTTGATGAAAACATTGTACTTTCTCATAATTGATTGAATTAATGAGCCACCAGTACCAATAATTTGTCTATGGAAAGCTTCAGGAATGTAGAATCTGATTTCAGATGGGAACTCATTTTGTAACTGTTCATAAGAGTTCAAGAATTCATTGAAATCAATAGACTTCAAGTCAACCAATAAACTGTATTCATTCAATGGCTCAAAGTTGATCGTTGAAGTTTTGAAATTGTTCATAATCTTTGAAATCTTACCATTTTTCTTACCACTAATAAATTCGTGATAACTGACACCTAATTCAATCTTGAACTCAATTTCTGGCTTGAAATCATTGTAAAGTTGATTTGCATACCTGTTGAACTGTTTAATAGCTTTAAGAGAGTCATCCCGAGACCCCCAAAACTCAAAAGAAGCTGCATCTTTATTGACGTAAATTGAAACATTGGAAGCTATTGAGATTCTTGATACTAGGTCATACAGTTCACCAGCATTAACGTTCAAATCAGCAGGGTCAAAGTGGCCGTTTGATGAAGTGTCCTTATGAAACCAAACATTTGTTAAGAATATTTCATTAGTTAATGTTGTGAAATCAACGATGGCACGTTCAACTAATTCAGATGTAGTACCTTGGAAGTGGATTGTAGATTCATCAGCACCTAGAGGTGGCAGTTGGATGAAGACACCATATTTGCACATGATTGAACTTATATCGTCTTTGAAGTTCAATAATATCGAATCCTTTTTGAATTTCAATATATCAATATTTTTATAGAAGACTTCATCCTTTCTCTTTTCAACAATACCTAGCAAAAACTTCTTAGCCAACAAAACTTGAGCTTCTAATCCTGACAAATAGATGTTATCTAGATTGTGTCTTTTGGAGTTTTGTGCTAATTCTGGTAAGATTGAAGGGAGATAGATATTAACACCTGTTTCTTTAGCAATTGCCCTGAAATCACCAAATGAAACTCCACCAACTAATGGTATCATTGATAAAGGAACTTCAACAGAGTCCACAAAAAGGTCCAAGTAATTATCAAGTAAGATTCTTATTCTAGTTTCGGCAAATGTTGTATCATCAGAATCACCCAAGATGTAAATATAAAGATTTTGGTCCAACAAATCAGGCTGTGATTCTTGATTGATTGATAAATTGAAATACTCAACCTTAGCACTAATCAATATTTCCACCTCACAGAAATGTGCAAGTTGGGTTAAAGAATCTTGGAAATCTTGGGCAATACCGGTTGGGGTGAATACGGTTCTGAACTTCCCTCTATCAACAAGCAGTGTCTTAAAGTCAACCTTTTGATATCTTTGTAATAATCTTGAATGCTCTTTGATGGTTTGATCACTTGATGAATCAATTTTTAGATGTAATAGTTGTTCATTTCCTCTTGATTCTGACACAGCCAAGTATTCATTGGCTAACAATTGTGAGAGTTGAGCATCTAAGCCAGCAAAGTTGTCAATGATCTTGTAGTTCCCACTTAAATTTTGAGCAATTTGGGAAAGGACCAATGTATCATTAGCTTTTAGATCTCTCCATAGTCCAGTATTTGATTCATAGAGGTATCCTTGAGTCTTGGATCTAACCAAAGATGTATATTTCAAGGGGATTGCTGCGTACAGCGAATCTGAAGTTGAAGAGTTTGCAGTGGAGGTGGCATTTGTTGAATTAACAGAAGTTATTGAATGGCCTGCTGAAGATGGAGAGGCCTCTTTCTGTGACATCAAGCTTAATTATTCCTCTGGATCGGTAGCTAATCTTTATCTTTAACTGAAGAACAATCAAACTGTTTCCCTTTGTTTACTTTTTGAAATATTTCCAGATCGATGATTTTTTTGGTAAACAACAAAATTCGCGGAAACCAAATTGATTATGTAAGTTACGCCAACCCTTCAAAGTGGTACAAAATAGTCGTAGTAGCATGAGAGAGATTGAGATGCTATACATCAACTTATTCAGCCTATATGAGTTTTTCACCAACCTGCTATCTACTAGTAATAATTGTTCAAGTTCCTAGGCTAATCCGCATAAGTCAAATTCATTGGCTGTTGAGAAAAGCGAGGTTGGAAAAATGAATTCGAGCAACATCTTTCGACATCGATAAAAGAATCATAAACACTTTGTAGAAGAAGTTCAAAAGCTTGAGTCACAGCTGGTCTGGTCCGAAAATGCTTTCATTCAGAACAAAGGGCTACAATGGGTATGCCGTCAAGTATTCACCATTCTATGACAACAAGTTAGCAGTGGCCACATCCTCAAATTATGGGCTTGTGGGTAATGGGAGATTATACATTTTATCAATCAATGCCAATGGACAAATAGGCAATGATGTGTTCTTCGATACTCAAGATGGTCTATTTGATCTAGCTTGGTCAGAAATGCATGAAAACCATGTTGCTACAGCGAATGGTGATGGTTCTATAAAGATATTTGATACTGGAGTTGGACAATTCCCCATTTTGCAATTAAAAGAACATCAGAGAGAAGTGTTCTCGTTGAATTGGAATCTAATAGAGAAAACTAATCTCGTTAGTTCCAGTTGGGACGGTACGATAAAGATATGGACACCAAGCAGAAAACAATCATTGCTGACATTGAACACTGTGAAACCTCATGCTCAAAATAATTGTGTTTATCAAACTGTGTTTTCTCCTCATAATCCAAGCATGTTGGTTAGTGCTAATGCAAACTCACATATTCAAGTATGGGATACAAGATTACCAAATCCTAATATACTGGATTTCATAGGGCATGGTGGTGCTGAAACATTATCCTGTGATTGGAATAAATATAGACCTACAGTCATTGCAACAGCAGGTGTTGATAAGCTTATAAAAGTATGGGATCTCCGTATGATTGATGGCACAGGTTCACCACCATTACCTCCACATCATAAGATAGGGCCAGCTCCACTGAATCAACTTATTGGTCATGATTTTGCAATTAGAAGAGTCGTGTGGAGTCCTCATGATGGAGGTGATTTGCTAAGTTGTAGTTATGATATGACTAGTCGTATATGGAAGGATCAAACAGATGTTAAGACAAGGGGTGCTTTGAATAATAGGTTTCAGAAAAATGCAACTTCAAAAATATTTGGAATGCATAAAGAATTCGTCATTGGTGGTGATTATAGTTTATGGGGTGATCCTGGATGGGTTGCAACTACAGGTTGGGATGAAATGGTTTATGTTTGGGATTCAAAACGTTTATAATAACCCTCCTATTCTATCTTCATTGAATCTATGTAGTTTTTCACTTCTTAGGTAGTACAATTTCCGTTCATTTCTATAAGACTTGATGAAACTTTGAATTGAAGACTCATCGTGTTCTTGAACATCTTGAATAAAGGATTGACTAATTGAATTCGTCAATTTTCTGGATTCATTAACACTGCTACTTAACAACGAGTATATGTTTTCAGGGCCAAATTTTTTCAAAGAGGCATACATTGCCACTTCTTTACTTTCCCACTCCTCTACTAGCCTTTGCAATTCAGAAAGTTGCTTGTTCAAAGCATCTTTAGATGTTTGTAGTTGTGACAATGATTTTATGAAATGATCAATATCACCTATTATTGTATCTAGTTCGCTTGCACTTTGATTCAACTCTTTTTCACTCAGTTGTATCAAATACCCCTTGAGAATGTCAATGGATTCCATTAACCTTAGCAATTGATCTGTGGGTAGTGATCTAATGTCTTCTGAGACTTCTATTCTAGCGATAGGTTGAGGAGTTGGTTGAGGTGAAGCATCCTGCTGTGCATTGGAAGTACCATATTCTGGTGTTTTTGGCGGAAGTGAAGGTGGCGTTGACATTTTTGGGGTTGGTTTGTATTGAAAGTGATATTATTCAACTGGTCTTTCGAGTTACTCTTCTGGCTCTTGATGAATCCTTTGAAATTTGAATTTCTCCAGACCCTTGAGCTTTGAAAAGAGTTCGCGAATTTCCTACAAAGCCAAAAATCTTGTGGAAATGCTCTTTTAGCCATGCTTTTTCGAAATCCCATTAAACAAGTAGGTGACTTTCATGATGTTAAAGATTCTTTAGGACTAACAGTGCTTCATAGAGATGGTTTTAAGTGCGGTCAGAGTGTCATCCAGAACAAAAGTTCCAACAGCCTCCGTCATCATCGTACATGGGTTAGGTGATTCCGGTGATGGGTGGAAGTTCTTCAGCGATTTAGCTAGAAGATCATCAGAATTTGATCATATTAACTTCGTCTTCCCAAACGCTCCAACCATCCCAATTACTGCAAATGCTGGGTATGAAATGCCTGGATGGTTTGATATTTTCCAATTTGGAGCTCCAGGTGGTAAAAAAGATGTTGATGGTTATCTCAAATCACTTGATCTTGTGAAAAGCTACATCAAAGAACAGATTGATCTAGGCGTAAAACCTGATAGAATTATAGTTGGAGGTTTCAGTCAAGGTGCTGCATTGGCTTTAGGTGCTTTAGCCACTCTAGATTTCAAAGTCGCTGGTTTCTTAATCTTTTCAGGTTTTATGCCAGTTGGTGAAAAGATAAAATCACTTTTCAACCCCAAAAATTTGGAAACACCAGTATTTCAAGGACATGGTGATGCAGATCCCATCATCCACAAAGAATATGCTGATCAGACTCATGAGTTCTTCAAAGAATTAGGATACAAAAATTACAATTACAACATTTACCCAAACCTACCACACTCAGTTGCTAATGAAGAACTATCACAGGCGTTCGATTTCTTGAGAAAAACAATCCCAAGAGAATGAAATGATCATTATTATATATTTACAAATGTATAGAATCAATAAGAAATACTCAAAAGTTGTCTGTAACAATTGCAACATCATCACTGCCTTCTGGGTTAATTTCCAAAGGTCTCTTTCAATACCTATCTGGTCTCGCTCTGGTGGTTTTTTTGAGATTGTCAGCGCGTATCGCTTCATCATCATAATCATAATCATAATCATAATCATAATCAAAACCATCGTTACTGTGGGAATCTTGGTCATCATCATTATTGGAGCGAGCGAAATTCTCTCTAGCATCAGCATTCAGTGCCTTTCGGTAGTGTTTGGCATAAAGAGACGCAAGTTTAGAAGCAGTTTCAGATGGATTTGTAGCATATGCTCTGGTTTGTTCATCGATGAAATCAGTTTCAAGAAGCTTCATAAATGCTTCCGTTAAAATTTGGTGATCACCCTGATTTAAAGCTGGAGTAGATGGGCCTTCATCATCATTCATGTCTGGCAGTTCATTTGGCTCCCCAGCTGTAGCTTCTGGTATTGGTTCCATTGGTTGTACGTGAGTTTGCTTTCGATAAAGAGAGCGGTGAACTGTTTGTTTACATCAAAGCTTCCTTGAAAATTTTGTCTTCGGAGCTGTTCGCGAGTAATGCTCTCCTAAACATTAAGCATCTGTTCTCCATTAAACATCGAACACGAATTGAGGTCATGAGTCGACACATTGTTCGCTGTTAAACGTCGAACACTTTAAAAGAGATTTAATTTGTATTTGGCTGAGATCGCGATTTTTTGAGGGTGCAGTGCCCGACTCAATTCTGATGATTGTTTTGAATAGAAAACAGGTATCAACAACGTAATTCTCTTGTCAAAAAGGTTTCAGAACTAGAAACAATAGCCTGCCAATAGAGAAAAGTACTAGGTTCAAATGGGAACGCTGGACTCAAAAGATAAAAAGTACGCTGCTGCGGTTGAAAAAGCATTGGGGTTCTTTGACTCTGTTGAAGAATGGGCAGATCACATTTCATTTCTTTCAAAGCTTTTAAAAGCATTACAGCAGAAACATACAACACAACACTGGATTCCTCACGATTTGAAGATCTCAATCACATTATCAAAATGTCTTTCTCCAAATCTACCAAGTGGAGTACACCAGAAGACTATTGAAGTTTACAATTTCATCTTTAAGGAACTAGGCGTAGATGCTCTAGCTTCTAACGTCAACATATGGATCCCAGGTATTTTACCAATAATGCAATTTGCTTCAATTAGTATAAAACCGGCCATCATTGACCTGTACAAAAATTATTTGCTGACCTTGCCATCAAATGTCTTGAAGAGTGTTGTGAAACCAATACTGTCATATTTGTTGCCATCTATAGATGATGAAAGAAGTGAATTCTTTGATACTTCAATTGCATTGATTGATAGTTTGAGAACAGAGTTGAAAGATGATTCATTATTTTGGCAGTCAGTCTTCTTGATAATAATAACAAGTGAAGAGAGAAGGTTAGGATGTTTAATTTGGTGTAACAAAAGGTTACCAGACCTTAATGTTGTCATTGAACCACCAGAAGATACCAAAAATGATGTCCTGAATTATTACAAAAGTGAATTGAAAAAGAGATTGACATCAGAGCAGCTAGCACTAATCACACCAGAGCCGGGGTTATTGATAAGGTCTTTTATTGCAACATTGAAATCTGATAATATTTTAATTCAAAGAGGGTTTCTAGACTTGATGATTAAGAAAGTACAGCTCAATTCAACCGTTTTACAAAAACTTTCCCCTGAAAAAGATTTGCAAAATTTGATTATCAGTGCCATTAGTGCTGTTTTGAAAAAAGATATGTCAATCAACAGAAGAATATGGAATTGGTTATTGGGACCAGAAACATCAAATGCGGTACACGTCGAATATTTCCAAAATAATGGCGCTGTTCATTTGAAAGATGGATTGTTGAAGTTGTTTGATGGGAAATATGACCAACAGCCTTCCTATCAACAAAAACTAGTGGGTTATAAAATCTGTTTGGCCATTATGGACAGATGGGAAATTGGCTCACAGGTTGTTCCTGACGTGTTGATTCCATTATTGAAATCTGTTCAACAATCTTCCGGCTTGTCGCCTAATGAATTTAACGAAATATTGAAAAGCGCGTCTGCATTGTTTGATGCTGTTGAAACTTTGACCATTTGGAGCAATCTGTCAAAAATGATAAAGTCTGAAAATATTGATTTCTTAATATTTGTATTACAAAATTTCAATGTACAAGATGAAGAAATGATAATTCATCAATTCCCATTGTTTTTTATAACAAGTTTGATTAAAAGTCAACAAACTGAAGGTTGGTTCAAGCTTTTAAATCTTGCAATAAATACAATACCTCAAAGAGCATATCTACCAATTGAGCATGCATCACATGAAATATCAGAGTTATCAAAAGATGATATTCTTAACAAAATAGCAGAATACTATGAAAATAATGATGTGCTAGCACTTCCTTTCAAACCTGCTGATTTAAGTAAAATAACATTAGATATTGTTACTGATTTGGTCATCAAAAACATTAGTGCTAAAGAGCAAACCTTTGATTATGTTTTACTATTGAATTGTGTCATTGACTCCATCCCAGAATTGAATTTCTACAACGCTGAATTGGTTAATATTATCAAATCGTCAACATTCAGAGATAGTGTATTGATAAATATTGCTAAGCTTTTCCCTAAACTACATTTTGATTCACCATTTACAAGAATAGATATCTTGAGAAATTTGATTTTCCAATTATGTTCGTTGTTGAAAGAAGATGGTATAAAGTATCAAGTGGAAGTTGTTAAAGCATTACATCAGTTATCTCTTTCCACATCTTCCAATTATGTTGAGGCTGCATTAACTTCATATATCCTTGATTTGAAGAGCTTGAATGATAGGTTGATAGTTTTCAACTATCTATGGATACATTCCACTGAAGCAACTCTTTTAGATAGACCACTGCATATACTTTTGGATGATCTACATGATATGAACCACTCAAATTATTCAATTTTACAGAGATGGATTGTTGGTAACATCAACTCTGGATTGATCAATAGGTTGTTTCAGCTTATCACATTGAAGTTGAGTGAGACTGTTGATGATAAGTCAGTCTTTTCATACCATTGTTCCATTGTCTTGAATGTCTTGAATACTGATCTCAAAGGACTACTCCCATTGTTCAAGGAGGAACTAAGTGTTATTAATTCAGTTGAGTACAAAAATGAAGATATATCCACCTACAAAGAGTTCACGTTATATGCCTTGGAGAAATTCTTGAATAAGGGACAGTTTAATGCAAAATCAAGTTGTGTTGTTTTCAAACTGATTGAGTTGTTATTGGATGGTCGTGAAAAGAATTTTGAACATTTGGTCCAAAGAACATTTGAACTATCACAAAGCTTTATTATCAACAAGATAGATGATGTACAATATGAGTCTGTTTCTATTATCCTTTTGGATCATATCAAGGAACTGATAAAAGTTTTGATTTCAACAAGAGCTAAAATCCCATCCATTTTTGAAAGTCCAGATAATGAGCAATCACCATTCATCAAATTCTTGCTATTAAGTTTTCTACGTTTCAACTCCTCGGATCTACTAAGCTCATGGATTGAGTTATTAGTAACCACATTCAAGTATCAGGATGAATCTATCTTTGAATTCGTCGAACCAATTATTTTGCAAATATTGAAGAAGGTAAACTCATTCTATTTCAACGGTTCTGAATCAAAGGATGATGTTTCAATTTCGTTGCTACTGGGTGTGTTGCAAGAACTCTTATCTCTGGTTAGAAGTTATGTTGTGACGTTAGAAGTTAATGGAACCAAAAACACCAATCACGATCCAGGTTTTTTTTCAAGTGTTGTTTCAGGAGTTTTAGGAGATTCATCCAAACATTTGGATGCTGATTCAGTCATTTCTAAAAATCGTCGCACTATGAATATTTGTTTTGCTGAATCCACCAAGATTTGCTTTGAGATTTGGAAAGAATCAGATGCCTCTTTGAAAAAAAGAAATGATACACAAGGGGATCTATCAATCAAGTATCAATCACTTAAATTGAAACATAAATCTAAAATGCTATTGGAGAAGCTATATGAACTTGAGTCTGTGGAAGTTTTAAAGACGATGATCTTAGTTAATAATGTTGATTATCCAGTTGTCTTCAAAGTTTTGAATGTTTTAGATGGAACAAGACCACAGTTGACAATTCCACACATATTCAAGCTGATCAACACCATAGTGAGATCCACCAACAAACAACAATCACCAAATGTGCTCGAAACTAGTGTATTCTTGGTTGAATATGCAAGATCGCTACAAAATGATTCAATAGAGGATCTGTATGATGATTCGATGAATTTTTTGAAAGAGGTTTCAAGTGACTTGAGTACTTATAAGTTGATTTTGATTAACGTGGTGAAGTTTATTAGTGTTATTGCTCAAAAATTAAGACGTTCAAAATTTGGTGAACAAAAGAAAACCAAGAAAGAGATTGGTGACATGTTCCTAAAGATTTTACCGGCCTCTTTGAATTTCAAGAATGTGGATGTTTCTAGTGCTATTGCAACAAGTATTAATGATACAGAATCCAAGAAAACTGAAGATATAGACAATAATGATGCATTGACATCTTCCGTCCAGTTAGATGCACCAAGCAATCAAGAAGAATTATTTTCATCTGTTTCATCAATTGTCCCAAGCTTGAGTGCGATTGTTTCAGAAAATGATAAACTCAGTACCATTGTCTCAACTATCCTGATCAATTTGATTACGCCAAATTTGAAGTCAAAGAATGCACCAAAAACAATTTCTTCATATCATTTGGAACTTTTGGAAGAGCTTTCAAAGGATTATTCAAGTGTAAAGAGCTTGAAATTCTTGATATCAGAAGCTTTCAATGATTCTCAATTCTTCAATGCTAATGTTGAAGACACCAGTTATTGGAATGCTATAATCAAGAACTGGATTAAAAATGACGCTGGTGATAAATTATCTGAATATATAAATAGACTTACATCAAGCAATGCATCCAATATATTCAACTGGAATGAAAATGAACAAGTTGTGAGAGCTATGACGTTGAAGAGAATTGCATATTTATTACTGGTGTGTGATAAAGACCAACATATTGTGTTGCTAAAAGAAATATTTGATAAGTTGGGCTGGTTGTTTAATCAAAATATTTCATCTTCTGCTGAAATCTTCTTGGTAATTAGAAGTGTGTTGTTGAGATTTTCACCAATTCATTTATATGACCATTGGACCTTTATCTATACTATGCTTCAACAATTTTTCCTAATGATCCTAACTGCTGATAAAGCTGAAGTTTCTAGATTGAATACCAATACCATTTTCCAGGCCTCAAAGCTATTAGATTTGCTATTAGTTTTGAAGTTTGAAGATTTCCAGGAATGGATTTTCATAATTGATACCATAAATGCAATTTATAGAAACGTTGATATTGTTAGTCTTATTGACAAGATTTCCTTGAGAGATGAACTGTTTGAGTCTTCGAACTTGACCAATGAAAAGTCTGAGCTATTGACTAAACTATCAGAATCTAAGGGGTTGAGAAAACCAGCATTAATTGGTATTAGGCAAATTGGTTCCATGAGTTCGTTGAAACCATTTTTTGATGGTTTGAGTTATTACAACTACGAGAATATTTACAATGGTGCAAATATGGATTATGAATCTTGCGAGCAGGATATTTTGTTTGATCTTTTTGATGGATTTTAAATAGTTAGAATGACTTTATTCATGGATGTCTATGACCGCTGTAGCATCAAGTTCTGAAGAATTTATAGACTGAAAGATCTTCCCATCCCGCTTTTCTGTTGATAATAAGCTCACTATCCCAACCTTTTGACTTCATTCGGTCAGCCACTTCCTTTGGTTTATTTCTGGCACAGAATAGAATGTATGCTATTCCGTTTGGTGATAAAATTTGATCAAAGTTATCTAAAAGTCTATCTGTGACGGCCATTCCATCTGATCCACCGAGCAAAGCAAGGTCTAACCATTCATAATCACTTTCATTTTTGGGTATCTGTGGCACTTCTTCAGCAGGGACATATGGTGGGTTGAAAATAAGAATGTCAATTATATTTGACCTTATACTGGTTGTCAAATCTGATTGCAATGTGTCTAAATATTTGGCTCCACCATTCTTCAAGCTTGTAGCTTTTGAGCTCCTACAGGCATGAGGGTTGACGTCTGTGGTGATAAACAAGCCATCAGGTACAATATTCTTATGTGAAAATGTAGTAACAACACCTGATCCACAACCAATCTCTACCACAACAGGATTTTTGAATCTTTTTTGAATGTATTCCAGTTCTTGTTCCAAAGAATCTAAGAGCAGAAAAGAGTCTTCAGCTGGCTCGTAGACCTTTTCAAAATCCGCATCAACCACCGGCGTTGGGAACATATTGATCTAATGAATATAGTTACCAGTACACTTTTCAATCAAAAAAGAGTTTTGAAGTCACCAGAAACCAGATACAAACTCATCATCATCGGTATGAAAAAGATTCTGACAAATCCATTATGTCAGCCTTTCTGATTTCGCGGGAAAATTAAAATCTGAGTTAACTCGATCAAACAATCCTTCACACATGATATTGAGCTAAAAAGTGTTGCAACCCTTTTAGAAAAATGCAAATCAAAGTCAAGGTGAGTGAATTTGGTGAAATGTGATTGTTAATTGAATAAATTGCTAACATATACTAGACTTTAACAGGGAAAGAAGTAAGGAATTGAGCTCTTATTTATGTCACATTTAATCCCCAAATACTAACCGCCATCCATTAGATCCCAATTGATGTTGAACCAACTGATAAAGTATGTACTTTGTGATAAATCAATTGAATTCTTACTGATATCGTTACTAGATTCTACGTATCAAAGAAATAATGGAAGAGAAAGAAGGTATTCCACCTAGCCAACAAAGACTAATTTTCGGTGGTAAACAAATGTGAGTTTTAAGCAAATAAACAACACAAAACATTCAAAACTAACAAACAATCCGCAGGAATGACGACCAAACCGTTGAATCATATAAATTGGAACCTGGGGCCCAACTGCATCTTGTATTGACTTTACGTGGTGGTTCTATATAAAACGCTAAAATGTTATGTAACTGATGACTAATCTTTAGTTTTTTCTGTAGAGAAATATCTACAAACTTGTTTTTATAAGTAAACATCTTTCGTTACGGTTGTTATCGTTAGACCCTGTGACTATTCATTGCTATGGAAAAGAATAGAACTCCTGCTGAGTTTCAAATATCTGCAGAGCAGATTTTACTCGAGGCTTATGAAAGGAAAGATGAACCACTGAACAAAACAAACGTCAAGATCGCTGATTTAGAAGAACTTCATGAAGCCCAAAGACGTCAAAGGCAAGAATATGAAGATGCATTGAGGAGAAACAGATTAGATTTTGGCCAGTGGATGCGCTATGCTCAATATGAGGTTGAACAGAAAGATTTAAGAAGAGCCAGGTCTATCTTTGAAAGAGCTTTGGAGATCAACAGTCATCATGTTCCACTTTGGATAAGATATATCGATACAGAATTGAAATCAAGAAATATCAATCATGCTAGGAATCTATTTGATAGAGTAACCACACTTCTTCCAAGGGTTGATAAGCTTTGGTTCCGTTATGCTCAAACTGAAGAAACATTAGGTAATGTCATTGGTACAAGAAATGTGTTCAAGAGATGGATGAAATGGCAACCAGATACACCAGCTTGGGATGCCTATATCAATTTTGAAAAACGTTACGATGAATTTGATAACGTGAGAAAAGTTTTTAATCAATTCGTTTATGTTCATCCATATGCTGAAACTTGGATAAAATGGGCAAGATTTGAAGATGAGTTTGGAACGGCTGATAATGTTCGTGAAGTGTATTCTGCTAGTATAGATTCACTGTTAAATGAGAAACTTATTGTCAACTTTGCCAAATGGGAAGGTCAACAGAAAGAGTGGGAAAGGGCAAGAGCAATATATAGATTTGGTGTATCAAAGTTCCCAAACTCGATTTTAATCAACGATCAATTATCACAATTTGAGAAACAATATGGTGATAAAGATGGTATTGAGAGCTCGATATTACTGAAAAGAAAGAAAAGGTATGAAGATGAATTGGATAGTGACCCTCTTGATTATGATACTTGGTGGGCCTATCTTTCTTTGTTAGAAAATTATCCACTTGAAGTTCAAAGAGAAGCCTATGAGAAAGCTGTGGCAAATGTACCCACCTCTGTTGAAAAAAACTCTTGGAAAAGGTATGTTTTGATATGGATAAGGTATGCCACTTTGGAGGAACTAAATGAAGAGATTGAAAAGACAAGAGAAATTTACAAAAGATTAACCAAAGTGATACCAAATAAAAAGTTCACATTTTCCAAAGTGTGGATTCTATACAGCAATTTTGAAATACGTCAATCCCATTTACAACAAGCCAGAAAAATATTAGGTTTTGCTATCGGTTCATATCCTAAACCAAAGACATTTAAACATTACATTCAACTTGAGATCAAATTGAAAGAATTTGACAGAGTAAGAAAAATTTATGAAAAATACGTTGAGACATTTGCTGATCATGCTGATGTTTGGATAGAGTATGCTGAACTTGAAAGTAATTTGAATGATATAGATAGAGCTCGTGGGATATTTGAAATTGGACTTGAGCAATTGGCAAGCTCGAAGTCTGTTAGTGAACTTTGGTATAGATATGTTGACCTTGAAGTTGAACAGAGAGAGTATGAGAGAGGAAGATATTTATTTGAAAGGTTCCTTGAGACTGATAAAAATTCAACCACCATTTGGATCAAGTATGCATTATATGAATTGGGTGTTCCGACCCAAGATCAAATAGCGGAGTATGAAAAGAAAGTGGAAGAGGCTGGTGATGATGAACTTGAATTTGAATTTGACATTTCTGAATCTTCAAAATCAAAGACAAGAGATGTTTTCGAAAAGGCATTGACTCATTTCAAGTCTAATAACTTGAAAGATGAAAGAATCGTCATATTGGAAGCCTTCAAGAAGTTTGAACAAGTCCATGGAGATGATTCTTCAATTGCAAAAATTGAGAAAAGACAACCAACTGTGGTCAAGAAAGTTAAAGAATTGGAAGACGGTTCAACTCGAGAATATTTCGACTACGTTTTCCCAGATGATATAAAATTCTCTAAATTCTTGGAAAATGCTAAAAAATGGGCAAAACAGAATAAATAGAGTACGAAAATGCATTAATTTACTTCAAAATTATAAAGTTTCAGACTGTAATGATACATAAATTAGTTCTGATCTTCTTTCTTAATTGGAGCTGGTGGTGCTCCTAGCCCTGGTGGTGCGCCTATTCCTGGAGGTGCTGAGATTCCTGGGGGTGGAGTCATACCCTGTGGAGCAGGTCCTATCGATGGAAAGCTCGGTGACACACTTAGGCCTGGTGGAGCACTTAGACCTGGTGGAGCTGCTAAACCTGGTGGTGCTGAGACTCCTGGTGGTGGTGCTAATCCTGGTGGTGGTGTCAATCCTGGTGGAGCTGATACACCAGGAGGAGCAAATGATCCTGGTGGTTGTGAAGTAGCAGCAGCTGGAGGTTTTCCTGGGAAAGGAGATTGTGGATTTATATTTCTTCTCTTATAAGGTTGTTCATCTTCATTATTTCTTGTGTAATTGTTCACATTTATGTCTTTCAACATATTATCAAACTCTTGATCGACATCGAATGGGCCCCTGGCACCTCCAGTATTTCTCTGTTTACAATCTCTTGCAAAATGACCAGTATTACCACATGCACGACAAACAACTTGACTTGTGTAATTGGTACGGTTTGGACATTCATACCTCTTGTGACCTCTCAACCCACAAATTGTACAAGGTCTATCATCATCTTCTCTTAAAGTACCATTCAAAGCAGCTAGTTCCCTTAATTGACCACGCTTCAAATCATTTTGACCCTCTGGAGTTGAAATAGCTCTATTAACAACATCTTTACAAGCCTCTATACCAGCCAAAACTTTTTCCTCTGTATCACCAGTGATCAGACAATGTAATGGGTCTTCAAGGTTATTTTGCTGCTGGGTAATACCTCTATTTTTACCTTCCTTCACTGATCCTTTTCCTCTAATAGCAATCTTTGCTCCTGATGTTTCCTGAAGTTTTCTTAATGTATTACCTCTAGGCCCTAGTAAAAGTCCGATAAAGTTTAGTTCTGGATGCTCTTTAACGGGTATAAAATACTTTTGTGTTAAGCTTTTTGGTCTTCTGTAATCAGTTGGTGCAACGTAGTGTGGAACCAGTCTAGCAGCAATATCAATCAAATGATGTCTTTCATCCTCCAGACTCTTTTTGTATCTAGCCTCTCTTGTATTTGTTCTCTTACCACTAGCATCATATTGCGGTGGCGGTGAAGGGGACCTTGAAAGTTTTTTTGGGGGTGCTATATCATTTGTAGAAATCTTTTGCGTTATCTCTTCAATTCTATACACTATCTGGTAAGCATCTAGTTGTTCTGGAGTCAATATACCATTGATGACAGTGGGTAGGTTGACAGCATCTTTGATAGCATTGTCTTCTCTCGGGCCACCCCATCTAGAATGGGCCTCCAATGTACGGCCCCTTTCTGGAGAAGCTGATCTTCCTCTTTTGACTGTTTGACTCATTATATATCTTAAGCCTTTCAAAAATTTGTTGACGATGCTTCACAAATTGTTCGTGTTTACTATAACGATGGCCAAATTTTTTTCCAGATATTTACAGCCGAACACCATTTTCGCGAATGTTCTTCAAGAGAACAAAAAATCGAAATTCAAGGGGAAAAAAGCTGAACAATACTGGGAAAGCATCAATCAAAATACTAAAGTCATTTCCAAGCAAATATGTCATCTGGTTATGGTTTCAATGGTGGGTCAAGTCGTTGTTTCGGTGAATGGCAACGCTTTTTAGAATGTTATACGAATGCTGATACCTCACATCCAGTCCAATGCACTCCTCAAGTTGATGATTACTTTGAATGTCTACATCATAAGAAAGAAAAAGCCCGTGTTATGGCTATCAAATCTCAATTACTAAAGAACAAGTTTGAAGAGAAAAAATCTGGTGAGGAAGTGAAATCGATTGCTGTTACAAAAGATTCGCTACCAGAAGCATTGGGTCTTATTGATTCAAAATAGATTCCAAACACTAAACTATTTATTATGTCATGATTATTTATTACTTCAGCTGACTTATTTATTAGCATTGGTTACTCTGATAAGCCAATTATTATTTATTAACTTATTTATTCAACTTTTATATTTGCAAATATAATGCTCACACATAAGCCAACATTTTTCTAACAGCGTCCCGTACCTCGTAGAACAACTTTCCTGGTGCACCATCAACAACAACATCACCATCCGATATTTTTCTCACTGCAACTATATCATCAACAACTAAAGTACCCTCACCTTTAAACTCGACATTGTGAGCAACAGACAAGGATTTTTTCAATTCTGATAGCTTGACATCACCAATAGCCAATTGGGTAGCTCTCATATTGGCTAGGAAAGTTGAATCTTGCTCTAGTGGTGTTAATACCAATTCATTATCATTTCTACTTGTTTCCACGGCATCTTCTAGCCCACCATTTGTATCTTTCTCGTTTTTTACCAAACCATTTTCTGCTGATTCTTCTTTAGCTCCACTTTCCTCTTTCAATTTATCTTCTTCGGCCTTCACTTCTTGTTCAAGTTCTTTCTTAGTCTTCACGTTACCGATAACATGTGCAACTGTGAACCCACCTGCAATTTTTTGCCATTTCAATTGATCTGTGAGTTTCTCATCTAACAAAATATCGAATGATTGAACGGTGTCTTTGGAATACACTGGTTCGTTAGGGTTCAATTCTAAAACATCAAAGTTATTGTGCTTCTTTAGTGTACTTGCAACTTTTTGGAAATTAGATGGATCTGTTTGATCAGATAACAAGAAAACCTTTTTAGGTTTCAATGCAGGAATAATCAACGAAAGAGATCTTATGTCAACAAGACCTTGAAGATCAATATATGATAAAACACATCTTGATGTAACTATCAATTGTGAAACGTGTCTAGATTTTGGTTCATGTAAAGCATCCAAATCAGAAGTATCATCTTGCTTCTTACCTTCATTCCATTTCTTCTTCTCACCAATTTGAACTTTGTTATTGGCTTTATGTCTTTTCAATTTATTGACATCCTTTTCTTCTTCCCTTGCATAATCTGTAGGATTGATAATCTCACCATAATCATCAAATTTGGCCTTTGGTGGTATAAACTGAAACATTTTCGTACGACCTTTTGCGTTTCTAACATCAACATCAATCGGTATGGTTTCCTTTTTCTTTTCAACGTCAAGTATATCTTCATCTTCCGATTCGGACTCAGATTCATCCTCAAATTGTGTTTCTTTTGTGTCTGCTTGTTTTGCCTTCTTGCTTTCTTCCTTCTTAGTTCGTCTCTCTTTAACGTGGTTTTGATATTCAATTAATTCATCTCCTACTAAAGCATCTTCTCGTATTGGCTTAACTGTTAATTGATTTTGAAATGCAACAGGAACACCATCTTCTAACTTTCCATTGGCCTTGGCTAATGACTCCCAAGCAAAGAACAAATCATTACCAATACTATTTCCAGGGACCCTTTCAGTCAAAATAATACTTGTCTTTTCATCAGAACATAGAGCAGTTAAAGCAGCTTGTGCAACAGAACCATCTTCAAAACCAGCACCAGATGCGAACACCACTTTAGCACCCGGTAAATTCAGCAACTCATTAGGTTGAACAACTTGCACTCTTGAAGAATCAAATGGTGGTTGGCCCCTAGATTCCCAGTCTCTAATAACTGCAGGTGCCATCCATTCTAACATACTACCAGCATAAGTTAAATTTCTGGCCTTGGTGTGTGATAATAACAACACTGGGATAGGAGCACTTTGTAAATGATCATCAATCAAATGCACCAGTTCAAGCATTCTACCACCTATTGAAGTTGGAAGTAAAACAGTACCACCTCTACCTAACGTTGCATCAACTAGCTCAAAAAACTTTTCAACTCTTTTTTTATGTGGTAAAACAGACCCTATAGCTGTTGATGTTATAATAACTGACGGTCTTAGTAATGTTGAGTTTTGTAATAGATCAGCACCATTCAAAAAAGAATCTTTTGAGTGATTCCATTCTGGTGCGTATATGATCTTTTCGGAGTTTTTAGTTATCACCCAAATAGTACCACCTAATGTGTGACCACCGTTTATGGCTGTTAAGGACAAGCCATCGTATTTGGCACGTAGATCTGTAGTCTGGGAATGTTTAACAGTGATGATTTTATCAAAAGCTTCTTCAACATCTTTCAATTCAAATTCTGTTCCTTTCAATGGACCTATCAAACCAACGGATCTGTATAGATCTAAAGTTGCAACTCTTCCTAAATTACAAGCAGGTAATGTAGCATAAACTGGAATTTTCAAGTCATGGAATGCTAAATAAGCATAAGCACCAAGGAAATCAGTTGTTGGATGAGATAAAATTATCATATCAACAGTGGAAATGATATTGTCCAAATACCTAAGATCTGATCGACCATCCCAACCAGGGTCGGCCAGTATCCTCACACCATCAAATTCTAGTAATGCTGCCCTAGTAGTATTCCCCTCAGGTACTAGTGATGTATATGTGAACATTTTATGGGTTGATTGATGATTAAGGACCAAGAATTGTTGATGTTTACTATTGAATTTTGTTAGAGAATCTGTCGGGATTTTTTTTTCTTGATTTTTTGCCCAAGCGCGCACCAAAATGTTGAGAGAGAGTGAAAAGCTACACTGAAAATGACATTAAACACCATCAATGAGGTGATTTGGGATCAAATTAATGGTTCTTAGGCTAAATTAGTATCAGAAAATACTAAAAATATAAAAAAAAGCACTAATTTCAGGGTTTCGCCCGCCAGAATAGCAAAAAAATGATTTCGCCCAGGATCGAACTGGGGACGTTCTGCGTGTTAAGCAGATGCCATAACCAACTAGACCACGAAACCATTTGTGAAATTTTTATTTTTATGGTTTACCTCGTCAAAATAATTTGGTTTGGACACTCTCACCGCGAAATTTCCAATGTTTTTTTTAACCAAACGCATTTCTTGAACAGATCATCAATTGAAAGATGTAAACATCAAGTTTATTGTTCCTGGTAACCCTTCGTTTTCATCAAAATGGCATTATTAGAAAAGGTTCACAAGACCATCGTGAGGCTTGGTCTTCTACCCAAGATGATACGCGCTCTTCCGAAGATCTCATTATTTTTAACAATAATTGGTGTTATTTGGATAGCTGTATTACCAATGGAGGGTCAATATCGTGGTACATATATTTCAGAAAATGCATTAATGCCATCTCAAGCTTATAGTTACTTCAGAGAGAGTGAATGGAATTTATTAAGAGGTTACAGAACTCAATTACAAGATTTTCAACGTAATGATACTGATTACGAATCAAATCTCAAAATAATGCAAGGTTGGTTGAATGATATAGGTTACAAAACAGATATTCAACATTCTGCACAAGGTTCTAATTTATATGGTATTTGGCATGCTCCTAGAGGTGACGATACTGAAGCCATAGTCTTGGGTGCAGCTTACCACAATTCAGATGGTATCTTCAATCTCGGTGGATTAAGTATAACACTAGCAATGGCTAGATACTTTCATAGATGGGGTGTTTGGTCCAAGAATATTATCATTGTCATTCCACAAAATCCAAATTCTGCATTGAGATCATGGGTCAACGCCTACCATAGTACATTAGATCTTACTGGTGGGTCTATTGAAAGTGCAATAATGTTGGATTATCCATCAGCTTCTGATAATTTTGATTATATTGAATTATACTATGAAGGTATAAATGGACAATTGCCAAACTTGGATCTTGTGAATGTCGCTGTCTCTGTTTCTGAACATGAAGGACCAAGAGTTAGTATCCAAGGAACTCCTCAAGATGAATTAGACAAGAATGATTATTGGTCAAGACTAAGAATATTGGGTAGGGGTATTGTTGAAATGGCTTTAGCTGGTGTCAGACCTGGCCATGGTAATGAAGCATTTAGTGGATGGAGAGTCCAAGCTATAACTTTGAAAGCTAAAGGTGAATCCGGTCCATACGATATCACCACATTCGGAAGAATTCCTGAAGCATTATTCAGATCAGTTAACAACTTGTTGGAAAAATTTCATCAATCTTTCTTCTTCTACTTGTTGTTGGCTCCAAGAAGATTCGTTTCAATTGGTACTTATTTACCATCAGCAGCGTTGATCACTGCCAGTTATGTTGTTAGTTCTTTGGATAAAGTTTTGAATAGTGGATTTGAAACCTCTTATTTGATACCATACGCCATCCCAGCTGGAGGTGTGATGTCCATTGCAATCTTTGTCGGGCTTGTTATTTCCCAATTGATTCCATTATTACCACAATTATTTGCCTACATCTTGATTGGTGTGTTCATGTTATTTTCAGGTGGTTCCTTATTTTACAAAATCAATCTCAAGAATGAATTGAAGGTGATATTAAGATCATTGGCATTACTTTATTACAGTACTGTATTATCTTCATTGTTAGTTTTAAATTTTTCATTAACGTTTGCAATTGGTGTTTTGGCTTTACCATTAACTTTTATTCAAGATAGTTTGTCAGATAAGAGAATCATGCTATGTTTATTACTTTCTAATCCTTTTATCATCTCATTATTCATTGCACAAGATTTTGAAAATGGGTTAAGTGAGCTATTATATGGCTTAACTACTAGCTGGAAAGAACTTAACTGTCATACATGGCTAGTTATTACTATAGGTTGGTTACCAACTTGGTTGACTATTGCATTTACAACATTGATTAAAGATGATTCAAGATCTGAAACAGCTGAGAAAAAAACTGAATAATAATTGCATAAGATTTAACTAATGAACGACTGTGATCTACACGAATAAATATGCCTGATTCCCTAATTATTATAGTACACCGAAACTCATGTCTCAAACCCCTCGAAACTTGAGGAAGAACTCTTTATGAAACTTGGCCCATTTGTCAATCCATTCTTGGCCAGGTGGTAAGAAAGTAGTTCTAACATGGAAAGTACCTTCAACTTGACCAAAACCAGAACCTGGAACGACGCAAATACCAGTATTTCCCAATAACTCCAAGCAATAAAATTCATCAGGTTTCAACCCTAAATCTTTAGCATGTGCAATAATGCTTTCACTGAGTATAATCTTTGGGAATAAATACATTGCACCTTGTGGTTTTTGGACTTCAATGTTTTCCAATTTACTGAAAGCCTCATATAAAGCATTAGCTTTTGATTTGTAAGTTTCATGGATTGCTGTTCTTTCTTTTTGATCCAATTCATAAGACTCGTCACCCTTTTTTGGTGGGTTAACCATCATTTCCACTAAAGCTTGACCAGAAACAACTGAACATAATGAAATTGAAGCTAGCTTTAAGAACATTTCATGAATTTCAGGTTTGAAACCAACCAATTCCATATAACCACCTCTTTGACCACACTCACCAGTGACACCCTTAGAAGTTGAATGCAATGATACTAATTGAACATTATCATACAGATGAGCATGCTTATGTTGTAAATCTGACAAAACACTCTTAAATGAATGAAATTTACCTTCAAAAATATTTTCTTGATAAACTTCATCAGCAATTATAACCAGACCTCTTTTGGCAGCGATTGTTAAGATATCTTCAATCGCAGTTTTTGATAAAACTGAACCTGTTGGATTTCCTGGATTGATAACAACAAGAATTTTTGGTTTTATACCGAACTTATTGGAAGTTTGCACCAATTCTTCAATTTCATGTGGATTTGTTGACCAATTGTCATGTTCATTCAAGTAGTAGGATATTGGTGTGGCATTGTTTAAAGTAATGGCAGCAGTGTATAATGGATACTGAGGAATTGGGATCATAACACCAGAGGTTCTTTCACCATCAAGAATCACTTCGAATACAGCTTTGACACCATCTGAAGCACCACCTGTTAGATAGATGTTCTCTGGTAAAGAAATAGCACCACCATCTCTCTTGGTAATGAAATGTGCGATCTGTTCACGAATGTATTGAACCCCTTGAGAATGTGAATAAGCGCCCAATGATCCGATCTTACTTAAAAGCACTCTAGCTCTATGAACAACATCTTTTGGATAATCATGATAAGTTTCCAGTAGCTTTGGATTTTGTAATATAGATAGCACAGATCTGTAGAAGGTCAAAGGTCTCTGTCTCAATTGTTGTGGGTTACCAATGTTAGCATTGATGATTTCTTTAAAAGGTAAGGAATCTGGATTGTGTCTCAATTTTTCCCTCAATTCTTCAGCTTTGTTTGGAATTAAACCTCTGACGGCATATTCAGCACCCAATACTCTAGGGTTCAAATCTTTCTTTGTGAGTTTTTCAGCAGGAAAGAATGAATTGTGTCTTTTTGAATGCTGAATGAATCTTGTGACCAAAAGGGCCCTAGACGGAGTAGTCTGAAAGTGAAGCATATCTTAACTCTGTTGACTTTGATTGGGACAAGCACTTGATACCAGATCAGTTGGATGTCTCTCTATTGGACAAGGTCTTTCAGATGGGCTAAACTCGTCCAAGTCAAGGAACTTTCAAGGTTTATATACACTTTTGTGTTTTCAGTTTAGATCCAGTTGATTTTCATGACTCTGCAAAAAAAAGTGACGGCCCGGATTTAAACAGATAAAGGCGGTATTCGCGGCCTCGGATTACAGGCTTCTGGTGCTTATCGCCACGCGTTGAGCCCACAGCTTCCTCTAGTGGCAGACTGGTCGTTGTAACTAGCAACTAGTGGACAGAGGGTATGATGGGGCACTAGAGCTGGCCAATAATCAACAGAGTAAAGGGTCGACAACGTCAGGAATAGTTGATCAAAGCAAAGGGTGTCATCAATATCGGTTTCAGTGAAAATTTTTATGGTCAGTCTGGTGCAATTACTAAATCAGGCTTATAATGTGACTGATTGAGCAGAAGATAACGTAAGTGTAACACCATTAACTAGATTTGAATCTCAACGGTCAATTACCGGTAGCCTATACTAGTAAGACACATTTAGATCCTGGCAGTTTGAACCTGTTTTATTTATTTCTCGATTCTCTAATCTGGAAGCTCTACCACACCCTGTTCATATGTATTAAAGAATCAAAGTACACTTGATCTTCTGGATTTTAGCGGTGATTTGATAAGTGCCTCTTATTTTAAGCACTAACAAAGGGGCGTGAATGCTATAGTCGGCAGAGTCAATTATCTTAACTTGCGCAGTGACTTTCAAGTGCCGTCGAAGAAGAGTCGATTTTAATAGGTTGGTATTGCTGGGGTAAGAGGACTAAACGGACTAGGTGCTAATGCTTCTCGTCAATTCAAATCTTAATTTAGTAATTCGCTAATAACCGTAATATCTTTGACATGACGAGGATTATAAACGGCTATTTAGTGCTCAACCCTTCGCTTCACGAACTAGTGTAGAGAGGCAACATTCTATCAGTAATGAGATTAGCTTCTGACCATTGACGAAAGATGAATGGCTTGCGTATCTAGTTTCGTTTATGGGATGATGATTGAACTAATAGACCTCTCCAAAGTAGTCGCTGGTCGACAGTTACACCATCATTTTGCATCAAATTATCAAGAGTTTGGCCTCATGAAGGTCTGATTGCAGCACACCAAGGAACTTGGAGTATGAAGAGATGAATATCTAGACATGAAGAATTCAAACAGTGCAGTACAGTCAAATTGACCTACTCTGTGGAGCTTTACTTACAATTATAATAACTGAGAAAGAAGTTGCACAAAATCTATCATAAAATTTCAATCCCCTTGATATTGAATATTTTGATTCTTGCACTCGAACGATTCCAGGTTTGAGGTACTACCATTCTATTGCAATCCTCCTAGCCACATACTATTTAGGCTGGGATATGAATCCACAAAGCCTTTGTCTTGATGAAATCTTGCTTCTCAGTTTCCAAATCTCTAGTGAGATGGCCAACACCGCTGTCTAGAATCTAGGCAGACGCCGGGCTCCTCTCTGCCCAGCCTGTCTCCGTGCGTGCCCATTCCATCAATTCTTTCGCGAAAATTTGTTTTTCCTAAAAACTGAGCAGAAAAAAAATCAACACACAAACAAAAAAGGACTTTTGCCCTCGCTAGACATCTCAAAAGGGCTCTTTTGATCCAAAACAATTCAGTCTCTTTGATTGGAAAATTAGGATTGTTTCAAACTGGAAGGTTGCTTTGATCTTTTTCTCCCTACAGCTGGAAGAAGCCTACATTCGAAGTTGACAAATCAACAACAAAAGTGAGACTTCAAACACGTCAAAGAGAGAGGCAATCAAATTCGAGCTGGAAATTATAGACATCACTCAATCGCTACAATGACTGATTTACCAAAGTCAAATGACTTGACAGCTACTTGGGCTTTTGTTGAGCCAGGTTTGAAACTGATTATTGGTGGTTCAGATGAAAATTCAGGTGTTACACCACAGATGTATATGAATGTCTATTCTGCAATTTATAACTATTGTGTCAACAAATCAAGAACTCCTCAGAACCTGTCCACTGCAACTTCAAGTCAATCTTCTTTATTAGTTGGTGCTGAAATTTATATGAAATTGAAAGATTATTTGATATCGTATGTTAAAATATTGGATAAAAAGCCAAATGAATCATTTTTAGAGTTTTATGTTAAACGTTGGACAAGATTTACTGTTGGTGCTGGTTACTTGAACCATGTTTTTGATTACATGAATAGATATTGGGTTCAAAAAGAAAGAAGTGATGGTAGAAGAGATATTTTTGATGTTAATACACTATCTTTACTGACATGGAGAGATTTCCTGTTTGTACCAAATGTTGATACATTAATTACTGAAATATTGCAACAAATTAGACTGCAAAGAGAAAACCAAGTTGTTGATACAAGTAATTTATCAATGGCTATTAAATCTTTTGTCTTATTGGGAATTGATGTTCAAGATCTGAAAAAGCCAAATTTGGATATTTATATCGAAAAGTTCGAAACCCCATTTTTAGAAGCTACCAGATCATTTTATGCTGCTGAGTCTTCTGAATATTTATTGTCTCATAATATTGTTGATTATATGAGAAAAGCTGAGCAAAGAATCAATGAAGAGGAGAGTCGAGAAACTATGTATTTGGATGAACATAGTAAAAAACCATTAACTGATGCCTTGAATGAAACTTTGATTGTTGACCATTCTCAAACAATGTATGAAGAATTCTCAAATCTGTTGGATCAAAACCAAATTGATTATATTGCTAAAATGTTCAATTTGTTCAATAGAGTTCCTTCAACTTTAGAACCGCTGGCTAAAATCTTTGCAGATTATATTGAAACTCAAGGTTTGAAATCCATTGATAATTTATTGAATGATGCTCAAAATGAGGCTTCAAGGGAGAGTGATCCGAAGAAAGCTGCAAGTATTAAACAAGTTGATCCAAAATTATACATTAAATCACTGATTCAAGTTTATCAAACTTTCCAAGCCATTGTGCTTAGTGCTTTCCAAAGCAACCCAATTTTCGTCAAAGCTTTAGATAGCGCTTGTCGTAGCTATATCAATAATAATGCAATTGCTAAACCTGCCAATTCCAAATCAACTTCCAAAACTCCTGACTTGTTGGCCAAATATAGTGATAATTTATTGAAGAAAAATAAAGATGCTGATGCTACATCTGATATGAGTGCTGATGATATTATGATTGTTTTCAAATTTATCACAGATAAAGATGCATTTGAGACTCATTATAGACGTTTATTAGCTAGAAGATTGATTCATGGTACTTCATCATCAGAAGAAGCTGAAGAAACAATTATTCAAAGGTTACAAGCTGAAAACTCTTTGGAATATACTTCAAAGATGACTAAAATGTTTCAAGATGTTAGAGCTTCAAATGAATTGAAAATATTATTCAAAGAAGAGGTTCAAAAAGATTGGGAAAGCTCGAAATCAATTGTTCCAGATTTTCAACCATTTATTTTAGCTGAGACTATGTGGCCTTTCAATTACACTAAGTCGAATTTCCAATTACCTTCAGATTTAGTTCCAACTTATACTAAACTGGAAGAAATTTATGCAAATAAACATTCTGGTAGAGTGTTGAAATGGTTATGGTCACTGGGACGTGGTGAAATCAAGGCCAATTTGTCAAAACCAGGTAAACCACCTTTTACATTCTCAATGTCATTATATCAAATGGCTATTATTTTACCATTCAATGAAAATGATACTTATACTTTGGGTGAATTGATGGAATTGACCGGATTAGATGAAAGTACCGTTGCAGGTTCAATTTTACCAATGGTTAAATATAAAGTTTTATCACAATCACCAGCTGGTCAAGAGCATATTAAATCACCATCAACTAAATTTACATGTGTCACTGAATATAAATTCAAGAGATTAAAAGTGAATTTCTTTACTGGTGTTAAATTAGAACAAAAACAAGAAGCTGAAGATGCTGAAAAAGAGATCAATGATGATCGTAAGATGTATTTGCAAGCATGTATTGTTAGAATCATGAAGGCAAGAAAGACATTGGGTCATACAGCTTTGATCAATGAAGTTATTCAGCAATCACATCAAAGATTCAATGCAAAGATCTCAGACATCAAGAAATGTATTGATTTATTGATCGAAAGAGAATATTTACAAAGAGCAGACAACCAATCTTATGAATATTTAGCTTAGAGATATCTATTATTATTAATGTACATGATGATCATGAATGACAATGACCTTTCAAAGCAAAGTTGATGTAGAGTTGACTCAACCAAAGAAAGCCTTGGGAAAGTGAAAAAAAAATATGCCACAATTCTTATTCGATTGAATTCGCTGGACTTCCCCATTAAGTACATTCCGAGGTATCATAAACGTGACTTTTAGCTCCCGGATTTTCCCCTTCGCGGTAAACAGTGCTGTACTGATCCGGTCCAGGCAGCAAGAAGATGACTGATAAAAAAAAAAATCAAATTACTCATACAAAGAGCGAGTCTTCGAAGAAGTTTAAAATTCTATATAAAAAACTTTTCACTACTTCTTTTACCACAAAACACAAGTTTATAACATTGAAGTAACTTATTAGTTATAACATAGACATATATTCATATACACAATCCACAATGGCTACTCAAAACGGTACAGAAGGCGAGTAAACTCAAAATACTTTGGGGGAGGGAGAGTCGACGATTAGATTTCATCTCGGGTATTAATCATTAGTTGCTTGAGATGGGATTCGTGTCTCTTTGAACAACAAAATACATCAATTGATACATATATACTAACAAGAATGATCAGAAACTTTTAAAAAAGTGAGTGAGGAAAAAAGAAATCCAGTTCAACAGAATCCTTATGGTCCAAATCCAGCAGATTTCTTATCAAATGTCTCAAATTTCCAATTGATTGAATCTACTTTAAGAGAAGGTGAACAATTTGCCAATGCTTTTTTCAGTACTGAAAAAAAAATCGAAATTGCTAAAGCTTTAGATGATTTTGGTGTTGATTACATTGAATTAACTTCCCCAGTTGCTTCTGAACAATCAAGAGCTGATTGTGAAGCTATTTGTAAATTAGGTTTGAAAGCTAAAATCTTGACACATATTAGATGTCATATGGATGATGCTAAAGTTGCTGTTGAAACCGGTGTTGATGGTGTTGATGTTGTTATTGGTACCTCTCAATTCTTGAGACAATATTCACATGGTAAAGATATGAACTACATTGCTAAATCTGCCATTGAAGTTATTGAATTTGTTAAATCAAAAGGTATTGAAATTAGATTTTCTTCAGAAGATTCTTTCAGATCAGATATTGTTGATCTTTTGAATATTTATAGAACTGTTGACAAAATTGGTGTTAACAGAGTCGGTATTGCTGATACTGTTGGTTGTGCTAACCCAAGACAAGTTTACGATTTAGTTCGTACATTAAAATCAGTCGTTCATTGTGATATTGAATGTCATTTCCATAACGATACTGGTTGTGCTATTGCTAATGCTTACACTGCTTTAGAAGGTGGTGCTAGATTAATCGATGTCTCAGTGTTGGGTATTGGTGAACGTAATGGTATTACTCCATTGGGTGGTTTAATGGCTAGAATGATTGCTGCTGATCGTGATTATGTCTTATCCAAATATAAATTACACAAATTACGTGATTTGGAAAACTTGGTTGCCGATGCTGTTCAAGTTAACATTCCATTCAACAACCCAATTACCGGTTTCTGTGCTTTCACTCACAAAGCTGGTATCCATGCTAAAGCTATCTTGGCTAACCCATCTACTTATGAAATCTTGAGTCCTGCTGATTTCGGTCTTTCAAGATATATTCATTTTGCTAACAGATTAACTGGTTGGAATGCTATCAAATCAAGAGTTGATCAATTGAATTTGAATTTAACTGATGATCAAGTTAAAGATGTTACACAAAAAATTAAAAAATTGGGTGATGTTCGTCAATTGAGTATTGATGATGTTGATTCCATCATTAGAGATTTCCATGCTGAAATCGCAACCCCAATCATTGCTCCAAAAGGTGAAGCTGCTGGTGCCGTTGATGAAGAAATTGCCATCACTGAAGAACCAGAAGCTAAAAGACAAAAAACTGAAAATTAAGCCTGTCTAAAATGAAGCAATTACTATTTTGCGAATCAAGGCATATTAGAGGAAGGCATTTTATTTCATTTTGAGACACGTTCTATAAGTTTTTTTTTGTTTTTGTTTCCTGGGGTCATTTTTATATTAGTATTTTCTATTTAAAACACTTTGAAAAAAAAAGTTTGGGTATTTATAATGATCTATTCATACTTTTGGATATGATTGTTGAATAAAATTATTGAATTTATTGGTTTATTTAAACTAATTGCTTGTAGATGTTATTGGTCTGTCACTTTTCTACGGGTTTCTACAAACTTCAGAAAAATACAATTTCGCGGCCTGGATCAAAACAACAACACCATTGCAATTAAATATACTGGTCCAAATCAACAGAGACGCATTTTTGCTTATGAATTTGAGAGATGGAAAACCATTTGATCCTGTAAGTTTAAGATTCTTCATGGTCTTCTTGTTCATCAAACTAACTATCACAGCTGCATCACATAGCCAAGATTACAAATGATTTATCTCAACTTATACCGCTAGGTGTACTATACTTCGCAAACCTACCTAGATTACCAGCTCGTGGAATTGAAACGTATGAAGATGATGAATGGTTGTGGCTAGATACACCCTATACAAATACAAACGTTCCACTTTATTCAACAGTCAATGGTGCAAGAAGTGTGTTGTCTCCAATACTGACAGATCTTTCATATCTTATTGAAAAGCTCCACATTAAGGCTACTTATAAGATCACCAAGTTGGGAAAGTTCAATACTGCTGCTGTCAGGATCTACTCTGTACCGAATGATGTTGATGGAAATAGGTTTATCGAAGATCATAGAATCAAGTTTCGAAGAGGGAAGACTCCTCAATGGCATGAAAATAAGTACAAAGCGATAATGAAGAATTTTTTGGCTGTGTTGGATTATTCAAAAGAGCACTGGGAAGTACCAGAGAAAGCAATTATGTCTGACTGTTTAATATTTTCTGCCTTATACGAATTCAAGCCCTTCAGCTCCAAATCATTGGGGATCGGACCTTACTATGAAGAACAAACTCTTGATAGCCATATCACAAGGCTAATAAAGTGTGAGCCATTCTTGTTAAATAATAAATTACATCAAGATCTGAATTTGGAAACCAGATTGGCTGAAGTATATGGTGCAATAAACTTCCAAATTGGACCGAACAATGAAGTACTGTCTGATGTTCAAAGGATTTTTGGTTTGAAAAGTGATTTGTACAATTACCAAAAAGAGTCTGCCGCGAAGATGTTTATAAATGAGACATACACATTTCTCAAAGATATGCCTTATTTAGTGAAAATAAGGCGAGGCTCCAAGATGTTTTACTTCAACACCATCAATATGACCTTCAATTTGCATCCAGAATATTACACATCCCCCAGAGGTGGAATACTAGCTGAAAATATGGGCTTGGGAAAAACATGTATTTGTTTGGCGTTGATCTGCTTGACTAAATTTGATACCTCAGAAACTCCTGAAAAGTTTACTGTCTCTGATGTCCATGATTATAAAATCCAATCTTTATTTGATCAGTGTGTTAGGCACATCAATCGTCATTCTATACCTTGGAAAAAGCATACAAACATCTTACCAGACACATGTATTGAAGCTTTAAAGAAGTCACCGGGGTTTTTTTATTTGAAAAAAAATGAACTGCCCGAAAGAAAACACTTATCCCGTGCAAGACCCATTGTGCTTGAAAAAAAGTATTTGTTAACAAGTGCCACCTTAATTGTTTGTCCTGATAATCTGTTCAGACAATGGTGCTTTGAGATAGCAAAACATCTTGAGCCAGGTGCCTTGAAAATATACTACGCTGAAAAGTTAGGTACTTTACCATCCTCCATGGAATTGATTACTTATGATATTGTTCTAATGGCAAATTCAGCTTATGTTAGTGAATCTCCCGATACTTCAGTATTATCAAAAATCTATTGGAAAAGATTAATCATTGATGAAGGTCATAGCATGAACCAAAGATCTACTCGTGCAGTTGAATTATCCAAAGAGCTCCAAGTTGAAAGAAAATGGGCAGTTACAGGGACGCCAACCGCTGGAATGACAAAGCTGCATATGAATGAAACTTCAGAGACGAACTCCAGTAGATACACTGTCAAAAGAGCTTTCAGTGCTAAAGATGATTTAACCAGGTTGGGGTTGTTGGTTTCTAATTTTTTCCAAATTCAACCGTGGGCTAATAATCAAGATTTATGGAATAAAATTGTGGCTAAACCTTTCATTTCAAATACTTTCAACTCAAGTATGTCATTGGAATCTTTGATAAGCAGTCTTATTGTCCGTCATTCTTCTGATCAAATTGAAAATGATGTCACACTACCTCCCTTATACCACAAACCAGTCTTCCTTACACCATCTTATCACAACAAGCTATCAGTGAACTTATTTGTTGCCGTGTTGGCTATTAATGCTGTGAGTTCTGAAAGGGAAGACAAAGATTACATGTTTCATCCAGGAAGCAAATCTGATTTGAGGAGATTGGTCACAAATTTACAACGAGCTACGTTTTATTGGACCGGGTTTTCAGTAGATGATCTTGAAAGTATGGTTTACATCGCAAAGTTGTGCTTGGACAAAAATTCTGAAGATGGTTCAGCTTCCTATTGCCCTGAAGATATCAAGTTGTTAGAACGGTCCGTAAAAGCATGCAAAATTGCACTTGCTGACAAGTTTTGGAGAACGGTATCTACAATACACGAGATGAATTACTTTGTGGGAGGTTTAGATAATGCTCTCAAAAAGAATTTTCAAATCAATAAGCTGTCATTTGATATTTCAGTTTTCGGAGCACCTCAACTTTATTCAATGCAAAAATTTTACTTCAAGAAGAGATTCAGTTCCAAGGAAGTAATTGATGAGAGAATTCAAAAGTTTGCTGATGAGTTTTGGAATGATTATTGGAAAGAGGCAGCAAAGAAAAATGCGGAAAGAGTCAAGAAGAATGATGGACAAGCAATAAATATATCAACTGTTGGAGAGGAGCTTGAGCATCAAGAAAAATTGTCATTAAAATCATCCAAAAAATCGAGCTTTGAGGACCCTAATGCCATCAAAAGTACAAATGGAAGAATTCAAACTCTCAGTGATAATTCATCAGCATCTCCTACTCCAGCATTAAATTCTAGGGAACTCAATAGAAACTCCAGACTATTAGGAACATCATCCGCAAAGCTATCATATATGGTTTCAAAGCTATTGGAAAACACGTTTTCAAGTGTTAAGGGTATCGTATTTTTTGAGTTTGAAGATAGTGCTTATTATTTGTCTGAGGCTTTAGATCTTTTAGGGTTGAATTATACTTTATATGCTACTTCTGTTCCTAAGGATGACCGTGCTCAAAAAATTAGAGAGTTCTCAGAAGCCGAAGGTGCACATACTCTGATAATGGACTTGAAATTAGCATCTCATGGTCTTACGATAACTGCAGCTACGCAAGTTTACTTTCTAAGTCCCGTATGGAAGAGATCAATAGAAGCACAGGCTATTAAAAGAGCACATAGAATCGGGCAGAAGAACCCTGTCCATGTTGAGACATTGGTCTTGAAAGGTACACTTGAGGAAGAGATGTATAGGAAAAGACAAGTGGTTGAAGATGAGCTAAATGTTCCTGTTGCTGATGATAACCAGATTCGAGATTACATTTTGAAATTTGAATTCTTGAAAGTGAATGATACTGTCCCATTCAACGAGTTTAAATCTCGCTCAGATACCGGATTGAGTGAGATCAATAAAAGGGAATTTGATGATGTTGAGCTTTTGGAACCAAGTGCTCTAAAAATTAAAAATACTGTTCACTGGAATGTTCCGCTCTTTGGTAAAAATGCCCTGGAGAAACAATCTGAGCATGGAAAGAATACAGAAGTTACTCCAAAGGTTGACTTTTCAGAACAAGGTGAAAATTTGCAAGGTATCAAATTTGTATTGAACTCCCCAAAAAAGGTCACTTTTGAAGAGCCAAAAGATGAAAAATTATTTGATGGGTCAGAAGATACTCGTCCAAAAAAAAAAGTTAGATTTACATAATCAGACGTTTTAATTAATTTATTAGTTGTATCTCAAAATAACAGTACCATCAGTAGAACTTGAAACTATTTTCCCATCATGCTCATCAACAGAAAGAACAGTACCAGTATGACCCGTGAGTTTTCTCAGCAATCTACCAGAAACAACATCCCATAAAGTAACGGTCTTATCATAAGAACCTGACAATATCAAGTTGTTCTTTACAATTGACCTTATCAACAAGTTTTCTGGTCCAGCTGGAGCCCCATCATAAACTTTTGGTCTAATATGATTTCCTGGTACAACCTTAGGATCATAAATTCTAACAGTATCATTATCCCTAGATATTAAATTTGTGTCATCAACAGAAAGTGAAGTTATTGACTCAGTGTGTAACGTTTCTATTTCAAAAACAGGTGATGAAGGAGATCTGATATCCCAAGCTCTTATTATCGGTTCAATACCAGACCCAAAAACTATATTATTATGAAATGCAACTGTCAGTAGTGGATATTCAGTTTTGAAACTATTGATAAATCCTTTCTCTCTTTCATCCCACACAAAAATAAACCCATCATCACCGGCAGATGCAACCAAATTTTGATCATTATCAACTTCATTTACAACAAGTGAATGAGAGGTGTATTTCCTTATTCTTTGACCAGTTTCAGTATCCCAAATACCAACAGTGGTATCTGCTGAGGACGAAGCAATACTCCCATTGTTAAGCCATCTTATTGACGTTACTGCACTTTTGTGACCAGTTATTTCACCATAATTGGAAGCCTTTTCTTGGGATGATGCATGAGGTAAGTTCCATAATACTAAAATTATGTTAGTATTAAGCTCATAACATGTACTTGGACCTACTCACGGATTTTCTTGTCCATCCCTGAGGAGGCAACATTTTCGCCACTTTTATCGAACTTGACTGATAAAGAAGCACCTTGATGACCTTCTAAAACGAAGGATTGGGACTCGGCCTATTTTAAAGTTAGTTTTGATCATCTGAACTCAAAGCAAAACACACCTACTCTTTGACCATTAATATTGGAGTCATCATGCCTATGTCTCTTCACTAATGACATTGCAATCCAGTCACCCTTTTTCTCAGCTGTTAAATAGTCAACTTTTAACACTCTTTTCAAGTGACATCCCACGCCAAAATCTCAAAAAGTTTATGTCGCGTCTGCCCCTAACAGTTCATTCACCAGGGTAACATTCGCGAATTTGATCTTTGGATTGCCCAATCATTTTTTTAACGAAAGCATCCCTATTTTGCGAGAAAAGGTGATTTTGACAACTGAAACAATATTGTTCAATTCAATTGATCCAACAAAAGAGTTCATTCAACCAATTCTATTCAAGAAATGTCATCTCAATTAGCTTTACGTCGTGCTTTAGTTTCTGCTCGTTCCATGCGTGTTGGTGTTAGAGCTTATACCGAAGGTGCTACTGGCTCAAACCGTCCAGAAAGCAGTGGCGATTCATTCACCGTAAGTAATTGATTTAAGGACAAAGAGTTATTCAGTTTGACGTGAGAACGTTTTCAATCTGTCAGTGTTTACTGGTATGGGTTTTTGAAAGTGATGAATGTTCCCTCAATGAAAAATTCTATTGTTCCTTGTTTCTCTCCACGAATCATACTAACAAAGATGATGATAGAAACGTGAAAAAGCCAATGAAGACTACTATGTTAGAAAACATGAACAAGAGCAACTTACTGCTTTGAAAGAATCTTTAAAGAAACAAAAGGAAAACATTGCTGACCTTGAAGAAAAAATGTAAGTGAATTTTGAAATTTTTCATTGATCTCCATACTAACAGTTAATTTAGCAACAACTTCAACAAATAGATTCATTAAGCATAACAGCCACCACAGGTATCCACAACACAATTATAATATGAAACAAACATTTCAAAAAAAAAATATTCAAAAACAAACTTTAAAGAAAAAAGAAATATTCAATTTGTTGATCTATCATGATTTCATGCCCTTTACTATGTGAATATTCAATATATGACTAACTTTGTATGAAAGTAACTAATCGTAGTTTTTGGTACCCTTGTATTGTTCTTATACTGCACTGGAATAATGAACTGATCGAACTCCTGTTACGCACTTTCCAAGAGAATACCTTTGACAATGGGATTTCCTGCATTATCCAACCTAAGAACGTGATCAGTATCTGGGGTATCGTCCCTCCACATAAAACAGGATTTTCCTGTCAACTTTCTGCCGTTACACAGGCAATCAATTCAGTTGAAAAGGGAAAAGGGAGGTTAGCTCAGATGTTTTCCGGTATCCTAGACCCTTACTATCAAAACTCATTTCGTAGAGGGTTTGTACAATCTCTGGATAAAGGTTGTACATGAATTAAAGACGTTATCCAACCACCCTGTTACCGACTCCTAAACATATTAGTGATAATCCCCAGATACTTTGGACACTCTTCAAGCTGATTGATCATGTCACGAACAAATATACGGCTGTGATTAGTTCTAGTGCTCGTTAGTCCACGGAAGTTTCTTATATGCCACTTTCACCATGGGTGCCGGCGAACAACCAAAAACTTCTTACAGACCATCAAATAAAGTAGATTTGATAAGAGGCATAGCCAGCCAATCTTTCGCACTAATATAGGCATTAAATGAGCCTTTTTAAGTTGAATCGTGTACAAATATACTCCTAAAATTTTATTTTTTTCAAATTTTCAGGCACATTCTAGCGATGCAATTTTCCTAAAATTTTGTATTAATCCGATGTAGTGTAGGGGCTATCACGGTACACTCTCACTGTACAAACCCGAGTTCGATTCTCGGCTTCGGAAAATATTTTTTTGCGGGGATTAGGTACAATACAAGATCTCATATGATATACCAAACAGTGGTAGGAAATGGCTTAGTTGAAACACAAAATAAAGAATTACTTCAATGGTTAGCAATTTGCTTTACAACAATTTTTGCAGATTGTGATGATTCTGAAAAACTGAAGAAGAAAAAAGATATTTCCAACACCAAGAATCTGAAATGGTGGAATTCTGCATTAGAGAATGACAAGTCAGTTATTTTCTTTAGAACCTTTGGGTGGTATGAATTTCTAAATGGTCAATTTGAAAAGGCTTTTAATAGCTATATTAAAAAACTAGGTGAATTCAAGGATGCTTTACGTGATTACAAATCTGAAGTACATGAATTAGATATTCAAAACAATTACATCAAATTAGAAGATATTCTTTACAAGGTTTTACCAAATGTCAAGATTCCAAAAGCATTGCAAGATATCACAGCCAACAGGATCAAATTTACTTTGAACATAAAAGATCTTTTAAAACCAGAAGATTTGGTTTGTTTAGCATCATGGATAAAAGTGTTTCACAACTCTGATGAATCTACAGAAGCTACAGATGAGAATGAAAAATTGGAAATACATGTTGAAAATAAAGCTAATCTTTACAAAAAATTGGTTTTGAATGAAGAAATTGGAGAAGAAAAAGTTTGTAAAGTTTTAAAGGATAAAGATGGAAATCATATTGAACCAGATTCATTTAGACGTCTTAATAAGAAAAGACAAAGAAGAGAAGAAGAAGTCCATACAAGAACTCCAACTTATCCAGTTGAATATGGAGATGAAACAAATGAAGATAAAACTAAAAGATATGCCAAAATTTTGGGCCTACATTG